TCGCTAGCAGCTAGTGGCTGCGATCGCTAACAGCTAGTGGCTGTAATCGCTAACAGCTAGTGGCTGCGATCGCTAGCAGTTAGTAGTCATGACCGCTATCACGCTCATGACCCCACTAACTTATAGTGGCTATAGTCTCTTAAAATCAACAAGATCTATACTTAGGAATTAGAGAATTATATTTTTAAAGAGCTATACTTTATCTGGTAACTTAAATAGCTTTATTTTTAATTTATAGATTTTTTTATATTAAAAAATATATATTTATAATATATAATATAATTATTAAAGGTAGGCGGTTAAGGGGGGTAGGCGGTTGACTAGGGTTGCAACTTATTTGCTGTATTTCTCCAGAGGTATTAGTGCTTGATAGGAAGAGTAATTATTATTGTCCTCATTCCCGTTATTGAGTTCAAACATCCACCACCCTGTCACGGGTTGAAGCGAATCGAGTCCTACTTCTTGCTCATTCCCGCGCTGCATTTCCCACTGATCCAACTTTTGGCTGCTGCTGGTAACGGATATACCAACGGACCCAGCAACCATTTTCGTTTTATAAATGCGTCCATTATCGTCCACTTTTACAGGCACGGAAGCAAATCCAGAAGGGATATCCGATGTGTCCACCGGCAGGAATGTTGTTCCGTCAATATCACAGACCATGCTGTCTGCATGATGTTCCCTGCTTCTCAACAGGGTGCCATCAGGCTGCCAAGCGCAGAATGCCGTGATCCACCCGGAGAGCCACGGAGGTCCTGAGCCACCAGCCTTCCAATGAGCAATCTTACCGAAAAACTCTTTAACAGAGATCATTTCGCTTGTCAAAGGCATTGATCAGGTTATTCACAACCGTGATCAAACGCTGAGCGAACATGCTTGGTTCAGCACCAAATTGTTCGATCTTGTCGAGGCGGTTCCGGATCTTGACCCAATCTTCCCTTTGGCCTAGGAGTGTGACGGATGGGATGCCACACCTGAGAGACATGATGTGATGGAAATATGACTGCATACTGCCCATCATTAGTATTGCAGCCGCGACTGTGTCCACATCCTCAGTTGTCGTGAAGTCAGGCAGAATCCAGGATTTCAACTCCGGGTCGACGATATGCTTCTCCATTTCATCCGTCATCATCACAGCCAGTCCCCCAAAGTCGACATCATGAATGGTACCGGAGACTTCTACTTTGGCCTCCTGTTTGCCCTCATGCTGTACAAAATGGTATCTCAACTCTTCAGCATGTGCGTTTGATGTAGAAATTTAACTGCGTGAGGATGGCAAACCAGACATCCTCAGGGTGGATGGTCAGGTGATGGTGGTTGCTATAGGCAGCGTAGGCGGCATATACGAGACCATTGCGGGATTGCCAGGTGTGTGATGATGCTATTGTCTCGAAGGAACTTTGGAAAATGGTCTTGCAGAGCATATGCTCCTTCAGGCACGATTCCTTGAGAAGCATCTTTGCTGATGTGGCCTTGCCTGATGGCTCAGACCACGGCCTAGGGGCGTGAGCAGCTGCCTGGATGGCAACGGGCATGGTCGTGTTTGGTCAACGAATAGACTAATGAGGAAGTCCAAAGACCATATTGTAGCGAGAAGTCGAGAGTAAGGAGGTATCCGAAAAGACTGGAGCTTGGTGGCTGAAGTGTTTGGATTGAAGACGAGTATGAAGCCATGTGAAAGAGGGTAGCTTAAATAGTCATTCGACGAGCGGCTCGTCCTGACGGCAAGGGTGTCATCGGTATGAAGGTTTACAGGCTTTTACTTTCCGTCTGACTGCAGCCTTGGGCTAACAAGCTATTTTTTAAACTTTCATATTCATTGTGTTGGGATTTCGGGTCCGGCATCTTTCATTTTGTTTAACTTGATACTCGAACTCTCTCACTCCCGTCGAGAGTAAGGAAAATGGAAATCTGTGAAATGCTGTATATCCAGCGCTGTATCCTTGGCCAAGTCGGTTATCCAGGCACCAGATATTGGGTCGAAGCTAAACATCCCAAGCTAACTAATGATCTTTCAGCTTGTTGATTTTGAGTGGCTGTGTTCGCGTTAGTAGCAGCCTCGTCGCCCTTGACGCAACCCTTGTCCGAGCCTTAGCCACGCTAGGAGCTGCCTCAAGCTAGCTTCGAGGCCCTACATACATAGTCTAGCACCACCTCCTCCAGCAACTAATTAGTTTCTTAGTTTAGGCGTTCAGCAGTTAGTCAGAAGAGCAGGCTTCGATACAAGATCAGAGTAATCCTACTAAGCCTCCTGAGTGCATGAAACGACAGGAACCCAAAATAAAGGGCCCATTGCGAGGGAATAGTAAACTTACGAGATGGCTATACGTTCTTTTTAGTTCCAATCGGACTCAAATTACTCATCCTTGCTAGATTTTCTTCCTTCATGTGTTGGGCGTTTTGCCATCGTGGCTAGGTACCAGACTTTTCCCGCAAACGGGAGTAGTTGTAAGATCTACGCAAGGTCCTTGATTATTCATGCAGTCGAGCCTCAGTCTGTGAGGTGTTTTCAAAGACAGTTGGATACCGAAGTCTCAAGACGTAGGTAGTTGCCTAGGATGGGAAAGAGTTGCCTAGACCCGCTCAAGCCACAATGTCGTCCATACACTAAATCACATCGGATGTGGGGATTCGACACTTTGTAACCTATGTGAATGTAGACTGTCGCCCTCCGTAAAAGATTCTTGCCACCTTTGGGCACCATTTCCATCTGATTGGCTCTATTAACTCTAATCAAGATCCTAGATTGGGAAATCGCAAAAAGAGTTTGGCCTAACACAATGTCAACACGGATGATATCATGCATACTAGGTCTCAGGATCCCACGATTCTCTGAAGCTGGAGAAAGATACTTCCCTTGCCGTTTTCAGTGTCTGAGAGCAACATCATCGGAAGAGAATATTGCGATTTAGCATAAGGAAGTACGAACGAGCAATAGAAGTTTGAGGGGCATTGTAACCTCCATGAGGGGTCAAACGAGGGATTGGGGTAATTGCTACCATGTAATCTTGCCTAGACCCAAATTATCCTTCGCATGACGATATGTTGAATAAAAATACAACGTTGGAGCCATAGATCGACTGAAACGGTACTTTCCGAGCGGTTAAACGATCGATAGATAACGTTAAATGAAGAGTCAGTGAGTCTGGAAGATTCAGCCTAAACTAACTAGACCCTGGGAGTCAACCTCCGCGGGGTTTATTTCACGGAGAGTATCAATGCTAGAACTTATGTGGCTGAGATGGATTACGATATAAAATCTTTAAGAGCTTCCATTAAATTGGCCTGATGGTAAAGGTCAAGTGATTACAAACCAATTGTCGCGATGAAGCACATGGCAACTCTCTTATTTCTCCTGGCGAGGTAATGTCCTTGCCAGGCAGCCATAGTGGAAGCTTCAGACCCGGGATTGCCTTCCAGCACAGAACTTTAGAGCAGAAATCACATATGATGCCTGCTACGTGGACAATGGCTCTCCAAGAACCCTCGGTGGTGCCAGTGTTAAGCTAGCAATAACTCACCGTAGGCCTGTGCCGACCTCTGTGGCTGATTTGGCATGCAGGGGTAGAATATGGACGGTATAATCTGACCGAAACTCGTACTAAACCAAACTCAGTATTTGCTAACTCTGGGGGAAAAAAGGGAATGTTATTGTGGAAATGAGATCAGAAATGAGAAGGCGATAGAACCCTCTTGTGGAACCAAATGTCCCGGAGATGGGAACCAAATATGTGGCGGCACCTACTTGTACGTTGGACACAAAACTTGAATCTACATGAAGCTGACTTTTGCTTTCTCTTTACTGCATAGTGTAAGCATTTGGAACGTCGAAAATCCCCTTGAACCAGGAGAATATCCAATACATTTCCCCGACTGTAACCGTGAGCCGCTCTGTTCCAACGCTGTTTGCGACTCGTCTCTCTCGCCAAAAGAAAGAGCTACCGCTCTTCTGTCGCTGTGGACTATCGAGGAGAAGATTACGAACCTCGTTGAAGATGCATCCGGGGTTCCAAGATTGGGGATCAAGCCATATCAATGGTGGGCCGAAGGCCTTCACGGTTTAGCAAGCCGAGGGGTGACGGTCGATAGCCCTTCATCTGGAGAGTGGTACTGCGCAGCTTCATTTCCACAACCTATCTTAGTGGGAGCTGCTTTTGACGACGAACTCGTGACTGCCATGGCTGATGTCATTGGCACTGAGACACGAGCATATAACGCCGATGGACGTGTCGGTCTGGATCTCTATGTGAGTTGCGGATGACTATTCAATCGAAAAATCCTCTCTAATCTGAGTTGTACAGACCCCCAACATCAACTCGTTCAAAGACCCATGCTGGGGTCGTGGGTAAGAGACTCCTGGTGAAGACCCATTTCATCTCCAAAGCTACACGAAATCGCTCATAGCTGGCCTCGAGAGGAAGGTTGGGGGCTACAAGGTTATCACTACCTGCAAACACTATGCTGGGAATGATTTTGAATCGTTGGGCAGTGTTACGCGCCATAATTTCGACGCACAAATTAGTATGCAGGATCTGAATGAGTTCTATCTTGCGCCGTTTCGAGTTTGCGCCGAACGCGATGCAGGCGCTTTCATGTGCAGTTACAATTCTGTGAACGGCGCTCCTGCTTGTGCGAACAGCTACCTGATGCAGATATTCTTCGCCAGCATTGGGGCTGGGAGAAGGAAGAGCATTATATTTCTTCCGACTGTGGCGCAATTTCGGACATCTGGGAAAATCACAAGTATTCCAAGACAGCAGGTGAAGCTGCTGTTACTGCTTTGCGAGCAGGGACCGATCTCGAGTGCGAGTTTGGTAATACAGACCTACTGAGGGATGGGTGGAGCAATAACTTGCTTACAGAAGAAGATATGGATAATGCACTGACTCGGATGTGGTCAGCCCTCATCTCAGTTGGTTGGTTTGATCCTCCTAAAGGGCAAGAGTTGCGGAAGCTTTCATTCAAGGACGTCAACACAGAGTAGTCACAGAAGCTAGCATATGACGCCGCTGTGGCAGGGGCCGTCCTCCTCAAAAATGAAGATCATCACCTGCCCCTTGAGAAAAGAGGCAAGATAGTGCTCATTGGTCCATGGGTTAACGCCACGGAGCAGATCCAAGGCAACTACTTTGGCCCCCCTCCATATCTCATCTCTCCCCGCCAGGCCGCTGAAGATATTGGCCTCGACTTCACATGGGCAGTTGGCTCGGCCATTAATGGCCCTGATCCCTCTTTTGATGACGCGGTTGAGGTGGCAAAACAGCCGATCAAGTTCTCTTCCTCGGTGGTCTTGATAACACCATCGAAGCTGAGTCTAAGGATCGCCTTAATATTACTTGGCCAGAGGCCCAGCTCAGTCTCATCGGAGAGCTATCTAGCCTTGGGAAACCCATCACCGTTGTCTAATTTGGAGGTGGTCATTTAGACGACAATAAGCTCTTCGAAAACGAGGCAATCAAATCGGTTCTTTGGTGTGGATATCCAGGGCAGTCAGGCGGCAAAGCTGTTATTGATCTATTATTTGGCCTTGCTGCACCGGCAGGTCGTCTTCCAGTCACACAATACCCCGCTGTATATGTTGACGAAGTCCCGCCCACTGATATGACTCTGCGTCCTGGCCAGAACGGAACAAACCATGGGCGAACGCACATGTGGTACTCCGGAGAGGCGGTTGTACCATTCAGTTTCGGCGTCCACTACACTAGCTTCAAGGTGTCGTTCGGTGGGGATTTTGGGTGGCAAGGTGAATTCAATGCTGGTGATATTTCCAACGTAGGAATCCTCGCTGAAAGCACACCATGGATGGATTTGATCAATAAACCTGTGCTGAAGGTGCCGATTACCTGTTGAGAATACTGGAAAACGTGAATCTGATTATGTGGCTCTTGTATTTCTTCGGTCCAAGGCTGGCCCGGAACCATGGCCCAACCAAACTCTAGTTGGCTATACGCGCGTCAGGAGCATCAAGGCCTATGAGACAAAAACAGTTGAAGTGGTCTTGCAACTAGAGAGATTTTTGCGCGTCGATGAAGACGGAAACCGTGTACTCTACCCCGGTGAATACGAGCTCTTCATCGATGTTGACGAAAGGGCGACTCGGATTGTGGAATGGGTTGGAGAGCCGGTGGTCGTGGAGAAGTTTCCACATCCTACTTAGTTGATAGACGAGGTCTGTTAGGATGTACCTTGACAGCCTTACATGAATAAGTCTCTTAAGAATGCTAAACGCCATGATAAGAAACTGACAACTTATTCTATGATATTTGGCTATATTATGTTTATCGTTTATCACTAGGTAGGTAGGTTGATTATTTGGATATTATGTTGAAATCTAATACCGGAGGTTCTGGGTGTGCCATGTTTTATGTCAGTCACTTGCCCACTACTCATTGAACTTGTTAATCCCGACCTATGTCCAGTATCAGCAGATTCTTCTCCCCAATCTGCCCTAGTACGCCCGTTGTTCGCCCTAAAGCCGGAATTGATATTCTCCACCAATAGGCTTGTTCCGGATGCTGACAGTAAGGAGACAGAATGCTCCATCATGATGTCGTAACAGCATTGGTGTCTGTCGAAAACCAGCTGACCATTCAGCTAGCCAACTGGGCCTGTAGATCTCGGACTCTATATGGCTTAAAACCAATTATCCCAGCTCCCCGACTGCGAACTCGCGTTGGCCATCGGGGTAACCTCCGGTCTACCCCGGTTATGGCCTGCGGGGAAATGTATCTCTCTCCAGGTCAATCCTGCGGGGAGAGACTGCCGAACACTGACCGCTCTCTTTCGCTTGATTGCCGAATAAATGCACTCTCAAGTCTTCTACTGATTCTACCTTGGTTTGTTCACGTAAACAAGACTTTGGACTCTTTGATCCAATCGCAATGGCTTCGAAGATTATTGATCAAGGCTCACCCCCTGGCTCTCCTCGCAAGAGCACAGAGAGCGTCGCGCAAGACGAGTACGCTGAACCAGTTCAGGTCAATGGGATCCGACAGAACCACCATGAGATCTACGAAGAAGCCCTACGACGATATCCAAACGATGATGCTATTGACTCGGAAGCAGAAAGAAAGTTAGTCCGCAAACTGGACATGCGCATTCTCCCTCTCTTAGGCATCTGCTACTTCTTCTATTACGTTGATAAGACGACATTGTATGTTCTTCCTTTTCGATTGAGGCTTATTACAACAACGAGCAGTCCAGTTGACACATTATAGATCATATGCAGCCATTTTCGGCCTGAAGGAGGGACTTAACCTACAGGGACAAGAGTATTCGTGGTTGTCAAGCTGCTTCTATTTCGGTTGGCTCGTCTGGGCCATTCCATCCAACCTGCTGATGCAGCGCAGCCCGCCAGCATGGTATCTGTCATTTAATATCTTCATGTGGGGGGCACTCCTCATGGCCCAGGCTGGTGCGCACAATTTCGCTGGGCTGCTGGCACTTCGGATCCTATCTGGTGCTTTCGAAGCCATTGCCGACCCCGCCTTCATGCTGATTACTACAATGTTCTTTACCCGGGAAGAACAGCCATCTCGTATTTCCGCATGGTATGCGTGGAACGGTATCGGCGTCGCCGGTGGAGGGTTGATTGGTACGTTGAAGCACATCAAAACGAACATGTTGGTGAGCTAACATGTTTGTGTACAGGATATGCAATCGGACACATCCAGGGCGCTCTCGCCTCCTGGCGTTATGAGTTCATTATTGTGGGCGCATTTTGCTCCTTCTGGGCGATCGTCCTCGTACTGATGCTTCCAAACTCGCCCACCACGATCTGGGGATTTACCAAGGAAGAGAAGCTCATCATGATTGCTCGCCTTCGAAGGAACCAAACTGGTGTTGAGCAAGGAAAAATCAACTGGAAGCAGATCCGAGAGGCCTATTGCGACTACAAGACCTGGCTCTTCACACTCCTTGGCTTCGTTGCCAACATCCCTAATGGCGGGATCTCCAACTTCTCAACTCTTGTTATCAAAGGACTCGGCTTCAACACGCTAAATACGGCCCTTCTTGGCATCCCGCAAGGTGTAATTGTCGTCATCTGGATCGGCCTTGGCGCCTTGGCGAACAAGTACATGCCTAAGAACAGCCGCACTTTAGTGTGTGCAATGTTCATGATCCCGACCATCGCTGGGGCTTTGGGGTTCTTGCTTGCGCCTAACAATGCTTATGTTGGGCGTCTCATCTGCTTGTACGTGCAAGACGGTCCATTTATCTCGGCAAGGCTAACATAAACACATTTAGCTACCTCACCGGATCATACCAGGCCTCTTTTGTTATTTCCCTATCGTTGATTACGTCCAATACTGGCGGACAATCTAAGAAAATGATCGTTTCCGGGATGATATGGTTTGGTGCATGCATCGGAAATATCGTTAGCCCGTAAGTGCAAGTCCTTGCCTCATTGTGCTATCAGATCCTTCTAACACGGCCAAGTTTCTTCTATCTTACCGAGCAAGCCCCCACATACCGTCTCGGAATTGGCTCCTTACTCGTGGCTAATGTCGTTGAACTCGCTCTCTTCTTCGTCTTCCGTTATGCTTTCAAATGGGAGAACAGGCGCAAAGAGAAGAAACGCGCGGAACTACGAGCGGAAGGCATCTCTACAGAGTCATTGAACGCCACGGCTTTCACCGACATGACAGACAAGGAGAACCCAAACTTTGAATATGTCTACTAGCCGAATGTTAGAGTTCGAGTAGATGTCTTTTACAACCTTGGGGCACCACACGCGAGTTAAGCCTGGGGCAGGATGCAGGGCAATATCCACATTTAGACTGAGTGTCGAATTATTTATACATAAGAGTCAACTAAGCCATATTTTCTCTTTTACCGAGATAGACTTGAAACTCAGGTATGAGGGTCTTGTTAGTTTGCCCACTTCATGTCGGCAAAATACCCAATCTAAACTAAAAACTCCTACCCGCTCATAGTGATTATTGATTCTCTCTAGAATCATAGCCTTGCTAGAACACATCATCCTGTTGACACCCATAATCTCTTCTGTGAACGAATGGATGGCTATATATGAGTCTTGGGTCTCGGCGAAATTTGCCCGCTGGCTATCGTGCCCTTCGAGTTGAGAGAAAATGATACCACCTGAGACCGTATCGATCTTGACGAAGAATCCGTCGTTCGGTGGCTTGGCGTGGGACGCCGCCATTCCTTTCATCGAACTTCTCTCCTCCTGGGAAAATTCGATTTTGACAATCTCTAGGGGAATCACATGTGCCTCAAGGAGTAAGTTCGAGGAGAACACATCTTGGAGAATGTGTTTTCCAGGCCGTAAAGGGAGCTGTTCTATGGAATAACACTGGTTATTGTGCTTCTCCGAAAACCACACATGGGCATCCAAAAAAATGCCCTGGTTCACCACATTCCCCAGTGAGATGTGATCTTTAACCTTCCCACGCCATCCGGTCCACGACCAGCTAGGAAATCCCTTTTTTCGCGTAAAGCCGTGAGGGTAGGCAGGAGAGGGCTCCCAGAGAAGATTAATGATGAACCGAGTGGACCTCGAGCGCGTCGTGCTTTCAGGCAGCAAAGCGAGGTCCGTTCGTCTGAAAAAGTCCCCATCACTGCAAATTATTGGGATGCCCCAGAAATTGTGAATAGGGTTCCTAGCCCTTGTGAACGTATTTAAAACGCCTTGGATAGCATCCAGTGTATCTCTTGCATACGTGAGCTCCCGTTTTGAAAAGTCAGACACATATTTCATATATTCTTGGGGATTTGTGCCTGGAGTTTTGGCTCCAAAGGCGCCGAGTCTGTAGGCATCCATGTCAAACATTTCCTTCGTTTTTTTGTGCATCCGACTGAGGTCAAAGGAGACCGCCTCGCAACAATGCATCCCGTTGCATTCAAAGAGAACCTGGCTGTCGGTGAATATGAGACGCTTCCTGCTTAGAATTCCTTCTTGGTATGTCCAACCACGGGTGTTCCATTTGGAATTCTGGACCAGATGCCTCCCAATCGGCAAAGTCGAGATCAAGGTTGTGCCATCTGGAATCGTGATCCACCTCTGCGGGTTTCTAAACGTTCCGTTTGCCCCAGGCAGCCCACGTTCCGGGCCGTATCCAGCAGCTGCGATGATTGTCAAGGTGGATCTGGCATATATGAGATCCATCTGATTAATCTGGTGGCGTTGTTTTTTCCTGTCGGTCTGGTCTATGCACAGCCTATCAACCCAAAGGTACCGCATTCCCATCATCAAGGTAACAGCGATGCTGTCCTCAATGACCTTTTCGAACCTAGCCTTGGGCGGTTGCCGTTTCACTGATTGGGGTGTTGAACATCCCCATACGTAAGACAACGATACGTATTGACATCCAAGAGGGGCAAAGATAACTTGCCGAGTGCGGCAATCAAGAACATGAAGACCAGGAGGGTCAACAGCCATCGGGTCATGGCATCGCGTCGAGTGATTATCCTCGCAGTATGATATCCAACTCTTTACCAAGCCGACGTCAAAATTTCTGGAGTTCACTTTTTGGACTTTGCTAATCATTGGTACGTCCTCTGTGGATGGCTCCAAGCTCAGGTACCCAGTCTCCTCCATAGCCAGACGAATTTTTGCCATGTCTCCTCCATGGATAGCCGTAGAGCCCCAGTTAGAGGGCACAACACCTAACAGGTTTTTCCTTGCTGGCTCACGGGCCGAGCCCGTAAAGACCCAATTCGTGTTAAAAACTCGCAGGTCGAAATCCTCGAATGCCAGTCCGGCTGGCGCACTGCGCGGTGCAAAAGTGGCGAAAAAGCGGCATAACCGACAATTGGAGGCTTTGAGTGCCTCAATTGAGCCGAGGTGCCTTACAAAAGCACTCTGGGAATAATTCAACTTGGAGAGACGTTTGAAGTCGGTCTCAGCACACTGGATGCATAAGTCTCCGTTTTCTGTGGCATTGATCATTTTGGCTTCGCCGACAGAAATGACTCGACTCTCCCCATTTGTGCACAGCTTCTGCACCTTTTTGGTTTTATCGAATTTCCAGCATGGGATTCTGACAATGACGTAGGGAGCCAACATGGGAATCATGCCATGCGGGGGTTAAGAAAGCGGGAATATTTGGCTAATCATGCACTGCCCCGTCAGACTGGCGTTGCATCGCCAAGGGCTGAATCTGGCCCTGTCCAGTGACGTCGTTTTGCCAGACTCGCAGGCTGACTCTATTGGAATCTTCCATTTTTCTCTATCGTCGGTTTATCTGGGGAAAAAAAAGGTCTCTTGAATGGCACGGCAAGGTTGATCTCTGTCTTGCTAAATCATCAGCATTACCCGAACGAAACAAGCTATCACGTACATAAGACTACTTTCCAAGTAAGATAGCCATGTTGTCCCAGAACCAGTTGACAAAGGCGCAGGAATAAGTTAATCATACGAGCTTGCAGATCTCTTGGTGCAGTATTTTCCCCTTGGGTTCCATAATTCTCATCTCAATCTGTCTCTGACAATATTCCATTCTTAACTTAAGAATATTCCTACCTACTTCACGGTTTTTAAGCTCATTGGGGACGTTAGATTAAGAGGAGGCGAAGAACATCGGATAAGGTGACTTGATTGTAGATCGTTTCATTCATTTACCAGCCTTCCTAACGTACCATGTATAAAATATTCAGATTGAAATGCCCTCTCTATTCCTACAGCTTCGCGCGGGGGATGTTCGCCAGCTCTTGGCCGGCACTACTGCGCCAAGCACCAGTTGACTTGGCCTTGGTTTCCTTCCATTGCCACTTAGGCTGAGACTGGACTCCCTTGTCCAGAAGATCCTTCACGAAACCTCCAAAGATGGGCAGCATCTTGAATCCGTGCCCCGAGTCGCCAGACAAGACAACCAGTGAGGAGTTGGTGCCCGGGACAAAGTCGACAATATAATCAGAGTCATCTGTATCAGCGAACCAGCAAAGATGTTGGTCAATCAACGGCCGGTCAGCAAACTGGGGAAGAACCTCTCGTAGTAGTCTTCTGATATAGATCTCGTCCTCCTCGGGAACGAATTGAGAGTCCTCCAACTTAGAATAAGGGAGGGAGAAGCCGTCGGCAGATCCAGCGTAGTTTGTGTAGCCACCGCCCATGTGGCAGAACTTGAGTTTGTTGGTAGTCCTGTCGGGTTCGAAGAAGAAGGCGAGATCGCGCACATTTGTGACGGGGATGCCTCTCAGGGACTCCGCCTCCTCGGGAGTGAGTTGGATGTGCACAACACCCCAGCATCGACCAGCGACCTGCTTGCCCAATCGGGGCACTAAATTACAGACGTCGGCACCCAGCGCCAGGATAGTCTTGTCGGCGAGATGGATGTGGCCGCCCTTGGTCTTGGCTCCAATGCAGGAGGTGCCACCCCGCGAGGAGGAGTAGATGAGGGATTCAGCCTCACCGCGCTGGGGCCCAGTCTCGAACTTGACGCCCAGCTTGACGCAATCCTCGTAGACGGCACGGAGGGCGTTGGCAGAGTGGCCGTAGCCTGCAAGCTTGTTGAAGTAGCCTGTCCAGCCCTCAACGGGGCCAGAGAAGGCAGGGATGAGCTTTTTGATCTCTGCCTCACCATTTACCCTCTGGACTAAACCGTTAAATGCGGGATTCGATTCAATGGAGGAGATGTAGCTGGAAACCACGCGCTTAGTGGACTCTGGGGCGGCTTTTGATGTGACGTTGAGAAAGCCGGTCTCGTGGTAGTAAGGCTTGTAGAAGGGGTCTGATTGCCATTTCCGGATGGCATCCTGGAGGGGGTAGGGTTAGAAACACTGGATAACTCGGGCTGGGAATTGGGGCCAAGATCCTGTGATCTGCATACCAGGCTTAGGTCGGTGTAGAAAGGGTCGGCGTACTCAGCGCGAATGACCTTGTTCAAGTCATAGGCAGCGGAGAAGCTACTGGGGACGGACTGGCCCTTCTCCAGCACTGTGATGTTCTTGTGGCCGTTGGAGGCGAGATGGTGGGCGGTGGCCAGGCCAAAGCAGCCTGCGCCAAGAATCAAGACGGACTCTGAGCTCATGGTTCTGGAGTGTGTAGTCGTCGAACTTGGCGACAAGACACAGGGTGTGTATATGAAATCGACGACGAATGGATGGAACAATCTTTCAGCTTGTAACCCCGTGGGGAAGGGCTAGAGGCCATTATATCTGCTGAGCAGACTAGAGGGATTGATCCCGATATGAGGCCACTCGATGTCGGATGGGCAGCCGACGGGAGACTGGTTCGGCGCCGAGAGTGGCCACCGATGGCTTAGATGAAGCCACTGATGGAGTTTGTTCGTGCTGCGGCAAGCTCAAGCGCCTCCGAGATCGCAGAAAGACGCAGCTGGAGATCGCGAGGAAACAATTATAGCGGGCGCACTGCCCTGTAACAGCGGCTCGACACCCCACAAAGCGCTGGATCTCAGTGACGAACGGCCGATCTGCAGCTTGATTGGCTGTCGCCTGGACCTTCCATTTAGATAACCATCCATATTGGGCTAGCGTAGGGAGATAACGTGATAAGATAACCCATTCTGAGATCTTGTTTCCTCCAACCCCTTGAACCTTATGGGCCATCCCGGTGATGGCTTTCTTAGACAGTGCTTTACAGAAAACGCCGGTGTACGATACTAGGACCAATCTCATTGTAGTCCGCTGCCAGGATGCACATGCCCTGGAACGTTGACAGGGACGACAGCATTGCACCTCCGATCCACGCCGAATGCTTCCTTTCCGCTGGGGCATGAACGCCGACTCTCGCTGGTGAAGGGACCAGTCTTGTCATCTCAGCCTGCATCCGGCTCTCAATTCCAGGAAACATGCTTGACCCACCCGCCTAGACTCTGGATGTCAGCAGATATCCCGGTCTTTGGAAAGTACGACTTACCAGGACGATGTTTCCATAGAGAATGTCCTTGATGGACACGTCGGACTTTGCTATCGAGGCAGCAGCAAGGTGCTGGATTCCAGCCTCCCCATTGAGTCCCATCAGATGGGGCTGGAAGAGAACTTCAGGTGCAAGTAACCTTTCTTTCCCAACCGTGATGGCTTTTCCATCCGCCAGCGTGTAACTTGTTGCTGTCGGTAGATTGTGGCCTTCCTGAAACGCCCGAGCTTCTCCTTCGAAGTCTTGCGCAACATAACAATACTCTTCCTTGAGATTTGCAGCTAAAGTACGTTCCCGCCTTGTCTCCAAACCATGACCGCTGTCCTGCAGGGTTTGGATGAAATAGCCCGTTACTTGTTGGCCACCTATATCCAAGCGCTGAATTCCGTGGCGGAGCACGAGGCCTTCATAGATAGGGATGACACGTGTAGAATATAAGCCAGAGTCAACCACCAGGCCAGTATTTCGACCGGATGCATACAATGCAAGAGATTCCTGTGTGGAAAGATTCAGTGCTCCAATGTTGAAATACTCGAACAATGTAATAACTGCTCTCTCTCTACTGCCCTTCGAGTTCAGCGCGGGCTCGGTTAGAAGAATAGAGGAGCCCTCTGTGTCGCATTTGAGCTTCTTGTAGAACAAATGTTTCCAGAGCAACTCCATATCATCCGCGTTGGTAATAATACCATTATCAACTGGATTCCGGGGCGATGAGAATCCAATCCGTGACTCGTCTACTTCCTCGCCGGCATACCAATCAATCTGGCCCTGAGCAATGAAGGCACTGAGGAATAAGGAGGTCAGTTGAGGCTTATGAGTATATTGGGCTATCAATATATTGATGGATGAGAGCGGAGCTAAATGCTCTAACTCTACGCAAAAGGGGAATGAATTGCCAACCTCGTGTCACGTCTTCTGGAAATCAATGAGGCTGTTCAAGGGTCAACATGGAATGCGTTCTGACCATCCGAGATAACTTACGAAAGACAGCAGACGGCGTCTTTTCGCCCGAAAGTCCTCCTCTAATGGTGTGGGATCTTTCAAGAACAGGTGGTGAGCAATGAAGCCAAACGGAAGGGGATTACACTGGAGCCCATTCGCAAAACACTTGTTAACACATCTGGCTCAGCAAGAGAGGACATACCCATTGTCAATCACGATCGCTCTAGGATAGCCTAAAGGCAAATCATTATCTGTCGGCTTGGCTCAATAAACTTGTAGGAGAAGGTTCCAAACCCTTACCCTGCATAGTTAATATGTTTCAAAAGGTTTAATTTTTTGCTCTCTTTTCGAGTAGGAACGAAGAGATTGAGGAAAGATCCCTCAGTGCTTGGTGTACGTATGCGTCCGGATGGTTTGAGGAGACAGTGCGGGGAAGACCTGGAACCCTAGAATTTAGGCATCAGCATATCAATAGAAGGTAAACCCAGCAGCCAACTTCCATAAGTTTATTCAAAAGGCCCGCATTCATGTCACAGAGAGGCAGGCACTTCTCTCAATTGTGTACTTGTTTATTGTTTTAGGGTTTTATCATCGCTCTCACTGAGTCACCTCGTTTAACCTCAGTGCCTAAGCTGGCTTAGGCATACCATCTCATAAATTAATTTTGATGCTGACGTGAAGAATGAACCCTATTGAGGATCAACTACATTGACATTGCATCAAAAGGTTTCTGATGTCGTTCCTGCTCATTGGGCAATGAATCAAAGTTTCATAACAAAGCATGTGCTTGCCCATTGTTTATCAGAGGTTGCCAGGAAGCAGTTCTACTTGAGCGCGACGCGAAGCTGGATCAACTTCATTTTGTTTCCCTTCACACCAAACTACCTCTTACCAATCAATATCTTCTTTTGTGTCGGAGCGACATCCTGTCAACTTGTTTACTTCCACATCCTTCAGAAAGGAATTCAAAGCGATATTTCTGCGATACAAGGTCCAGACTGCGTATAGCGTTGGACACTCTTCAAAATCCCAGCACTCTTACGTCCCAATCAGCTCCTATCATTTCGATCAGACGGCGGGCCCTTTGGCGGACAAGATGCAAGAACTTGACGCATTCAAGCAAGGGATCATCGAACTCCAGGAGGTCGTTGATGAGGCTCGTACCGAGATCCACCGTTTGGTTGAAAAGTCCGACGTGAACAGAGAATTCCTGTCAAGGCTTTCCGATGCTGGGAAGCTTACCAGTCACTTCGCCGACCGGAGAAATCAAGGGACTGTTGCGGACATGGAACGAAGTGAACGAAAGCTGTTCATGGAGCTTACCGTTCTCGTAGCCAACAACAGAGCCACGGTTGACAGGGTTGCGAACAACATACGAGAACGGCTTCCAAAGATGGAGGCGGAGCTAGAAGAGTTAAAGGCAGAGTACAAAAGAGAACAAGGGGAGCACAATTTTTTCTCTAGATTTATCCCAGAGCAACAAGTCGATGCAGGAGAGAATGTCCCAGAGCAACAAGTCAATACAGAACAGGAGGGCCCGAGGGAGGATCTATCACGAGAAGATGGGGAATCCCGAGAGGTTGACAACCCCAATGAAGATCTCCCATGAGAAGATGGGGAATCCCGGAAGGTTGACAGCCCCGATGGTGCTGGAGATATTTTGTAGTCAAAGGAATATTGTCTAGGGAGATTACAGCGTATAGCGAAATAATAGCCAAAAACTGTCTCGTTTACATTAGAGCTTTGGATGCCACTCCACCAGCGAGAGTTGACATATGAATTAGCTGAGCAGCCCAGCATCTACTCGGAAACTTTTTTGGGACAAATATCTCAGAACAATTCGATGTTGACAGTCCTTATCTTATGATCTCGCCTGGCTTGGGGTATCTATCAAGGCCATGGGTCGCTGGGCCAGAGATGCATAATCATCGCATTGGCTCGCTTAACCCTAGCACATGCCGCAAGACACAAGGGCTCAGGAACCGCCTAACCCTTGTAAAGGCTACGATGCATACATGTAACAAGTCATAAGGGAATCTGAAGATCGGTCTCTATCCGTCTTCTCAGAAAAGACCCACCATATGCGAGACGAAAGAAGCGATGCAGATCAGGGGATGCTCACACAGTTCATCTAAGACCTCACAAGGCTAGCGGAACATGTTTTCAGAATCATCTGTCAAGATGTGTGTTCGTTTTAAAATACAATATCAAGGACTCCATTGATTTTCGCTTGGAGCGCTATCAACACCATTTCTTATCGTGAGAATGCAGTGTTGACCCAGTAACTCCCTTAAAACCAATAGACCGAGCTGATGTCCAAATCCCAAATCAAAAATATAAACAAGAGAATGCAGGCTATGCAGTTGTATGTATGCTTTAAACCGAAAACAAAAGAAGACTCATATCCCTGCTTCTTGTCGTGATGCCACCCGAGCAAGCGTTAGGTGTTGAAGCTCCTCGCAACTTTGTCGTTTAGCTCTTGCTCTTCTTTTGCTGACAAGGGAGCTTCCACGGGCACATTGCGGCCTGTCGCAGCCATGCTGAAGCTACGCAGCGCGGTGCCTGATGTGGTCTGAGATCCGTAAACATAAAGGGCCGCAGCTATTCGAGCGCAGGGAAGTTAGCATGCTATGCTTTCACGATGCTCCAGATACAATATCTCATGTGGACTGACCTCCTGCGGTTGTGGCAACGAGAGCCCAGGGGACGGCTTTCGCGATCCTCGCTTGCCTGGAGATGGCGGGCATTGGTCGCTGGACCTGGAATGGGAGAGGTCCGCCGAATGAGTTGGTCGTCATGATTGGTGGTAGTGCTAGTTTCTTCGGTTCTAAACGAAGATGCGTGTGCAGATGGCTTGAGATGTGAAGTGTACGAGTTGATGCTGGATGTCAGGACACGGAAAATAAAATCAGGTGCCAAAACCTGAATGTTAAATACAGAGCGACGAGGATTGGCTTCGGATGGCTTCGGATTGTCAACATCTCGTAGATTGCGTATCTATTCTGAGTATCTAGGGGTCAGTTCCCCAGCCATGTCAGGTCATGTAGACCGCCATGGACTGGTGGCAAGGTGGGATCTGATGGTTTCGCTGACCCTTGTGGCGTGATGAGCTGATGTTGCTCCCGCAGTGACGTGGGAAAATGTAGGTGACGGTCGCAGGTTCCTTGCTCAGGGGTCAGGGGGACAGGAGGGCCGCCAAAGTCATGCACTCAGAGGCCGTTACAACCCAATACAGCGGGCTGGCACACCCCGGTTCTGTCCATAGCATTGAGTAGCATTACCAATCTCTGGCCATCTACCATCCCTACGAGTTTAGGCAGCTCAGCCAATGTCGAGGCGCCCGTTGCCCAAACCACCCGCAGGAAAATCTCGGAATACCACCAAAGCCCCATCCGACATATCCCGACCACTCAGACGCAAACTTACGAGATATCACTACTACTATCCATAATTTCACCGCGTTGGCTGGGCTATGCAAAACAGAGTGAAACCATGCTGAACAGGAAACGGGCGGAACAAGAAGCCCGACATGGTCCTTTTGCGGCTCGTGCCGATTCTGACAGACCATTTGTTAGCGAAAACAGATCGAGTTGGCGCCAGCTGTTGATCAAAGTGCCACACATCTTGATTGTTGCAAAGCCCCGAGAGTCCGATGGCACCTTCGAAGAGAAAGATTCGCTTTCCCAACCCTCCCAAGTGATACATTTCTCTTGCGCACTCTCCTCGCTACAAGAAATTTCGAATGAAATCGGCAGTCAGTCCGAGATGATATCATGTCATAATCATCGCGGTCTTTTTTCGAGACAGAATTGCTCTCCCCGCTCGATGACACCCCTCCTCTTGATGTTTAGTTCTTCCCACCCAGTCGTAGCGGCTTCTGGAGGTTTCATTCTGCACCTGGGTTTCATTGGCCGCCTTGACTCTAATTCTAACAACGCGTGCCACTGAGATATTCCAGCGTCGCACGATTAATCTCGCCATAACATTGAGCTAGAAAGAATTCAAGCAAGTAAATTACTCGATACATTTTGGATAGGTAGCTTTCTTTGGACCCATTATAGAACGCTGCGTAAAGTCCCGGCCCAGAGATACGTTTCATCAACATCTCCTCACGCCAAGGCGCTGATGATCCATGTCGATCCATAGACAAGCAGTTGGTGAAGGCAAATTTTTCAAAGTGCATATCGGACACGGAGGCATCATAACCCTACAATAAGAGTCTTGTAAGCTGACAGTCCATATCGGCCAATGTCTTGGTTGCGTTTTACTTTTTTTTCTTTCTCTTTCAGCTCTTTCCCTCTGCTCAACAGGTGAGCGATGGTAAGTGAGAGTGATTTAGGGGACAATGGGACGGGATTGAACCCCTTTTTTCTCTCAATGCATTATATGATAGCATGGGAAAAGGGGTGCGACGATATCTTTATCATCTGAGAAAACCTCGCTCCAGACACATATGACATCTACCTGTATTTATGCAAGTTATAGCGATCGTACGTGTTTCTTAAATGTTTGAATTTTGGTCTGGATTTACTTGAAAAACAATTCTAGTGGTTTGAAGAGCCTTTGGCGTGCAAAACGAGGAATGCCATAGGGTAGGTAGCTCCAGTGGGGCGCTAATTGAATCTTCTGTGCAAAGCTTCTAGGCGATGGATATTAAGAATCCATTATTGGAAGTATTATTTTTTAACAGGGGAGGCATTTAGAAGATCCGAATTTGATGAACGTATCAGTCTAGTCTGAAAACGATGTTTTGCTTCCGACCAGATTGGCGGAACTACATGTGCCTGCTTAGAGCTTGTCACATGACAGCTATTGAACATAAGGGAGTGGGTTGCGGCTAATTAGGGCAGGAAATCCACAGTGTATTTATGCGAATACTCTGGAAAAATCAATTTCTTTTCAGTCTTCGAGATGAATCTCAGGGCCGGACTAGACGAACTTTATTCTAAGTGAGAATATATTTTGCAGGTCTCTGAGTTGATCGATTGACCAGGATATATGAATGCTCTTGTTGGACTAGTGCCATAATCTCATCCAGGGGTTCTAATCACGTGCCAATAGTTTCGGCTTCGTTTCCGACCAGCGCAAACTTCCACAACGGCCGTGCGTCCGATCATCTCCTGACTCTTATCGTGTGTGTGGCTGTCGGATTGAGCCAGAACATCAAAGCCGCCCGTGCCCCCCTTCAACATGTCGAATCTCGGCACAAAGATACACGAGAAAATGAGTAATAGGGATACCTTCACTCTTTTCCCCAAGCTTCCCCCGCAGCTTCGACGGTATGTATGGATCCAGGCATTGCCGAGCGACCTCAAGACAGCACCAACTTTTCTGTTTCCGTATAAGAAGGGCTGCTGGCATCATGAGCGTGTCATAGAATTTGATGACAACGACAATCACGATCATCGCCACCGCCCCGTCCGCAGGTATGAGTTCCGCACCGAACTTCTCGGTACGGCCCAGTTCAAGACCAGCATCGCATTAATCAACCGTGAGTCCCGAGAGGTTGCGCAGACTTGGGTTCGACAACAGAGGGTTCCGCAAGCAGCAGCATGGGGTACGGCCTCCACAGCGATCTTCCATGCTTTTGACCCCAACCACGATGCCCTGTTCGTACCTCTGATTCAGTGGGACGAGCTTCTCGAAGAGTTGTACGAAGGATTTGCCAATACGCTGAGGGGCTGGGGGCACCTTGCTCATAGTGCCAACTCAAAGGTTAAGTACTTGGCTGTGACAGATGACTTGCTACTTTGTGAGTTTGATAACGTCCGTTGGCTGCGGGATATTCTCCGCCCTTTCCCCAAGGTAGAAGCTTTATTGGTTGTTGCCGGCCCCATAGACTACAGTGGCGAAGCAAAGCCGCCACAATACTATGACTTCAGCCAGGCACCAGAACTATGTAAGTACAAATGGAACAACGGATGTTGGGGGCTGGGCCGTGGGAGCGGACATGAAAACGGCGAGATACAAGATGGGTCTATCAAGCCCTTACTTGAACACATCAAGAATGCTTTTGACCTACACCCCCGCGTCGAACCGTTTATCGAGGTTTGGAGTGTCGTCGCCCAAAATATCCTCTAACAAATCGCGAGGCGTATTCTGATTTACATCCCCGTCAAGTTTTGGGCTTCGCCTGTCCTTCTCGCCGCTTGAAGGTTAAGGCGAGGCTTTATTGTGGCTGAAAATATGAAGCTAAATGAACAAGGTAGGCTTTTTATTCAAATACCAATGCGAGTGCCTTGTCATATGTTTGTATTGTGCGATTGTTGCTTGGAGCATAGCTTTATCTGTTGACGTTACGTATTCTGTGGGAATTGCCCAATTGACCTTTCTAATTTCGTTTGCAATTGAGCCCAAGTATTGCCCAATTTTTTTTGGTAGTTCAACTCTTGGCCTACGATTGTTGTAGGTTGTTGCCGAAACCTCGATCCAGTAATAGGTGGTGCTGGATAATATCTAGGAATCGGCCAGATAGTATGCATAAGAAATTCAATTCATACTACACTAGTGAACGAGATTATCCATAACTCGATAGGTCCTTGAACCCACATGCAAGTCTTGCACAACTGTTACTCAGGCAGCAGGGAATGGAAACACAGCAACTCCCCGGAAACCTTCCGGGCTCTTCGCTCGAATCCCGAAGACAACATTGTCCTTGCTCAAGTCCAATGTGGCTTGGTTAACTAAACCAACGTCCACAACATCTGTCCAAAATGGCGCAGCTGTTGCTCTCCAAACTATTTCGTAACTACCCACACCTTCCTCCCCGCCAGCAGGTGGATCCCAATAGAATGTGCTGTCATTCCCAAGAGTAGTTGTGTTCACTCTCACGTTCTGCGGCACGCCGGGCGAATTCGCCAAGCTCCACAAGATTGCGCCGTTGACTTTGCCGACCCGAGAGATGTACTCATAATCACAAAACTCGGGGAGGTCACCATATTGCTTCCCGTCTTGAACTCTGACATCCTGATGCTGGTGAGCAAAGTCCTCGTGTGGCTCCGTGAAGCGATTAGCAGCATAACCAGCCTCTAGGAAAGGCCGGTGGTCTCCACCTCTCAAATATCTGTCCAGTCGATGTATCACGTTCACATTCATATCAGTAGCGTCATTTTGGGCCACCTCTTTGGCGAATCGTGCGAGATTGCGAGCTGGTGTATCGCTCTCACCACCAACCTGGAGGCGCCTCTCCCGCACCGTGGAATTCTCAACATTGAGATTTGGCAAGCCTTGAGCAAACAGGCGGATAGTATGTGCGTCCACAGTGCCGTCGTCACCCTTGGGCGATCCCACGATGTCGTTGGTGAACATGCCCTCGACGTTAACACGTGGGGTGGAGTTGGCGTACGTCTGCGCAAGGTACTGCGCTCCTAAAAGACCCTGCTCCTCGCCAGCGACCGCCACAAAAGCGATTGTAGCTTTTGGCAGAGGATATCTGGGCTGGGACATGATTCGAGCGAGCTCAAGTGAGATGGCGACACCAGAGGCGTCATCGTCAGCTCCAGGGGCGTCACCCTCATAGTCCAGAGGATCGGAGTTTCTCGAATCATAGTGGCCTGAGACGACGTATAATCTTTCTGGCTTTTCTGTGCCATGGAGCTTTGCCACAACGTTGCTGATCCGAACTGGAAACAGTATCCGGTTGCCATCTGGTTGTTGAATGTACGAGACAATTTCAACAGTCAGTCGCCCTTCGCTGGCATCAGCAATTCGTTGGAATTCAGAGTAGAGCCAGTCTCGGGCAGCGCCAATGCCTCTGGTCGTACTATTTTGGGTTGAGAGTGTGTGCCTAGTTTCATAGGAAACAAGCTTCAAGATGGTTGCTTCAATGTTTGAAGGGTCAACCTCGGTAAGGATGGATTTAAGATCTTGGGAGGGCTTTTGGGGGACATTTTTCTCCCCGATTGTGTTGGGAGGCCATTGCGTAGCAGCACAGCTAAATAGGTGTTGTGATGATCGGATACCCAAGATCTCTGCAGGGTTACGCGACACAGAGAGCGCAGCAGCAGCAGCAATCGCCGCCCTAAGAATAACAAAAACAGCCCGCATATTTACAAAGGCTAGCAATGGTTCTAGTATTGAGCTGCTATTAAGCTGCTATTTGGTTACTTTTATGTGTTCTCTGCGGGGTTTACAAGGAGCACCTTACCGTTGCATTCTGACGCCATAGGTAACTGGTGAATTACCCGGTATCGGCAACGAAGCATATCAACTGCCAAATTAGGCAAGTGGTTATGGGAATTTTGTTCTCATCTCGGGCTAGTATTCTCTTCCATGAGTTTAACCCTGGTTGACAAGTCTTGGTAAAGCGGGGTCGACAGTACGATCAAGGGCATCATAGAGCTTCCGGATCATGTCAATGGTTCGCATGTTTGCGTTATATCCACCGCTCTATCTCTGGCCAATTGAGATGACCCATAGTTCAAGAAAGACATAGTTAACCCTGGCTCGATGCACGGAAACCCTTGACATCATATACACCCCTAATATAAGTGATGAGCTTCTCTATAAATCAACTGCTGTTGTAATTTGCTTGGCGACATAGGCATGACTTAGGCTCATCTTCTTCCCGCACTATTCAACACGGCACTTTGAAGGGGCTTGGCGTTTTGGAAATGTTAATTTTCTTCAAACACCTACTGCCCAAACGCCAAAGGAAGCGAGATACACGTGCTCATTGAGATTGGATCATTAAAGTCTACCTGACCGATAAGCAATAAAATATACCACCAGGAGGAGTTTGAGAGAAACCAATCAGACTCGTAGGGTAATGTATCCAATTTTTCAGATGCTGAGATAGCCAATGCGGTTCCGACAACCTCTATTGAGATCAAATGGTCTGGCCACTGATCCAGAAATTAGGACTTAGATGTCAGAGAACAAGCTCGATGGAAATTTTGTCAGGTTAGTCTAACCTGACATTGAGGCTCGTATCAAACTTTCGGGTTTGGTGGCTGGAACGAGCATTATTCATGTTATACATGGCTATCCTACATGGAGTGGCCATTGATGCGAGATCATGAGTTCTAGGTTTGTCTTTCTCTCGTTAAAGTGTATAAAGTATGGGTAGCTACATATTGTAAGTTGGTGGAAAAGGGAATAATCCCCGTGTATATACATGGTGTTTTGGAGCCACCGCCTGAGGTGTCCTTTGTCGGATTGAGTGACAAACATGATGGTAGGGTTAACATTTTACGTTACTGATGACCACTGGACGATATTTCCAAAAGTCACCTCGGCCGGTCTGGATGAAAGGCTGACACCCCATTCGGTTTAGTACTGCAACAGTACCCAACTAGAGAGAATAGAAACAAAATAAGTTAAAATCACGACAAAAACAAACATAAGCATATCCAAGTTAGCAATAGTCTACCGTGCCGGGATACATGGGAAGGGGAAGCACAGAAGACGCCACAGGGGCTTCATTGGCCACACTTAACCACCCGGCTCGTTCCAGACACCCCTGCAACTCCGAACTTGGACGGTCATAATGTTTTGCTTATGGAATATGGGAAGCTTCCAAAACCGCTTTTTGCGTTCTCATACAAACCTGCTCGCACTGTCGAGCCGTTAACGGACTGTTCGATTGCGAGGGGCAACGCTTGCAAGACGTATCTCCTAAATACAGAGTTTCAGAAGTACTATAGTAAAAACCTTAAATCATTGTGCTTCAATTGAGATTTGTGCTCCAAAAGTGAGCGTTAAACCAAGATATTTTTATTACTATGATTTAAAGCGGACTACCTTTAACTAAGGTAGATCTCTTAGAAAAACCCAGCACGCGAGCCCTCGAGAATGCCCTGGTAGAAGATGTTCGCCATCTTCTGGAACCCAGCATCATTGGGATGTGTGTCATCAGACATCTCGTTCGACTGAGGACCGTTGGAGCCATGCATGTCTACAAGGACAATCTTTCTCCCCTGGCTCCTCAGGGTATTGGCCAGGTTGGTAAATTGGGTGTTGACTTGCCGGACACGGCCATCGACGTCTGCATTGCGGTTGATCACCAAGGTGGAAAGAATGATAGTCGAGTCGGGAGTAATGGCCCAGAGGTAGTTGAAAAGGTCGTTCATGCGAGCACCCGCGTTTCCGATATCGTAGTTTTGCGAAGCATCGTTTGTGCCAAGGTTGATGAGGTAGAGATGGGGGCGATACTTGGGCACATCCACCACAGCCTTGTCGTGGTGAACTTGCTCGATGCGAAGGCCGGGGAAGCCCTCATTATCGGGGTCAACCATATTTCCGCCACGCTGGCTGCCGACCATGTCGATGGACCACCCATTCGACGCGAGGGTGTTGAGAAGGGGTCCACGGTAGCCGTTTCCGGTGCTGGAGCCTACACCGAAGGTGATGGAAGCACCAAGAGGCATGATATGAAAGACACCTCCTTGGGCTACAGTTGGTCAGTAAACACGTAGCACGTTGCCCGGAGGCCGAGAAAGTGAAGGGATTAATCACCATTAGCAAGTTGGGCAAGGCCCAGAGCAGCCAAGGAGCCAAGTGTTTTCAGAACTCCGACCATGATGTCAAACTTCGAGGCTTCGATTAGGTTGAGCGAGTAGAAAGATCGACGACGATTTACTTCAAGGAGAATAAAGTTGGGACGAAGACGACACACTCGCTGGCTTATATCTGCCGAGCTAGGCATGAATCTGCCGTGCCGCTGTCATATGCTGGCGGGTTTCGCCGGGGGGCACATAAGCTTACTTACTGGTAAGGGGAGGTGACGTTTCATCAGCCTCCTAAAAAAGCAACCTTGCCACGGAACTGGGACTCTAATTGACTAGCACGGAGCCCAGATATAGAAAGTAGTGAGGCTCGCATCGCTTTATGCCCCGCACGGCAGACACGGCACTCCATACTTCATTTCCGATTAATTTAACAGCCTTTTGGCCTTCCTCTTCCATTGCCGCCCTGCAGGCCGCGCGGTTAATGGGTCAGCTGGTTAACCGCGACTGCTGCAGAGGAACGTTGCTCCCAAAGTGTTATTCATTGCCTTATAAAAAGCGAAAGGCATGGAACGTAAGAGACGATGGATGTCTTCTTCAATGCTCTGCTCGGCTGTAATCGAAACTGGCAGATTAGTCGGGGATGACTTGGAATATTGCTACTTGGCGAGTCATGTCTGTCTGAATGTCGCGGATATCTTTAAAACCCTGACAAGTTAACATATTTATTAATGTAAACTGTCTGAAAAAGACCCATACTTGTATCGGGATTTAGAATTGGTAGTGTTAAGCTTCGAGACTTGGTTTGAGGCACTGCTTTCCATAATTGATACCACTTGGGATTACCGGGGGGGATGGTCATCTTGTAAGCCTCGGCTGGTCCGAGAGGGATTACGCAATAAAACTGGGCTTGCTGGGGATGGCTTGATGCTGGAAATGACAGCCTACGTGCTCAAATCGGTGCTGGGAGCTCACTTGATCCAGCCAGTGTTCTTGCATCTTGAGTGCTATACACCTTGGATGATGCATTCTAGCAGAAAGATACCAGGAAATAATAGAGTTCCGGTCTTTACCGCGGTCTAATGGCCCATATGAGCCCCGGGAACAATACAGCTACATCCGCCAGCGGGTCATCGAGCTAATCTTCTCTCACGCATGGGCATGTATTGCCTTCTCGACGCCGTAGAACTTTGCAAAGTTCAGAATAGGTTACTGGATATCTTACCGCAAAAAGAGGTAGGCGCTGTCAACAGGCCATCTATTTGTCTCTGATGGCAAGATCTAGTATAACGGCATCCTATTCTCGTCGCAAGGGATAGAGAAAGCTAGCTGTGACAACTGAACAAATGTCAGCGACAGCTCCCACCGTTCATGATCAGCACGCGAAGGATGACTCCAAGCATTTAACAACGTTGGTAAATCATGCCGTTGGCCGTGTTGAATGACTTGGTCCTGACGGGTTTTCCTTCTATGCTAAAACTCATGCCATAGGGGTATGTTGGTATATGATATGGGATGGGGCCGTTTAAGCGATCTGGAACTAACTTCGAGGGGACTGGTTCAGACTGCACGGCGCGAGGCTGTAGAGAGGGTGTGCCGTTTGGCATTTCAAGTGCAATTAGGTACGCTGAGTTAGGGTTGTCTGAAGATAGGATAGCATAGCTTGGATAGTTTACTGTCATGGCATGATTTCAATTTGTAAAGGCTCTTTGGATACTAACTTAAAGAAGACTTGCACGCCGAGATCTTTATTAATCGATGGAGAGAATAAAACAAGATGACTGATAACAGGCCACGTAGTGACCCGGCTAGTATGATTCGCTACAATAGTAACTATGATAACTGCGAAGGGGCCTGATCGTTTTGAACGCGTTTTTATGACTTTTAGGACGAAAAACCAGTGTATCAGTTAGGAACATCTAGCCTGGATGAACAAACTTGCCAAGTATGTATAGGGTGTCTGAAGGAGTAAAGATGGACAAATGAGACTTCGAGCACAAAGTAAACAAACAGCAATAGAAGATGCCAGACCCGACATCTTAGTTGAATGAAGATGAAAGGCCTTTTATTGTGTTCAATTTCATCGTGTTTTTAGGGTAAAAACCATTAATATTAAGGCTATCTTCTATTAAGTTCTGATCCCTTCTGCCTCTTTTCTTCTCTATGTTTTACGTATCAGTGCAACCACAGGCTGCCCTACTCCTTCTTCTAGTTAAGAGTATATGGCTGTAATGTTCTAGCCTTGGGTACAACGAAAGCCCAAAAACTCCCAATCTACTGGCCTTTAATGCCAGGAGAGCATTAGTAGTCATTTCATCCTTAGACACGCGCCTAAGAATATCCTAGCCAAATTTAGATAAGTCTAAGTGCTCTGGCTAAGGGGCTACTGATTCTCACTGTGTTGGAACGGTAAAGTATTTGGATAAGGGTATGGAAGCCAGGTCAAAGAAGGTAGCTTTAATAGTCATCACATGAGTGGCTCGTCCCGACGGCAAGTGAGTTACCAGTATAAAGGCAAAAATAAGCCCAACTAGCCTAGGGCTATAGCTATAGAAGGAAGGAAGACTCTGTAGACCTCCATGACGAAAACTCACTTGCCGTCGGGACGAGTCGCCCGTCAGATGACTGTCAAAGCTACCATCTTTCACAGCTGCCACACACACAGTAGGACAGTGCACAGGGACTGCTGAGTGCCCAGTTACACACGCTTGAGAGGCTAGTGTTGCTTTGTTATGAGCTGTCAGATTGTCACACCTCTTATTGGTCCTATGTTTAGCATCGTCTCATACCGTGATAGATACCGTGTGTTGGCGAATTGGCGTTTGATTGGCTTAACCTGCGGGAGTCTCAGGGTCTGTGACCTTCGCGCATGCTATGGGCTTCTGATGTATTGGTGATGCTGAATGGGAGGAGATAAATTTCATCATGCTGCGGTTGCAAAGCGCTGTTACAAAATTACTTCTTGATCGAATCCTGCATTTGAAGTTAGCGTAATCCGATGGAGTTTCTTCAGGTTGATATTGAGTAATGGCTGGCCTATGCTGGATCAACTCTGTCTTCAACTGCAAACGTATGTGTTTGTGCAGCAGCGCCCAAACCAGTTTCGGTCAAGTGCGCATCTTGCTCTCACGGCAACAGGAACGACGTGTACTTGCAGCTGGTTTTCGGGCACAGGGCCGACCCGACCGGCTGTCTGGTATTATCGGGGGCTGATCACATCCGCTTGCTTGTCAGAGAATTCCCCTCAAAGGCGGTCAGGGCGACTCGCTCCAAGTGACTTGGAGGTTGCGAGATTGCTTCCATCAGCAATGTCTTACCAAACCAGGTTACGGGTTGCGAGGAAGCATCGATTTCCACAAGCAATCTCCCAATGGGGACGCTTGTGTTAGGCTTCGTGAAGGCGGCAATTTAGCTCCATTTTGTGCTTGGCGAATGTGAGGAATAGAAGTAGAAATGCAAGAAGAGGGATTTATTCGATGTGGAGGCATAAGAAGACTCGCTAGTGTGATTTGGGGGCAGCAGGAGCTCATGTTGGTGAACAGGAGTGGGTGGAGATGATGCTCACTTTGCTTGGCCTGGCGGTGTTTTGTGTGGGCTTCGGCCGATCACGGCTATCAACATTTGGGGTTTGAGATTGATCAAGCACTCGCCTACATAGCTGACGTTGCAGGTATTTTTGAACCGAGCATTACAGTCATAAATCTACCAAGAAGGAAGGGTCAGACACACTTTGGCAGAATTCGGTTTCAAGGGTACTGTTCCGTGAGCCTCCGGAGAGGAGAGGAGATGTGCCTGTTCCAAGATTAAGTTGATTGGCCGTAGCTAAGCTACTTGATGAGGGTGGATCGACTTTGATCCTTTAATGTTGCTGGCCATTGAGCACGACGCGGCCCCCAAACGGAGCCAGCTCGCCTCGCCTAACCGCGACTTGTTGAGCTATTTCGGGCGCAAAACTGCGCAGGATCCGTTCACCCTTGTTTAGGTTGTGCTCAGCCCGCGCTTGTCTACCGGTTGGGCTGAAGGACTCAATAGCATCCACATGGGCATTTGTGGGAGTCGATTGTTGCTAATGGTAATGTATGTGATATAGACTGGTAGATTCCCCTTGTTTAGAGTTATCTCTTCGGTTTGCAATTGAGACCGCCACGAGTGGAAATCATACCCATGTCACTGGCCATCAAATGCATGTTGGGCGGCTGCGGCTGTTTCCCAAAAGAAAAGATAACAGCCGCCAAAGCCGGAAAATTGGGGCCTGTTTTCCGTTGCGTGAACGAGCCCAGGAATTCTTCATCTGTGGGTTGAGGGCCGGTTGCTTCACACCTCCCGCCCCTCCAGCTCTCCCCGAGGCTTCTTATATCATTCTAGTGCGATCTGTTTCCTCTCGGCGTTTAATCGTCTTGGCCGTATGCACATTGATTCATGAGTCAACAGGAGTTACACGCTAGCTACCGTTGACTGCGCGTTCCGGCGGCATCCTGGATTTGCCACACGACAACGAAACGACGCCTATCTTGAAACCAATTCGACCGGCCTAGCATAATTCGCCATGGATAACGATTGGAGCGACTTGGCGGAGCGGGACGACGCGGTCATTGGTGTGCGCTCGCGACGACTGTACAACTCGAGTATGTGGGATGTCACCATGTTTTTTCGGCCAGCCTCTAATGGAAGATTTGTTTTGCAGTCGCGGTTCTTGGCGATTACCTCTACATTGAGGGAGGTGTGGCGTCATCATGTAACAGTACCACCGGCACATGCAACAGTGATCCAACGCCAGGTGAGCCTCATCCTTTCGCGTCCGAGGGGGATTTGTATGAATCGCAGACTGACACCCAACCCTTTCTGTTGCCTCCAGTGAACAAAACCCTGTCGATTCCTCTGAACCGGAGCTGGTCCAATTCCACAATCACCTACAACGAGATCGATCACAACAATGCCATCCCTGCCGCCGATTCGAGTGGCCTCTGGACGGACGAGACGACCGGGACGTTATATCGATGGGCGGGCGGCAACTCGCGGGGCACAGCTGCAACCTCTGACTGGAACAGGCCGCTCTGGAAATTCACAGCAGACGGAAAGGGAGGCGGCTCATGGGAGGAGTCCAAGCCGAACAACAAAGACGTATTCGACACGCTGAAGCGAGCGGCCAACGGCGCCACGGCCTCGTGCGCAGGAATGGGATTCTACATTGGTGGCTCGTCCTACTCGCTGACGGACTACTACCCCGAATTCCAAACCGGCGTGCCCAACAACCCGATCCCAGGCATGCTCACGTACAACATGACGAGCAAGGAGTGGCGGAACGAGACGTATGTGCCTCCTGCCAGCCCGTACGGCGCCCTCAACTACGGAAAAGCGCTCTGTGTCGAGGGGTTCGGATCCAACCCGCTCGTCATGGTTCTGGGCGGCAGCTCAACCAGCCTCACCAGCACTAGAAGCTATACGCAAAATCCGATGAACAACATATCATTTTACGATCCGGTAAATCGTCAATGGCATTCGCAAGAGTTGTCGGGCACGAACCCTGTCCCGCGCGACGTTCCCTGCCTTGCTGGCGCGAAAGGGAAGAATGGCACATATGAAATGTAAGGGTCTCCGGGCACTCCATTCCAGGTGGACTCTTTTTGGGTCCAGTGTGTTTGAAATTGACTAACATGAGATTATTTTCTTACAGTTTCATGTACGGCGGTTCCAACGATGACGACGGCCGCAATATTGGGGACGTCTGGGTGCTTTCACTCCCAGGATTCCAATGGTTCCATGAAACCACAACCCTCCAGAGACGGAGACGGCATGCCTGCGCGGTCGCTGGGAAGAGCCAAATGGTCGTGGTGGGTGGTGGGTTGTCAGCGAAAATGTACGACCAGGAGGACCCCTGGCCAAATGCCATCAACGTCTTCGACATGAACACACTGCAATGGAAGGATAAGTATGACGCCGACGCTCCCGAATACGACTCGCCCGAAGTCATAAAGAATTGGTATAACAAGGGCGGATTGAAGACGGTTAATTGGAACTCTGACGAGGTCAAGGCTCTGTTTGCAACCCGTAAGAATTCCCCAATCAAGTTCGACGTATACATGATGTTAACAACTTTTTTACAGAATCCAACTCTACATCCACCAATACCACGAACGCCTCAAACAGCTCCGATGCAGCCTCCAGCTCAGGGCCCAACGTGGGTGCCATCGTTGGAGGTGTCATTGGCGGTTTGGCACTTATCGCTATTCTTGCCGGTCTATTCTGGTTCCTGCGCCGCCGAAAGGGTCAAGCCCAGGATGAGGAGGAGAAGCCACAGCAGACAAATGACGGCACATACGAGAAGCCACAACAGACACACGACGTCATACACGAGATGCCCGCGCCATACAGATCAGAACTCGATGATGGAACAAGTACGTGGGCTCCCAGCACCATCGTAGGAAGCGATGTCACGGGTAGTGGCTTCAGCACGCCTCATCCCACCAAATACAACCCTTCTGAGCTCAACGGCGTATGAAAAGTCGAATGCTCCCACGATTACTTCCTTACACCACACAGGCAAACTTGCTACCTTAACACACATACAACTCTCATCTTCCCTTTCATCCATCAAACTAGCTTGCGTCCCTTCTCTATTACCACTCCTCTATGCCCCCCTAAGACAAAGGGGCTGGGGGGTTATTCTTACGGCGATACGCTCTATTCTTCATCACGCCCAACACGCCTAGACAACTACCTTGACACAGTTATCAACCCCTCTCTCGCAGCCAGGGCTGAGAGAACCGAAGCGACAACCTAAAGGGTCACAAAGTCGCAATAAGACAGCATTCTCACATTCATGAAATATTTTCTTCACTTTTTAGGCTTTGGGATTCGACAAACATCTGATGACTCTATTTCGGACAGCATAAGCGAGCATTGAAACTCTATACCCAGCGTATCTTTTTTTTTCCTATCTAGATTTTTAATTCTCTCGGCTTCACATGCCTCATGAATACACGTCATTTTCTTCCACCTGATCAGCTTGTCATAAACCTATGTGAGACTTCATTTGCTTGCGGTGAACTGATAGGGACACCAGATTCTGCATGTGGTTTCCCTTGGATCGGGTGGAGGGAGGCTATCTTCGAGCAATGCGGTATTATTCAAATGGCAACAGCTTGTGACAAAGGAATCAACAGTCCTCAGTAGTAGAAGACTTTTTGGAATAATACCGGAGGCTATTTTCTCTTTGTAAAGCAAGTGTTAGTGAAAAGCAGAACAGGCGGATTGTCAACTGCCATCCATTTGAAGATGTGCTATATCAGTAGCAAGAAAATTGATAAATGGATTCTGAAAGTAGAGTATGATTTAGACCTCCGCTGTGCACTAATACTAACACAGGGGAGGCACAGCCCGTAAAGTGCAATCAAGCCGTGACTATGATCCCCTTCAGATGCAAAAACTCTCGGATGCCCTCAGATCCACCGGAAAGACCCCAACCGCTACCCTTTGCTGCGCCAGCAGATGCGCTAGGTGGGATCTCTGTCAACATGGTCCCCTGATTGACTGTAACGATACCGCATTCTAGTCTCTTGCACAAAGCAATTCCTCGCATCACATCCCTTGCCCACACTCCGCCGACAAGCCCATATTTAGATGAATTAGCCAACTCGAGACCAGCTTCCTCATCTTCGACAATATACAGAGATGAGGACGGGCCAAAGGTTTCTTCGTCGTATAGCCTTGAGTTGGGGCTAACACCCGTCACAATAGTGGGAGTGAGACTGGTTTTGTGCTCATCCCGGAACGAGTTATCGCCAACAATAAACTCAGCTCCCTCCTTCTTGGCCTCCTCCAGAGCAAGATGTGCCTTGCTGGCGAATTCCTTGCTCGCAGCATAGCCTGGCATCTGACTCCAGCCCGCAACCTCCGCCTTGAGTAGACTGGTAAATTCCTCTGCCACAGACTTGACGACAATGATGCGCTCGGTGGACATGCAGATCTGCCCGTGGTGGAGGAACGCACCAAAAGCAGCCGCCTTGGCAGCCTTGGCCAGATCGGCATCCTCGCAGATAATGACGGGACACTTGCCGCCCAACTCCATCAGAATTGGCTTCAAGTACTTGCCGCATAACTGCCCGATGATCTTACCCACTGCCGCGCTTCCGATAAACTCGACCTTGCGGATTCGTGGATCCGCGATGATGGCTTCGGTGACCGTGGCGGCGTCTTCACGACGCACCACAATTTGATTTAGCACGCCCTCTGGTATTCCAGCCTCAGCAAATACTTGGCAGATCATGTGGTAAGTCGCCGGGCAGAGCTCCGAGGCTTTGAGGACGACGGTGCAGCCCGCAGCAAGAGCCGTGGCAATCCCACGCGTTGCCAAATATGAGGGAGTGTTCCATGGAGAGATGAATAGCACAGGACCAATGGGGGTCCTGTATCCCACAACGTGCGAATTGGAGTTTGTGTGAGGAGCACTGGCCTCAAAAGCTGTGGTGATTTGCGCCGCAAGTTCCTCGACTGTTGCGGCTGCGGCGTAGGCAAAGTTCTGCCCAAACTGAGGAGGAGCCGATGTCTCCTCGATTTGGATGTCGCCGATCTCCTTTGCTCGCTGGGCCAAGACGCCGGCTACCTTGAGCAATAGCTTTCGGCGATGTTCGAGAGGAGTGGTGCTCCAGGTCTTGAAGGCTTCGGAGGCCGCTGTGATGGCGGCTTTGGCGTCATCAACATCGGCTGATCGGGCATAGTGGACGGTCTTGTCCTCGGATGGTTTGATAACCTCAATTAAAGGTCCGGATCCAACAGCAACATTCTTGCCATTGATCCAGAGAGGCACAACCTGCTTATCGTCTTTGTTCTCGAAGGTAGGTGTGGTGGCCATGGTTGATTGTGAGAAACGTCTTTTAAAAAAAGTACAATGTAGTGAATCAGAGAGGGGAAGTCTTGCCGAGTTCAGTTGTTAGAATAAACGGCATTATAGGAATACAGCCTATGCTTTTATAATAGTCTTTCGGCTCACATGGATGTTGGTACGCGACTCTCGCATATACGCCCTCATTCCCCTTTTCAAATCCCAGCACGTCTTAGCCTGTTGGAGTTGTTGGAATGGGGTCCCCACGCCGGATGTCTGGCTTTACAGGGTCCAGTCAGCCGGAGATAGGTATAAGCATACTGCTAATTGCCGAAAAAGGAGAATGAACAGGCTTGGCAAAAGAAGCATTATCCGTTTCCGGTTCGAAACAATGCCATGGAACTAAACCCCGAGATGTTACGATGCCGAGCATGTGTCTGACATTCTGGAACCAAAGAAATAATTCCACATTAGAAACGCAAAACCGCCCATGCCATCCGATTCGACAAACGTAATAATATATAAGCAATACTTCTCAGCTCACAGACGTTAGATCGGCGCGATTTAACTGCACATCCATCATACCTCTCTGGTTCAACCTGTTCGTGATTGTTGATTGGAGGTTTTCTTTCTTTTACAGCTTCTAGACATGCATCTAATATATCTTCACGGAATACTAGGAGGCCTCTTGGATCTGTGGATCAAATTGAATCTCTACCTTCTAACCTTGCAGAAAACAACTATAGCTACTTAAGTATATGCAACTCTATTCTTCCAAGCCTTTGCCTCATTGCTTCTTTTGTTTTGGGAGCAAGCTGCAAGGGGAAAACATATCGCACCAAGTGCCTACATAAAATTTAGCCACTTTCTCCATATTTTGCACAACCATCCATTTGTTATTCCTCGTCGGTACAGTTTCCAATGTGGAAAGGAGGGGAGTAATTGTAGACAGTGACATTGGAATCCGGGACAGTCTTGAGGCGAAAAGTTCGGGTCGGGGCGACTAAAGAAGCAGTAACATCGAACCGGTAGTACCCTGAGCTGATCGGGACATCCGGAACTAGAAATACCATGTCAATAACTGGTGCTTATACCCGTAACTCCGAGTCTGTTCAGCTCAAATGGAAATACCCACTTAGATCGCCGGCGGGCCATAGATGGTTGATGTCATCGCCTTCCCAGAGTGACAAGGTCATATTTCCAGTATAATTTCCATTTGTGTGCCAAAAGAAAGTGTAGTTGCCCGGGCTTGGAAGATATTCATCGGCCTGAGGTCGCCAAATTGGAGCCAGATTGGGGTCGTGATAGGTGGGCGTGTAAAGATTGACACCAGCTAACAGATTGACGGCAACTGTAGGAAGACGCATGATTAATGATTGGAAATGCTTGAAACTCTTGGGGATGAGATGCGTAAACGAATGACATAGAAGAGTCTCAGAACTATGGCGATTGAGTTTAGTAAAGATTAGAAAGTTGGAAGGGAATGAAATATATAAATATTTTAGAAATCAAGTTGATTACACATTGGTGTTGAGACAAAAGTTCAAACTGGGAATATGCATCGCCCTTCTTCTTTACGCATAAAAACGTATCATGAGTGAGCTGGCCCCCTAGATCATTACTACCAAACTAAGATGCACAGCCTCCTCACTCCGTTTTAATCTATTTGAAAATGAGGGACATAAATATCTTCAGTAGGATTCTTTATAGCATCGCGCATGTGTGTCGACGCAATGCGACACTGCAAGACGGAGAACCTTCGACATGCCTCGATTCGTACAATTTCATTAGCTCGACTGACGCCCAAGATTATTCCTCCTTTTCAGCGTTTAACAAGAAGCACAGCTTACGTTGAATTACACTACGATTTGCCACTTTGGTGTGCTCAACGTCGACTCGTAGGCATAGGATTGGGACTTTGGTTGTCTCGAGTTGTCCTGCCACCCCCTTGAGCTTTGGCCAATGGAGCTTGCTGATCTCTCCCAAGTCTAACAACCTCCGAAGATGTTTGATCTACGGTCCCAGCAGGAGCCAGTTAATTTCGGTTAAGCATTGGGTAAAACAAGAAACAGAATTATGACACGTTATTGTACAAGCGGCATATAAAGGCGGCGATACAGAAAAAGAGTTCCCGGCCACGCAATCACAAAACTTCAGCCCAACAGTATTTGAGTAATAGGTACGTATGCGTCAGTTAGGCATGGGATAAAAGCTAAGTGAACCCGATCAACTGGAGTAGAGAATTCTGTACTAGGTGCGACAAAATCAACTTGAGTCAGTTAGTCAAAAGTCGTTCGCACTACTTTTAGCTTCGTAAGAGCTTTCAAATATTATTTGGCGATTGGAAGTAACTTCAATGTTAAGGCGCCCTTCCAGAATACTTCGGGATGTGATTTCAAATGGAGGCAACGGATTATATCTTTAAATACCTAGGTCCAATGAAGGAAATACTTCACCTAACCCCCACAGTTGTCATTCGTGTTGGTTCCAATGAGGCAATAATTTATATTCTGAACAACATCTTAGACAAGAATTACAAACCCATCCTCAGCATGTGATGCGGGGTAACAAACCCCTCACACTGTAACAAGTCGTTATGAAAAAGGCCACCATTATAGCAGCTTCATCCTTGGGAAACAAACCGCCGAGTTCAGACCTTGTTTTTGAACGATTCACCGGTCGCCTTCGTCATTACATTTCATGAAGGAAACTCCAACATTCCAAGAAGGATCCGTTCATCTTTTTGCTTTCAGAAGACGCAGCCACATCCGAAATATCTGATGAACGAGCTATTGACGATGGATTCTGCCAGCACCCCTCCCTTCCTCATCCTTCCTCTCCATCTTCGCAAGAAAATTTATCTCTTCGCGGGATTAATTAGGGAGGGTCCAATTGTTCTGATTCCAGCATCACGTGCAGTAAACCGTTCTCCTTGTCGCCATCACCCGGCCGCAAGACAAGGTAGAGTATGGGACTGCAACTTCGCACTCCCCAAGACAGAATGGGGATTTTCAATACCAAAGGAAAGTCGGGAATGCGAATGTCCAGGCGTGCCAAAGCAACTCTTGCTCGTCAATAAAGCCTTACATCAAGAGACTCAGGATATATGGCGAAAATCAATTTGTGGTACACGCGCATCAGCCTGATGATCTCGAGACTCTTGAGAGACTTTCGAGCGGCGCATTACGTACATTGCGCCTTCTCTTGGTCCGCTTGAATTATTGGCCATACTATCGAGGCCATACTTCTCCTTTCCTTTACAAAATTCACAAAAATAGCAAATGCATTATGTACCAGGCACCAGTGGCGTTGAGTGATACAGAAATCTCGGCTGAGGGGGTCAACTCTGAATACATAAAGGAACAGTGGTCAGGTCTATGCAATCGCCTTGCATCCTGCCTTGTACCTGGGCGTCTTACCTTAGAGTTCATCTGTGATGCCAAGGATTCAACAGCAGCCTGGCAGATTATAAAGCCATTAAAATCGCTTCCTCCATTAAATGATTACGTCATAAGGCTTAGCAGACAACGAAATTCTCATCTGCGTTCCATTGCCCACGCGACTGCGATAGATCTGATAAATACGCCCCGGGAGAAAGATTTTCACCGGCCATTATTATCTTTACCGCAGGAGATACATCTTCGAATCCTTGAATATACGAATCTCGGGGCACTCGGTTATTTCCAACCCCAATGGAATGACATTACCGTCAAGCACGGGAGGTTTGGCCAAGCACGTGGTGGTCGATATCTCAACTTCCAACGGTCTTGCTGTCTTCGCTATTCCTTCACAAAGCTGGACTGCAGCTGCTCTTTAAACTATACATCCTTCTCCCCCCGTTGCCAGTGTAGAGATTTGCCTCTCGATCTCTTCCTTGTAAATCGGCAGACATATACCGATACCCTACAAACTCTCTATGCTACCAATGCCTTTATTTTCGATAGTCCCTTTCGTCACACACTCTCTATGCTTCAATCTCTCCGCCCAGCCACTCTCAAGTGCTTTAAACGTATCAGATTTCGCTTAGAGGCAAAGCAGATCGTTCGTTGGAAAGATAAAATCAACACCTGGATCAGCCTAGTCTCTTTCATTAGCAGATCCTGTACGACCTCCAATCTACTGCTTGTATTTAACACTGGTATGGATTGCGAATCGTGCAGTGAGGCGGATTATACCGAAAACTTCATACGGCTTGTATATGATGGCTATGTTTTCTTTGTGCGAGCGATCAAGGATCAACTTAGCGCTATACTAGACTTTCACCTACACCTGGGGGCTTTTTTCTATCTAGAACCAGTACTCGAGAAGTATATCATGGGCCCAGAGTACAATAGCAAAAATAGCAATTGCTACTCAAAGCCTGCCCATAGTTTCGAGCAATATCCCGAGGCGGATAAAGAATTAACGGAGATACCGTTCTGGGCATGTAGATATAGGGGGTCTCTAGTCTCATGAAGACGTTCATTTCATACCTTGGGAATGTAAGTATATTTTAGGTGGGAAGGTAACGGATTGCATCTTTGAAATTAAATAGTAAGATACTTCAGAATCGGTGAAAGATGATATTACTCAGAGAATTTTGACAGCCCCCAATCTGGACACCAGAAAAGGGATAATTTCAGGATTTAATGGTCGGATACTTTCTCCTATCCAGTGGTGAGCTGGTTTTCTTACACGGTATATATTGTGCTCGGAAAGCCAATCACGCTTCTATAGTCACTTCATAAAGCACTTGGTGAAGCTTAAGAAGATAAATACTTGTCACATAATTTCCGATTCAACATTGGTCACATCTAGTTTGAGACTTTCTATTCTGTCCTGAATTTTTTTTCCCTCTTTGATGTGTATCTATCCTAGAAAATGCGAGGTAATATACTTGTCGCTTAATGGAAGAGGCCGAACTCCATTTCTAGGTGTGATAATGCCCTCTCATTTTAGTTGGCTGTGGCAGCAGCAGCGGGAGGAACGGTGACAGTGTATCCGTAATCTGAGAGACATTGTAAGTCAATGGGGCACTGTGAAAATAACGTGACAGGGTCTTACCCTTGCACAAATCAACGCCAAACTGGATGGCAGCATCGGCGTTGCTACCACAGGTGCTTCGGGCGCACTGGATGAAATAACCCTGGAGCTCTGGGGAGGCACAGAAGCAGTCATACATGGAAGGCAGTGTGCAGGTAGTGGGAGGGTGCTGGTTGTAGACGGTTGTGAAGCAGTTGATCTACGACCAAGAGGGAGGCTTAGTCTTTGCACATGGTTGTGGGACTGGAAACTGAACGTACTGCGCAGAGTGTCTGGGAAGAAACTGCGGTGGCCAGCATCAGAGTGCTGCTAAGAATGGCGAAGGTCTTCATGATGAGGAGAAGTGGGATTTGAGTTGCTGGGGAAGTTTGCTCAAAGTGATACTTGTAGAATGCTTGGGAGTCGAAGAGAGTGTTGATGAACAAACAGCACGATGAAGAGAGAGGGATGAAGCTGGGATTTATATTCACGTTCTTAGCATCCTTTTCGATGATATTCACTGTCTCTACCTACCTTTGCTGCCGAGGTTTTCAGCTTGACCCACTAAGACGTAGAGAGCGGCAAAGTTCCCAGTTTTCATTGGACTCGTTCCCCTGTCCTCGCCCCAGCTAAGGCAGGTGCATCATTGGTGATGCCGCTAGCAGATGTAGAGTTATCAGATGATCTGATAAGAAAATTATCTGATCCGAGGCCTGTTTTCACCAGCTCAATCTGGAAATTGGAAGGATGATCTCGCTTGTGAGGCAAATATCTCGCTCTCTCACTCCGGCTTGGCATATGAATAAAGTCTTGGCTTTCTCAGCTCGTGAATGCATGACAGTAATTGCATTAGCTTCATTGAGAAACTTGCAGCGGCACTTTCGGCAGCTTCCAATGGGCCCCAGCATGTTCAACAACTTTGACACTGCTTGTTCTGTGGGCTGCTTAAGCTGTTGGCTGAGCTTGGGGTTTGGATAGTGCACTATGGCTTAAAAGCTATCTGAGAGAATGTACTTTGGGAATATGGTTTATTCTATCACACACTTAGAAGCTCCATTGCGTAGCTGAATGCACAACCACAGACCTGTTCGTGGCAATTTGCGTCATTAATGAAAGCCAACTACCAGACCCAGCGTGGGGCCGTCAACTAGTCTGGTCCGACCACAAGGGTAGCGACCTTGTTCTGACATTATGGATGGGTTTTGTAGTACGATGTGTGCCCTAAATTTTGACTAGGCGGTTACCCTTGGGTTGCCTGGAGCTGGCTTGATTTTGATCAAGCCACTTACATAGCTGACTGCAGCTCATCCGATCAGAGAAGAGTGTCTGAACCAATCGCGTGCCAAATTCCCAAATCCTTGCAGCTAAGCAGTTGAAAGGATGTAGACTAACACATTCTTGGTCTCACATGCGAAGTGTGTTGGCACTTGGCTAGGCCGTTCTTGAGCCTGGGGCGGTTAGGCGAGGGGAATCCTCCTACTGATGCTGTCTGGTTTTGGACATCAAAGTTCCTAAATTCGGACCTTGTGGCAGCTTCAGGCCCAGAAGCACCTGAGAGAAGTCACTCGAGAGCTACGTCTGCGATATACCCCCCCCCCTGACGCTGCTCGGTCCGTCATTTTCTGGTGAACTAACCCGTCTACTACAGTCTACATCGGACAGAACTTCGTACCGTCAAGACTGGGAAGAATCAAAGCTCGTGTAAGAAATCATTGATATCCCGAGCCATCCACCCCAACGACGGGATAGTCAGCATTGTCCACGGCCTTAACTTGTGCATCAGAACATGGCAGTATAGCCTTTGCTGAACAAATTGTATTCCGAAGCGTTGATTTTGCCAAATCTCAAGCCAAGCGCGCTTGTAGCAGTATCGTACAACCCCTCTTCTTGGCACACAACCTAAACCCAATCACCTTCAAGGCCCTTGCCAGACATGGAATCCATTTCACGGTTTTGGCTACGCTAACGCTTACTCTTATGGATGACTGCAGGGAAAAGGTTTTTAATAGTTCTGGTCACTCCGAAGGTGAGAGTTTGTCTAGTGACGAAGCGAAGGAATGCGTATCAAATAGCTGCAATCCTCAGCAAGGGTCTGTATCAGACCCAAATAGACTGGCAATTCTTGGGGTTACAGGACTCCATAGGAGATTCGAGCCGGTTGTTATGTGGTACCAATGCATGATGTTTCCGTGTCGGTTCAAGCCTAGAATGCTGTATCGTACCCCAAAAACTACAACCAGAATAACATATGGTTTCAAATGCCGGAAAAGCGACCGACTTAGTATTAACCTAACTAAAGTAGGAGTCCATGATCAATGTTGAGCCAACTCGGCTTCAGGGGCGGCAAAGCCAAAATTTCCCACCCTACTAGAAGACTTGGGAACATAAGCGAGCGACCCGCCCAAAGCCTCTGTACCTAGTTTAAAATAGGATGCAGACATTAGTGATATGTTGAGTTTGATAGCCCTTACCAACGAAGCTCTATCGCCTTTTAGTTCCGCCGACAACCGGTATGCATAGCCCCAGCGGTATTATGGTGGTGGTTGTAGCAATTACCATTACGCCTCACCATAAATCGAAGATCAAGGACGGTTCATCAAGGCAACGAGCCACAATGAGAGTAAATGACCACGGAGCTCCAAACCCTTGGCTTGGTTCAACTCGGCTAAGATCTATCCTAGTTAGAGATCTCTATCAACTCTCACGAGTCACATTAGAACATCGTGATCGTCAACTTTAGAATCACTCTTGCAATACTCTTGACAATGAATACCATGTGACTTGTTCTTGTACTCTAACATTCTGGTAATGAGGACCAGCTAGCCAACATGCCGCCTGCATGGTCTTCAGCACAAATAGCCTGATGTGATTACTTGCAACACACATGCATCAAAGTCTTACAACATAGCAAAAAAAGGAGAAAGAGTCCACAATATGAGAACGAAAAATGTTGTTGCAACAGTAAATTTTTTGTTGCCGTTTTAAATCATGACTAACTAGAATACAGTTTCAGAAATCACGACACAATCTCCCATACCTAGCCCGGAGCAAATTCAAACCAGAAAACATAACATCCTCTGGCACTAGATACTAACATGATGAATCAGCAAATTCTTACCATGTAGCTCAAGTCTTAAGTTCCAATCTCAAGGCCACTTCCAGTTCACCAGCGATTGCGGCAATCAGTGTTGAGGATCCTCCCCTGTTGTTGCAGATGCAAGACAACGTCAACTCCGATGTCCAGTCCGTTAATGGCCTCTCGAAACGACTCATGAGTCAGAACATCCATGTGGACAGTGATGGCTCTGACCACCTCATCCCTCAATCCACGATCGTCTTGGACAGTGCCGGTGTACGCTTCCACCGCTGCGTCCACGAGATCCTCACCGTCGCAGTCTTTCCTTGCCTGCCGCTCAAATTTATCCATGGCTAATTTCTTCAGACTGGGGATGCCGTACTTTTCGGCTAGGGAGTAGACCTTGGCGTGGTCAAGAAGAGAGAATCTTTTGGCTCCTGGGAGAGCCGAGCCAGTCTCTGAAGTAGTTGCAGAGCCGTCTGAGTAGTTGAGATTGTAGAAATGATTCATCATGATCTTGACAGCGACGGGATCATCCTCAGGAAGGTTGATTTCAGCAGTGATCGCCTCCTACATGGTGATTAGTAATAGCCCTATCTCTATGTTTGTAATTAAATGAAAGGTCTGGGAGGGGGATTTACCTTGAAATTATGGCGACATGCCGCTTCGAAGAACTTAGACCGTGGGCAGACGACAGCTCGATGGACCTGGTACTTATCCTCCCCGCATACGACCGTCAGGTCTGAGTACAAACCGCTGTTGAACAAGCTATATGAGCTGTTAGTAGCGTTCTCAAATTTGCAAACATTAAATGGAGGTCAAAGCTTACCTTGACATTGACTTATGAAGCTCAGAGATGGCAAGAGATGTCCCATCGAACATCTGAAGGTCTTTGGCAGCTCCACGGCGGGGATTAGCCGATTTGCGGCGAGCCTCAGGCGGAGCCATAGTGATGGCCTTCGACGTGAAACCCATTTTGGATAAGACGGAGGGAGGGAAGAAGAAGTGGATGAGTTAAAAGTCCACACGAGGTTTCTTGTCGCGATCACAAGCAAGAGCCTTGGTCCTTGCCAAACAAGTTGCGGGTTCGTGAAATGTGTCAGAGGCAGCAAAATAAAAGACGTTTTTACCGCGTGATAGAGGAAAGTCTCGAGATGGGAGTGATGGGAGTGATGATACTAGTAGGGATATAAAGTAAGTCAAGGTCTGAATTTGAGATGGGTAAAGTCCAATATCGATGATCTCGGTATATGCTGAGGTCGAACGAGCGAAGACTCGCGTCGGCGATGGGTGCGATGTAAATATCAGTTGATAGAAATTGGGATGTGTGGATGAAAATGATTTCTTCTTGGGTAGCGGAGAGGGCTGCGTTATATAAGCTGAGGGAGAGTTCACCAATGAAAGAGCCACGCGCGTAGAGCCCTGATGGCGTATAGAACCTTTGAGTGTAAGAACCTTGACAATAGCAAGCTTTAGTCGCGCTCGAAGGTCGGGCGATAGCTAGAGAACCCTAAACCTTTGCCCAGGATGAAGTGGCTTGTTGACGACCAGGGCGGGCGCCATCCTATCTGTGGCTTACGAAACTGTAAAAGCGAAGATCAAGTTGCCATAGAAGCCATTTAGTAAGCCCTGCTTAATGCACTGGCACAGACATCGACGCCCACAATGGCAAGGGATTCACAGCATTGATGCAGGCCATGCATGGCAATAAACTTGTCACGTCAAGATATCTCGCCATTGCCGGTGCTGGCCACCCCTTGGAGGCATCAGACAAGATATCTACAGCGCGGTATTTTATCCACTTATTTATGTTACATAGAGTATACTTAGAGATACTTGAAGAGGCTTTTGAACAATGTATGTTAGGTGGATAGATGACTGGTGGCAAAGTTGATAATTGTAAAGTACTGATCAATAAAGAATTTTTATCAGTCCGATCCAGGCAACCAGTATAGTAATTCTTAGCCGGAATTGCTCCAGCCAATCAACCTGGTAAGTTACTCGCGGAAGAGAATTCGAGTATAAAGCTAAACAACAATAGAAGATGCCAGGCCCGGCATCTCAATACAATGAATAGGTAAGTTACTTGCTGTAGGCTTAGGGGCACCAAGGAGATGGCTCATTGCACAGGTGGGTGAAAAGACATTCCGAGGGCCCGAGTCACTAGATGAATAAAGAGGCGATTTCACTGCTAGCGACGCGGTGATGATACTTTTATAAACTTGTGAAGAATGGGGGGCATCTGAGGTGGTGCTGGGCCAGCAGAAAGGTTTCACATGCTGTTGCGTTTATATCAGACATCATTGAAATGAACTCGGGTATTATTTCATTCATCAAACCCCAGAATTTACCAGAGATAAATATATATCTAGCCTCCCAACTCCATGAAAATCGCTCTAAACGAAAGCACCAACAAACCGTCTCGGCAAAGAGGCCCAGGTCTTCTTCTCCACGGGCTCGGGCTCGTCGAGCAGGTTCAGACCCGTCTGGAGGTCCATCTGGTCCAGCGGCACGTACATGCGCCAGTCGCGGGTGCCGACCTTCCAGCCCACGTACAGGACGAGGGTGACGGGAGCGGCTAGGTAGGCCTGGAAGAAAGCCTCGGCGCTGGGTGTGGCTCCAAGAGTAGGCTATCATAACACCTGTTAGCTTTATTTTTCTGGTTTTAATAGATTTGGGGAGTGACTTACGTAGAGAGCATTGTAGAAGGTGGCCATGAGGGCAATGACGGAGAGGAAGATACCGATGTAGCTTCCAATCACGCCGTAGGGGCTCTTGAAGGGGATGAGCTCGGTAGAGATGCCCTGGACCTTGAAGGCGGCGCGCATGCGGATATGGGCCAGGCAGACGGTTCCCCAGACCAGCAGGTAGGCGAGACCAGTAAGAGCAAGGAGCCAGCCGAAGACGTCACCGCTCTTGCCGGACTCGCCAATGAAGGCCAGGAGACCGAAGGCGAGCTGGATGACGATGCACCAGAGGGGACGGCCCTTGGAGTCGACGTAGGCGAGGAACCTGGGAGCCATGCCACGCTGGGCCATGGCCTGCATGGTGCGGGTAGATCCGAAGGTGCAAGAGTTGGCGACGCTGAGGACGGAGATGGTGATGACGGCGTTGAAGATAGAGGGGAGGACCTTGATGCCGGCGTCCTGAATGGCAAGCACGAAGGGCGAGGCCTTGGTGTTGGCACCGCTGGAGCCGAGCAGGCGGGTGTCATCAGAGGGGAGAATGAGGCCGAGGATGAAGAGGTTGACGATGTAGAAGAGGGCAATTCGGAAGAAGACCTGCTTGCTGGCCTGGGGGATGGATTTGCGGGGGTTGGCAGACTCGGCGGCGGCGAGGCCAACCATCTCAGTACCACCGAAGGCGAAGGCGGCAACAACGAAGACGGAGCAGAATCCAGTGAAGCCGTTGCGGAAAGCACCGGGCTCGACCCAGTACTTGGCGCCAATGTAGCCCTTGTCGCCGGTACCGCCGCAGTTGATGACGATACCGAGGATCATGAAGCCAATACAGGCGAGGATCTTGATGAGCGAGAGGACGAACTCGACTTCACCGTATCCACGGACGCCAAAGAACTGGACGATGATAAGCGCAGCCATGAACACGCCAACCCAGACACCCATGTTGATATCGTCACGCCAGAATTCGATCGTCAGGGAGGCGGCAATCAGCTCGAAGGGGAGGACTGTGAGCCAGGCGATGGCGTACTGCCAGCCCATGGCGAAACCCCACGAAGGATCGACGAAGCGGACGAAGTATGTGTAGAAGGCACCGTTGACGGGGTAGAGGACGGCCATTTCAGCGAGGGCGAAGGTCACCATGAGCAACATGGCGCCGATGATGGTGTAGCCGATGACGAGGGAGGCGGGACCACCCTTGTGAAGAGCACCACCGGAACCGACGAAGAGACCAGCACCGATAGCACCACCTAGGAGAATATGTCAGTAAGCTTCCTTGAATCAGCGAAAAAGGTGTCTTGGAACATACCAATGGCAATCATCTGCATGTGTCTATTCTTGAGGTCGCGCTGGAGGACGCCTCCAGTGGTCGGCTCGCTGTTGCCCGAAGTCTCATCGACCTTGGTCACAACGGCAGCATCCTTCTCGATGTCGCTGGAGCTGCCGTGGGCAGGCATTTGGGAAGCCATCTTGGCGAAGAGGTAAATCCCCTTGTTGTGGAGGAGGATTTGGTAGGGGGTATAAAGAAAGAAAGGAACAGGCTCAAGTGATGGATGAGGATATCGAGAGAAGGAATGTCTGGATGGGAGACGCACAGATGAATATATACCTGGTTCCTCTAGCTCCAAGATTGCCTCGATTTACCTTTGACCTGCGTGCTTACCAGGCTCCTCCTCCTCTCTTGTCTCAGACAGCCTAGAGATAATGTCCTAGTGCTATCAGCTCCAGCCTCGCCCCGGCAAGACTAGAGCTGGGGGGGTGAGGGGCGGTTCGAGGCCTCACCCACACGAAATGATCGATGGCATGATACCTTCGGGGGCCCGCGAGCGACAGCCTGGACTATCCCCAAGGAGGCGTGGACCCCCGGGCGGCGGTGCACTAGAGCAGTCTGAGACAGGCGTCTTGATGACCGAAGCCATCTACTCGGGCGAGGTGATAGGCTGTTGCGCTGTCCCTCGACTCACAAGCCGGTGCCGCTCGCCCGCGCTATCTTCCCATATCTCTGGATTGGCTGCCTCCTGGTCTGGCGCAAGGGAGCGTTGCCTCCTTATCAGTGTACAGTAGCGTCGCGTAGCACCGGCATGAGCGAAGGTTCTTTCGAACGATCGCAGAAAAAGTTTATCGTGGCCATGGGTGCCGGATGCGGCTCCCTGCCTGTGAGGCTCAATCTGGCGCGATATCCGATCCTCTAATGCTGCTTGAGGTGAGATTTGCATCCCTCCAGCTCGTGAAGGAGGCATCGCCACCTTTCCCCAGGTTTGCCCAACGGGTATGACAAACAGAATTGCTTCATCGATAGAGTGTATGGGGTTCGATCCATTACCCCATATCCATTACCTGTGCTTTGGAATCTCGACTGTATCCCCTCACAGCAGAACGAAGGCTATTAGGTAAAGGCTCCACGGTCCCCGCGAATGAAGCTCCTCGTGATCCAGGCGGATGGGCGGCGGAGCGACAGGTGGGCGAATGCAAATCATCGCGGGTGACCAGCTTCCTCATTCGGCCCTTCTGATCCAAATGAGCAGAGCCAGACAAACGACCTTTTGCCCAATACACGCGGTCCAGAACGCCCGTCGAACCCACACTGAGACGTTGAGCGACCCGCCGTCAGTATCTCTTACGTTGAGCCTGCGCTTTCGACAGTGCCGTGTATCCGGCCTATCTCACGCTTGAGGCTTTCCAGCTTAGCACTTGCGAGCTTCTAGTCTAGCGCAGGCAACATTCTAGAAGACCGGGCGGCCTTCCCCCCAGATCAGTCATCGAGACAGCCGTTGATTCGCCCGTTGCCCAGATGGCCCCGGTATCACGCCAGCCTCGGGCCCCATCTTGGCATCCTTCGGGACCAGCTTTGGATCAGGATGGATCAGCTTGGCAGGGCGAAACAAGCCGTCCCCGAACCCCAGCCGTCTTGGCTCCCTTCTTGGCCTGAAGACTTCCTGCACTACTACCCACGAGAGGCAGCCGAGCACAACCACGGGCAATGTAACGAAAGAGTGCGAAGAATTAGATCACCGCGATCGACAAACTTTAAAAATAAAAAAACATGGAATGGCTTTTTTCCTGGTGCCTTTTTCGCCACTCCTTATCTGCAAGAACTCGAACTATTGGAATGTCTTCTCCGGGGAAGTCTGGCTACCCTGAGGTCGGCTATCAGCGGATGATGATGATGAAACTATTTGTCAACACTAATTAATCGTAGAGAAATGTGGTCGTCTGTATCCACATTAGGGTGAAGATATTGTGTAGTCCCCAATTAAGGTCAAGATGGCGTCACTTGGTAGGTCCCAGATAGCAAGATGAGCAGATGCGACTTGCCACTATCAACTGCTGTCATGATTGTGAGGGAGATAACGATCTATTCAATATTAGTGTTGTCCGAATCAGGAGCTTATCATCCAAATCAGGTGTCCAATTTCAGCCAGATGGGCATCTAGCTGAGAGCTGAATCATCTATCAAAGAAGGCCTGTGGAAGAATTGGGTGGGTGACCGGCACTGACGATAGCTTCGCCCGTTTGAACCGGTTCAAACCGGTCAGCTTCAGCTTAAATTGGTCTCGAGGCAGCCGGGATCTACTTAATAATGCTGCTATCTATCGGCTCCCGCCGGATCTAGCGAAACATCGTAAAAGATAAAGGCGTTAGCATCCTCAAGCCAAGTTGTCTTAGTGCCCAGTGGAGCCGCGCCACGACCCTCTTGGTATCTGGGGAAATGGACCACAGGCCTAAATGGTGCCCTGTGGCGTTAAAAAAGCATGATTGATTTAATGCCTGAGCTGATCAGGAGGCTAACTCATAATATTTCAGGTCATCGCGGTTAGTTTGCGTTACAAACTCACATCCTAAACCTGCACGTCCCTCCCCCCTGGATTACGCTTCCTTTACGAGTCATTGTGCACGAGCTAGACCATCAGGTTGTCTGAATCGAAATTGACTTCTGTCGAAAGTGTGGCATCAAAGCCTCGCGCCACTTTAAACGGCTTCACTGTGAAAATTCTTTCACACAAGAGCGGCCCACTCAAATCGGAAGATACAACATTTGTTAGTACCGCAATTCCACGGTTGGAGGGAGCTCTCAGCCTCGGCAGTGTGTTTCTTTTGCTGGACCCGAATAATATTAGGCGCTGGATCTTCGCCTGGGGCCCTGGACACCCCTTAATTGGGATTGTTGAGAAGTGAAGACGACTCTTACAGTGCTGCAATCCCTCCAGCCCTTGGACATGCGCGATCTCCCCGCCGAGACGCCGATGATCATATCAAACCTGCTCGTTCATCCTTGGTCGATGTGTCCAAACAAGCACGTCTTTCAATAACCCCTTAGGCTTATTTGGCACTGTTTTCTCAGCTCGCGTGTCTCAGCTTGCGTATTGATATATGCAGGAGGCCATCCAAGTTGATGTGAGCTCGCTATCTGATTGGATATGCCATCAAATCATGACGAAGTCGGCCCCCGCCCCCCCTTTCTTTCCTTCTTAGACACTGTCGGTCGTTGTACCTACGGTCAATTTCCGAGAATGAACTACACCGCTCTTTTTCTCAAGAGCATCGTAGTGGTATCGCATGAAACTAGACGTATTCACTACATGGCTAACGCATTTCTTGCTGGAAGCTTAATAGCTCGCAGAAAGAGTTGATAGATATCATGTACTACTTGTGTTCAAAACCACAAATCTCTACGTAACTTGAGAAATCTGCCAGTCGAGTGTTCCAAACTCATCAGCTACCAGTAGTCGGGGAAAGTGGCAACCCTCCCGCCCGACTGGGTACAGTGTCCAGTCTTGCAGCCCTCACACAGACGCTCTTCGTGCGGGGCGTTGGATTCTCCAAAGTAAACTGGCGTCTCAACCGGAATTCCATTCCATTTCTTAAGCCGATATGTGATCCTGTCCACGTAGGATTGCACGTCGAGATCCGGTCGGCTTAGTCCGTTGCAGCCCTTGCATCGCTGGTGATACACTCGGACGTTGTAGCTTGCGGGGTGGTATCTTCGGATCGTGATGGCGATTCGCTTGCTTGACCACCCTTGCGTCTTGCAGTTTCCCCTGCGGCATCGAAATCGGCCCATGATGTTCGTGTCGTAATCTTGACTGCAACTGTCTTCATCGTCGTCTTCGTTGAATTGGAAATGGAGCCCGGATATGGCGAGTTCATCGGAGACCGAGGCGTGGTGTTCTGGGAACATGGACCAGCTAGGATAGGTTCTTTTCTTGTTCTGTGGCATCTTGGAAATCAAAACGAAGAGATTGGAGTCGAAAAGGATCTTCTTGGATTGGAAGTAATCGCAAGTCTGAGCTGGAAGAGAGATTGGAAGTTTTTTTCCGCATGGTGAAGTATAGGAGCTGATGATCTTTATGCTATCAGACTCAGCGGTGTAAAGATGGGAGATTGGTCACATCTTGGGTCTCACTGTGCGTCTACTCCCCATGTTTGATTGGATATTACTTAAAACATCATGCAGAAGATCAGGAGACGTTACATCAAGATGATCCGGTGGCTTGACGTTGCTTGGATCTCGTACAGCTGCGCCTGGATGACTTTGTGTCTAGGGTACCCGCATTCTGGACGCGTGCCCAACGCAATAATTGTCTCCACACCGGAGAGACAAGTCACAACTGACTGCGCTGAAATGAATAAGAGCTTGGCATTTGATTGTTTCACCTCCTCAATCGCACCCTGTGGCAAAGTTTATGTTATGATATTCAGCTAAAGGAGTAGCAGAAGTGGTATTTGTGTCAATTCATATCCTACTTCAAATCTCGCCTGAACTCAGACAGCTGAGGAGCATACTAATGTGCTTGATCACATTCGCTAGGTAGTCATCCTGAGAAGTGACCACTTGCTCCACACTCCATAGCACAGCCAACCGAACTATTTATACACATGCCACTTGAGGGGCTGAGCGTGTTCAGCTTGTGCCCACCCGAAAGCTGGCATATCAATCTCATCCCCACAAGAAGCTTGGTCATGTTTATATTGGCCGCTGGCTGATGGAACTCTGTTGGCTCATCCCTGCAAAGTGCCCAATCAGCCTCTGTGCTAATGTCTCGGGGACCCTCTGATGGAACGAAGCGTCGTGGCGTGGTAGAAGTTAGCAGATTGCCCTGGTTTCCTGTGACCACCTGGCCGCGCTTGCTGAATTAGTTGGGCTCATCTGAAAGAGCCGTACTTCGTAGTTGGAGGCTTTCCAAAGATTATAAACCCCCCGCCCATTTCGAGACCTTTGTTAACCCCGGACACGCAATGGATGTGCCTCAGTGCTGAGCACATACTTCATTTTCCCATCCCTCTTCACCTGATATTCAGTATCCTCCGAGAAAATCAGGTAGAAATACTTCAACGTCTCTGCAAGCCAGAAACTTTCCATCTTATCAACCCGCTTTCCGTCCTCGGGTGACAGCATCACGTTATGCAGCCCGGAATGACCTCCTTCGACCCAAGTTATCTTGTCCAGTGCTCCCCACGCCTCCCATGCCATCTGTTGCCATTTCCGATTGCCGGTTGCGCGATACGCGTAGTAAATACTTTCAATCGTCTCTGGCCTGAGGATATATTCGGCATTCGTGGGCCAGTAGCCACTGTCCTCGTAGAAGTTCGCCCACTTCGCTGGGGCTGGGTGGTTGGTGGCTTCTTTGGTCAGTTCCTGGTGGTCGTCGACCCACCGGAACTCCTCTGGGCCTATTCCGGTTGGGCTTTGGCGGTACACCTCGTGGTAGGATTTGGAGAGTTCGAGGCCAAAGTCGACGAAGGTCTGGTTCTGGAGAAGGAGACCGCCGAGAATGAAGGAGCCTCCACAGACGCTGGCCACTATTTCGCCATATGTTAGTAATCTAAAGGGCTCATTGAGAGAGTAGAGTGATGAAAGTAGAACTTACAGTGACTGGACATTGGCACGGTCGAATTCCCACGAAACTCGCCGAGGAAGGTGAGGTCAGTGCGGGACGTGGGATGGGATGCCAGATACCGCATAGACGACTCGGCGGCTTGAACCCAGCTGTCCTTGTAAGCGGCAAAGGCGACAGGATCATAAGCGTACATCTTGATGAGGTACTCGTAGTAGCTGTCGGAGCCACCGCCCCACCCAGCTTGGTAGTCTCCAAATTCACCATTGTTGAGGCGGACGTACGTGCCCACGAGACCAGGCAGTTTGAAACCCGTGTCCGGCTTAGGGCTAAGAAGATGAGCCTGGGCTTTTTGGGCCAGACCTGCGTAGGTCGGGTTGCCAGTGAGATCACTTAGGCGAGTCCATTCAAGAACGAGAGTGCCGATGCAAGTGATGGAGTTATCATGGTTGCCAAACCGTTTCCGCTTAGGGTTGAAGATGACTTCGTCGTCTGGAACACCGCTCGGTGTATCAAAGGCGATACTCAGGCTATCAGCAAGAGATACTGCTTGTTCTAGCAATTTACCCACCAGTTTTGGGTCTTGAACTAGGTTGCTGAAGGGGCCAGAGAGCAGGTCGTAGCCTGCATGTGTTAGCGATGGATGTTTCAATGTTTCAATGGAGATGATTACCAGAAAGCAAGCCTCCAAGGTAGCGAATGGTGGTCTCGAATAATGAGATGGGTTGGTCATCCACAGCCGTTCGGGTGAAATCAGTGATAGCAATCTGCCTAAGGATCTTGTCCACAATCTCGCCTTGTTGCATGATGATGGCGGTGCTCAACGCGTCGACAGCCGTTGCGCCCCACCCATTTCTATGCCGATGCTTCCGTGTCAGCCGATATCAATTGTATTGAATCAAATAACATCACTAGACTCAGTATTTCGTAGGTGATGCTTACCGGTCATCCTCGAATGCCAGATTGAGGGGGAGTAGGGTATCGTGGGGAAACGCGTATCTTGAATATCTGCTCCACGAGAACTGGAAGGCCGACACGATCATCTCTGCTTTTTCGGCATCTGGACTCGGCTGGACGCCACTGATGATGGCTGTCGTCTCGGTTCGCCCCCAGAAGGGCGCGGAGCTGCCATGGTACAGATACGTGGCCAGCTGCAGTGAGAAGAAGGCCGCGCCCAGCCAGAACAGCAGCCGAACGACCCTGTTTCTCATCGCCATTGTCGGTCGCTGGAGGGACACGATGCAGAGGGGCAGGCGGGATTCGGCTAGGCTTGGAAAAGCTTGCCTGGACTGAATGCAAGCTTATTTCAAGGTTAGTGAGCAGAAAAGGGGCAATGCCCTTTTCCCCTCATTAAACTAATGTGGGGCGATCGCGTCTAGTCTTTGCTTCAGCCGTGACTCTCGACCAGCTTGACCAGATGAGGCAGCGCTGGGGCCTGCCGATCAGCAATATTGGCTCTAGGATCACGATGATGTGCTCTGCTGTTATCGTTGGCTTGGCTATCGAGTTGTGCTAGAGCGGCTGGATTTTACTAGTCTCGCTCCCGTCTTTTTTCCTCCTTTCTCTTCTTTAGTCGCTCGTTCATTCATTGACTAAGGTATTCATTCATTCGTTTCACCACACTCGTTTGTCTTGTTTTGAAATCATGCGCTGGGTCTCTCTCTGTGCTGTCTTGGGCGTGGCCCTGCTCTCACCCGCAGCCGATGCTCGCCCCTGTAAGACCCGATCCACGACCACTCCGTCTGCCACTCATTCCCCAACACTGCCGGTCTCATCCATAAGTTCCGTGTCTACGCCAATCTCAACCCCCGTCTCATCGGATATATCGACGCCTATTTCTACTCCCGTTTCATCGGATGTCTCGACTCCAATCTCTACACCTGTATCATCGGACGTGTCGGTTTCGCTTTCGACCCCCGTATCGACCGATTTGTCAACTCCCGTAGAGTCGACGACTACTCCCACGTCTACACCCATTCCTGAACCGACCCCGGTGAACCTGATTCAAAATGGAAATTTCGAAGGCGAGGATGTCTCGGTCTGGGCCGTTAGGACTGTGAGCATTGAGGAAGACGCCGCCAAAGCCGCCTCTGGATCCCACTACGCGTACGTATACACAGGATAAACCACATGCGCTTTGGGCCAAATACTGACAGCAGGCAGTCGATTCTACCTCGAGAATGATTCAGGTGCCGGAGGAAACCATTTGAACCAGACTATCAATGGTCTTGACACCTCCAGACTATACCGACTATCTTTCTCGGGAGCCGTTTTTGGTCTCACTAACCTTGGTGACGCGACCTGCGAGATACAAGCCCTGGCGAACGGTAACCAGAAAGGAGCCTGGCCGATCCGAACTATCCCTGCGGGATCCTATTCCAGCTACGGCACTGACTTCATAGCCGATTCAGAAGACTTTGTCTTGACTTTTAGGGTCAGATGCTCGGGCGAGAATCTCGTTACTCTTGACTTTGCTGTTGATGACATAGTCCTTCAGGTTATCGGAGCGGTACCAGTATCGCCGATCTGATGAAACTCTACTCTCAATTCGAGCAACGTGCCATCTTGGAAACAAGGACTGCAACTCATCATTTCCCCTTTCACGTCCACTTTGCTAGCAACTATCCGTTTGGTCGTGGCCTCAGGTCTAGTCGTCATGCATGTTATGTTGTCCTATGTACGCGGCTCGCAGCCTTTGCCAACAGCAACCTACAATGCGCTGGATCATAAGTGAGAAGAAAGCTACATCATCCAAATGCAAGTAAAATCCTCGGACGGCCAAGTCCATTGTTCTAGTATTAAACAATACCCTAATATCCGATATGAGATCCAAGTGCATAGTAGTGATGTGAATTGTCTATTTGTCCCTCATTTTTAGACATAAAAAGGACGACAAACAAACAGTAACTAAGCTGCCTCCTAAAAAATCGTTTCCTAGCCAGCCTTCGACGCGCCGGATTATGTAGCATTTAGTGATTGCGAGCTGAAATAGTGGATGCGTTATGCTGATGCGGTGGAAGATCACTCCATATTGCTCTAGTAGAGCATACCTCAAGCCCTTAAGTCATTTAGGTAACTGCACCTTAAACTATTAAATACCTTCAGATATAAGGGAGTCAACCTCAGGTAGGAGTGCTGAAGAATCCCTGCATATGCATTTATATGCATACATGAGGCAATATTCTTGCGATATGTGGATCCGTAAGCAAATGGAACTTTTGAAAGGCTGAACAGATTCTTATTAATAAAGGGCTGAAGGGCTCCCGCGTTCCTGGTGGGTTATTCAACGCGCTCTACCCAAAAAATTGACCGATGCCGCGACTTATGTCAATGTACCAGCCCTACGTCGAGGATCTGGCGTCATCGCCAGATGATGAGGAGGAAGTGGAGAGGCGACCGGGATCTCCCTCAGGTAGCAGCGATCAGGATGAGGATGAGATTTTACAGCGCAGATCAGTGGCTGCTGAAGAATCGGATGGCCGAAATTCGCCAGTTATTCGTCATTATGAGCCTAAGGAGCTGAAGGATCCAGTCTGGAAGGCAACAGATCCCCTGGAAAGAGCCCATCCGACTATTGGTCAATCGCATGATGTGAAGAGAACGCCGGTGTACCGCAGTGGTGATGAGGCCAAAGAGAGAGCCGTTCCGAGCACTGATCGAGACCGCGTACAACAGCCTCTTGAGGACGATTATTATGAGGAAGGACTCACTCGCAGGCCTCGGCATTGGCCTCAATCCAGACAACTCAGCATAGTTCGACAGCGGGTTAGGTACATTGCATCGCGGAGCAAGGAAGATGATTCTGATGAATATGAAAGTCTACCGACTCGCCGCCAGATTCCATCGCCCGCAAGATTCTACAATGAACCCCGATATAGGTCGTATTCGCCCGCCACGTCCTCTCTGGATACACGTTTTCGCAGGAGACCAACTCGAGTTGACGGTAGATACCAGTCTGGTCCAAGATCTCGGCCTCGATCCAGGTATCGTTTTCGAGAAAGAAATGCTGGTCGGCCAAGACATCGTGGCCGACCAGGAGGCTACATACCAATGCATCTGTCTTCAGAGGAAGAAGAAAACTTTAGTGATCATTCTATCAAGTACAGGCCACGATTAAGGCATCGATCTCGATCACGGCATCGTGACCCCAGAGGAGGCTATATCCCGCCACCCATAAGCATCAACAACAGGCGGTATCATGCCAGCTCGTCTTTAAATGAAGATAATGCCACCAGTGATTATTATCGCAGGAATCGGTCTCAATCAAGCCGTCGGTCTTCTCCATCCTATCACGGCCAACAAGGTAGTTCTATGCCAGCCCCACCCATAATCATCAACAACAACGTCTACCAAAGCAGTGGGTCTTCAAGTGAAACCGACGATTCCGACCAAGATCCCACAGGCGGCAATTCGAAAACATTCACGTTCAAGAAGGTTGAGAGGAAGGGACTTTCAATCTCTCTGGAACTAAAGCGGTATGAGGAGGAGCCGGGAGCGCCGAGGACAAAAACTATTCACAACCCAAAGAGTGCGGAAGCACTGGCTTGGAACCAGCCGACAACATCTCTGCTTGATACTGGATCCACCTGTGAGCTCCTAAATATACAAGCGTTGGAGTATACTGCGGACGATGATGGCCTTGGGAAAACGACGCTCATTTGCCCTGGAGGTTCAATGAAGGGCTCAGACTCTGCAACAGTGCAACTGCGATGGTTGTAAGTTGAACACTACTGGTCTCAAACATCCGAAATTGGGTGTTAACTTTTACTGTAAAGGCATATCCAGCGAAACCTCTTGGTTTTTCAAGTTCTGCGTGTAAGATGCATCTTTAATCCAATTCGAAGCTTGGCGCGGCACTGACAATTGATAGAGGCTTGTTTTGAATTGCCCGCATATCTCCAACGAGCTTACGGCCGTGGCAGTGACGCTGCTGGACGATGTTGAAAAGCGACATAGCAAGATGTCCGAAAGCGGAGCTTATATTGAACCTGGGACTGTTCTCAGATGTGTTGGCAAGTATCTGAGACACGCCGGCAACAAAGAGCAATCCCTGGAGTGTGAAACCGCTTACTTCTTGTCATCTCCACACATTGATTTCCGACAGTCGGCAGCTAAAACAGGCCCCAACGAAGGATATGGCCCCAGAAGTCTTCTCCAATACCTGTACGGGTATGATCTAGACGATGGCACTACGAAGCAGATCGTGCAGAAGATGGCCGGTGGGGAAATAAACGAGCACCTTCATGTCAATCAAGTCTGGTATCTATTAATCGGATCAGACGTGCTGGTCACCATGTCAGATATGACGAGGCCGGAGCTACAAGGAAACGGCATAGCCGTGGACATACGGCCCGTTTTCGATAAGGGGTTGCTATCCATATGTCTTTATGACGAGGCAAGCCGACGCTATAACAGCGTTGTGGACCTGGACTACACATATGTCGACCTCCTACAGCATTGTGTATCGCTAGTCAGAGGGAGCACTTACGACGCCTTTGATTATGAGCTCTTGAATCCGGACGACGGAGTTTTGACACCAGGAGAGTGGCTCAGGCTCGTCTCTTCATTTGACACAAATATGCTCACTTTCTATTTCAGAGAGAAAGGGGCTGAGACTAGAGCCTCTCGCAAGTCAGATGCTCAAGATGCCGCTAGAACAAGTCGAGAGAGCAGAACCGTGAGCCGAAGGAGCTACTATCGAGATGAAGAGCGGCAAGTGATAGTTCGCCGAGGAGAGTACGTTCGTAGAGATAACCTGCCAGCGCAGCCTACGTCTCTATCCACTATGCCGAAGCCTAGTGTCTTTTCTGGTCGGTCAGAAGATACAGCCCTCGTGCGCCATCGTCAAGATGGTCGAATGAAGAGACAACCCAAGGCTGACTCGCCTCGCCGCTCTTACTCACCTAGCCCTCGCCGCTCTTACGCTCGTAGCGTATCAAGGGGTCGCAGACGAAGAACATCACCGACTTCCTGGTATGTTCCAGCTCAAAGACTCAGAGTAATCACAAGATCAGTAAGCCCATCTGCTTCCTCTGATTCTAGCTCCGATGAGAAACCTGAGGAATCACAGACTCAGTCGCAGAGTCGTGTAGACCACGGGAATACTGGAAATGACGGGCTGGAATTAGCCTTCTCAGATGGCCAAGCTCATCCATCGGTAGACGATAAAATCTCGGCAAGGAATTCGTTTTCGGGCAAAATTAATGAGTCAACACAGACCAGCACGAAAGATAGCCCAACTATGACAGAGGACAAGAGGCTTTCATATCCAGCCTTAATGCCTATTTACCAAGAGGAGCAGGACTTGACTGCCGCTGCCGCCCAAGATGTTGACCATATTGAAATTACGATGGAAGAAATATCGGAACAATCACCTGAAGCGAAGAACTGGCCCGTAATCCTTTACAATCAGGCGTCTTCCCCCCAGGTTCCAACCCAAGGCGAAGACCTGAGTGAGCAAGAAGTGGACTCATCGAAGGAAAGAGCTTTATTATCTGACATAGATTCTTACCCTGCCCTACCTCGACGCCGCAGCACAGGATTCGGCTCCGTCGGCAACAGGGCAGTTACATTGTACAGAGGTCCGAAGGCCAAGACCGACGATGGAATAAGAACCCGCGTTATAAGTCGACCTCGCGGACGAGTAGTGTTAGATGGTCCGTCAGAGTATGGAAATGATGCCACAAATCATGGTCGGGATAACCGAAGGGACCGTTATGCATCTCGGAGGTACCACGAAAAACCGTCAAGACCCCGTGGCCATACTATCAAGTGGACAGACAAGGTAGCCAAGTCAGAAAAGGTCACGAATGAAACTTTATTTCGAAGAAACAGGGGTACCTCGGTCTTTACACTAGGGAATCTGTCCGACAATGAAACGTCTATCACTAATTCCGACGAGGAATCCTCAGATGCAAGTCCTTCTGCTAGTCTATTCTCTTTTCCTCTGACTTGCTAATGTTTCTTAGAATGGCAAATCAACGAGAGCTTCTCTGTCATCAAGCTCATCAAGACGCTGGGGCCGGAACTCCGATCTAGACTCCCATACTACATCCGAGGCTGATATGTCCGGCCACAGAAGCTCACACGAAGCATCTGAGTCAACTCGGAAGGGATACCGCTCCATTCCGCGACGGAGATCTTACGACGGCATTGGTGGCGAGCATATCCAAGGACTGACTGGCGCCAATCGTATCAAAACTGTACAGTTTCGTGATTCTCATGATGGAGCACACAGCTTTACACCATCGAATGCTCTAGTAAGAAGGCTCCGCAGCGAAGGTCCTCACCAACAGCCGTCTACCGAAAGGAAGCCCGGGAGATCTCCAGACGTCGTGGCGGTCCCGTTCTTGGAATGGCCACTCAAGAACGACACAGACCATCGAGATGCTACAGATATCGAGAAGAACTTGATAGGAATTTTGACTTCCGTGAACAGGAAGCTACGTTCAGGTGAGATTTCGCGGCTTTATGGGAACGCTTTCCGGTGTACTTTGCAAGACCTGAATCGACGACACAAAGTATTGTTTCTGGATCCTGAGGCTGAGCTGAAGGACATTTCGGTTTCGAACCAGGGACCTATTTCCAAGCAAGATAATGACAGCAGCGAGATTGGTGCGCGTGATGTTGATAGCGGCCCACCGAATGACCACCAAGCTGCGAAGTCCTTGGGAACTGAGGCTGACGGGGAGGCCATGCCCCGATTCCCAAAAGCGCAAGAACTCAAGGTTGTCAAGCATGAACTGGTGATGATGAAGGAACTGTACGATGTATCTCAGCAGATACTGGCTGCCTTTGTACCAAAGGAAGGTAGTCTTTTGAGTCATCACATATATGTACACTTTTGGGGCGCGGTGGATAGTATTTATCGAGTAAGTTGCCACTAGCCACTGATATCTGCACAAAACTAACACCGTGAGCAGCAACTATTATGGGAAGCAAATGATACAACATACGCCAGCCAGAATCACTTCGTAATCAGAGACTACGATGTGGCAAGAAATGGGAAGAAGAAAGCCAACTCTCAGCTGGTAAAGTCCTGGGTGGACTGCCCAAAGTGCTGCAATAAAGCAACATACATAACTGCTTCACATGCTCTGAGCCATCTTCATTCCCACCGCGAATGCTCATCCACAACCAAACGACCATGGGACGATCCTTGCTACGTCTGGATCCAAAGCGTCGGGGATAGCTCGGGCCAAGTCCCAAAGCCACGAAAGAAGATTCTCAAGAGGGCGGGGGAGTTTAAAGAGTCACTCCTGCACCTAAAGGAGCAAATCAGTGAGCTACACAGCCTTGTGGCAAATGCCTGGGGAACAAGGAAGTTAAAGAGACCCCCGCTACCAACCAGCCTCGTCAAGGCCTTTACACAGCTCTTAACCCTATATCTCCTGCAGGCTCAAGACTTATCATTGTTGAATAGGATCTACAGCGCAGCTAGTGTTGAAGGAAAGGAGCCCCGACTGAACTTGCTTATGCTAAAGCAACAAGAATTGGAGATTTATTTGAAGGAAGTGAACATCAAGGTGAGAAATCTGCTTCAAGATGCAAAGAAGGATATCGTTCTCCTGGGGAGCACAACTCGTGATATACACAGTCTCGGTGTCGAGGCTGTCGGTGCAGAGTTCCTTATAATGTCGCTGGTCGCGAATGCCCAGAACCGCAGGGTTATACCGGAAGCCCTGGTTTCATCCAGGAATACGACAGACTACATCTACCTATACAGAACTTATATCGCCCGACTACGCTTCCAAGCCAGTAAACGTCCCCAGAGACGGCTATTCCTTGATATCGATGTCCTGCAAGAGGAGCTCAGCGCTGTCAGTATGGTTCACCAGGCTCAATCCCGGCTGCTGGGAAACTATCTCAAGCTCTTATCACCAGGGTCATTTCGCATGACAACGAAAACAAGAGTTGGCATCTTCAAAACAGAAAAGGCATTAGCTCGCAGGCAACAACGCCGGCTATACACCAGAATCCAGGATAGTAAAGACTTGACTGATAAGTTAAGCTACCTGAAAGAGCGAGTGAAGCAGATGATCGAGATTATAGAGGAAGATCATGGTAAAGCCATCAGAGTATTTACCATTGTTACCCTCTTCTTTCTCCCCCTTTCTTTTGTGTCCAGCTTTATGGGAATGAATACGGCGGATATCAGGGATATGGAGCGCAGTCAGAGTATATTTTGGACAACAAGCATCCCGGTCACCACACTCGTGCTGTTTGTGGCTTTACTCTACGGGTACTATGGGGATGGTATTGCGGACTGGTTGGCGCAGAAGACTCACACGACACAACCGGCATGGAAACAACAGCAGCTAAGGTCACCATCAATGGTTAGCAGGAGGACGAGATTAGTCTCCCGAAAAACAACTGACAGTCTTGCATTTTAATTAAAGATTGCAAGAGCCTGAATAGCCCATACGGTAGGAAGTCCATCATAACTGCAGCCTGTATAGCTGACGGCCGATGACTCGAATGAGAAACTCAATAGAACTTAAATTCTAGATAGAACTATTGGTTAAGAAGATAAAGCAACACCATACAGTTTGCTTTGGCCCATCACTGACTACCTTTAAATATTTTATACAGCCTGAGAATCATGGCAGTATCCAATCTGGAGCTTAGGATAATCACGACTTTGGCTGATGCTTTGTGACTGCCCGGGAGAGAGTCCATCTTAATGTATGCTTGAAGTTAAAGAGAATACTTCCAACCCTCATCGGGGCTTGCCCACTCTTGCAAAAAGTTTGGAAACGCCTGTTTGATCGGCTGGTCAATCAGAAACCCGCTCATTTCCTTCTTAACGCAGCCACGACGGAGAGGCTTGGATCCCGGGGACAAGCGGTCCTTCACCCACTGCAGCCATTGCAACTGACTCGCTTGTATAATCGAAAAGTGGCTCATGTCCGCATATGTAATCATCTCCAGCGACTCATCCCAGTTCTCTTGCTTCAGCATGGCGCATGTATCATCCACCACGGAATTCACAATGTGGATAGGTACAGCCAAGTCCGCAGTTCCGGCGGCAATGAAGAGTGGCCCTTTGAATCTTTTGCGTCCGATGTCAATCGCAGCTGAGTACTTTTGAACAGTGTCATCCTTCGTCCAACCGTCTTGCGCGAGCTCACCAGGTTTCAAGTCGCTGAATATATAGCTATCTGTGGGGAAGCAACCAGATAGTGGCTTCAAGATGTTGACCCAGCGCTCATACGCCGCGGGGCTCAGCCCTGAGTAGTTATAGGCTGGGTATGTTGCGGTAATAGAAGAGATGATCTTCGGCTGGCCAGAGAGAAGAGCAAGGGCCCATAGTTCCGTGGGGCTCTCCAGTGCGAGCTCGATATGTTTTATCACATTGGTAGGGGGTGCAATGAGAGCAGTTCCCTTGTATCCCTCAATGGGTTGCTTGACCAACCGTTCAGCAAATCCCCATGCCGTCTCTGCTCCTTGCGAATGGCCCATGGCAACAAAGGGGCCAGACGGCTTCAAGTACTCGGGAAACGCTTTGCGCGCAGCGATGATGGCATTGGCGAGGTCATTGGCCTGTGCAGGACCTGCTGCCCAAGGATGTGCAATATGCTCACCAGTTGGAAGAGTGTCAACACCAAGGCCGGCGTAATCCGGGGCGACCACAATATTGCCCTGGAGAGCAAGGAGAAAAGGCACCATGAAATGATATTGCAAGTTTCGATAATTGCTGGGGGCACAATTTTTGAAACTGCCAGATGTTCCATGAGCCCAGGCCACCATATTATACCCCCCAGTGCTATTGTGAGAGCCCGCAGGAGCGTAAGGCCAGAGAACATAGCCACTAGTTGGAATGACAGTCCCGTTCAGGTTGGTGGTTGTATACATAATACGCGAAAGAGTGAGGCCGTAAGGAACGCTGTACAGAGATTGGTTGGTGACTTTCTCAACTCGAAGCAAAGTCCCAGGGGCCATACTGGAAGAGAAGTTTGAAGGGGCATTGTAGAACTCAAAGTCGGCCGATGCGTGTTGTTCCTTCTCCCAGTCAGATGCAATTTGTCCCCGGCATGTTGCGTTACATTCGGGAGTGTCTGCGGCAACAGAAGTGCGCAGCGCAGCAAGTATCGCTAACAAAAGATAGGGCACATGCATCGTAGAACAAGCGAGAGAAAACGATTTTGTTGTTGGTACAGATTTCTCCATGGCATACGGAAGGTGGGCTTGTAGCATTCTTATATGCAAACCAATATATGTACGCATACATCTATCTGTTGTTCTACTTTCAAATGGTTGTCACACGTTTGGCGGACGGCGCGGGATCCTTTGACAATGGCTTTTAGGAATACGCTTTGGGATACGCTCTGGAATACGCTCCAGTTTGTGGCGTGTCAACCGATAAGGGAGAAATGATCTTTTGGGTGCGTCTGACCATATACATGGGAATGCAACCAAGGGTATCCGGGAATAATACCTACGATACTCTTGGACAACTGCATTTGGTGTCTTCACAAACTTATGAAGCATCCTCCTAACGCCTCTCGAATCTTTTTTTGTAAGCAGCATATAACCCTAGGGAGAATCACTCAACTCGACTTCAGTGGTTGCTGTACGCAGAGACAAGGACCCGTAAGCAGGTAGACTTGGCCAGTGTGAGTGCCTTGTTCTTCATCTGTTCTAGTATGACCATATTATGTCAGATTACGCTCCATGGGTGTCTAGGACAGGATGGCAATGACAGGTATACTTCGTAAATACCAAACAAGAATTACAAGACTCGCCTCAGCGAGCCTTGGCTCCCCGCTCCGCCTTGGTCAACGAGCTCACCGGCGGTGGCCGTCGCCCACCATAAATGCTTCATTTTGTATAGAACCTTTATTAAAATCTCTATATTTTATTCCTTTACAGAAATGTATTCTACACGCCGTGTTGGTAATAGCTTTCTTGACCAGCCTAGGTGGCTGCTGATGATAAACAAAAACGCCAGTAAACCTAGACCACCGAGTGCATCCTCCATGCCTCCCCTGGCTCATCCCCGTAAGAATTTTCACCCAACAGTGCCGTCCATCAATCGCTCCACGAGTTCATCCTCGACCGCAGTATACCATTCTTGCGTCTGAAACCCCTCGTCGACTAGGGCCTGCAAGCCCTCGAGCACGAAGTTCTGGCAGTTCCAGCTCATATTTAGCCGGCTTTGGACGGGAACTCCCGCAGTCACAGCGACCGGCACCATCTCCTCGCCTCTAGTTACCACGACGGCACCGGCATTTACGTGAGCGCAGTAGTTAGCCTCGAGAGCCCAGTCTATCGCTCCGCGTGCCCGATCCACCATCCACGGGCCCGTCTCGCCGACGCGCTGGATGTGCACTGTCTCGCAGAAGTCCGGGAGTTCTGGCGACGTAAAGTACAGAATGACATGGCGCTTGAAGTACATGTCTGGCTCGCCGCGGAATATGAAGATTGTGAGGCATATTGTCGTGTGAGTGGCGTCAGAGTCGTTCTCGGGCGACTGCTCCTGCTCCTGCTCGGCCTGTGGGATCGATTCTTCGCTTCCGGATTGTGCGGGCTTCGACACCAAGTGACTGGCAGATATTACGCTGGTAACCATTTCAAATCTGAAATGGAGGCATTATTCTGCCGTTGGTGAAAATTGAGTTGGGTCTTGCAAATGGTCGTTCAACGAAGGTGGGAGAACGTCATTCGGGTTGATCTGTCCCCGCTCAAAAGCTCAGTCATCTCATCCTTCAGTTTGCTGGGCCTGTGGCTCATTCCAATCACGCCTGTTATTCATCATGGTCAATATGTGGGGACACTACTTTACTGAGTTAACAAGTACACCATCCCTTCGTGGTAATCCCGGAGAGTTCTTGTGCTTTACTAACAGGCTAAAGTAAACTTTCCAGGTTCTCTCCACTTGCCCTAACGCGGTTAGCACTACTATTGGATTCCTGATCCTGATGATAAAACAAGTAGCAAACAAGTTATGTATCTTGGTCCAACATCGTAGCGGGACTGGTATTTATTGAATGGGCATATTGCAGTAGAATTATTCATGTGGTCCAGTGATACGTCACTGGAAACTACCTCTTGATGCTGAGTAGAAGTTTCGTCAAGTTGTTGGCCTTGTTGAAGTGAGTTTGAGAATTGCCCGATGCCATGAGAAGCTTGCTTATCAAAGCCATGTAAAAGACAAAGCCCCTAGGTACTTCATATAGCTTATGAAACTATTTTCTTTTCTGGAAGAATCAGTGAAATACAGTCAACTAAATGTACTTAATCACCTACTTGCTTTCTTCAAATTTCCTCTCACTTCTCAACCACCCACATTGTTAAGCACTCTTGCACACCAAGCAATTTTCTTGCCCGCGAATACTTCCAACTATCAACCAAATTTTGCGTCGATATCGTGCGGCATTAATGATGCAGGGCTATATTCAACCATCCGATATGTCCTTGAACGATAGCGTCTCAACCCTCGATCTTGGTCCACCCTTGCTCGCATCCGACCTATCATCGGACCACGGCGGCTCTTCTGCGCTCAATGCAGATATTGAAATAGACCCTTCTCTAGCCGATTGTACTATCATACAAGCTTTGGACGTTTCAGACTGGAAGTTGATGCAAGAGCCTTCAGAAACCGATGAAGTTGACGCGACCCATTTTGCTACCCACTTGGAACTCGCATCGGTTCCCTCGTTTGACTCTCTCCCGATTTAGAGTTAGACCTCCTACCCAATATAAACAACATTGGGTCCGAATCAGAGCCAGCATGGTCTTCTGGAGGTAGCACTCTGGTCGAGGACGACTCCGAAAATGGGTATGAAAATGTCGAGTGGGAAGCCGGGTGGCCATTATATTCTTGGGATTCCTCTAGTGACGGTCAATGGGAGGTGGTTTCCTCTGAGGGATATAATGCGCTGTCGAGCGCCGAAGCTATGTCATCTGAAGATGAACCATGGATAGACACGACTTACAGCACGCCATTTCCTCACCGCCGGTCATTTACAAATAGACGGGCTCGACAGCCTACCCTTCGCGAGGCAGGAAGAGGTAATGGATACCATGAGCCCCATATTCGGCATAACAGCTCTGGCAACGATTACGAGCTGTCCGATGCGAGCTCATGAGAAACCGGGGCATACGTACCCTCACACCACGCGATTTCAAACGCACAGAGAAAGCGAGGTTCACCTAGCGCATATGAACCCTTTGCACTGTTCAGGCTGCAGCTAATTACACGTCGCGTCTCTATTTTCTCCGTCTCAGCAAATCAAACATCCTATGACAGGATTAAGCATTGGTTATGAAGGCTATTAAATTGTGTTGCCTCACCTTGAATTCTCTTACGCAAACAGCCGGGACTGGGCCGCCAAAGCGTTATATCAAGGTGCGAGCTACAATGTAGCGTGCGAGGAGCCTCTTTGCCACTTTTACGACGCATCAATATAATATCTTCGCTCTGAAATGGATGGAGATGAGATCACATGTGGGTGCATTTCCTGAGGCCCACGGGACGAGGCAGCCTAAACCTTCTCAAGATCCGTTGGTGATGATTGCGTGACGAAGCTTACGGACATCTACACGTGTTGTCCAGGATTCTTTTGCCCATACGTCCAGAGGTCATTCCGAGACGTTGTGAATCTCAATAGCCTGTGTGAGTTCCCAACTCCTCGTGCCTGGGGTATGCGATTCCGAATTCACTGCCGTGAGCCTATTATGCATTTTTGGTACTTTATTGTTTCAAAAATAACCAATTCTGCTCATCGGAACCGTTGGAGCGTCAATGAGGCCGGTTTCAAGCTCCTGTTGACTGATCAATCCACCACCGAATATTCACTCAGTCAGCTAGGAGGCATCTATTCGGTGTGATCAAACCTATTACGGATAGCCTGGAGCGGCTGAGTGTAGAAATTGCTGGGGGAATCAACCAGCATCAATTGATTCATCGGTGATATATGTCACGCTTGATAACCTTCCACTGATTTTATTCAGGTGATGATGAGGTCCATGGCCGCTCAGACCCAATGAGGCATATGCAAAATCAGCTCAATTTCGATCTCTGGTATATTTTCCTCGGGATCTTCTGCATCTGTATTGCTGAGGCCGGAAAGATCGCAGATACGGATGAACCAGTGAGCCATCCTCCACCGTCTCATATCCAGTTCGAGGTGCTAATCTTATACAGGCATTCAGTGTCTGGACCGTCTTCTTCGAGGCCACATCTGCCTAGTAGGTCTCCCATCATTTTCCCACTTATCCTCTCCCATCTGTGCCCTAGCCCACCCCTTGGATTGAGTCTCTGCACACCTTCTCATCTCCCAGCCATAGACTCCGAAAGCACATACATGATTCCTCCATCTGATTGTTTTTCATTTCCGCTTTATTTCATCCCAAACCCGCTTGCAAATACACTAACTGTCTCTTTAGTGGAAATGTTGGGTTGAGCCTCGGTCACCCAACCGTGGCAACCTCGCTTTGCGGTATATTCACCATTTTCAGCAAGCTCGTGATCTGCGCCATGATGATCCGCGGGCGCCACCGCGGTCTTCCGTATGCCCTAGACAGAGCCATCATGTTGCCAGATCAACCATTACTCGATCTCGAACCTGAAGATGAAAAAACGGTCTAACAACTGACCGATTCTTTAACAAGCCAAACAGCCAACCAAGCCAAATCAACGCACGCAACGTGACCGCCATGCTGGGTTCACGGCACGGCCTCTTGAAACCTTCCCCTCACTCTCTCTTTCTTCGTTCATCAGGATGGAGCCCTTGGCGGAGCGTCTACATGCATGGCCATGATGTATGTAGACTTGTTCGAATGTCTGCTTCCCTTTTGGAGTTGCTCGATCAGCATGGCAGGGAGAAATGGGTTGTGTGCCCCCACTCTCGTTTTCTTCTTTCTTTCTGTAGTCTTAAGCTTCTTGAGGCTGAATAGTTTAGTATTTTCTTTCTTGATAGATTTTGCAAATCGCCTGGAAGGATCCGGGAGATGAGCATCATTAGTGGGAATTACTAGATATAGATAATAACACCACTTTACTACCATCGTAAATAGACTTGGGAATAGACTTGTGAATCACTTGATGTACCGGGAGAGAGTCTTCAATCTGTGGTTGTTAAGGTCGGAGCGCATCGTCCAAGATGCCAATGTTCGATTTGGGGTCTTGTTGCGGGGCATCTTGATGAAGGGGAGAAAAACTCTGCGGTGGTATGGTCAACTTGGATTCTCTCTAGGGGGGTACACATGGTTGGTAATGTTCCAATTGAAGACAATTCATTTTGTGATCGTATCATGCTGGGTATCTTCGAGTAGGAGAGTGTCACCGTGTGATGCGTAGCAAAAAGGCAGTCGTTCAAGTAATACGGGTAGTGATAACGACAAGCTTTCTTGCCCCTTTGGTAAAATATCTGTCAGGGTAGCAGAGAGTTTGAGATGCTTTATAAACACTTATTTTTGGTTGTGGGCTTATCTAGATACCTTAACGGGCCGTCACCTTTGTCGTCATGTCGGTTGCCTCTGGGCTGCCTCTTGGCTGCCTCCTGACTGGCTGCCTCCTAAGTCCTAGTCGGCTGTACACAAAATTGAATGGCTGATGCCATCTGCTTATCTAAATGCGCGGCTAGGGATCAATAAAAGATAAAAGCGAGCTGCATGATACAAATCAAAACATCCCGCCCAGCTGCCCCCGTCCCCTTTCCTTCGCACACTTGTTCTGTATCTAATTCTCCCGGCTTTCCGAGCAACTGCGGACAGAGGCTTGAGCTATAATGTATTCATCTGACGTTGAAAAGTATAGACGGCTCATGTGACGCTTGCGCAATCCACATCCTCGTCTTTGTGTATGGCATTATCCTTTGGTCGTTTCCCGCTGGATCATAGGCTTCTCCTCAGCTGTGCCATGGCCTGGCAAGAGAGGAAAAAGAAATCACTTTGACATTTTTGCCCCTATAAGATGATTCGACTCTAGACATTAGAAAAAGATTTCTTTTTTTATTCACTACGTGTATGTGAATCCCTCCTGACTGCTACTCTCGTATCTTAGCTGCTTTATGATACTTCAGGGCTCGGTGAGTAATCTTCATCGCTCTCACGACCATGCAAGTGGCCATTGTGAAAGCCTTCAGCGTCCTGGCAAAGAGCCCCGATGCTAACCTTTGAGCGTTTCTTTGTATCAGCATGCTATGATATATTGGACCCGGCATCGGGCTAAGACTCACTACTTTGACGGAACAGCATTTAGGGTCGGCATGCTCGTATCCGCAGATTCTCTCGAGGTCATTCGCGGAATTGGGGATTGAGTCGGCTATATTCGTTGGATGTTAATTTCATAATCATAGTTCAAGCCAACATCGTGGGTGGCGTATTCCTGGGTGCTCTTACGTTTGAAGCAACGGAGGTAGGCGAGGTTTAGGAGGCCCGAGTTACAGCACAGAAGCTTCCCTGAGTGTGGGCAGGCTTCATAATTATTTGCGGCAACGATTGACACGGCGGATAAAAGAGCAACAATGAGATGCTTCATGATGCCAGATTTAAGGAGTAACTGGCTCTGGATGGGATCGTAGGAAGAAAATGGCCGTTCAACTATGGTAGGACCAGACGGCGAGATATAAGTTCTAAAAGACTTGAACCTCCTGTCTTTGATGTGGACAGAAATTGTATATAAGACCGTCTTGTTTCGTATCTGAACATGGCTGGAGATGTCAGCATTCCCCGTTGGATCAACTACCCAGGCCCACGCCCGAGACATAACCCCTACCTCAACAGTCGATTAAGATCCAAACCCAATGTCAATAATAATCTTGAATTTGACATAAGGCTCAGTGAATAACATGGACTTGGCGATATGCAAATAGAGTCCAACCTCCAGAGCATGCGAAGATCATACAAGCAACGCATATTCGCAGGATCGCAGGATCTTTGAGTCTCAAAAGACATTCAATACCATGGTATCAGCCCAGCCTAAGACATGAGACATAGAAGATGAAGTCCCATTGGTGGATTCAATGGTGTAAGGAATATACAGCGGTCTCGAAGGTCACGGCACTCTCTAAGCGAGACACATTTCTATCCGCCCTGCCGGGTGCATATTTTTGGATTTGGAATGTAGACATGCATTCATCAATATCACGGGTTAGCATTCTTCGATAGGTCGAGATTCAATTCAGATTTCTATGGCCGCTTAACTCAAGGTAATCGCCGTTCATCCGCTGGTTCGCTCTCGGATCAATCACATCTTCATCGGTAGCCGTAAGCATCAGCTCCTCTGGAGTTTTCAGAACTAATGGATCTCCAGAAACGTCATATGGTATGCAAACTTGACTCATTCTTCTAGCGTGCTTATATCGCATCAATTGCATTAAACTCATTGGGTATCTAGTGTCTAGTCTATCACCACTCTAACCTATCATCACATTTCAACTCAACATCAAATCTCTCTTCGCCCCTGTAAACCTTACGACCTGAGTTGAGCTTGGCAACTTCAGTGTGGATGTTGGAAAGCATACTGCCTGGGCCGCTTGCAACAACGACGGTCCGCCCGCGAACCACGTCATTAACAAACGCCGGCACGACAGCGCCAACATCAGGGCGTCCTGGATTATGCGAGCTCGATCTCAAAGCACGGACCCTCGTCGCAATGCCCTTCTCCTCATTCGCCGAATGTTCACTATCAGAAGCGTGCGATGATGCCGTCTCCTGGTCCTGAGTGACGAATATGCTAATACTAAGGCCGTGTGTTGATGCAGCGGATCTAAGCTGCTCAAGCTCGGGCTTAACCCATTCCACGTCCTTGTGGTGCTTCACCGCCCACACAAGACTGATCTTTCTGTCCACGCTGGGAGCTTGCCGCTGGAGCCACAGTAGAACCGGCAGAACATACGTGATTCCAGTGCCACCGGCCACGCAGAGGACATTGACATCGGCCGTGAGATCCGAGACAAGGTTCTCACCATATGGGCCCTGCATGACAACCGGCGTCGTGACCGCGGTGTTGCCCTCGGCAGTGGAGAGCTTGCTGGCCACCTGGTTGGCCACCTTCTTCGTCTCGCCCTTCTTCGCGCGGAAGATGTAAGAGTGGAGGACTGTGCCGTCCTTCTCCACCGACAGACTGAGCGGAGTGAACGGGTGAGATTGCCAGATGCTGGCCTGGGTGAAGCAAAGATAGAAGTGCTGTCCTGGATTCCAAGGAGTTTGAGGGTGACGGTAGTCGAGGCGAACAATGTCGCCGTTTTCAGGGTCGGGAAACAGCGTAGCGACAGCATCGGCGGTTTTAAAACCCATGGATCCGTCGGGCAGAAACTGGTAATGAATCAAACCCGACCGGATCGCTCGAATGAGCCGGTCAACAAACCAGAGGGCCAGACCAGGCACCACTACCAAGAAAAGTGGTTAGAGAGTACAAAAGAGAAATGGGAGCTTGGGAAATTACTTACAGAAAGCCTTCAATGGGTCCCAATGCCCCCAGCATGCGCCGATATATACCATAGCGAGGATGTAGTGGCTCTTGCGGAAGAATTCGTAGCCGGTCAGGCGAATAGCCCATGGCGTCGATAGAACGAAGAGTATAAGGAGCAGAATCATGGCCACACAGCCCCAGATCATGTAGAGTTGCGCAATCCATTTGTTAGCCACCTGCGGTTGAGGTTGGTAATACACCGTTTCGATGACCGTCCACCCAATGGTGTGGAGGAGAGACTGGACAAAAATGATGTATCCAAGCCATCTGTGGAGGAAATTGAAATTCTGATAGGGGATGCCGGTAAGCTGCGACAGAATCGACTCGCGCGAAGCCAACATGACGGAGAAGGGAGTCAAGGCGTATGCGATGACTCCGACGCGGTCGGACCAGGGCCCGAGGCCAGACCGAGTCTGGTAGAGGTTGTCGTAGCCCTTGACTGGTGTTCTCCAGGCCTTGTACGTGATGCCGACAAATGACCAGATGGTCAGATAGCCAGTGAAGATGGCGAGAACCAAGATCTGGAGGCGGGTGGTGCGGCCAAAGATGGAGCGTAGTGATTGAGGGAGCAGATACTGCCTCGTTGCAGCGCCAATGGCTCGTCGTATGCGAAAGCCTGCCGATCTTGCTTTTGGCTGCTTCTCTGATCCAGTTTGAGCAGCAGCAAGAGGAGTGGCATAAGCATGGCGGAGGATTGCCCAGATGAGGAGGATGCCGCCAATTGTCGCCCACAGGATACCAGAGTAGAGCATACTGCGCTCATGGCCGCCGTAGACAGCCTCGAAGTACTCGCAGGTTCCAGCATCATTGGCGCACGGCACGACTCGCACAGCGTACCCCCAGTAAGGGACGGTTGTGCTCTGTGAGATGTCCTGCGACTGGTAACCCACACGGGCGAACAAGTTGATCAGTCTGTCCTTCATGTTGTCGTCGGCCAGCCGCTCGCTACAGATGCTAACTTGAAGGGTGGAAATCAATCGCAGGCTGGAGAACTAGGACGAGGCGTCGATGACATTGTTTCTATACCATTGTGTCTCCGGTTCACGGTCCGCTCCACCATAAAACATGTGGAGATGTCATGGATGAAGCCCCAGCCAATCTGCATAAAACCGACCACTAAATGGAAATAACGCTATTGGATGGGGTCGTATTGACACCTGCAAGCCTCGTTCTCCGTTACCATCTCCTGATAAACCAGTACCAATTCGCCTCATTGCGTAACGGCCCGCAGGGAGTTTGAGAGGATTCGTCTTCTGGTATCCAGAAAACGAATCCGCTAGAGCACTGTTAACCTTGTTTTCTGGCCAATGACAGTTCGGGAAACTTGCTCAAATACGCTCAGCAGCGTGGGGTCTGCTCCTGGCTCCGGCTCTTGGCTGTAACAGAAACGGAGATGAGACCGACCAAATCCATCTTTTCTTGTTTGAGAGGGGCTGTAATGGCCATTAGCTGTTGCATGGTCCCGGAGGTTTTGGTACCGAAGAAAAACGTGCTCACTTCTTGCGATTGCTTCCGAGCCATAGATATCATTAACCAGTTCCTCTCTACTGTCAGAAGTCAAAGCCGTATACACCCCATTTTCTCTGACTCGTGTCTTGTTTTTAAGCATTCCTTCCATCTTATCAGTCTAGACCTTCATACCCAGAGGCAACCACTAGCCATCATGGATCACGGTAGCGCAGATTCAGCCGAGTGCAAAACGGCGGTATGTTCTATCTTGATACATCCTCTCGCGCCCAATTGACCAGACCGATACTAACGATTCATGGTTCTAGATGCTATGGAATTGGGACACTGTTGATACTTGCGTGTTCGCTTCATCATGGCAAATCACCAGCGGCGGCATTATGGCTGCCTCGTGCATCGGCGTAGCTCTGCTTGTTGTTCTCCTCGAGGTGGTGCGTCGCGCATCCAAGGAGTACGACAATTTTCTCCTAGGCCAGTATCAGCGCCGGGCCTCTTACGTCTTCTCAATCGCATCCTCCGACGGCAGCGAGATCAAGTCAAGCGACTCCGCGCCACGCACTCTCGTACTACGCGCATCGCTTCTCCAGCAGCTCACGCGCTCAATCTTATACGCCCTTACGTCCGGCCTCACGTGGGCTCTCATGTTGATCGTCATGTCGTTTAATGGATATCTCATCATCTCCATGATAATTGGCGCAGGACTGGGCAAATTTCTGTGTGACTGGTTCGTCGTGAAGATAACCGAGGGACCGTCGAGTAGAAGCGGCACTGCGGATGCCATCTCCAATCAGCAGCAATCTAGCAGCTGTTGTAACTAGATTATTGCACTCGATAATTCATTCGCTCTTCTTCCAGCGTGCCTAAGATGCCCGCAATAGAGATTGTGACAATTCGCGCATCCATCAGCGTGACCTACTTCTCGTTTAACCTATACTTAATCTTTCTGCTTTACGGCGGAGGTTGAAAGTGCTTTGGGGTCAGCTCCACTTGAAATTAGGTAGGATTCTTCTGTAGGCTATCTTGTCGCCAATCCCTACTTCTTGTCAATTAGAGCTTAAGCAATTCTCCGTGGCAGTTGCATTTGATTGAGAGTGCTCCATGTATTGAGTCAAGTACTTCGAAACGTGTCCCAACCATATCAATTACCCTCTCGATCTGCTCAAATACATTGTTGATAGAATGGCTCCATTAGTTCTCCTCGCTCGTCTTTCGCTGGCATGCAATATTATCAAACATGCCGTATGTGAATGAATAAGGTTGATAAAATACTTTGATGCAATCTGCTGGCGGGGTTTGTTAAACTAGGGAGTTTCCGTTCTCACTACGGGATTGGGATCATCTGACGAAGGGGACGAATCCCTATCATGCTGCAAGCACCTAGTTCTCGCTCGCGCAGAAATCCGAGATAGAGCAATGAATGAGTAGCTCCAAAATAGAAACTTTGCATAAGAAGCCCAGCCTTTCGAGGGCTGTGTTACTGGTGCTATTGTGATACACTTGACCAAACCGTCATCCTCTCCACAGCTGGTAATATTTGAAGACACCAATACGCAGTTGTATGACTAGGCTTTCGAATGTTTTCCTACTGGTGGCATCTCTAAAGTGACACATCATGGCAATGGCGACGTTGATTGGCCCTTACTCCCGTAATCAGATGCAGCAGGCCAAATGCGCGAAATGGTGCGTCAATGGACGAGTCTATGATGATATCAAAGTTTCATCCAGTGAAATTGACTTTACATCCCGGCGCTATTTATTTCCAGCATAGCCCGCATGTTCTGCGCTATAATTCATCGCTTTGTTCATGTATCTTTGATTTCTTTAGGCGTGATGTTATATATGGTGCGACACAATGGCAACGACAACTATCAAGCCGAACTACTTCACATGCACGTTGGGCCATGCGGCGCAGAGCAAGGATCAAGATGGACATTTGGATCATAATTTTGGTACTGTAATGCAGTTGATCGATGGGAACTGCCGCCGCTTCCCTCAGGCGCCCGCTTTAGGCTTTGCGGACTACGCGTCCAGGCCGCATAAAGCTCATGGTAATCTCATGAACGAACCATCCCCACAGTTTGAGTTTGGGAACAACAGCTAAGAAGCGTGCTAGATATTGACTTCTTAACGTTCGGTGAACTATCAAACTTATCATATCATGCCGCCGATAGATTGCGAGCTTTGCTTGGACCAGCTTCCTCAAGGAATATTTCCGTTGGATCGAATATCGGACTGCTGTCCACGAGCAGCATCGACTTCGTCCTGACTTGGCTTGGCCTTTTACGACTGGGATACACGGCAGTCTTTCTTGCGTAAGTTCTCAAACATTCCCGAAAGTTGGTTTTAAATATCCGCTGACTATTCTTTTAGTCCTCAGCTGCAACCACAGGCAATTGAGCACCTTTGTGCCACATTGAACGTACAGGTCTTGCTCGTGGAGGGTTCCTCGAGTATTGCCATAGAAGGAGTGGAGCAAGTTGAGATTCCTCGTCTGTGGCCATATCAAGAATACCTCGCAAATGAAAAGCCCCTGTTGAAAATTGAGAATAACAGAGAACCCGAGATCGCCTATTTCTCTCACACTTCTGGGACGTCATCTGGTCTGCCCAAACCGATCCTCCAACCTCAGTCGGGAATAGTCCAGGTTCTTCCATGCTTTAAAGAAGAAAATCAACCTGCCACCTTCTCTATGACACCCTTATACCATGGAGGCCTCCCGGACTTGCTCAGATCCTGGACGAGCAGGTCGATGATATGGTTCTTCCCTGAAGGGCTCGCGCCTATTACTGCATCCAACATTATCAGTGCCGTTGCGCACGCTCGGAAGAAATGCGATACTCCGGTTCAATACTTTACATCAGTTCCGTATATCTTGCAAATGCTCTCCGAAGATAGACACGGGCTCGAACTTCTCCAGTCAATGGACCTTGTTGGGGTGGGTGGCGCACCATTGCCACCCACAATAGGCGACGGGTTGGTAGAGGCTGGTATAAATCTCGTCTCGAGGATGGGTAGCATGGAATCCGGATTTCTCATGTCGTCACACCGGGATTATCAACAAGACAGGGAATGGCAGTATCTGCGCCCTATTCAAAATGAGCGATATCTCCAATTCGAGCCAAGAGACAACGGGCTGTCTGAGCTTGTTGTGAAACCTGCTTGGCCGTTGAGAGTCAAAACCAACCGAGATGATGGCTCGTATGCAACGGCAGATTTGTTCGAACCTCACGGAACGATTCCAAACGCATGGCGCTATCACAGTCGCGCTGACTCTCAGCTTATGCTTGCCAATGGTAAGAAATTTGATCCTGCGCCCATGGAAGCAGACATCCTCGCTGCTACAAACATACTACGCGATGTCTTTATTTTTGGAAGCGGCCAGAACTACCCTGGTATTCTCCTGTTTCCCTCTTCCTTGGATACATCAGACACCGCGATGCTTGAGACTGCTTGGCCTGTCATACAAAAGATAAACTCTCAGTCCCAGGGTCACGCTCGAATCTCAAGGTCAATGGTTATCATCGTCTCCGTGCCTCTAGATGAGGCAGCCCTACAAAAGAGCAGTAAAGGTACTATACTTCGCAACCAGGCCGAAGAACGGTACAAATCTTGGATCGAGGGGGCATACAGCAAGCCTGGACTCGTGGCCCCGGTCCAAATCGCCAGTCGCGATCAGCTCTTCCAGGCAGTACTCGAGTGCTTTTCCCGAGTTCTTGGACGCAAGATAGACCCCGATGAGGATCTTTACAAGCAAAATGTTGACTCGATGGCGTGCTTGCAAATTCGAGCACAGGTTGCGGAGGCCTGCCTGCCTGACCCGGAGGAACAGCTTCCACTCAATATTATATATGAGTGTGGGAGCGTGAATAATCTAGTCAATCACCTGGAGCAAGTTCGCAGTGGAGAATTCCCCGAGAAGCAAGACCAAAATGAGAGAAGACATCAATTGATGCGACATATGGCGGATAGATACAAAGACTTCTCTAGTTCCTTGCGCCCTGAGATCCAAGAAGGGTCCAGAAACGTGATAGTCTTGACTGGTGCTACGGGGTTTCTAGGTGCACACATTCTACATTCATTACTCTCCAAGGGGCCGAAGGTCGATGCTGTGTATCTGTTGGTCCGAGCCAAGACCCCGGGAGATGCTTATCAGAGGATTTCCCGTGTTCTCACAGAGTATGGATTGATTGATCTTCATCAAACCTCGCACACAAAGCCAAGTGTTGTGTGTTTGCCTTGCGACTTGTCGGATGGTGCAATAGGATTCTCGAGAGAACACCTAGACGATTTTTCGAACGCATCAACAACCTTTATTCACACAGCTTGGACTGTCAATTTTAATCTGCGCCTTCCCTCGTTTGAGGACCAGGTATCTGGGACCCAGCAATTGATACAATTAGCTATCAGTAGTTGTGCGAGGTTCGTCTTTATTAGCTCAATTGCAGCTGTGAGCTGTTCGGCCTCCACCTTAATACGGGAAGATGTATCCGAAGATCCTGCTGATGCGTCGCCCATGGGATATTCAGAATCTAAATGGGTCGCGGAACAAGTTTGTGCAGCGGCGTACACGGCAGTAACAGCGACGGAGAGCGCTCCGCGCCCAGAGATGCCTCCGTGGATGTCCATCATTCGCGTTGGCCAACTGTGCGGCAATCAATCAGGTATATGGAACAAAAGCGAAGCATATCCCTTGATGCTGTCTACAGAATCGCTCGTCGGGTGTTTGCCTCGCCTTGAAGACCAGCCCCTCGACTGGTTACCTGTTGATATTGCTGCCGATGCCGTTTTGCAGATCGCGCTGGGATCGCAGGACAAAATATCAAAAGATGCCTCCGAGCAGAGCAGTTTAGCGACTAAATCACTTGTGTACCATGTTCTGAACCCATTTACACACCCCGACTGGTCGCAATTACTCTCATGGGTATCCGAAGATCTCGGGCGAGGTAACTTGGAGATTGTGCCACCGTCAGAATGGGTCACGAGACTGGAAGACACACTAGCTCAAACGAACAAACACCATCCATCGCATGTTCTGGTTGGATTGTGGAAAGGGAGCCTGGCCCCAGAGGAAGTGGCGTGTCCGACGGGTAAAATCAGACCCGGAATCGTTCAGAGCTACGAGATGACTCGTGCCAAACAGAGTGTGCCTACCCTACGGAATCTGGAGCCACTGGACAAGGAAAGGGTGCTAAAAATCTGGGCTTGGGTGCGTGGGAACATCATAGAAGGCTAACCTTTTACCCGATTCCGAGATCAGCGGAGATCATGATCCCGGAGGGGAGCCAATAGTGAGCGAGCGGAAAGGTTCTGGGTCCCAGCTTTTGGCTTCTGGGGACTTAACGATTACTCCAGCTCAGCGCGGGGAGTTTGCTTTTCCCCGAAAAAGCGTACTTGATGGAATGTCTCCAAGTCTGTCTGGCCAATCGGGTGTCGATTACCCGGTGACAGAGAGGCATGGAGGGATCTCTCCCCCATCTTCCCGAACCGAACCGCGTATAAGCCTGTTTTGAAATTGATTATAATAGCATGTGTAACACGCAATGATTATCGTTCTGTTCAGTATCAAGCAACCCCGCATCATTTCCACGTGCCAGCCAGGATATAGTCTTCCTCATCGTCACCATTGCACACTGTCCCGTTGAAAATCCTGATCCGAGACACCCTTTACATAACATTCCTCAGTAATTTGAGACAAAAAACACTGTTTCTTATTAGATACCCCTATTCGTTCCTATCATACAGAGATTTCTTGACCACACGGCGACTGTGTGCTCTGACTGCTTACGCCATCTCGCATCAGCAGTCCGACCCAGCATCAATACGACATCAAGAGAACCCCGCAGTTAAGAAGCTCAAAATGAAGTTGAAGATTATCATCGCAGGTGGTGGCTTGAGCGGACTTGGAGCCGCCATTGCCCTCAGACAAAAAGGCCATGATGTCACTGTTCTCGAGAGCGCATCTAGGCTCGCAGAGGTTGGAGCCGGCATCCAGATCCCGCCGAATAGCACCCGAGTGCTGAAGGAGTACGGAATCTACGACGAGATTCTGAAGTATGTCGTATGGCCCAAGAGCATCCAGATCCGCAGATACGCGACGGGAGAGATTCTTGATCGGACACATTTGCATCCACGCCTCAGCCAAGTCTACGGCTTCCCGTAGGTTTTTCCCTAGCAGTTCTATCTGAATTCATCGTCAACTAACTCGCCTGTTAGATACTTGTTGATCCATCGCGCAGACTATCAGAGGATCCTGTGCCAGTACGCAGAGAAGCTGGGCGCCAAAGTTTTACTCAACAGCCCGGTTGACAGTGTAGACGAAGCCGGCCCAAGTGTGAAGCTGGCCAACGGCGACGTCCTGACTGGAGATTTGATCGTGGGCGCAGATGGAATTAAGTCAAGGACAAGAGCAAGTATCCTGGGCAATGAGAATCCCGAGCCCGTCGATTCGCCCGACTGCGCATACCGAGCCGTGATATCTCGGGAAGCGATGCTCAAGGATCCCGAGACGGCTGTACTGATGGATGACGTTAACTGTAACTGTTGGATCGGAGAGCAAGGCCACATCATGGCGTACCCGATTGACAACGGCCAAGCCTACAACGTCGTCATGCCTCACCCGGGCAAAGCCACTCTCGGCAAGTGGAATGAACCAGGTGACCTCAACGAGATGAGACAGAATTATCAAACCTACGACCCGGTCATTCGCAAGGTCCTGGAGAAGGTAGAATCCGTTCTTAAGTGGAAACTCGCAGAGATGCCCCCTCTTCCTCGGTGGTTGAGCAACAACGGGCGCGTTGTGCTGATTGGCGACGCTGCCCATGCGACGGTTCCTTACCTTGCACAGGGTGCGGCCATGTCTATTGAGGACGGTGCAGCCTTGGCCGAATGCCTGGATCTTGCAGATAATATGGACATGGTACCTTTCGTTTTGAAAGCGTTTGAGGAGGTACGAAAGCCGCGTTGCGAGACCATCCAGTCGGTTTCGCGTGGCAATGGCGATGTGTGGCATCTTCCCGATGGCCCTGCGCAAGTGGAGCGTGATAGTAAAATGGGCAAGGGTTTGAGGGACGAGGAAGAGGCAGAGGCAGAGGAGAAGTTGGATTCAAATTCAAACCGCTGGTCCGACGGCAGCTTTCAGCCCTGGCTGTTTGGATATGACACTGTGAGCGAGGTAAGTTGCCGGCTTCCGGAACATCTTGACGAAGAACTATAGGCTAACCATTCAATAAACAGACGCGAACATTCGTGAAGAAGAGGCTATCCCCATCTCTTTAATTGATCTTAATGTGGAATTAGCGGAACGTGCTACATAACAATGTTGTCTCTTTTTAACAGGGAGTTGTTGAGCAAAGATTTTAAGAATTGATGTTTAGTGCAAACGAACGATAAATATTATCTTTTCATAAGTCTAAGCGCAATGTTGAGCTTCATCTTCTACACTTCTCTGTGATATGGAAACCTAAGGTATATCACATTTCCGCTAAATGAGAGTATAGACTATGGTGGGCTTTGCCACCTCGGCTCAGGCTGTAGCAACGGCCTTGTCACGGCAGGTTCGCTAGATGATTAGACTGTGCGTTTGAAAGAAGAGTTTATGGTTTCGTAACTAGATAGAGGATTCGGTTTATCTCCTGGTAGAGTACCACGTTGAAAAAAAACGGAAGGCTCTAGGTGAGTGAAGAAATAGAAGTATACAGTCATGGTGGTAAGATAACAAATAACTCTTCTAGATAATAAAAATAGCTTTTTAAAATAATACCATTAGCTTGTAATACAATTACTATAGCTTTAAGGTATGAATCCTTGAAGTAGAGAACGATAATCGTCCCATAGTTATTTATATATAACAGACGATAATACGATATAGCCTTAGGCTTTAACGTTAGTTAGTCTCTATCAGGGATTACCTCTTTCTTTTAGTAAGATTCTCCCCCGCCGTGTTTGCTCTTCTTCTTACTGATTTGTTTGAATGCATCCTCCACTTCCTTCGCAGTCCATACCCTCGTGTAAAGTCGTCTCACTATCCACCATTGCGCGATGCAGATTAACCTTTCGAAGCTCATGTCAGTACGAATACGCCCTTGGTCACAGCCCATTCGACTTACAGTGCAAAGACCCCGAGCGCGCCGCTGGCCGCCGTCAATTGGCGAAGGAGCTCTTCAGTAGTTGGCAGTGCCGTACTTGAAAAGGGCGTGGGACTTGCGCCACGCCGCTTGGCGAGGCGAGCGTCGAAGGTGTCCGACCGTTCTGTCCCAAGTAGAAAGAACATGAGGATAGACACTACAATCCAGCCGAGTGTGTAGTATGTCAAACGTATGATGAACCAGTTGGTCGGTCCAGGACTGGTGGCACAGTGCATCGTGGGCCGAATCCAATGGAAATGCAGCACTGACTGCAGGGTGTCAATCGCACTGATTGAAGAGTACACGCGCCAGGCTCGACTTACATGCACGAGAGAGTATGCTGCGATGGGAAGAAGGATCCCATCAGGGATCTTGGCCAAGATAGTTGCACACATGCCAGCGACAGTCATAGCAGTGAGTAGTTGCACCGGGCCGAGGAGGTTTAGGTAAAAATAGTGCTGGCCAAGTGTTCTTGGAGAGACTCTTGTCATTTTGGTCAAGCAAAAGGCTCCTCGAATGCTGTTACCATACTATTGAAATTTAGGTTCCTGAGCGACTGCTGCAACCGTCCATTATATATACATGTAACCAGAGAGAACAAAGATTACGCAAGAGCCAAGCACGAATATGCCTCGGCGGGGCAGAAAGGCGCTGAGAAGTGGAATCGGTTGGTCGAGCTGAAAATCCATCTTGGCAACGGGGCGCCATATTGATCACCCGATCAACATAAGTCGTGAACTTAATTAGGTCTACTCTATGTATTAGTGTGTGCTAAATTCTATTGGGTCCCAATGTAGATGCAATGTGGTTCATTCTTAGCATACGACATTATAGACACTTGACTGGAAGCCACGGATTCAGACAGCAATGTCTATAACTATTCTAGTGTTACTGTATTTCCGGCAATATTAGCTGGGGAAACACTGTATCCTGCTATTTTGAGCCGCCTTAGCTACTGCTGGTATAGTTGGTTATAACCTAAGGGGTCTATATTTCTATACAAACCCTTTAAACTCTAGATAGTTATAATCTTATTATTGATAATACTTAAATATAGAGATAGGATATAATCTTTACTTCATAAGAGAAGAATAATAGCACTATTTCTTTTTACGTTAGAGATCAGTTAGGTTTCTCTAATTTAATTTCATAGAATGGGAATAAGAGCTACCAAACTCCCATCTCGAGCTTCCTTCCCATGCCGTGGATCATCTTGGGAGGCATCACTAGTTATTTGGCCCATTTAGAATCCAAGACAGGTTAAATCTTCTCCAAACAATATTCATATAGCCGCCCCTGTTTGCTTTCACCAGTGCTCCAACCTTGGCGTCGCCGGTTTTCGTCATGCTCGAGTATCCCCCTTCGTCCCCTATACCGCTGATGGGTGCATTCTTCAGTTCTCGCCCATAATTGAACTTTGCTGCATCATCGTCGTAGCTGATACGCACTCGCATAAAAGTTCACAAATCCTTATGAGCCGAGTTCTTAAACAACACTCGAGCAGGTCCAGCATCATTCGCCAAGTTGTAGAGCAAGGTCGAAGCCTCACACGCTGGGTCCGGGAGTCCGGTATCAAGTGCAAAAGCTCCGAAAGATGAAAGATCCCCTCGAGCAACTTTCGTATAATCGTCTGGCTTCCCCGCTCGATCGTTACGATATAGCTTGCCATTGGGCGTTTGGGCGATAGTCCCCTCTGATCCGACCCCTGGTAGAGATTGATATGTCCAGGTACGCTGGCCAGGAGTGCCACGCCCAACGATGTTGCGGCCGTTGGCTGGTACAACGATTTCACCTGATGTCATGACGATTCCATTCCCGGACCAACGGCATCCCACGCCTTTCCATCCGGAGTAAGTGTTTTTGTTAGGTCCTCTGGCGTCGACCAGGTCTTGCCATCATCAGTACTCTTGGTCAGGCACAGATGCCGCCTCCCTTCCCACGTAGAATCTACCTTCTTTGTTCTCTCGCCATTTGGCAAGTCATCATCCCCGTTTTGGCTGTACTGGCCATCGTTCCAGCTCATGAACAGATATATTGTATCGCCATCCACGACAGGGGTAGGGCTTCCCCAAGTCCCATCTCCTTTGCAAATCACCTCTTGCAAGCTTTCCCAGTCACTTTCACTAGCACCATGGCTAGTTGTCGCCTTTGTTCTTTTATACACCAAATTGATGTCACCCCAATCGTTTCGGTTGAATCTTCTCCCTTCGGCGAAGGCGAGGATGCGGCCGGTTTTCGTGGTGACAATAGTAGGAATTCGAAACGAGTGAAACCCAATGCCGGTCGATAGCTCGTCTGGGCAGTTCATATTGGCACTGCGGAAGAGAGGGAACTCGGTGTGGTATGGTGCGACATCTTTTGCTGGGTCATCGACGTTGGCTAGTGCAAGACTGAAGAACAGTATGGTGGCCACAGCGAGAAGTGAGGCGAGGCTACGAAACGTAGAACCGAAGATTCGTCCGAACATTCTGACTTCCTTGGTTATGCAAGAAGAACTGAGAAACAAGTGTACAATGAGATCGAAGCGTCGATAAGGCTGTTTGAGGCTTTTTGACCTCTTCTCTGGAGGATAGGGTGTTTCATCTCCCTTCTTCTTCGTATTTGCTACATTAAATACACATACAAAGGTCTCCTCAATTAAAGAAAAGCCAAGTCATAAGACTTCGCAAATTACGCCTTTTTATCCACTGAAAAGAATTTATAGGGGTTACGAGAAGCTACGTATGGAAGCACCTAGCAGTTGCCCCCCGTCATGATATGTGATGGAAATGCATAGATTGACTATGGCAAGGGATGACGGCTAGATCGGCTTCCTATAAATTGACTCTCTTGGAGAGAATGGACTCAAGTCATTTTATTCCAACCCATGCAATAGACCACACTATCTCTATTACACTATAACTGATTATTGGAAGCTTATCGAATGACAGTTTCATTGTTCTAAATCTTGGCAACAGCCCGGTAGCATGGGTAATTACCACGGTCCAGCGAGCGCCGCAACTCCTTGACGCGATCCTCCGTCAAAAGCAGCGACGTGGGGAAATCCTCGGGCAGCTCCTCACCCAAGAGCATGGATGCAGCAGCTTGAGAGGACCGGAATGCCTTGATCATACCGGTGGCATGGTAAGCACCGCAGACAAATTGGTGATTGCGTCCGGCAAAGGGAACAGGGCCAATGAATGGAAGGCCATCCTGAGTGAAGCTGACAATGCCAGACCAAGCGTGATCGATGGCCGTGGCAGCATCGGGCCTAGGGCTAGCAATGGCCTCAAAGGGGAAGCCTCGCAGATGTGCGTGCGGCGATAGGTCTGTTGTAGAGTCATCACCAGTCGTAGTACGGCCAGTGCAGGCACGTCCAGTAACAACGCCTCCATCAGTACGCTGGATAAGATAATCATAATCTTTTCGTCCGTAGCGGTACCAAATAGAGTACTCCGGGACAGTGCCAAGAGGGGACTGGCCATTCTGATCGGCAGCCCAGTGGACGACGTTGACACGGACTGGAGAAAGGAAGGGCTGCATCTCAGGCAGAAGGTAGCCCATCCAGGCGTTGGTGGCATGTACAACCTTCCTGGCCTTGATATTGCCGCGTTTCGTCTTCACAATAGCAAACTCATCTCCATCGCGGTCCTCGATAGCCTCAACGGGGGTGTTGGTCTGCATGTTGACCCTTTTATTTCCAATCAAGGTCTCCCACACCTTGGAGATCCATTTATACGGCCAGACAGAGCCTGCAGGGATCGTGATTGCTCCAATACAGCGCTTCGACAATTTCATCTGATGCTGTAATACATTCTTATCCGTGCAGACTGTATGCAAGGCAGCCAGGTGAGGGGCATGGACGCGGATATCCTCAAGCGCCGCAAGATCCTTCTCGAATACGTCTTGATTATAGTAGGCCTCGACACCGGTAGTATGAACCAGATCACAGTCGGCGCCATCTCCTTTGATTGCAGCGGACAGGGCCGCAAGATGGCTTTGTTCAAACTCAGAGATCTTGATGGCTTCCTCAATACCAAACTGATGCTTGCGTTCGTTCCACATCGAGAAAAGCATGGTTTTGATATGCCCGCCATTACGTCCAGTAGCACCGGAGCAGAGGCTTCGCGCCTCTAGGACAACAATCTTTAGGTCGGGTCTTTTAGCACATATAGTACGCGAGAGAGCCATGCCCGTGATTCCGGTGCCAATAATGACAATGTCGGCAGGCTCCTGAGGCCAGGGCGAGTTGTGGTTGGCGTAGGCATGAGGATTGATATGCCAGTATGGAGTGGTTGAGTTGTCACGAGGCAGGCCAGGATTGACCACGCCCGGCTCGTAAATTCCTTCCAGGGCTCCAGACATTGTGCAAGATGGGGGATTGCGCTGATATGATTAGGAAAAGGGTAATAAGAAGAGCTGACGAATTAGAGTGACTACACCAATAGAAGCTTAGCAGCACATCAACAACCTTCCTCGTCTAACATCCAGGAAATGGACTTTATATCGCCAGATTAATCAGCTCCAACCCAACCATGCAGAGGGTCTGAGAATTCTTGCCTGTTTGAGAAGGTAGATGGTTCTCATAGACGCCCCCGCCGTCTAGTCCTAGAGCGGAAATTTTGGAGGAACGAATGAGTGGAGAGGACATGATCATCAGACCGGTTGAAGGTCTCTTTACACTTCCCTAATTAGTGCCAGTAATAGTCTGATGCCAAATGTAGGGGTCTGAGGCATTCCCACAGGGGATGCCATCAGAGTCAAAGATCATATTCCGCTTTGTGCTACAGAATGTCATTGGACTTGGGTACAGGAAAGAAACACTCAAACATAGCGGCGGTGATCTGCTAATTTACACCATTTATGCCAATTTGCATCATTCTTTAAACCCGGTCTCTGGGCAAGGGCAAGAAAATAAATACGTAGTCAAGATGTTCAATAAGCGAATCTCAGGCATGCCGTTCAAATCACAGTAACTAGAGCAACTGTCCCATATTTACATGAACAGACTTTGTCTGCGTATACGCAGCCAGCCCAGCCTCTCCAAGTTCCCTGCCGATGCCGCTCTGCTTCACACCACCAAATGGGACCCTGGGGTCAGAGTCATTGGAGCTATTCACCCAGACCATGCCAGCTTCCAACCTTGCGGCCACGCGATGTACTCGCTCGTAATCTCTTGTGAAAATGGCAGATCCCAGGCCGTATAAGCTGTTGTTAGCTAGACGAATAGCTTCAGCCTCTTCCTTGAAAGGCGTGATGGATACAAAAGGACCAAACACTTCCTCCTGGAAGATGGTCATATTCTCCGTCACATCAGAGAACACAGTTGGTTCAATAAAAAAGCCTTTGCTGCCTCCCACATTCTTAAAAGGCTTCCCGCCTGTAACCAATATAGCCCCATCCTTCTTTCCAGTCTCCACGTAGTTGAGAATCTTCTGGTATTGGTCCGAGGTAATTTGAGGGCCCTGGAAGGTATCATCCAAGAAGGGATCTCCAATCTTGTGCTTGGATATCACGTCTATAAAGCGACTGATGAAGTCTTCCAGGACATCCTCATGAACCAATAGTCGAGAAGTTGCCGTGCAAATTTGTCCTTGGTTGCCCATGATGCCGCCGTGAGCCCACTTGGCAGCTTGGTCCAAATCGGCATCTTTGAAGACCAGGAGAGGTGACTTGCCACCGGTTTCCAATGTGATATTTTTCATCGTTGCGGAGGCCAGTTTCATAACAGCCTTTCCAGTCAAGCTGGAGCCTGTAAAGGCGATCTTATCAACGCCAGGATGTTCTACCAGGGCAGTTCCAGCCTCCCGACCGTACCCATTGAGGATGTTGATAACACCGGGAGGGAAGCCAGCCTGTGGAATCAAAGATGCGAGATACAGAATAGAGAGGGGGGTTTGCTCTGCGGGCTTGATGATGACTGTATTCCCACAAGCAAGCGCTGGGCCTAACTTCCAAGCTGCCATAGCTAGGGGATAGTTCCAAGGGATAATTTGGCCGCAAACCCCGACAGGCTGTTTAAGAGCATATGCGAACTTTTGAGAAGTCAATGGGATCGTCTGCCCATAGATTTTATCTGCCCAGCCAGCATAATACTTTAGAGTGAAGATGACCTCGGCAACATCCTCAGTAAGGGCAGCCTGATATGGCTTTCCATTATCCCAGGTCTCTAGAGTGGCCAGAATTTCTTTGTGCTCTTCAATCAGCTCTGCGAACTTGTACATGAGGGCTCCGCGATCCGAGGCAGCGATGCTGGACCATTCGCCCTCAAGCGCAGCTCGAGCCGCCTTAACAGCCTTGTCTACATCAGCAGCCGAAGCAGCCTCAACAGAGGCGATTTCTTGCTCGTCACTATAAATAAGTGGGTTTGTTAGTACCGTGTAGACCTTTGTAACTTGGGTTCAAGGCAACTTACGCTGGGTTGATAGTTGTGATCTTACGATCATTTGTGGCAGCAATAAACTCGTTATTGATGAATAACCCTGTGGGCAACGTGATCTGGCGTCCGTTAGGAGCTTCGAGATTGACATTGAGGGACATCTTGTGAACGTGTACAGAGAATCGTTCAAAAGGATCGTGTTGAAAGTGTATTATCTGCTATGGAACTGATAGCAGGAGTTGGACAGCAAAATGAGAACCAGGCTCCAGGCTACCCCATGTACACGACTACTTCTCATATAGAGGTTTACGTCACAAATTCAGATCGAGATAGCCAATCTATTCGATATACCACGCATTTTCTTTTGCCTTCGTTCAATAGAAGAGACTTAGCTGTATCGGGCAAGTAGGAGAGATTCGTATCTGAAGGTTATAGGGTATGTGATCGAGATAAACCAACTGACTCGTTGGTCCACTTTAGTCCACTTCCCCGCCTAGAGTCTATGGGGCAGACTAGTCTTGGATAGGAAATCTATGGCGAGCTCCTTTTGATTGGGCAAAGAATGAGTCTCAGCCCCTGGGCGGACTTCAATATGGAAGAGCAGCATTCAATTTCTTATCACGATGTATTTCTTGGAAATTACCGTTTCCGCTAGGGCGCAGCTGATCCCCCGCTAATCTTCGAGAGCTGATATAGTGATGTTGCTGATTGGAAGCTCAACCTGGGTCCACTAGACCACGGAAAATTGGACCCAATCATGTTTAACCTCACCCAAAGGTCTTCTGTTGGACCTCCTAACTTTACCTACCCTTGCCGTTGAGTTCTCAGAAAAAACACTGGCAAGAATTCCGGTATCCTTGCGCAATTGTCGGTGATATTCCTCCAGATCATTCAATATGGGCAAGCAGTTCACTCTAGCCGAGGTGGCTCAGCACAATACGAAGGACAATTTATACATTGTCTTGCGTGGCAAAGTCTATGATCTTACGCCATTTGTTGACGACCATCCGTAAGTGTTGAGGTGTTTTTCTCTTAGCTGTCGAACTGGCACTAAAAAGAAATCTTTGGGTAGTGGGAGCGCAGAAATTTTGATTGATGCGGCAGGACAAGATTGCACAGAGGCCTACGACGATGCTGGACACTCTGATGAAGCAAATGAGATTCTCCCAGAACTTGAAATTGGCACAGTCAGCATTTTGGATCCGCTAATGGAGGCATCTCTGGTACCGCAAGTCACCACGAATGGTGTTGAGCAAGTCAAGGAGATTGCTAGTGGGGTCCTAAAGCCTGATGTCTTTCAGGAGTTCAAGCTGCATCAGAAGACGGAAATTTCACACAATGTCGCTATGTGAGAGACTTCATCCCAGATCATTGAACTTGAAGAAGTAGACTCATGAATTCGTCTGCCGGTAGTTACCGTTTCAAGCTACCGAATGAGGGGTCCTTCTTGGGTCTGCCCATTGGCCAGCACATTTCTATCGGGGCGATGCTCACCCAGCCGGATGGCACAGAGAAAGAAGTCATCCGATCCTACACTCCTATCTCTGGAGACCACCAGCCTGGCTACTTTGATTTGTTAATCAAGGTCTACCCTCAAGGTAACATCACCCAACATCTGGCGGGGTTAAAGCTAGGGAATAGTATTCGGGTTCGAGGGCCTAAAGGCGCCTTTACTTATACACAAAACATGGTCCGCCACTTTGGTATGATCGCCGGCGGCACAGGACTCACACCTATGCTACAGATTATCCGCGCCATCGTACGTGGCCGAGCAGAGGGTGATAAGACTGAGGTAGATCTGATCTTTGCCAACGTCAATGAACACGACATCCTGCTACGAGAGGACCTAGAGCAGATTTCCCAAAATGATCATGGAATCCGTATCCACCATGTTTTGAATAACCCTCCGGAAAATTGGTCGGGTGGCGTGGGCTTTGTCAACTCGGACATGATCAGCGTGAGTTAACCTACTTCTGCCGTTGATACCAGGTAATGCCGGAAAGGAGAACGAGCTAAAGAATTTTCTTTCCACAGAGATGGCTACCCAAACCAGCACCTGATGTTAAGATTCTCCTCTGCGGGCCACCGCCAATGATAAGTGCCATGAAAAAGACCACCGAGTCCTTGGGCTTTAGCAAGGCTCGCCCAGCTAGCAAGTTGGAGGACCAAGTTTTCTCTTTCTAGGGAAAGAAGGGAAACAGAACCAATATTTGAGACTTGATGTAATATAGTGACAGTAAATATAGTGTCAAAATAGGGCAATCTCGCATGTCTGTCTTGATGTTGATAGCTATCGACTCCATTCTAAAATTGTCCATACCCCAAATCGATTCATTCTACACCTAAAATTGATTCTCACGAGGTTGAACCTACTACCTTCTATTAGCCTATCGACACTACCCCCTTTCATTTTTCTTTTTTTCCTTCTTTTTCTGTTATACTTCACATTGTTCTCATGATCTTTGTTCAGGTCATTTCTTATATCCAACTTCATTTCTCCTGTAGAAAGTCTGGTTAATGGGCAAGATCTTGGTGGCAATGTGGTCTACGAGAATAACTTCGTGTTAACAAAACCACGCGGCACTGTCACATCATCTACACACTATAGGCTAGCCAATGAAAAGTTAACTTGAGAAGGGTAAGTCTAGACGCACTGTTAGTGCGGGACATCAGCCAGTCGCTATTTTAGCACTGCGCGATGACTTTCTCCATTAGGCTGCGGGGAAGAGACCAGGACTACCTATGTACCTAGTAATGAGCGTGGAAATGCCAGCAGGTCTCTTCCATGCAACCGTCTTCTTTGCTTGGACATTCGTGGGTGATTTTAGAACCACAGTAGGGGACACACGAGCTGGCCACCTTTAAGCTATTCCGCCACTTCAATAATTACCTCTGAGCGCAGACATGCGATATATTTCTATTTTGTTGCAATCTTTTATCTGATCACTTCAAAAACCGTTTGAGAATGTCTATGACGGAGGAGCAATGTCGCATTGACGACCGGGACAGCCGGCCGACCCCAGACATCCCAAACAATGTCCTAGATCAATTCAAAATGAACGGCAAGGTTTCCATCGTAACGGGGGCAAGCCGTGGTATCGGAGCGGCTATTGCAGAAGGTCTCGCTGAAGCAGGGTCACACCTGGTTTTGGTATATTCCTCGCACAATCCATCCATGGATGAGCGGGCCGAGCAGCTGGCAAAGATTCACGGAGTGAGGGTGTCAAATGTGCGATGCGATGTGACCAACTTTGAAGCCGTCAGGGACCTGGTGGCCCGCGTCCGTACTAATTTTGGCAAAGTCGATGTCTTTGTAGCCAACGCCGGCGTCTGCAATCCAAACCCGATTCTTGAATCATCACTAGAAGACTACCATGCCGAGATGAATGTCAACGTTCACGGGGTCGTCTACTGCGCAAAGGCTGTCGGCCCATTGTTCAAACAGCAAGGATTCGGAAATTTCATTATCACTACTAGCATCTGCGCAAGTGTCGTCACCGTTCCTGTTGACCATGTTGCTTACAACACTTCCAAAGCTGCAGCTTTGCACTTTGGCAAGAGTATAGCTCGTGAGTGGCGTGGTTTTGCGAGAGTCAATATGGTGTCTCCCGGTTGGATCGACACAGCCATGAGTGAGGATCGTGCATCTCTCAATGAAGCCCGTCGCATGGCGCCATTAGGAAGACTAGGTATTCTAACTCCCAAGCTGCCTTTAATTCGACATGTTGCTGATATTACCTTATTTCCATAGGAGATGTCAGGGAATTGAAAGCTGCTTATCTATATCTCGCTAGTAGTGCAAGCTCATTTGTCACTGGTGCTGAGATTGTGATAGATGGTGGTTATACACTTCCTTAGATAAACCCCTTTACCATATAATCGATACACAGCTCTCAAATCGGGCATCGAACAATTGATCCCTTCTTCGTCAACATAACGCATTCCAACACATCTCACCCAATTATAGTTACAAGACCCATGGAATGAAGCACGTCCATCCAAAATATATCCGCCCCAACATCCAGGCGTTTAAATATCTCCAGCACAATATTGCGGACATACTGAATAGGCGCAGATAAATTCGTCATCGAGAGAAACTCAAGACGATCTAGCACAAACTGCCGGGCTCGAAGGATATCGTCCTTGTCTTCCGCAAAGTATTCTTGCTGCTGCTCCTCAAGACCACCGGCGGCCTCCTCCTCCGCCTCTCCTGAACCCAAGGAGAGTGACGTAGCAGCCACTAACAAGAGCAAAGCCTGCACACACGAGGTCCCAGAATTGGTCTGGATCTGCTCCAAGCGAATGATCACATTGCGGCCCAGAAACCTCAGCCAATTCTCCGTACCGTCCTCCTGCTCCAGCATAACCGTCCAAGAGTGGACTTGAGAGGCAGCCCAAGTTGTTTGATCGTATGGCTTCTGCGTAGCTATGAGCTCTCTCATCCATTTGACCCGCTTCCTTCGTACGTTTGGGAAAATCCGGTAGAGCTGGTAAATGTTGGCATACATGTAAGCCTCAGCAAGTAACAGATGATGAATAGCCGGGGTATTCGGGTCTCCGATATTACTGATAGAGTGTAGCTTGGGCAGTTCGTAAGCCCATATTGACTGATCTAGTTGTCTTACAGCCTCCAAAAAGTCGCCTGGTTTATTAATGTTCTGTCCACCCATCGGTGATGCCGACGCAGAAGATCGTAGCGCGTGGATTTGTCTTGATATACGAGTAAAGATCGCTTGCGGTTCCGAAGCAACACCCGTCCACGGGTGTGGTACCATACGCGATGGGCTTCGTTGAGCTCGATGTTTGGGAGCCGATGGCACCGAGCCAGGTTTCTCAGTCTCATTGGATCCCATCTTCTCGTATTCGTGATAAGCAACCTTATTGCTCACAGCGCATGAGACCATCTCCCAGTAGATAAGGGCGTTCCGAAAAAAGCTGATGGCATCGAAATCATTAGAGAACTGCACCTTTCCATTTAACACGGCGTGTTGAACCGCCTCTAAATGAGGTATGCCAAGATCTCCTATGTCGAACCAGGACGAGCTCACGCCTAGTAAGAGGACAATGAATAAGAGCTCTGTGTCCCAATACTGCGCAGCAGAAACTCTCTCCTGGAGATCATGCAGTGCAAGCGAGCGGAATTCTAGCGACCGAGTCCTCATCTCAGGCATGAACCACACCAGCTTAGCTGCCGCCAGACTTTGTATGGTATAAAACATGATGGAGGAGTCCTGCCACTTTTTGCTCACGAATGTACGGAACACGTTCTGCTCAGAGTCGAATGTGGAGAGAATATGGCAAACAACGTTGAAGTAAAACGGCACAAACTCAATCAGTGCACCCGAAGGCTCATGACAGATTGGAGCAGAAGGAGTATGAAAAGATTGTGCATCGTTCGCTATGAACGGGGATGGAATGTCGCTAAAGGGTGGAGAGGCTGGCTTTGATGTGTTTTCATCGGAGTCCTCTCCTGGCGTCTCCAGCATGACATTGGTAATCTGTGGTTGGCTAACCTCTATTTCAGGCAGGAGGTGATCCGGAGAATCATGGCTGGAAATAGGGCTCAAGGAACAATCAGACAGGACTTCTTCATCTTCACCAGAGGGTACCTCTGCATCTTCCTGTTCCACGACGGTTGGGTGTGCTTCTGAGGTCCATACATTCACGAAAGCTTCCCCGTCAACATTGGGCGGTGAAGTGTGAAGAACAATTGGGATCATATCGTCGGTCGGGAAAGTCTGCTGATTTAGACCAATGTCATACTGGAGGTTGGATACAACAGGGTCCACCGAGTCGCCGTATCGTATTTCGCAGCCGCTGCTGGTATCAGTATCGGGCCGTTTGTCCGTATCCAGAGAAGCCTTCTCAAATTGCTGGGTATCGCGCTCTTTACGCGCAAGATTCGTAGATTCGGTGATGCTGGCATTCGCTTTTTGCGGGTCAAAGACCTCATGCTTCGTGGACCAACGAAGCAGAGGTCGAGAAGGATATCCAGGACATTCGAACCGCTTGTCGTCACACTGGGTGCACGATGGCCGTCTCTCGTCGCATTTTATCTGCGGCAACAAACACTAATGAACAAGTGGTTCTTCTGGCCGCTTCTTGGATTCCATCATGGGAAGGCCATGAAGTAGTCATACCTTTCTGAGCCTGCAGCGTTTGCAGCCTGTAGATGACTTATGGACTGGTCGTCTACGAGGTGGCTTTAAAGCAATTGTAGACAATGTTGACATAGCCGGTCGGTTGGTTCGTTGAGAATTAGGAAGAGATGGACGTTGGAAATGAAAGGGTGGCATGGGGCTTTGAATATTTAGACGGTTATGAATCATGGGGTAGAATCGAATGGATCCTCACTGCTACGGGAGATCGTAAATACGCGAGGCCTGCCCGTGTCATGCGGGGTAACAGTGTGTGAATAAGGGGGCTTATCTACGAATCAACGGTTCAGCTTCTCCGCTTACTCGTTCATGGCATCCAGATTAGGCTCTAGGCTCCATCACAATCAAGTGCTGAGTAACTAGCCAACTTAGTAGGTGGATTATCGGTGGAGAGCCCAGCAAGATCCTGATAACATCTCATGGAACTTGGGCCTTGTGAAGATAACCAGGGTTCCGTTCAATGTATCCAAGCTCCACCTATAGATAACGCTACCGCACATTTCTTAGCAGGGAGATAGACATGCTTCACCTGCATCGATGATACTCGTTTCAGTTGCAGCAGTGCTAGCTTAAACGGGCTATTGTAGGCAGGTAGTAAGATAACGTATGACAGTGATCGAATACGATATCAAAATAGATACAAATCATTAGAAATTCGAGTGAAAATCTTGAATATTAGAGGAAAGTCGCAGAAGCCAATTCGACCCAAAGCCCTCCGCACCCGCATGTCATAGACCAGCTCCCTATGCTGCCTTCGTTTTACATGCGAAGCGATGCGAGCACTGGCCAACTGATGTTAAACAATAGACATAGGCCCAGTAAAGCACACAACTAAACATGGTAAATTGAACACCTCACTTAGCTCTAGCTAGCCCAGAAAAAATTGAAGAGAACGGAATGATAACTAACACTGTAAGGCGATAGGTACATCCCTTATCCTATTACCCCTTACCCTCAATTCTCGCTCAAGTGGTCGTTGACTGGTGGTGGGCCTCCGTAATTCGTCTTGCCCCAAGCGAAATACCACGCGGTAGCGAAAATGATGAATCCAACAAAGACCACGCTCGCATAGTTGACTGTTTCGGCTGTGACGGGAATCCCAGCGGGCATACAAAAGAGAGGCACAACGAGAAAAGACCAAGCTGCATGTCCTGGGTCAGTTGGCAACACATGGAAAGGGAATGGAGTGACTAACATAAGGATACGGTATTACAGAATGTACCCCAGCGACCCAAATAGAAGGCTCCATGCTTAACATCTTTACGACCTCTAAGCATTGATACCATGATAGGTGTTGCGTAACTGATAGTAAGGCAGATGACACCAGCTGAGGAAAAAGAGTTGAAAGCTGTAGCAGAGCCAAAGTAAATGGCTCCCAGCACCAGCTGGACAATCATGCTCAGCATCATCGCGTTGAATGGTATCTGAAGCGATTCATTGACTTTGCGCCACCAAGCCGAGCCTGGAATGCCGCCATCACGAGAGAAAGCCCATGTCACTCTGGAAGCAGCTGTGGTGCAACAAATGCCACACAAGATAGCTAAGACGATGAGGGGGATCAGGAGGGCAAAAGAACCTGCAGCATTTCCCACTGCGCTTTTGACAATAACGGGAACCGGCTGCTCCGAGTTGATGAGTGTTTCCAAATCCGGAAGGACGAACGCAAAGGCGACCAATGTTATGAGGCCAGCAATCGTGTTCAAAACGACAGTCCCAACCATGGCTTTCGGGACCTGCACTTTGGGGTTTGGTACTTCTTCACACATGCTAAATCATGCGCAAAGGCTTATGTTAGTCTAAAGAATCGAATATTCACGATATAGGGTTGAATATACTTACGCAATGAGCATGCCCGTTGAAGAAGTGGCATAGGCAGCATGAAGAAGACCAACACAAAAGGCCCAGCCAGAAGGCCATCCAGAGAGAGGTTCAAAGTGGCCAAATGCATACGAAGCCTCGTGTCTGCCCTGTTTGGCTAGGACTAGGACGCAAATGACCATGGTGAGTAAACCGATTCCGGTCCAGTAAATAGCAAAAGTCTATTAGAGAGATGAGGAATATTAGCACGAGGCCTGAGGGTTCTAGCACGAGAAGGGCAGAGATATGCAAGAACTAGATGACTCACATCAAGGTAAGGGAGCCACCGGTTACCCAATGAAGAGACAAGATTGCAGAGAAGGGTCAGAGCCACAAAAATGAGATAGACTTGATACGTCTCCGCCTGGAATATACCTTCTCCATCTTCAGTCTCGAAGACATTGATGCAGCCGATGATGAACAGAGTTGTGCCAAAGTTGACCGCGAGTGTGATGAGGATGTTTCCGACAACATAGGCCCATCCGCAGATCCAAGATGCAATCCTTCTCCAGCTCTTGGGTGATAACATGAAGGTCTGGTAATAGACGCCTCCGGCAGTAGGATACACGCTCGTAATCTCTGCAAGAGATAACGCAACACAAAAAATGATGACAGATACTAGCAACCAACCCCAGATCATGGTGACTGGACCACCATTCATGAGGGGGTAGATGAGACTTGTTGCCAAACCGTAGGGAATGGAAGCAAGAATGAAGGCCATGAAAGCCAGCTGGAAGGTGGATCTGTTCTTTGCCAGCTCCGAAACATAGCCTGTCTGCTCATCGAGGTTTTCCACTGTGCCGTTTCGCTGTTCGACGTCATTGTCTCTATGGTCGAATTTCTTCTGGTCCGAGGACGAGAGTGCAGTGTCACTCTGATGGTACGGCGGTAGGTTGTCGGAAGCCATGATGTGTCTGTTGGCTGAAGTAAGGGGCTACTGGTCGCTGGCTAGGTATGTCTGAATGGGCTTTCGAGATAGAGGAATCAGTGTTCCGGGCTTCGAAGTCGACACTGTCTGTTTCAAATTGAAAACTTCGATCCCAATTTTCTTTCCGGGAACTTGGATGTGCGTGTTGCCTTCGAAGTTGGTCTTAAATGTTTCTTCTGATTGTTCCCAAAGAGTTGGCCTAGTTAAGTAGGTGAGTAAGCCTTATTAACTTGGTGTGACTGACTTCTCAGCTTCATTTCGAACATAAGCCAATCGCATGGGTTCACCTTCGCAGGGTTAGTGATAGGATAACGGGCCAGGCTGGCTCCCAAAACAACTGGCTTGTGATCATTGACTCGCATGACGGACGGCTGGTGGAGACGGTGGATTCCAGATTCTGGGGTAAAGCAAACTAGTAGGCCACAGATTTGAGGGGAGCGAATAGAAATGTACTGATTGCATGGATCTTAGACAGCTAACTTCGATTGAAAGCCAGCGGAAGCCTGTCCTGTTCAACTACTCTCCATTCCTCACGTACTCAACATACGATACTTGCCTCGTATGGCGTCGTATGCTCTCTAGACACATGAAGGTGAGATCGTGGTAGGATAGTTTCTATGCGTCTTGCTGTGCTGAGGTTCTCTTGGAGGTAACGGCCCGTGTCGTCACTGAAGAGTAGTAGACATACTGCGCTCATGTTTGCTACTCGTTCGGGCCATTCTTTCCGACGCCATGATGCAACCTTGGTCCTCACTCAGTATCAAACGAAATTATGCTTCCCCTTGCCATCGCAAGAGAGCTACGCCATCCGTTACCTAATTGGGAGATCTATGGCGCGAGACCACCATCGCTTTTTAGCTTGCTCATTCTTATCATTCAGTCCACATTTGATAACTGCCCGAACCATCCAAATTAGGTCTAGTAGCCTCAGAATCTGGGGGAGACCATCATCGTTCATAACTGCCTTTTTGGGAATGGGTTATCTGTGGCTGCTTCGTTCGAGAGTCTCTCCTCTTTGTCTACGACACCTTCATGGGACCTCTGCCAATGAAATCGAGTCAATTATTAAAAGACCCTTCTTCCACTGTTCTCATCGATATCATCTTGATTGCTTTTGCCTCACCATCATTCTATATCAAGCTGGACTGTGCTCTGGCAAACAACTTCATACTCCAAGGCACTTTGTAAAACAAACATTTATTCTTCCCCATATTATTCATCTCCCTTCTTCACAATGTCCGTACCTCTCAAGGTTCCCGAGGGCAACATGCCCGCCTCCTGGTACTACCAGCCTGCCTTCTTTGAGTTAGAGAAGCGTGCCGTTTTCTCTCGCCATTGGCTCATGACCACTCATCGTTCTCGGCTACCCGAGACCGGTAGCTTCCTTCGCTTTGAGATGGCCGGCTTCGACTTCTTCCTGATTAAGGATAAGAAGGGGGAGATCCATGCTTTTCACAACGTGTGCCGTCACCGTGCTTACCCCATCCTCGAGGACAAGGATGGTCGCGAGGGCAAGAAGCTCATCCTCAGCTGCGGCTACCACGGTCAGTACCCATGCAAAATATGGCAGGTGTTTCACCTTCTTGAATATGCTAACCAGGGTATCATGAGGCTATAGGTTGGTCATACGGCCTTTCCGGAAACTTAGCCAAAGCCCCGAAGTTTGAGGAGGTCGATGACTTCCGCAAGGAGGATTACTCCCTCTTTTCCATTCACACTCATATTGATAAGCTCGGTCTTATCTGGGTCAACTTTGACGCTTCTGAAACTCCTATTCCTTGGGAAGAACTCAATGGTGGCACAGATGAGCAGCCTCGCTTCGAGGATTTCAACCTCGACGAGTATGTTTACGAGCGTACTTGGACTACCAATGGCAGCTACAACTGGAAGCTAGTTGGTGAGAACTATAACGAGGTAAGTAAAAGATCAAAATCTGCTGGGACTGAACCTAAGCGAATCAATTCTTGGCACTGATACAGAGATACTAATACAACTCTTTAGTGTTACCACTGCCAGGCATCGCACCCTGGTATTACCAAAATCACGAACCTCGACCGCTATTCGGTCGAGACTAGGGGCGATGGCAAGGGGCGTATGGAGCACTTCCCGCCGAACAGAGATGACATCAAAGAAGAAGATGTCCAATTCTTCGGCAATGGTGCCTTCACGTTTAACTACCCCAACACTTCCCTGAACCTGTCCACCCCCTACTGGTTCCTGATGCGCGTGGTTCCTAAGACCCCAACCACGGTCACGACTGAGTATGAGGTGTATCGCAACCCCAACTCGGCTCGAGAGCACTTCGATCGAGCTGCTGAATTCTTCGAGGGTATCGAAGTCGAAGATTTCCACCTTATGAATGGTGTACAGCAGAATCTTGGTAACAATGTCTTCGTTAACGGACCCTTGCACTCCAAACGCGAGTCGGGGACCATGGCCTTTAAGCGCCTTCTAAAGAAGGACCTCGAGAAGCATTTTGAGGCCGAGAAGAAGCTTGGCGCCGAAATCCATTATTCTAGGAGGAACACTCAGATTCATCCCTCCATCAAGGTGGAGGAGAACTTTTGCGGTGAAGTCTGCGCTTGCCGGGCCGCTGCTGCTTAAATCTCAATATAGTCTTTGGTAGTGAATAACCAAGTTTGTTAACCATTTTCGTTATACACTAGCAGCATTCTCACGTTTCTAGAATAGAGCAAGGATCTCATGTAGACCCTTTGTTCTGCCAGTGTAAGAGGTGTATCTCATTTTGCATGTTGGCAACCAAGTTTTGCGCCTCGACCCAAAAGCAATTGAACCAGAAAGAGTCCCCGCTTTAACAACTTCCATGAGAGCAGAATTGTTTTCCGTTTCTGGAAGCTTTTTCCCAGGCAACGGTAACCTCAGTCCTTCTACATCGCCCACGTCTGCTCCGGAGTCCAAGAGAGCCCGTACACCTTCAATGAGTCCAAATTGTACCGTCAGCCGCAATGCCCCTGTACACTGGATTCTCAACCCCTTTTAAGCAACCAAAAGAGCATGGATTCAACTTCAATATTCTCTTGCTTAAATGATAGAGCTGTGCGGAGAACGCTCACAGGAGGCCATTCGTGATTTATATCAACCCCCTGAGTCAGCATGAAGTCCACATACTCAGACCTCTTTTGCCTCAGTGCTGATATGATGAAGCTCCCTAACCGTCCCCCGAGATGTACAGAATATGGAGGTGCACTAGCTAGTGTCGATGGTTCACATTTGTAGGATCTCAAATCAAGCGTTTTATAAGCTAATCTTATGAATGTCTCATCATAGTTATCTAGTTTTTAGACATACGAAAGCCATGGACCTGGCTCTCATTTGCGAAAAAAGACCAAACACAAAAGGGAGGTGAAACATGGGACAACGGTATTTGAGGGCAAAATCAGAGAAAACGTGTAGATATTACTAAGATAGTTCTCAGATAGTAACCCATTACATATTCTGTCCTTCAGTCTACAGATAACTTTTACTGCTTGACTGTGAACAATGGCTCACCCAGAAGGTCCATACGAACGTTACTGAACCCATTGCCCGGCAGAGTACTAGCCGTGATCTTACCGTCGTTCTCTAAACGAGGAACATCCGCGATCAACGGCTCAATCCATTCGCATTGTAAATCGACCGCACGCAGACTTCGGCTTGGGGTAGTAGTAGCTAGAACCAGGTTCTGTGAGGCCGTCAAGGCAGAGCCCCAAGTGTCATCACTTACAACCGTCATGCCAAGCGCAACGGCCGCATCGCGCATAGTCCGGGCTTTTGTCAAGCCCCCAACTCGAGATGGTTTGATGTTAACCCCTGCGATTCCGGCAGCATGGGCCTCGAAGAGATCGGCCAATGTCACTACCGCCTCGTCACAGAAGATGGGTAGCCCTGTGCGGCGACCAACCTCGGCACACTCAAATATGGTTGGACAAGGTTGTTCGAGACCTACGGCCACACCCTGTCCAATTGCACGGGCAAATAGAAGGGCTTGGTTCAGATTCCAACCTGCATTAGCATCGGCCCAGACCTGAACATGGCCAGGAACCATTTCGCACACGGCCTTCACTCGCCTGGCGTCAGACATGGGATTGTCTCCAGCTTTGAGCTGAAGTGCTGTAACGCCGCAGCCCAGCTCTTCCTTGACTTGCGCAATGGCCTCCTCTGGCTCTTGGATTCGAATGACAGAAAATGACTGAGGTCGGGGTGTAAGGAAACCTCCGAACAAGATCGCGCAGTCGGTAGGCCTACGGACTTGCCTAGAAGATCCCAGCAAGCCATGTCAATCACGGCCTTTGCATGTAGTGCCCCGAGCATCGCCTTATCCATGATCTCGTCGATGGCCGCGGGCGACCGAGGATCTTGGCCAATGATATGCGGACCCAGCTCTTTGATAGCTGCAAGCTCCCTGGTGAAAGAGCTTGGAAGATAATCACTTCCGAGAGGTGCCGACTCGGCCCATCCCTCAACACCATCAGTAGTACGGATACGAACAACAATGGACGGATGCCCTGTTGCTACCCGGCCGCCCGACATAGAATACTGGCCATGGACATATTTAGCCTCGTAGGAAAACACAGTAATGTCGGTTATTTGCATTTTTGCTGCTGAGGTAAGGATATATGAACAATAAAGCTCGAGTTTAGGAGTTCAGAGAGAAAAGGGGGCTGGGGTTCTGGGCTGTCTTTGCTTCTGAGCTTCCCGTCCGCTGGTGCTTTTTACAAGTTTGGTTTGTCACAATTATCCAAGATAATCGTTGTTAAATTGCACGAATGCCAGGCCTCTTTAAATATACAACCATCAGACGGACTTGGAACGGGAACAGACCGCGTGGGCTAACCAGTAACTGGTGGGGACGGGATCTGCCCGTGGATCCGATCATATCTATTTGGACCTGGACTTAGGATTGCCCCATGACACTTATGGCGCGTTCCGAGCTCATGGCTGGGTCAAAATGTGCCTTATTTACTTCAAGGTTACCCGTAGTAATTTTGTCTAGGCTACATGAGTGTGTTTGCGGTTGAATTCGGGCTTCTTCATTCTCAATCACGTCCTCTCAGACCAGGCCGCCTGTTCATCGACGAAATACAGATGCTTGATAGAAATAACTTAAATTAGTGTGCTAGAAAGTGGCCGCATTGAGTAGAGCGGAAAACCCACGAAGCGTTTAATAGCACGTTAAAAGTTCAAGCGACATTAGCAAAGAGCTGCATCGCCCCAGATATTCCAAAGACCCAATATGATACTAAGAGATGTCTGGCATATCAAAGCTTATCCAGTCATTTATCGCCTTCCCAAAATCTTCGGCTTGCAAAGGGAAACAATCTTGCTGGTCTACCATATTCAAATCCCCGAGTCCCGTGAAGGGTTGCTCAGTTACAAAGCCAGCTCCGTCTATCTCACCTATTGTCGTAGGTGTGGAATGCAATACATTATTGCCCTCTTGCGGTGGATAAGCGAAGTGTTCCTTTCTTGCTGCTCTGTGCCCGAATAGACCGGCGGATCCAACCGTAGCACATTCGGTTATATCTTGCTGCTGCCCGTCATCTATTGTAATGGTATCGTCAAACATAGATATTTCCGGGTCAAGGGAACCAGCTTTCTCGTAAATCAAAAGCTCCCATAATAGGTTCGCATTAATTGACCAAGATTGATGGGTATTCACCGGCTGTTCGGTTCCTATAGTTGTGTCGATCGCAACGCTGTCCCGCAGTTGCTGTAACTTCTCGGTCTAGAGAAGAGCCAAATCAGTCATGTTTCATAGCTAGTAGGATTGGCCTGATGTACCATGCGCATAATGCGAGGCCACACTAACGATGCCTGTTTCAAAAACCGTAAACAAGTCTCGTATCCGCTCTGTGCCTTGCTCCTGAGAACATTGTCTTCAACGAAGCTATGTTGAAGGTGAACCGTTGCCACAATGACTACACAATGCGCGATCACTGGGTCATTAAGCTGTAACTTTTGTTTCTCAAGAACATTCAGGAAGAAGATAACCCAACCTGTCTCTCTGGATAAATGTTCAAATGAATTATGTATGAAGGTGAGCGGCAGCATGTGTCGGAAGTTTCTCAGCCGTAGCGACAGCAGAAACGGGTGGTTGAGCAGTATATAAATGGTCTCATGTATAAAGTGAGTCATGAAAAATGATGCCCAGTAATCTCTTCGCAAGTTCAGGGCCTCAGAGCTCATGCCACCGAAGTTGCTAGTGGCGTACCGATACTTCAACGGGAACCGACACTCAAACTCAAGATTGCGCAACATAACCAGTGAATAATCGGACTGCGGGCTCCAAGGGGGGAGACTGTCTGCTCTGACGCGGGCGGCTGCGTAGGCCCTGACCATATGCCAGATCTCAGCTGCTTGTGCCTTGTACTGCAAAATTCCTTGGTAAAACTCTTCGTCCGCGCTCATCTCTTGCGCAATATGGGCCTTCTCATGGTCCTGAGATTTATTCGAAAGTTGAAGAAAGGTACCTCCAGGAACGGATTTGTCCAAGTCCGGGATACGGCCTTGAAGATACTGCAAGGTTGAGATACTATGGACACATAATTGGTATTCTTCTGGATTACCCAATGATGACCCTAGAGGGAGGGCATCCTTGAGATACGTGGCCGTGGTAAGATCGAGTCCAGCCTGAGTCGAATCACCATCTTAACATCCCGCATTAGTACGGTCTGTTTTCCAGAGACAGAGGGGATATTTACCTGCGAAGCCAACCATACCAAGAATGCACAGACATTGTAACGTAGACAATCTAACCTTCCCATTGGCTATCCGATCTGTAACTAGTTTCCGGCATAATCTCACTGCTGAGGCCGCTTCCTGTCGCTTTTCGGCCTTGAAATCCCCAGGTGGGAATCGAGCTGCGAGGACGCTAATTGCTAATTGAAGTTCTTGGTCACGAGATCCAAAGGTGGCGAGGAACTTGTCCTTTCTAAAGAGCGACATCGGCTGGTCATGGCACCATTGGATATATAGTTCGCCGGCAAGTTTGAGATCCGTGCCTGCTAATTCTTCCCTTGGTTGTAAAAGGCTATATTCAATTAGTGATACTCTCACACAGTATGTCTGGGTCTCTTGTTGCCTACGGCATAGTAGAATGTTCATTGTAGGCTTGAGCTGGTTGATCAGGGTTGAGTAGGTGTTGTTTTGGCAGGGAAGCCGAGGACGAACCCTCAGCACCTGAAGAATGATTTGGCTGAAATGTGCTACATAATGCATCAGTTTCTGCGCCCGTGTGACTATTTCTCATGCTGACCTCAACGAATTGAGAACTTGATCCAACTTCGTCTCAAGGCTATTCATTCGAGAACTCTTAACACCAGATCAGTTGTTTGCCATTAATGCCCGAATTTCAATGTGATCGTCTCCTCATCGACAACAAAGGCAAAATGATTAGATATCAAGGCTATTACTGTAATGGAGACTTACTATGTTAGGGGTTTCGGCTTCCTGACTCCAATCATATGTCGCAGGCTTATATTCGCAGACCTGTCCGAGCCTCCGACAGAAGGAGCACACCGGCTGTTCCCCTGGACATTTGACCTTTTTGCGCCTGGAGAGTGCATCGGTCAATATTTCAATCACCAATAAATGAGGCTCAGTGAACCTACCGACAAGGTACACACGCGCGGCTAGTTCGCCTTGACCTCGTGCCCTCCATGTTCAGCAGATTATTGGACCATCAGTGAACCGGTTGGAAGCGGGGAAAGAAAGAATCATGCATGAGGGTACAGTACGGAGCAAATCCCGAACTCTCTCTAGTAAGGATCGGGTTAACTCGATTCGTACATCTCCATCATGCCAGTAGCGAGGGAGATAACCGGAGAGGGGCTCCCGGGAACTATTCCGGGGCTGCCGAATCGTTTGACCCGTACTACATTTTCATGGGAGATGTCGAGCAAAGAAGTCCACACGATATTTAGAGTTTCAATGTGATAGAGTCTAGCTTCGTAATCATTTATATTGCTTATGCGATGTTAAAGAGCAACGCCATATTTGTTTTGAAATACTCACGTATGGTTACAACAAGAGCTCCAAACTGTATTCATGGTGCTTGTTTATGACTTGGAAACTTCTCCAACAGGCCTTATTTGAACCTTGATGAGTCTGAGGCAGGGAGACAGAGAACTTTTCTTACTTTAGGCGGCAATGCTAGTTCTTCCGCCGTTTTTCGAATCATTGCACTACCTAGGAGGTGTAACATGGGGCTATTCTGTGACGATGCGCCATCCATTTCTCTCAATATCGCATGCAAGTCTAACGCCGGCCTATAATCGCTTCTCTGAATGTCCCTCGTGGAAACAAGAGGTTTCCTCCACTGCTTTTAAGATGAGGCGGATAGCGCATGGTGAGTCTGGGAGTGGAGACTACACGGGGTTTGTTTAGACCGCAAGCGGACTTTTCTTATACCTTAACCCACCATGACAGGACTTGATGAGAAAAATAAGGCAAAATCAGCTTTGTATTAATACGCTGTGAGGCCCATTATGTTCCGTTCTATCCGAAAGAGTGGATTATGGTTCTACGTGAATTATGCTTCGGCCCTCTTTGACTTCCTCAACCTGGAACCCCGTGGATCATGATGAGAACATCACGGATATTCGGCAACTCGATAAGGGTGATTCCTAATAATGCTCTCCTTTACAACTGGAGTACTTAGGGTCATAAGCATTTGATCGTCAACGGAGTACTCCATGGAGCTATTTCAACCCGTTACGATGCCCATGGGGCTTTTGCCCCAGAGGTTTCAAACGGCGGGGACAAGCGGACATGAAAATGTAATCTCAAATACTTAAAACCATCATTATTTTCCATCGACTTTGCTCTTGCGGCCCAGTCTTTCCTCAGTAGCTGGTGTTCTATCCTCGAACTACCGAATCATGGCACCGAAAACTCCGTTTCTTGGCTTCAGAGGCCCTGCTCTACGAGCTATGCAGATAGCACTCGTTGTAGCCCCTGGATTCACAATATTCGGCTACAACCAGGCTGGAGTCGGGCCTCTGGCAACTCTGGAGAGCTGGGTTGAAGTGTTTCCCCAAATCGACACTATTCATACCACTGGTGCGGCTCGGTCCACCAACTCGACAGGAAAAGGAGCTGTCATTGCTTCTTTCCAAATAGGCGCCTTAATTGGTGCTCTCTCCTGTCTCTTCATTGGAGACATACTAGGAAGACGCAAGACAATCTTTCTCGCGGCACTGTTTACCCTGGTTGGGCAAGTTCTACAAGTTTCTGCATACAATCTGATTCAGTTCGTCGTCGGTCGAATTATCATCGGGATAGGCGTTGGTGAGATTAGTGTCGCAATCCCAGTTTGGCAAGCAGAATGCTCCTCAGCAAAGCACAGAGGTCGGGATGTCATCACCGCTGGCATCTTCATGTGCCTTGGGTATGCTCTCTGTAACTGGCTAGATTTCGGCTTCAGCAGAATTCCCAACTCCACACTTGAATGGAGATTGCCCCTCGTGTTGTCAATTGCACCTTCTTTGACCATGTTGGGTGGCATCTTCTTGCTTCCAGAGTCCCCAAGATGGCTTGTACGGGTGAACAAAGAGTCCAAAGCCACCCAAGCACTCGCTGCGTTAAAAGATCTCCCGGAGACAGACGAGTCAATCAGAACCGAGATTGCTCAAATCCAATCCTCTCTGGAGTTTTCAGCACATGGCAACACCTCTCTCTCGCAGATATTTTCCAAGGATGACAACGAACGGTTGTTATACAGGTTCTGCTTGTGCTTTGCTCTTCAATTCTTCCAGCAGATGTGCGGTGGCAACCTCATCAGCACCTATGCCAGCACAATCTTTCAAGAAAATCTAGCTCTTGGGAGCACATTGTCGCGAATATTAGCCTCATGCGCACTTACCTGGAAATTCCTCTGCTGTTTTATTTCCTTCTTTGCTATCGACAAGCTAGGAAGACGGGCTGTATTCATGATCAGCGGCACAGGAATGTCATTGTGTATGGCAGCTCTAGCTATTACAACTAGTTTCCCGTCGACAAACAAGGGTGCCTCCATTGCATCGGCTACTTTCATCTTCCTCTTCAACTTGTTCTACCCCATCGGCTTCCTGGGAGGAAACTTTCTCTACTGTACAGAGGTTGCCCCGGTAAGATTAAGGATTGCCATGAACTCCATCTCCACCGCAAACCACTGGCTGTGGAACTTTGTAGTGGTCATGGTGACACCTGTGGCCATTGACACCATCGGCTACCGCTACTATATCATGTATGCCATCATCTCAGCCATGATTCCCATTTTGGTCTTCTTCTTTTACCCAGAGACGATGAATCGGAACCTTGAGCTCTTGAACAACGTTTTCCGAGACGCATCCAGTCCCTGGAAGATTGTGTCAATGGCAAAAAATTTACCTCAGGGCGAGCTGGCAACATTCAGCCCAGAGGGAAAAGGTGATACCAAAGTTGAGCAAAAGGAAGAAGCAGCGTAAGCGTTGCCTGTGGAGTAAATTTGTTACATTCAATCTTATGAAAACCGAGCAAGATCGTGAGAGCATAAAATTGGCGTTATAGTTAGCCGGGTTGCACCAAAATGAAGATAGTTAACGTGAAGCACTTGGGAAGCTTTTAACAGCTACAATCGAGACAAGGCAAATCAAGTAAACATATCGCGATATTTCTACAAGTGAAGCACGTTATGAGCCGTGCCAATTTTCGGATTACATTTATCAGTATTTAATAGAAATCACCTTTGAAGGCTACAGGTGAACCAGTAAAGTGGTTCCAGATGTCGTCAAGGAGAGTGTATGTAGGGGCTGGGTCTTAGAAAAGGGGAGTCGCATCACACACACCCTCTTCCCACGATCAGGATGAGTCGCATAGAGATTATATTTGTAGCAAGACGAACATGGTCGCTTAACTCAGTTGGTTAGAGTGCCGTACTAATACATTCATCCAATGTGTCTAGTAATGCGGACGTCGCCAGTTCGATCCTGGTAGTGACCATTTACTTTTGCTTCCGTCTGGTTTGTAATCAGTCCTACTTTTTTTTAGGCTCCTTCTAGCGACAATCCGTCATGTCAAAATTCAGTCACCAGTCTACAGCCGTCATAGATACGGTGTTTGGTTCTTTCTCTTTCTTGGGGGGTGACTGGGGGGAAAGGTGTGGCAAAAAGGAGGTTTAATTCCGGCCATGTGTGTCTAAACGAAGAAACTAAACACCAACGCCGGTAAGTTTCGATAAAAGTAAGATCGCTCGCTCAAGTTAAACTCAAAATCGACCCGCCCGACATAAACATAGCAGACTCCCAAGGATACCGCATCTTGACAGCATGTGATCCTGGCTGGGCGGGGGTCAGTCCCTCCCTCCGCCCTTCATTCTTCCCCCTTTTGCTCTCGGCTCTCGTGCTTGACTGGGAGGTAGAGGTGCTTTTTCTTGGCGTTTCGTCGCTGCTCAAATCCCGTCTACGCCATACATTCTCGACGACTGTACATGCCGCGGCAACACTCTTCAGAAAGGAACAGGTTAGGGATGCGTCATTCAGAATAGGGGAGACGAGTGGCGTGAGTGTTTGCTTACCCCGAATAGTCGTTCCCACTGGAACTTTTCTAGAATGCTGAGGAATTTGATGCGGTCGTCCTCGTTCGTGATGGAGCAACCAGCAATAAACATTGGCCATATAGGTAAGGCAGCTGTCACAGGCTGCGTTCCACAGACAATCTCAACGAGGGAGAAAATCTCCTGGATATACTTGTGACGGTGCCGCCGACACGCAGGTACTATATCGGGGAAATGAAGCGAGCAGGTGTCATCAAGAAAAATTAGTGCAGCCAGCCGGTTCGCTTCCGCTGTAGCTCTGATCGTCTCGAATCTGGGCGCGGACGATGCATCAGGATCGGGGTCCTTTGCTGCCCCTTCTTCATCGGCTTCTACCATCGGATTCTGGCTGGCCTCTCTCGGTGGCACCTGGACTAGGTTTTCCAGGGCTGTGTCCAGCTGCCTAATCGTTTCGCTATTGCTTGTTCCGCCTTCGGATGGTTTCTTCATATCAACTAAATCGCTAATACTGTTGATCAGAACCAACAGCGTATTACTAAATCCCTGGTGAAGCTCAATCTGATCAGGGTGGACTCCTTTGGCGAGGAGCCCTGCACCGATTTGCGCAGGCCCTTGCTGTGGTTCGTGGTCAGTCCCGGCTGGTTCCAGGACAAGACGACTGAAGTGTTCTTCAGGTGAGGACACATCAGGAGTAGCCACAATATCTGTTTGCCCGAGGTACTTGGATAGCGCCGACCTCGAATTGGGTATGAAGCCATCGATCGAAAATGTTGCTTTGGCCATTACGGTGTGATAGACAAAGTATTGACGGCAGAACTGAATAAGCTTTATTGCGTATGGATCTTCGGAGGCATCGTCAGGGCATGCGTCGAGCAGTAATGATATCCCCATTAAGTGATTCGTCCAAGACGGCTGGCAGCGGTCAGAGATCTAGAGAGGGGTCAGCCGCCATCAAATGCCGCAACAGATACAGTGTTCCCCCTTACATCGCACCAACAAAGCACTATTACCGACACCAACGCCTCGATATAGTTGATAAGCTGCTGGTTGACAGTCTGAAGAGACTTGGCTAGATTGGAGATAACCTCCTGGCGATGGCGCAATGCTTTAGCACGGAAACGAGGGTCGTTGTGGGCCAGCTTCGTCGCGCTGATGGCGAGAACAGCAGAGAGTACCGTGTCAGAAAAGGAGATCATCGGAAGGACAGCAAATCGTAATGGATTGTACGACTTGTCGTCAAGTAGGGTTGTCCGGGCGCAGACATCGATGTCATAGAATCGTAAAATATATCCATCGTAGTCGTCAAGTGGCCGCACCAGTCCGGCTGAAGGCTGTGCATTTAAGTTGGGGAGTTTCCATTGTTGGGAAAAGGACCGCTGCAGAAGCTTCAGCAGCTCTTCACTCGATAACCCGACAACTGGCTGCCTGCCAGAGTTACCGGACGAGTGTGCGTCTTCGAGCTCCCATACGCCTCTGTTGCCACCCTGATCTCGGAGGCTCAACAGCAACGCCTCAGCGCTGTGATGAGTCTGCGACTGGGAGGCTGCGTAGAACTCGATATCCTCTACTGATGTATTGACAAAGAAGAAGCGTGCAGGACCGGGCTGCGGCGACAACGCATTGCTCGGAACCTTTACCGAATGCCCTCGGGATGTATCCTGGCGACGCTGCTTACCGCTGTCTGAGGACCAGACACCCTGTCTGCCATGGCAGATTCCCCGGGCAATGGAATCTTCTACCCACTGTAGACGCATGCCATATTGGCAGGTTAAATCCAGCTTCCTGCACTTCTGGCACTTAGGGCGCTGCTCTATGGTTGCAGCCAGTCAGCCATCTGGACAGCACAAGATGAATGAGAAAACCGAGGGCTAAATAAAACTTCAAATTACCGTCACACTTCACTCCACGGGCGCGACAAGACCAGCAGCCGGTGCGGGTTCGTGATCCTCGCGGATTCGATTCCGATGTTGATGGTTGGTCAGGGGCATGCGGAAGACTCTGCATTATCACGGTGCATGTGATAGAATCTGCAGAAACGACACAACCTCAGGTAAAATAAATAATGAAACCCCCAAGGAGAAACATGAGTCTAGAGAGATCAATCACATAGCCAGCTTATGAGGGTCGACTATGAGCCAAGGAATTAGTTACTGGTGGGAAGTAACAGCGCAACGGATGATATCCGAGAATGGAGATAAGGAGGGAAGAGCCATGACCCCAGAAGAGAAAACGAGCTACGGAAGAGATAAGATCAGTAATCACGGAAATTGCGGGGAAGTGTCTTTATTCATCATCAGCAGTCAACTCACATAACTTCTCACTAACGGCCTACCCTATATTTCTGGGTCCTATGGAACACCCTACATAGGAAGCTTCCTCAGAAGAATGGTAATTCCTTTCCCAGCTATCTATATGTATTTCTTCCCGAATGACTTCCAAGTAAGATGCGGTAGTCACAACGATTCATTTACAAATAGCGCTGATATAGATCGAAACAACAATAGTGCTCTCACCCTAAGAGATCATATGTTCGTCCTTGCCACCAACGTTTCATCATAACATTAATGTCGCAACCACTACTGACATAAACCAATGCGGTAGAGTTTCAAAGTTTAAGGGCGCATTCTTTTCACGACAATTTGATGAACGCCTCTTCTAAGGTTCCAATCAGCCCCTTCTTCTCGCATTCTCCCCAATAACTGCCTGCCTCGCCACCTGACCCCATCCTCTAGTTAAGGAAGCTTACAGTTGATTTTTACAGGTTCTCTGCTAATTCCCGCTCCCAGATCCTCATCTCCTCGAACCAAATATAAAGCCTTTCTTGGTGTATCCGCCATCACCATCACTTCCTAATTCTGTTCCAGTCCCTCCTATTAGATAAGTTTATTCAATAATTGTTAGCAACAGCCAAGGAAACAAGTGCCCTATCTTTGGGACTTAAGAGATTTGATTTAGTAAGGGCATTTTATTGCTACATATCCCGGGACATTCCAATATCAATCCTACACAAGGCTTTGGTTGGCTAAACCTTATGTAACACTCCAGTGGATGAATCCATCATCCAATGCTGAGCAGGGAGAATCACCGGATTGGGATCAATAATCGGCTGGATCAAAGTCCTGTGCTCTTCGAAGTGAACCGAACGTATATGTTGTGGTTGAATGATGGTCTGTATTTGAGGTTTTATCTGTTCATGCACGACAGGACGCCGATGGTGAACCGTTTTATCAACCGTTGATGTCACATCTTTCCCAGGAGAATCCCGCATTAGCTGTGCTTCGTCATTTGCCCGTGGTTTTATTGTGGCGTCTTGAGAGGTGGTAATAGCTAGTCGTTCCAAACCTGTGACTATTTGCTCCTCTGCTAATTGAGTCTCCCCAGGGGCGCAGATGACTCCGGTCTGGTCCAAATTTGAATCCTGGGAGACGGATCGAACAATTGGTGGGAGTTTCAAAGGCGGTACTGGTGACCGAGGTCGCAACTTCTTTCCCAAGGGCCGTACAGCGGGGTGTTCCGTGGAGCTCAAGTTTTTGGTTCGAATTTCAGATTGCAAAACCGGCTCTGATGGCGGTAAGTCTTCATGGCGACGATCCTGGCCAGAAGGGTCTCGATTTCGGGCCAGCCCGTATTGATCCGCGGCTATGGAGCCTTGGGGAGATGCCTGGCCATCAACAGGACCCGAAAATGTGTTGGGTGTATCCTTTTTCATTATTCAATGCCTCTTTTGGAGGGTTTTTCTAAAATTGAAGGGTGTAAAGGTAGAAGAGAAGCAGATGAGGATAGGGCAAGATCATTCCCAGGGCAAAATCACCCCCAGCTTCAGGTACTATGACATGTCTGACCGTGGCGAGCATGAAGTTTCCATTGCATTAGGGCAAAGGAAACTAACTCGTCATGACGTCGCCGTCCATGCAATAGTTCAGCATTAGATCAAAATGTATTACAACTTACTCCGATATTGCAAACGATTATCACGCCTCCTCGATCTAGACTTGACTCTCCAAATTGGGCCGACACCCCCCCTTTGGAGAACTAAGTTGAGCTAGTAGAATACTCTAATCCCCAAAATGTAACTTAGATCAGCGGCGTTCAGCTCGACCTGGATCGATTTCGGCTCTCCCTATACCATCGATCGACGGTACGGATCTAGCTCCGCCTGTGTTATACCCTAATGAGAAAGGGGCATACTTCATGACGCCGACATGTCGACGGAAAAGTGGAAACACCTGCCACATCACATTCCTAATGGCGTTGATCATTCAACAACAACCTCCGATGGCTCCGTTAAATATGTGATTCATGGCCCTTCCGCTCTCTCCCACCCCCACATTCCTGATACGGCTGGGGCCAGTCTGCTGGGATCGACCAATTCGATCGTTGATCCGCCGCGTGCAATAGCTCTATGAGCTGTGTCCAGCTGTCGAGACTCAATTCGTCAGCACGCCGACAATCCCGTACGTCCGCTCTATCTGCGTGCAGGCAGCTTTGAGAAGCTCCGAGGCTATGACGATGACGAAACAGCTGTTAGCCTCGGTCGTGAAGTGGCCATGCAGATAGACTCTGCCGAGACGTCATGTACGTCTCTAGCTATATATCCAAGCCTTCATCTGCCGATGGAAAGCTTCATCCACACACACTCATCAGTCTCAACAACATTGCAACTTAAATTCCCATTCTCAAATTTCACTGCCTTAACAAATACATCAACAATGGATAAGGCAAAGCGAGTAGTCAGTGAGTTCCTTCACAATGACGGAAAGCACAAGACAACCGTCGACCAAAACGTCCGAGAGGCTGTCACCAATGAGCACGTTCGCCCGGAAAAACATGAGCATGTCACGGAGGCCGTCGATAGAGATGTTCACCAAGAGCATCATCAAACCCGCATCCAGCCCGTGAAGGCCAAGGAAGTTCTGTAAGTCGCATTTCTGGCACGACTCCTCTGATAGCAGTACTAACTAGTCCTAGCCCCGAGCAGCATTCACACAATGTCTTACCTGTCGAGGAGAAGACCGTCCGTCATGGCAACCATGACGAGGTGCGTCAGACCCTCGAGAGAGACGCTGCCCAGTATAAGGATACATCGACTACACACAGTACTAAACATTCAACCACCGCCAATCCAACCATGACGGGAGAACACGTTCACCATCATGTCCACGAACACATCCAGCCAGTCATCGAGAAAGAAACCATCCAACCCCACGTTGTGCACACCACTGCACCTGTCCACGAGACCCACCACGCTGCGCCCGTTCATCACGAGACTACAACGCTGCCTACAAAGACCATGGAAGAATTTACTCAAGGTGTGGGCAAGTCTGGACTGGGAGCAAAGGGCACTACCAATGTCCTTCGAGAGTATGAAGGTTGCCCACAGCCTCACAAGGATACGCCTGGGGCCCATCGCCTCATCCACGGAGAAAGAGGAGGGGTTGGAGCCAGCACTGAAAGGTATGGTGAGAATCTCACCGACAACCGTGCTGGATCAAAGACCCTCGGTGCTGCATATGGTGAGAATCTACCAGCATCGACTGGACATGGTGCATACGAAAACACACGCAACGACGCATCCATCGGCGGCAATGCCACTCGGGCTTCTGATCAGGTACGCTTTACGCCCAAAGAACGAAGATATCTTGCAGCGACTAACTTTTCCTAAGGGAATATCGGGGTTCAATAGAACCAATCCTAACACCGGCAGCGCTTTTGAGGAAAATCTCTCTAGCAAGCATAACTCATCACTGGGTAACATCACTCCCCCCAAGAAAAATCAATCATCCGTTAAGGACATTCTTCATCCGCGCAGGGATGCCGATGGCGACGGAAAGGCCGGAATGTTTGATTAAGTTACCACTCCGAAGTCGAGTGCGCTAATAGGCTATTTCTGGTTATTCTACCTTGCTTCTCAAGATGGGCTAAGCTTTGGAACAGATTGTAAAGAGAAGAGAAACACAACTGGGCAGCACGGAGCAGTAATACGTATTCTCTTGGACATTTTGATCAGATAATTTCATATCGTATAATTCTTGCAATGAAAACCATTTATACATGACGAGCATCACACCACTTGTTTTCTTTCTTCCCTTAATATTTACAATGAATCATTTTGCAAAAGAAAGCACGACATGTGATGTTCTCAAAGAAAACAAAGAAATATCCCATAAGCTCCAAAATTGCCAAGGGTTGGGGGTCAAAAGGGCGTTTTTCGTCTGATGTAAAATCGAAGTTGTCATTTTAGCTAAGGCACTTCAAGACTGCAGAGGAAATAGCATGGGCCATCAGCGTCAATGAGTTTCTCTACAGATCAGTAAAACCCTGAACTAACCAGGGTTCCTATTTAAGGTGAGGCTACTCCCTGCTGACCACAAAGCCAACTTCCTTTTTGGTTACAAGGCTACTTCTTCTTCACAAATGCCTGATTTGTTGCAGCATGACCTTATAAATATGGGGCGAAATGAGCATGAAATCCCACATGCCTATTTATGGACTAGATAATAGGGCAGCTCGGCAATTTAGAGTGTTACGTAGTTGAAGAGCTGGGAACATGACTGGATCCACGGCTGTTACTCCTGCCTCCTTTACTAACCGCGCGGGGTAATAGCCCGAGGTAAGAATTGAGCAAGATGTTGCTCTGTCAAGCTCGCTTGCTCCAAGAGGACTCTTTCTGCCTTCTCGTCGGGGTTTACTCTATCTGGTAGCCTCTCTCACCACAGGGTCCCACTTGCTGACCATGTGAGCCGATCAATCCGGTGATCTTCGTGGCGATCGATTTCCATGGACATTCGAACGTTGTGGGCGGCCTCATTGCGAGTTAGTCTAATAGATCATGATTCCCCCTGGACGGAGCCCGCGGCCACTTGCGTTACAGAAGTCGTAGGGCCCCATTGCTCAGTACGTGGACAAATCCTTTTGCGAGGCTAATTCTGGTCAGCTTATGCTGAATTGGCCTGAACATCCCAACTGATCTTAGCTTGCAAAGCGCCCAGTTGCAGGTTTGCCACGACAGGGATGCTCAACCAAGGCTACCAGCAAATTAAGGAGTGGGAGCCCTACGCAATGACCAATGCCCTCCTAACCAGCATCCTCTGAAGCAGGGGTTATTTTGGGACTTCCGCATTCATGTCAATGTAGCATTGCTAAAATAGGCATCTGAGTGAACAGACTACGAATCCTCCCATGATCATGATGCTGGGATGTTGCAACACACCAAGTAGAATGGAACGTTATATATTATATGCCCTACAGCCCAATACTGAGTAAATAGCTCCAGTAGGATAACTCTCTTCAGTCTCAAGAGCTGCAAGACACTATCCAACACCATGTGTTCGCTCTTTTCGATATTCGGGCGGCCCGCCGCCGATATGCTGCTGCTCAGCATGACCATCCTCTGCCTCCTCGCCGGCCAGACCTACGGTATCACCAAGATCCGGGACGGTGCTGATCCAACAGTTATGAAGGTTGGAGACAGCTGGTACTCGGCTGAGTCTGCCGGAGGTGGCATCTGGGTCCGCAAGGCTTCTTCCATCACCGGCCTCGGCGCTTCTGACGTTGAGCGTAAGGAGGTTTGGTCCGACCCCAACGGGCTCGGCGCCGTCTGGGCCCCCGAGATCACCACCGAGGACGGCAAGACATACATCTATTTCGCTGCCGGAGAGAGTGAGAAGCACCGCATGTATGTCATCAGCGCGTCCGATCCCATTGGCAACTACGGCGGCGAGACGAAGTTGGCCCTCCCCGACGACCGATGGGCCATCGATGGCGTTTACTTCCGATTTAATAACAAGCGATGGTTCGTGTGGTCAGGATGGGCTGGCACAGAGAACATCGAGCAGAACCTGTACATCTGCGAGATGGAGAGCCCAACTAAGCCCATCGGTGCTCGATACATCATCTCGCAACCTCGCGAGTCATGGGAGCTTATTGGTAACGACAAGCCTCTCATCAACGAGGGTCCCGAAGCCATCGTTGATCCCAATGGCCAGCTTCACATTGTCTACTCAGCCAACGGCAGCTGGGGCAGCAAGTACTGTCTCGCTGATCTCCGTCTCAAGGCTGGTGGTGACCCCACCTACGTCTGGGATTGGTACAAGTCAAATGGATGTCTCTTCGGCTCTGACCAAGCTGCTATGATGAACGGCTGGGACGCTACCCTCTACGTCAACGGCCCTGGTCACCACACCTTCGCCCTGACTGATGGTGATGTCGGCAAGAGCCCAGTCACCACCGAGAGGGTTCCCTTTGTCTTCCACGCTGTTCTCAAGGGGACTGACTACTCATGGGCCAACCGTGACTGGTTCCCTGGCACCTATGTCTGGTGGGGCAAGATCACTTACAGCCGAAAGAACGTCCCAGGAGACAATGAGAACACTGGATACAGTTTCAAGTTCTTTGAGTAGTTACTTTGGATAGTAATATAAGTCGTCCCCAGAAATCCCCAATTGGCACAATTTATATATCATCGTGTGACAGGTCAGCTGGTAAATAATTTTCACAATTTTCCACATAGTGTGAATGCCCAGCTTGTTCAGCGTACCGCTTCGTAGTCCAGAACGGAAGCTTTGCTTATGCCATCACTATGTCTGGGCGAAAAGGTGGCTGGCTCCCGGCGGTGGTCATATTCACGAGGCCAGGGCTAATTATATAAGCAGCAAGGCCATGACTCCAACTACTGAATGATTTACGTCCCGATGCTGCCAGTGCTCCCGTACTGTAGTAAAGACGTGGGGAGATAACTATTGAGGCTGTATCTGTGGGATAGTCCCTCCGTTGGACTATCTACAATCACTAACTCAACTTCTACTCGTTTGGAGGTGACATGTATGCGTTTGTCATTAAGATTGCCAAGTTGCTTCAATAGTCGTTTTGCGCAAAGTCAAATTTATGATTGCTTAGGTGAAACGCGAACTGATATTCAGCGAGTCAGTCTCAAAAAAAGATTCAACTCATCTTTCTGGAATTCAGTTTTCGATAGGTAGTTCTGGATACCATCTAATGCGCTGACTCGAAGGAGTCCCCTCTGACGAATCGATCGGGAAATTAAACATGGTAAAACTACACTTCTCTTAGTTTTTCAGTAATACATAGAGGTAAGCCAAGCATATACATACTCATCTCCATTAAGGTCATCTTCGAACCCTATAAAGGCAAAGCCAAGATTTCTTATGATGTCTGTATCCGTGAAGTCCTGGCTTCCTTCCATCGGACCATGCGATAAGCATGTCGTCTGCGTTTCGCAGTTCGTTATATTGGTTGTCTCTTGCCGGGCCCGCCGATTTCTTATCTGAGTCTGTGCCTGGGAGAATAGCTGATGTAAAAGCGATGCTCCAAAGTACGTCTTGCGTAGTTCATTAGCGACAAGCATACACAAGTCAAGGCTGTGCCTTCCTAATGTCGCTATGAGGGGTTTGCTCGATGTCGAATTCAGGAGATGGAACTGCATAGGCGGCAGGAGGGCAATGCAACTACAACTCGCCCCAATCAGTATTCAGTAGATTCGTAAATTCAAATCCGAAACATGAAGGTCAGGTTTTGTACTGACATAATATTCTGACATTCCATGACCATATCTGCAGTTATCAAGGCTTCCAGTATTTTGTTAAAACCTGCAGCAGCAGCCTGAGCTTTCCGCTCTATTGATAAGTACCATTCCTGAGACAGGCTAGATGAATGTTTGTAGGTCAAGCTCAGAAGATAAGGCCGATACAAGACAGTTAGAACCGACCTATATTAATGGTCAGCGGAGACAGACCACAAAGATGGGAGAAAAGTACTGTGAAAACAGCGCCAGATGGCATGCATAATAGTAAATCATAAGATTTTCAGAGCTTATGAACCAGCGCGCTTTTCCATGTATTGTTGCTATTCTCTTCTCAACCTCCATCACATCGGCTGTACTCGGCCTAATCTGGCGAGCTCGGTAATGCGTTGACAATATGTTAGATTGGATGATTGCAAGATTTATCAACTCAACAAAGAGCTCGGATAATTCGCGCATGCCAGCCGGAAGGTACTTTTCGCGAAGTGTATCCGAAACACCTAATGCTAACGCATCCAAATCAGCAGCGACTGGCAGTTGTGTGTCACAATCGTCCAAGTTAATACGTACTGGCCTGCCCATGCCAACGGAAAACCATACATCTTGATGGACGCATGACCACCAGATAAGTCGCCAGAGTCTCTGACGGTGCTGCGGTATACGACTTGCAGTGGAGTGAGGGTTCCGATGTAGTCCAGCTGTCTGACTTAGACCAATAGCGACTCCGATCCAATGCCACGGGCCTGTCTTATCTTCTGTGTCAGAGGAGTAAAAAGTCATCAGCAGCACGGCCTGTATCAACGTGGTTCTCTCTCTTTCGTGTTGCATGTCATATAGAGCCTACGGTATGGCATGAGTTATGGTTCGGTATAGGTATGATGGTGAGCTGAACTGTACCTTTGCCTTTCGATAGAATGAGCGCTTCATTTCTTTCCTACTTGTAAACCCGGCCGCCTGAACTACATCCTCCTCCAAGAACTAGCATGCACGAAAAATGGTCAGTGTCGTACTACACCATAAGCATGCATGAACTTACATTACATGCTGCGAGGTACATGGACCATAACAGATGAGTACTAATTTTCTCAAGTGTGCCGCTTTCATGTTTGGGAAGAAAGTCTTGGATGTCGACGATGGGGAAGAACGGGTGGACGTAATGGAAATATGCCCGAACCAAGCTCTCGCGTACCCGAGCTTCAGGGAACACGAATGCACCTTTACGCCGCAAGTATTCTTGATCTTCCGGGTCGAGAGAGGCAAAAATACCATTTGGGAGAAGAAAGTGGCCGCTCCTATCTACTCCTTCCGGCTCACAAATGTTTGCCACGGCGCAAATGCCTGTCGGATCACCTATTGTAGAGTTAAATCATCAAATCCAATTTCCACGGAGCATGGCACGAGGTCCCCAAGTGAGGAGGCAGGCAACAAGGGATAAATAGAACGGATTCTCATACCATACATGGGTGTATCGGCTGGGAGAGAGTCTGTGTTCGGCGCGTCGTCTTCCTCAAAGTGGCTGAAATGCGACCGGAATGGGCGATAATTGCTGGAGCACGAAGCATCTGACCTTTCATTGCAGGTTGTTAAGGCCTCGGAGGCAATGGCATAGGTCCCGTCTGAGTCTCTCAACAAGTCGTCTGGTTTCCTGATACTGTTGTTCCCGGGCACAGTACGACGGGAGTCACTGGTCGCCGGTCGTGTGTCTAAGTCTACTTCTAGTGGTGGAACAAGGGTTATGGAAACGTCTTCTTCGTCATGGTTGCCAAAGAGATTACACGACCCTGGAACCGCTTGTCTCGAAGGGGAAGCCGAGGAGGATGTCTTATTGTGTGCTTGTTGGGCAGACACTGCGGCAGAAGGTCCAACTCCCCTTTGTGACTTGCGAACTCTCGGCTCACATTCTATATCATCCAATGAGCAGTTTGTGCAGGGCGGGCCGGACTTAGCCAGGCTGCACCTCACTTTCCGATCATGGCAAGCCTTACAAGCGCCTCCGAGGCGTTTACGCGATGCTTGCCGCTTTGCTGCGGGGGACAAAGCGGCTGGGGCATCTTGCTCCGACATCGTGGAAAACTCGGCGAAATTGGTTGCTTGTAGGTATGCGGGTGGTATCCGGCCAGTCGTACACATTCCTTTCGCCTCGGCGATTCTTATATACGGAAAGTCGGTTCTGGTTAGAGTTGTCACATGTCTTGGCTCTAACTGACTTGAGCCCGGGACTTTAGCAGTTTCTACCGAGGCAGTTACCTCATGCCTGTTCCCAAGTGACCCACACTTCCCGACTACCGAGGAGCTCAGGCAAGCCTACAGACCTTACGAAGTTGGAAAATGAAACACACGATGGGATGATTCTTGAAAAACTACCAGTAGCACGCACATAACGGCAGTGTGATTGGATGGTGCTGATGGGTGTAGTTGTTGCGTAGATGATTCCCATAGGCTTTCGATGTGATATGTGCTCATATATTTGTTAACAAGCGAGCTACTAAAGTCCCAGCACGTCTTGTACAAAATTGTGTTTTTCATTTCAATATTTACCGACGCAATCCCAGATTAATGAATACCACTTTGATGAAGCGTTTTGTGACGCTGCATGTTGTCGGAATAAGTGCTACCGAGTGCAGCTAGAACTAAGGCAATACAAATCGTTCTTGTGAATATACTATAAGAGAAATCCTCTACAACTTTCCAAAGACTGGACCCCGAATCTCCAAATTTCTGTGTGGGATGTTCAAATAATCCCACATATAGTGAAACCTATCACTTCCAAAGAATGGTTCCGCATTCCCCTTGCCATCGTGCACCCAGAACCACGGGCATCCAAACGCGCCAAGGTCTTCAACAGCATGCTTGGTCACGTCGTTCAAGGCTTGCTTGATCTCTGCTGTTTGTGCGGCGTCCAGGATTTCCTCCGCCTCTTGTTTGCTGAACACCTTGAGGAGCGCAGTCAGCATGTGCTCCTGTTTTGCCAAGTCGAGATGCTCAAGCCACAAGGTCTCAAAGCATGACTGGAACAGATCTTCGAGTTTCTTGGGGCGCTTCATCTTGAGATATGTAAGGCACCGTTGAGGCTAAGTTTTGTTTGAAGTAGTACGTTAGAGCGTGAATTTTGCTTATGCAGGAGGAGTGTTGAGTGGCTTACTAGTAATGAGAGGATCGGAAAGAAACCCGGAGTCTCAAAGTTGAGTTTGAAATACTTTTGAGCTCGGTTATTGTCGTACATAGAATAGCTGGCCTTGGCCGGAAGAGTCCATGGCGGCTTGTTTCCTATTCAATCTGTTATCAATAGAAGACCTCCACGGAAGGTTGCATGCACATTACCGCTACCGACGTTAATCCCACCCAGAAACACGGGAATGAATCTAGATCATCAGTACATAAGAAGCAGTTGATGGTTTGTCTTTCTCATCTGCACCTACTCGACTTCCACGCCTTGTGTTCTAAGTGCGGGTCTATTCTCGCGAAGATAGGAAAACGCGTAGAAACTGTAAGGTGAAACTGGAATGGCGTAAGCTCCCAAAGTGTCGGTCAAGATCGAGTTAGGCAAATTACCGCAATCAAGATACGCTTCAATCTTCCTGTCCTGCGAAGGCATGATTGCTGACGTGATGGGGACGTTGAAGCTGCTAGAATCGACTCTAAGCTTTTTATAATGGTTCATCTTCCAGGTGTACAATTGCGTCTAACTTAAGATAAAAAACGCACTGGGGATGTCATATCTGTTGAACTTTACGATGTAGAAGAATGGTTCGTGTGAGACTAGGTGTAAAAGTTCCTCGGCGATATAATTTCCTCGGCGATAGAGTGGTAAGTACCCCGCAACTAAGCACCTCGGCCTTCCAGTTCCACGGAGATATCATCATCCTCACAAGCTTAACCTGAAAATAAAAAGGGAAAAGAGAAAGGAAAACTGAACTTCTTCTAGCCATTCCCGCCCTTACAACTTAGCTAGATTAACACCTTACGGAACCAAGGACCACCAGAGAAGTTCTAGAATGTCTGAGCAATTGAATCCTGTCGCCTTGGTCGTTGGCGCATCTCGCGGCATTGGCCGCCAAGTTGCCATTGACCTGGCAAAGAATGGGTATAAAGGTACAGCACGCAGCTTAGCTTCGAGGATCCGGAACTGACTTGCTCGCTAGTTGTTGTAGCGGCCAAAACCGTCAGTGATGAAAATGAAACGACTCCTTTCCCTCCAGATCCGAATTCTAAACAGTCAACTATCACAACTGTGACCCGCGAAATCTGTGAAGCTGGTGGAGAGGCGACGGCAATCCAGGTTGATACAAGAAGCCCCGAGAGCATCAAGGACATGGTTGATTCTACAGTGAGAACATACGGATCACTAGATGTGTTGATTTACAACCCAGGTGCCATTTGGTGGTCCTCGGTTGAAAAGACACCCCTAAAGCGCTTCCAGCTCCTTTCGAGTGTGAACATGGAAGGTTTGTACGCTACTATCCAGGCTGCGTTTCCGTATTTCGAGCGCGGTGGCTGGAAATGCCGGGTCATAGTAGTGAGCCCTCCTATCTACTCTCGCTTTTTCAGAGGAAAGACAGCATATGCAATGGGGAAAGTTGCAATGTCTGTACTTACCAAAGGGCTGGCTATGGACTGGAAGAGAGAAGGGAAGAATGATATGGCCATCACCAGCATTTGGCCTGCCGTCGTATGTTGTGCCATACTCCCAAGAGCTTGTTAACCACATTGGCTAACGCAAATAGGCGATTCAATCAGCAGCAACGCCTGACCCGAGGATGCTGTCAGATTTGAGAAAACCGGTTCGTCCATTTATCGATTAAGCAACTTCTTTCAAGGAGCTAACGAACTGCCAGACAATCTTCTCGGACGCGATCCTAGAGTTGCTAAGGGCGCCTCCGGAGCAGATCAATGGATGTCTGGAACTTGATGAAGATTTCCTACGCAAGAGAGGAGTAACCGACTTCTCCAAATACAGCGTAGTGCCTGGCACAAACCCGCGACGGATGCTCCCAGCTACACTTCCGGTATTGACAGTGCCGGAAGAGGAGGAGGAAGGGATTCGGATTGATAGCACAAAGATGAAATCCAGTCTGTAGATGCAGGATGCGGCGAGGAGCCGATATTTTAGTTTTTCTCAATATTCATACAGTTAAACTCCTATATCACAGTAAGGCCTCACTATGAATAGTATCTATCGGGATACAAACGATCAGGTTCATGGACTGTGGCACAGAGAGCAAGAGAGATGAATACTTGTATATTATATCAAAATATACTATTAAACACTAGGTATTCTTTCAAGCATCGCCATGATACACGCACAGTGCAATGTCGATGCGATGGTCTTTTCTAAACCATCCCCGCATCTCCCCTACCTCCCTTGGGGCGAACGCTCATCTCCACCGGTCTCGAATTACGCTGGTGAGCAAACTTGCCGTCCATGCCCAGCTTTTTCTCGGTGAACCACTTTCGAACCCAGATCAGCCCATAGACGATGCAGAAGATGATGAGAATGGCAGCAAGAATTCCAAAAGCGTAGGCGGCGACCATCCCTCGGCCGTTAGGGCGCGGGTCCAGGAACGAGTAGACGTAGAAGCCCTGGGTGGCGTAGGTGAGGTAGGCCAGACCGAGATAGGCGGCAAGCATGATCAGGACCCAGAGCAGGTGGATCCAGAGCATCGGCTCGGTTCTGGGGATGAAGATCTCGAAGAGGGCGAAGGCGCTGTTGAGCCCGTGCTGCGTGACGTTGGACCATCCTTCGATCTCGGTGTCGAACCACGGTCCGCGGAAGAGCACGACCCAGTAGACGATGGTGACGAGGAAGGGATAGGTGACAATTGTCGTGTAGAACAGCGAGTGAAGGGCCTGGAGGAAGCGCGGGAAGGACTCGAGAGGAGAGCGTCCGCGGAGGGCATAGAAGAATGTGTGGAAGGCGGCGACAAGGAAGTAGCACGCGATGCCCCAGAAGGTCAGGATGGTGAAGTAGGAGAAGGACTGCTTCGCTTGTGTGCAGCCATCGCCATCATGCGTACATGTGTATCCAATGAGGAACAAACGGGTCACCAAAGCGTATATTCCCTGTTTCGTGGGGTTAGCGAACAACGCATACAGATCGATCAGGGGCCGGGGAGCGGGAGAAATGGGCACGTGAACGGTTTCCACTTACGATGAGGAAGCGGCAGGCAAAGAGGAGCCAAGGACTCAGTAGCCACGACGTCTCGAACCGGTGAGACGGGTCCCAGAGACCTGTGCCCAAGGCGAACGGGTTGCCACAGGACCGCATCGTTGGTGATGGCGACACGGGGGAGGTTTGAAAAGAAGAAGCACGGCTGTTGGGAACGAAATTTCAGGCGTCGTCAGCACGATGTAACAATTCTGGCCGACGCCAACCGAGGAATCACCGACCAGCCAAATTGAGCGAAGCTTCAGCCCCTTGAATGTTATCCTTCCGCTAATTTGCGCTGGTTTGAAACCTTGACTCTGGCAGCCAGCGACGCCCCGATGTTGCCTCAGAGAAGCGGCCGCAAGATCTGACCAAGAGAGAGAACCTGGAGAAAAACAAAGACCATGGGAAATTCTGTGCATTTTATCCAATATGGAGCTAATAATAACAAAGGAGCCCAAAACTCCGCCTGACAACCCGCCGCGCCAATCAACAACCCCAGCAAGAGCCAACTACCTGGTCAAGCGCAATCTTACGGACGGGGTCTATTCCCCAAGAGGCATCAGTAATACCGCCTAAACGGCAGTTCTTACCCTACATCTCGTGTCTGTTGGTCACGCTTGCACCAAAGTCGTCCTCAGCTCGAAGACCTTCGTTCAATAGTCCGTGAATACGTGTCATACAGCCATTCAGCCACTGTAACCCAAAGCACGTCCTAGTTTTTGCACAAAAATGTGTTGAGAAAGGAGGCTAACACTAATCATGTGACGACAAATTGTAAGATAATTCAATCTGCCTTCACAAAAGTCGGCAGCTTATTAGCATCTTACCTATCATGAGCCAGGAGTAGGAAAAGCGTGCCACCTCGATGAAAGTACAATTTTATATGGTGATATGGCCCAAAAAAGGTTCCTTATAGCAGTTTGGGCTATCCCATACTCTTTCTTCTTTCTTAGCTCAAAAGAGAATTATGTGGTCCCAAGACCCTTCTACTCTACGTGAGCGACTTGCCGTTTACATATGGCGGCCTGAGCATCAGTCTTTAATTCATATACCGAATCCTATTTAATCAATATCAGAGCTTGGACAAATAAAAGTAATATGTCCCGGCCTTTTTTGGAAGGAGTTTGCTGTCCATGGCCCCGATCACAACCCCATCCTTAACATGCCGAAACGAGTCAATGATGGGCAAGTTGTCGTACACCATCGCCGTCGAGACCACGCCGCGGAACTTGATCTCTCGTAGCTACACGTTCCCACATTAGTTTGAGGCATTCTCACTTATGACCTCCGGATAAGATAGACTCACCCTAGCACGGCCGTAATTCTCGGCCCACACCCGTTCCCCGTTCTCGCCATACACGACCATCGGGTCAACGTCCTCCGCCGAGCGGAAGTCCTTGCCAGCCCACTTGACGTCGCCGAGCTTCTTGTGAGCCGGATGGCCGGTGTCGAAGCTGCCCCCGACCCATGACCCGGTGAGCTGGTCTGGCGTGACGGGCTTCGCTTCGTCAAAGACCTCTGCGACTTTGTTGCCGTCGACCTGGCCGGTCTGATTCTTCAAGGCGTTAAATTTTTCTTCGGTCCTGGATGGGTATTTTGTTAATGAGTTCTCATTGAAAGTAAATGGGCACAGGCTAAGATTTACGTTTGCCCCATGGTGCTGTTGTGCGATTGCGGAAATTTTGTAGTGAGGAGATCAAGAAATGCAATTGAGACGGACCAGATGTTTATCCAGGTGGGTGGGAATGTGATTTAGTAAGGGATTCAAATACATGTCTCAGGTTCGGCCAATATTTGTTCTTTCATACATGCTGGTCGCACCCGGTCTCTACTTGCTATGCGAGATCCCGAAGTTTATGTACCCCGCTCCAAGAATATCCGCAAGCTCGGATGTGTGTTAGCTGCATGAACGAGTAGATTTACGTAGCGAGTGTATTCAATGTTGGCCCGCAGTGCAACAGAACAGGGATGTGGTTGCATTGGGCCTCGGCATCTTGGTCTGTCATTCCCCAGAAGAGTCTTGGAAGGTAATTTTTATTCGTCGAGTCGGAATCGGGGTATTTCTAACTGGAATGTCTACGTAATATATTTTCTGCGTCACATCCGCTGGAAGCTGAAATGCATCATCAGTCCCCTCCATCTATTCGGGGCTTGCGGAGAAATCATTGTCACCGTGATAATGACTCCGCGCCCGCAGAAGACAGGAAACCGGGCTGCCGTGTATTCGGAGCCTGGCACTTTGAAGACAGAGATCAAAGACCTCCCTATTCCTAATCCGGGGCCGGGGGAGGTGCTTATTCGATTGTTTGTTCCACGATGAGCTTCTTGGGTATTGCGTCAATCGCTAACGTGCACGAGACACTATTCTGGGGTATGCCACACAGATATCGCCTTCTGCCTAAATGAATTTCCAAACCAAGCGGTGCCTACAAAGAGGGGTGAGTTCCCGGGACAAACGAACCAGTATGTGCGAAGCTGACGAGCAATCTTAGGCCAGGTCGGAGGTCATGAAGGTAGGCCGTCCTCCAGTGTAGACTTCGTGTATTATCCCACCCTAACTCTGGACTGTAGGAATCGGCGAGGTCGTTGCGCTCGGTGAGGGAGTTCAATCGACTTCAGTAGGCTCCAAGGTAGGAATTCAAATCGCCGGAGATGCTTGCCTCAGTTGTGGTAAGATGCTCCCGCTCACCCCATCCATGATTCGCGACTCGCTCACTAGTCATATATATTTGTAGATGCGTGCCTCGTTGGCGGAGAAACTTCATGCTCAAGCTTAAAGATCACGGGATACTTTACTCCAGGCACATTCCAACAATACAAGATCGCTCCCGCCAGATACGTGATGCCCATCCCGGACGGTTTGGACATGGCCGCTGCAGCGCCTCTCATGTGCGCTGGCGTGACCGTATACACTGCTCTCAAGAAGTCTCAGATTCGACCTGGGGATTGGGTTGTTGTCTCTGGAGCTGGGGGTGGCCTCGGCCATTTGGGCATCCAGTATGCCAAGGCGATGGGAGGGAGAGTGATTGGAATTGACCACGGTTCCAAGGAACAGTTCTGCAGGGACCTGGGTGCCGACGAGTTCCTCGATTTTACCAAATTCAAGAGCAATGTCACGCTTACAAGCCGGATCAAGAACCTGACTGGCGGAGGAGCAAAGGTCGCGCTGGTATGCAATGCTAAGAGCTACCCACAAGCATTGGCATGGCTGGGCCTTCGAGGCACGATCGCGTGCATTGCCTTGCCAGAGAAGCCGGGCTCGTTTCTGCCTGATGTTGGGACATTGATCCTGCGAGAGCTGAGGATCATCGGTGAGTATTGAGTACTTGAAGCCGACTGTCTGCCTTGATCTGACACATGGACATCAAATACTAGGTGCCAAGTCGGGCAACCGGCTGGACATGAAGGAATGTCTCGAAATTGCAGCGCAAGGCAAGGTGAAGCCCGTCTACCAGCTGCGTAGTTTGGACGATCTTACAAAGGTGAGAACAGCTTTTTGATTGAACAGAATAACTATCGCTAACATAGACATAACAGACATTCCAAGAAATGGAATCCGGTGTGATCCAAGGCAGAATCGTGATTGATCTCAAACCGCGACTGTAGGATCTCTTCTGCTTTCAAATCATTCCATCACAGGCCCAGGTAGACAAGGCCAAGACCGATGGTTGCAGGAACCATTTGCACGTAAATGATGCGCTTTCCAACCGTGGCACCGCCGTAGGCACCGGCGACAAAGACGAGGCTCAGGAAGAAGAGACGGATCTGGGTCGCAAACTCGGGCACTGGGTGGACGAGGCCCCAGATCAATCCGGCCGACAGAAAGCCGTTGTAGAGGCCCATGTTGGCGGCGAGAGCCTTGGACTGCTCGGCGAACTCGGCAGTCAGCTTGAAGGACTTGCGGCCGCGCGGCGTGGTCCAGAGGAACATCTCGAGGACGAGGATGTAGCCGTGGAGGGCGGCGATGCTGCCGGTGGCGAGGGTAGAGAGGGCGCCCATGATTGATGGCTGGAGAACTGAAGAGTAGGTAGAGGTTGAATTGGTGGTGGTCCGTCGCGTGTCAATTGAGCCTTTTATTATTTTGTGCGTGTCGGAATGTTGGCCAAACGACGGCGCTGGGGGCTTGGAATTATTTATATCCTAGCTTGATTTCAGAGGAACGAAGCTGACAGAGGACTTATTTATTGCCCAATTGCAGCTGCTACGGCGCGCCCGAAGCCCCAGTGGCCTCAAGCAGTAAAGTGCACCGCGTTCCCCCACATTTGTCCGCATTCTCGGGCCCATTTGTTAATCAGTCCGACTCGCTGTTTGCAGCAGCATCAGGGACCGGATCGATGCAATCTCCGTCCTGTTCCACTGCGCCCGGAGAAATGAGGAAGATGAGGCTCGTATCTGCAGACTGTGGCATTGCTTGTGGTGGGCCCCTTAGAGGCTTTGACGGGTATCTGACAGCGTGTGGCGGGTCTTCGGCCGCCGGTCCGCCATCAAGAAGAGATGGAGATATGGATAGAGATATGCTCATCTAGTCCTCGTCATTGGTCGAGATGATGATCCTGGGCGCTGAAGCCTTCCACTAACCCCGACGAGGCAGACAAGAGTGTGGGGGGGATTTTTTGCATGGGGAGCATCAGGATGTCAAAGTATATTCTTAGTTACAGCCTAGTATTTGAATGAAGTTCTTAACTTGATACATGTGAGTGTATATAGGGCCATCCGCTACGACTTGTTTCGAAATTCTATTTGAATATCCCCCCTCCTTGATTGAAGAGCCAAATTCTAAGGTCTTCAGACGATTTGAAAGTTGATGGACCTTCTCCAATAATAGCCAAATATTTCTGAGCAGTCGACGAGGATACAAGCGACGATTTTGAGACATTAAGCTATCGATGGTAATTAAACTCACACGATAGTGAGTTGCTCCGTATCTTTCTCGTTACTTTGTCATTTGCTCACGTTTTCCCAACATGCGTGATATATGCACGCTCGATAAGTCTCGGACCCTGACCGAGGGAAATGCGTGTCCTGGTTTGGAGTGGGATGAAAGTGTCACTGAAGCGGGGGTGAGTATGTTCGCATATATGCTATCAATGACCTGTTCATATTCTTCCCCAATGCATTGAACAAGGTGTGTCACTGTTACATCTGTTCACCCCCCGGTCATTAATCTGATGTGTTTGCTTACCCCGATGACGTCGTGGTTGGCATCAAGCCGAGGCAGTTGGTGATTCCTGTTGGCCGGACCGAGGCACCCCTGCTACGAGCTGGTTGCAAGATGCCCAACGTTGCACCAAAGGCTCACAGTTCGCAAAGAATTCCCCGCGATGCGCATATTCCTGGATTGGAATAGTAATTGTCAATTGGTCGACCGGTCTTCTAAGGACTCACCTGGGATTGGGCGCAGGAAAGGTGGTACACATTAGATTGATAGCTGATATCTTCCCCGCGTTTCTGGGTGTGTATGATTTATTGGCTATCCGTTAAGACGCCTTTATGACTCCAGTTACCGAATTTTAAGATCACCTCCCGTTGAATATTTCCCCGCAATTATATCATCGTCAGGTCCATCTTCATCCCAAAGCCTCTGGCGAGCCCTCCCTATCGAACACAGCTGTGAAACAAAGCGACAAAATGAGTGTCGAGACTTCTGCAAACATTGGCATCGCCCTGGATTTTGGGTTTTCACATTGTGCCAAACCGGGACCCAGACGGAAGCGAAAGAGGTCCCCGAGAGCGTGTTTGGTTTGTCGCAGCAGGAAAGTCCGATGCGATGTCCTCCAGAAGAGTCGCCCATGCACCAATTGTACTCTTGATGGAAAGGTTTGCATTGTTCCCAGTAAGTTTATCCGCGCGACTAGAACTAATAATGAACCATGTTGATTGGTTTCAAGATGGAAGACGAGGGAAGATGACGTGGGGGGATGATGTAGACCAGCCTTCTCTACAACATGTCGAAGAGGCGACCGATCCTAATAACGCCCGTGACCATGTCGAGCGTGCTGTGGCCAGCGACCAAGATTTATCGATGGGGCAACAAGAGTTCACTTTCGCCGACGAAATCGATGTTGATATATCGAACGGGCTGGACGACAGCGGCCAAGCTCATGACTCCGATGGCTGGCCACAGGACACGCTTTGTTCGACTCAACCGGATGATAAACTGGTTGAATCTTCATTGAAAGTCTTCTCGAGTAACTTGAAAGGTATGACTCCCATTTAAACTAGATTCAAACATACTAAGGCTTCTTAGAAAATCACACACAATCTCGAACTGACGCTGTACCCGAGGATGCAATAACGTCGCCCGCGTCTGATGCCATGGCACTTTTTGCGGAAAGAGAAGTCAGCTATACAAGGTACCCCTTCATTATTTTGAATAACCTACGGAGCCTCGGACCAGAAGATGTAGCGTACTTGGCGTCCCAAGACTGCCTCGTCATTCCCACAGGAGAGACCCTGGATCATTTCTTGAAAATGTACTTTCTGCATGTGCACCCTCTCCTTCCAATGATCAACGAGGGTAATTTCTGGAAGTTATACTGTCATGGACCATGCGAAGAAACCGACAAGGTCCCGTTGGTACTATTCCAGGCTATTCTATTTGCTGCCAGTAGCGTAAGTCTCAGATATTCTGCCAGTAAACGCAGGGCTCACAACAATAGTTTGTATCAGAAGAAGTTGTCAAACACCTGGGATTTCCGCACACTCGAGCAGCAAGGGCAGCTTTCTACAAAAGAGCAAAGGTATGAGGCTTTTTTCCTGGATCGTTTTACTCAATATGCTCATTCATTTCTCGCTAGCTCCTGTACAACTTGGAAACCGAGTCTTCACTGGTTCCACTGGCACAAACAGCTCTTCTGTTGTCTTTTTGGGCCCCCGACCCATTGGGCGGGCAAGGCGGCTTATCGGATTGTACTAAAAATTCCACAGAGGCCTGGCTGGTTCTTGCGATCCACGATGCTAGAAACGCAGGTGCCCATCTCCAAACAAATATGCATTCTTCGGCTCCCGTGGAAAACTACAGCACAGAGCAAAAACGCCAAAATACTCTGCGGAGATTGTGGTGGTGTTGCCTGATCCGCGACCGCATCCTTGCCCTTAACTTGCGGCGTAATATCCAGATCAAGCGGACGTACTATGATGCCGATACTCTTTACCAAGACTTGAGTGATGAGATCCACCAGTCCCGGGTCTACAATGCCGACACCAAACGCCGCACGATCCGAGTCCTCGTACAACTTGCGCGACTGGCAACGACGCTCACGGATGTGATCCCACTCATCTACCCATCAGACGACGAGCCGAGGGACAATTCCCCAACAGGCAAAGGAAGTTCAGCAAGGAAGTGCAAAGAGTTGCTTGATGCCTGGTACAAGCCAGCTTTTTCAGAGCTTTCAAGTCTTGCCGGTGGTGCTGGCAACCTCGATCCCGTGATATTATACACAAATTTCACATATATTTATTATTAGTAAGTTCTTTAGTCCTTTAAGTAAGCGTCCGAGGAAGTAGCTAACTGGCCCTTTCCAAGCTCGGCCAAAATCGCAGTTTGCCACCATGAGGCTTTGCAGCTGGCGCTCTCTAACGCCTCAGCGATGCTAGACTCAATAGCTTTTGCTACCATCTGCGATAATCAACAACAACTTCGGGAAGCCATTTATGGAGTCAGTGACTGTCTGGAACGTCTTATTCAACTGGGCCTAGTTCGTTGGTTGCCAGTCGTAACGTAAGCCCCCCCCGGTGAAACGGAGTTAACATGCGACTAACGTATGTTGATTATAGGCTCGCCTGCCTCGCTCTCCCTCTAATGTTGCAAATTCTTGATGTCAAGATATCGTCCCTGAACCCAAACTCGGTTGCAATCAAGGCTTCGAAAACTCAAGCAACCGTAAAGCAGCGACGGCTTACAGTTCTAATCGAGGCCGTGCGTGTATACCACCCAAGATACGCTACCGTTGACTATATCTGCAAAACAATCCGACATGTGACGAATCTCGCGAAATTAGACGTCATATCGAATGTGGGTGCTGATATGGGAATGGGCCAGCCCATCATCTCCGACTGGACGGACTTTTTGATCCTATCACCGGGCCATTACTTGCAGCTGTCGAATGCGCTAGATTTCAGTCTGAAGAAGACTTGTTTGGCCCGAGCAGATGATATTTCATCTGACCTGAAACTACTACTCGGTACAGGCGCGAAGCTTCCCTCGCCTCAAGAGCACTCACTGACATACCAACGACTTTCTCCGCCGAACGCATTTGCCATCCCTGGCCACTCCTGGGATATGGAGCCTGATGAACGGTCAGGCTCAGTGAACCCTTCTTCCCAATCGCACGTCATTGAAGAATCGATCCTGGACGAGACATTTCCCGTTCCAGAGTTACCGCCTTCTGCCGCTATCGAACTTGGTCTCGATTGGATGGACTTTGGAGAGTTTCCAATACTAGACCTGGGTCCAATGTGATATATGCGAACTCTTTTATAATCTGAGGGTGATGCTATACGGGGGTGGGATAACTTCTATATCTGAGGATCTTTGGTTTTCTTCGCATCTAGTGCTGGAAAATATATTTGCTTTAATCACTGAATAAGATATTCAACGAGTTTTCTAAATTTTACTCTTCTATCCTATCTGTTGCAATTGGTTCATTAATTTTCCTTCCTGTCTTGCTTTTCGATCATCATCAGTTCACCGGCTAAAATTTCCCAACTTGGTTAAGTCGAGAGATGGTGATGGAGGTAAGGAACCGGATTGCTTATCCAGGATGAGTAGCATATTGCGAAATGATCTGATACTTGCATTGTTGCATTGTGATTCTTATCTGGCCGTTGGAAGAGGCCAAATTCCTTTTTCAGCGGTTGAATGTTCGCTATTCAAGGACAATAAAATAACACCGTATCCTCAAACTGCCGACGGCTTTTCGTTAGTACGAATGTTCCCATGGCATCCCGGATTTACTCCATTCCATGGAAATAGCTGCACAATGTCGGACATTGTATTCAAATGGCCGGAACGCTTGGCAATAGAATTCTATCTCGCAATTTTCATCACTGCCAGCACATTTGCTTACTTTCTCTGCATAAGGAACCCCTTCTCCTTATCGGCATCGTTTCCTTCTAAACAGAAGCGAGGGTTGAAAGACTATCAAGAGGTTTACAACGAGATTGCGAGGAGACTGGAGGAAAATCTTGACTACGACGATGGCTCCTACGGCCCTATTTTGGTTCGATTAGCCTGGCACGCAAGCGGAACATATGACGCGAGAACGCATAGTGGAGGTAGCAATGGTGCTACTATGCGATTCCACCCAGAGTGCAGCCATGGGGCTAACAGTGGTCTAATGATTGCCCAGGATTTTCTTGAGGACGTCAAAGGTATTCAATTGGGAACAATCTACCGTGTGCCTTTTTCACGGCCCAAGCTAATATATTTTCTACAGTGAAATTCCCATGGATCACTTACGCCGACTTGTGGATCCTCGGCGGCATCGCTGCTATCCAAGAGATGAAGGGACCCATCATCCCATGGCGGCCGGGTCGTTTAGATAAAGATGCGAGCCACTGTCCTCCTGACGGACGGCTTCCTGATGCAACTAGAGGATCTAACCACTTACGAGATGTTTTCTATCGCATGGGATTCAACGACCAAGAGATTGTGGCACTCTGCGGCGCTCATAGTCTTGGCCGGTGTCATGCAGATAGATTGGGGTTTGAGGGTGCATGGACATACTCTCCCACGAAATTCACCAATCAATACTATGATATGCTCTTGGGAGATCAATGGGTCCAGCGGAAGTGGGATGGGCCTCGCCAATTTCAAGGTTCAATGAGCCAGACCCTCATGATGCTTCCAAGTGACTTGGCCCTCATTGAGGACAAGGCGATGAGGACATGGGTTGAGAAATATGCTCAGGACACGGAACTCTTTTTCAGCCATTTCCGCGAAGCAGTTACGAAGCTATTTGAATTCGGTGTACCGTTTGCCGAGGGCATTGAGAGGTGGAGCTTTCAACCTCTCCGGCAGTCAGCTTAATGCGGCGTGTTGGGACCAGGTCTCCTGATCACTCTTCTCCTTTGCCATCACGTTATCTCCGTTAAACTCCCTTTTTCCGGTATCGATAGCTGTACTGTTGAGATTTGGCATTGCATGATATTACCAATGAAATCTGTTCGAGTGGCTCTCGATTATACTCACCGTGACTGCATGCAGCTGCACGACGAATTGGCCGAAGTCGCCGAGTTGCACGTGGGGCACTCCTTGAATGTGACCGGAGAATATTGGTCAAATCTCCCAGCAATTATTTGCACTTGAACTTCAGTTTTGTGAATTTTGTGAATTTCTTTTTGTTTTTTCAAAAGCCTGCTTTTGGAGAGTCAAATGCCCGTTTCCATTGATGCTCGTAAGACGGGTTCAGGCTCATCAGAGTTCCGTCTGCCGTTTTAGACCTTCCCCAGCCATCCTCTTCCAGTCTTACGCATCCTGACAATCTTGGATGCAAGTAAGAAAGCGGAGCCCAATGCCAGAGATGCGCCCGCGAAGCCTTGTGCTCCCTTGTAGTTGCCCGACTTGTCAATTATGCTCCCAGCAATTGGCGACCCAGTCAGAACCGCGAACGAGACAACTGTGAAGACCATCCCGGTCCTCACCCCAATCTTACTCATATCATCGCTCAAAAGGGACAGAGCAGCCGGAAAGAGACTCTGAATTCCACCGGCGAAGAATCCATAGAACACGGACCATGCATATAATCCACTAGATGATTTGACCGACATCCAACAGAAGACGAGGATAGCGGTGGCGGAAGATACCGGGATCAGCATGGTAACCGCTCCGGTACGATCGGCAAGATAATTCGGTATAATCCGGCCTAAAAATCCCACACCATTTGTGATCAACAACAGGTTGAGAGAGTCCTCGAACTGGAAGGGGGACTGGAGCGCGTTTCGAGCGAAAGAGGCAAGATAGAAAAATCCGAAATAGACACCCCAGAATATCTGGAAATACGTGATCAATTTTAGTTCTCTTAAATCAAAATTGAGATTGGAAACTTACCAGAAATGCCCCCAACGCATAGAAGGTATACTCCATTTCCTTGAACGCCTTGATGTCGATGAGTGGACCACCTTTGCGTGGCTTGACCCTCGGCTTGCTAAGGACGTTCGCCACAAGTAGAAGGAACAGCTGGACCAAGGCGATTGCGCGCATGGTCCATGGGAACTCAATCTTTGGGAGCAGTTGGCGAGCCATAAGTGGGAACACAATTCCTCCTGTGACAGAACCGCAAGCGCCAATTCCCACTGCAATTGACCTCTTCTTGAGAAAGTAGGTTGAGGTTATGGTCAAGGAAGGGCAGAATAGGAAGCCGTTCGCGATGCCTACGGACAGACCTTGAGCAAGCATTAGCTGCCAATATGTAGAACAAAACGATATTGACACACTTCCCAGGATCTGGAAAATGCTGCCTATTACGAATACAGTTCTGAAGTACCCAGCATCCGTGAGTCGGCCAGTGATGCTGGCGCAAAAGAACATGAGGAATATAGGCAGCGTTCCAATGAAGGAGATATCTGATGCTGATCGATCTGGAAGGAGCGTCATGTAATATGTCTGGAAAGTCCCGAAGCTGTTGGCCATGCCCCAGCTGTTACATCCCACGGCATGAAGAGCAATACCTGTTGAAGAAATTAGTCAGACGACCTGCACGACCGGCTATTGAAACTTACATTGGGACCAAGCTGTCCACCCGCCATCCGGTGGTGGATCGTTAAGATTCGGATTACTCTCACCGGTTTCTACCTCTGGTTTGGAATTCAGAGAAGAGACGCCCCCAGATTCCGACGAAGATGAATTCCCATGTTTCTCTGTGCCGTTTTCAAGTGTGGCTTTTGATCCAATACTCTCAAAGTCTGAGGCGCTCTGCTCGACATTTGATAGCTGGCGTGTTCTTTCCATGGTAGGTATGATTGGAAATAGGTACCATGAAAGCTGGAATCGAGAGAGATAGAGAGCAAACTGGCAAAAGCCAGGGACTTAAATAGGATTGGGATAACAGAATCAAACACACGAGAGCGACTTGCCTTCATATACCTCCGCAGCCAGTCACATTACTACGTATCCGCTATGGGCTATTACCATGTTACACTACTTATTCCTCACCATCTCCATATCTAGGCGTCTTCGGAGTCCCGAGTTTGATGATGTGAAAAATTAATCCCAGCCTCCCTCGTTAGTAATAGAAAAGGCGAGGGGGCGCTAGTCATGAGCAAAAAGTCAATACGCCGATTTCGCCGAGATGGAACCCACAGTTGTCCTAATTCTCCGACAATCTTGCTTTTTGCAACCTTCATTCCTACCATTACACATTCCCTCCTTCAGAACACGCCGTGTGTCAAGTGGCCCGAAACAACAATGTCCGTGAGGCTTGCTGCTTGCGAGCCTTGCCGGCTTTCTAAGCTTGCCTGCAATCACGAGCGCCCTGTTTGCTCAAGGTGTAGTTTCCGTGGGCAAGGTAGAAGTTGTACGTACAGAGACCGGCCATTCAAGCGAAGAGAGCGAAGAAATGGGACGACGACTCCTGGGTACAATTAACGAAGTCTCTTGCGGTAAATCTGACATGGTTCACTAATTTTCGTCATTAGTGTGGGCAGAGCTTCGCCACAGAGCCCGATATCACCCCCTGAGCAACTCCTCACGGCGCCGAGGCCTCATCATTATCCGAATCCCGGGTACCTGGGGCATTCTAGCCACTCGGCAATCTTCAGCCAAGTGAATACAACCGATACGTCTCCTGTTGGTGATCCTGGCATCCTCACTTTAGATGTGGAGACTCCTCTAGGAACAGATGATGTGTTCAAGGATCAGGATGTCGCCCACAAAGCCATCCAAGCATTGAGTCAATTGGTTCAGATGGACGTTCCCAGCATATGCGGACTAGTAAATGACTGGATAGGGCGAAATGTGAATCTTCCTCTGGCCGAACCTTTCGTACCGGGGAGCATTGAAGCTGCGCGGGCATTTTGGGAGCTCCGTGGTCATGAGTGCGGTGGCAGTGCTCAGATATCCGACCAATGGATAACTAGGAAAGCACGGTTCCTGCTGCGAAATAGCAGAAGACAGATCCGACTCGAGAGAGATACCACCGTGAGTGAATACATGGCGCAGATCTTCGATGACAGCCTGCGCTGGGAGGTCCTCGGCATTTTCTTCACCGCGGCCTCGCGTGCCGCCCTGGACACGGACTCATGGCCGGGGTTGTATTCCAACTTTGAAGAGAAGCGGCATTTGATCAAGGCCGTGGCCTATATAAGTGACTGCTGTCTCGAGATTTGTCTGTCTCTTGATTGCCTGAACGATCTGCAGGCAGTTCTTCAATACGAGAACCTGATTGTTCACTCGCAGGTAGACGGAGATCAAAGTACGCCGATCCGCTAAGCATATTACAATTTATACACCTTCGAAAGTCATACTGAACTGACACTAATTTCTCAATGGTTAGGTTATCAATTTTGGCGCAAAATAGGTGATGCCGCAAGCACATTCTTCGCCCTCGGATTCCACGAGGTCATTGATGAGAACTCAGCTCGGATTCCTCTATTCGTAGCTGAACTACGAAGGGCCATCTCGGCTCGAACATACTCTGCGGATAAGAAAATTTCGGTATTCTTGGGCCGCCCTCCGCGTATTGTGAAAGCACATTGCACCTTGCAGTTGCCTCGAAACATCCCGGATCTTTGGAATGAAGACGCGCAAGAGTCGCATTTGCGATACATGAATACAGATGTTCCCCCTTCTGAGTTCACAACCTTTGATTCGCTTGAGAAGATCAACTACACCGCGGATACTCGATGTAATGCTCTCTTCTCCGCTATCAAAGAGGAGATCATAGAACTATTCCGAACCCGACACTCACATGACCAAGTGGCCAAAATAAGGTAGGAGACCCCCAATTTCTAATTATGGCGTCTTATTCTAATATTTGGCTTACTTCCATAAAGTTCACTGCAACAAGCGGTCGAAAATATTTGGCAAAGTTTCCCGGTTCGCTTCAAATTGTCGACCAGCCTCCGAGACAGCCCTTCCAATTCGTTTGAACGTGATTTTCTTGTCGGAACCCGTCTCGAATACTTGCACAACCTTCTCCTTCTAGATCTGATCTCTCTCAAGAATTCGACAGGCCCTAGTGAGGCCCTTCTCGCAGTCGCGGGCGAAATGTTGTCGTATTCGGTTGAACTTATCATACTACGGCACACATTGGTCAACTCTGGGACATCTCTAATCTGGAAGGTATGTATGTCGCTTCATTTTATTTGCAGTAATATTTGCATAATTTACATAGTATTAGATTTCCCAGTATGGCCTCCCAGCTGCAGCTGCCGTGTCGCTGTCCCTTCTTAATCCAGCCACGATCTTCAACTCCAAGTCCAGCTCCCGCTCCAACCTCATCCAAAACCTCAGCATTTTCGTTGGAGAGTTCAAGGGAAACACCTTCATCCAACCCAGCGAACCTAATTACGCACTGTTCGCCCGGGCCACGAGGACAATTCAAAGCATACTCGACGCGGTGTTGTCCAGTCCATTGCTACCATTGCCGCAACAACAGCCGGTACCGGTATCCAACGATCCCACCACTGCTTTCACGTATTATTGGGATCCCTGGGAGTGCGAAAACGACTTTTGGGCGAACTTGGCGGAGCACCCGAATCTTCTGGGGTCGTGAGCTTCGTTCATAACGCATATGATTTCGAATATCCCAAGGTTCGAAGATTCCAGGTAATAGATTTCATTTCAACATGCCTCGCACCTGAATGGTCATTCATTGCACAGAATCAAATGCCTTCTTGAGCGCCTGATAGAATGGATGGTTTCCACCCCTCGTTGCGCGAAGGAAATGGAAAAACCTTTGGAGCAATTGCTCAAAGTCCGGGATGAGCGGTGCAGACGCCGGGTCAGCAACGCAGTGCTGCAATGCCATGATTACCCCCATGCCAATATCATATATTCTTTCAATCTATAGAGTGTTATGTCAGCAAGAGGAAAGTTACCGTCGGGATTACTCGGCGAGGGCGCAACTCACGATCCCAATGCCATGGGTTGCCAGTCGATCTTCACCACAAATGTTGGCAATGTCCAGGGCCTGTCTCGCGATGTGAACCATATAAGAGGGTCTCAAGTTTTCGTGCGGGGAAGTTTCATCCAGCAGATCGTGTGTGAGGCAGGACACCCATAATCTTGTAGTGAGCCAGAACCGTAATATACTGATGTCAATGACTTGCCCCTGGGTCAATATCTCAACACCCTCGTGTGCAGCGCGATCCTCTAATATGCGGGCTGAAAGGATGTTTTCCGGATCGTTGGGGTCTTCGCTAGGCGCAGCCGCACTCTCTATGCTGTTGAAGACCTGGACCGCCTGTTCGATCGTGACTTTGGTGCATGCCTGTCGGCCGGAAGAGCAGCTGGAGTTCCAGCATGAGATGACACGTTCGTCAACGGCGCTGCATAATTTGCTGAGTCGCAGCAATCCTACCGTGGCAGAAGCCATTCGTGAGTCAAAAATGACAACGCCGGAAAGCTCTTTGACACTTGCGGCGCGTAGCGAAACGTGGTAATTATGCAGATCCTGAAGTGGCTGGCCTGTAAAGCTAATGTAATGATTCCGCTGCAGTGCCACTGATCTATTGTGCACAATATTGATGTTAGCCTCGATGGTCAATCTTCCTTTATTAAAGAACTGATGTTTATCCGGGGCTTCACTACCTCTCTGTAACGGAAAGCACAAGGTAGACTCGAAGTCTGTGACTGATTTGGCGGGGTGTTAGGCCTTCATATGACTCTGGACGATGCAGACCGATTAATCGACCGCATTCGACTGCTTCTCTAAGCTGTATCCACGATGAATTCTGCATGCGCAGGTTGAACAGGGTGGCAAACATGAAGAAGCTTGTGATGATGATGACGAGATTCGGATTCTCGGCAAAGTCATATGAAGCCCTCGCGCGAGCAGCCGAATGAAGCAGTTGTTTGGCCCTGGATTCTCGCGATGATATGAAGCCCAGCTCATTCTCATGGACTGGCTGCATCATTGCGAAAGCACAAAGAGAGTAGATCATTGCTCGGAACTGAAGATCATGTTGGTGTCTCTGGGCCATGAGGTCACGGCCCAGCTCAGCACGGTCAACCACTGGGACAGTGGAATACAGACGATCAAAGAAAACTTCAACCCAGGACATGACTTCTGCTTCGTCGAGTGTCATGTAAGAGCTAGGGTCTGTGGGGGATTCTGCATCCCGGGGCGTGGTGCTCATGTCCTCCAGCCGACGCCAATCTCCTGGCTGGTTGCGGTCCGCCAGTGCCATATCAGGACTCAAAAATGGACGGCCATGTTGAGGTGCATGATCTTGCCGAGGACTCACCCACTGACTATTTCCATGATTATCTCTGATGCTAGCAGGGCTATGACTGGAGTTCGATGCTGCATAGTCGTTGACTACCGGCCGATCTGAGTCCGGCGACTCCAAAGCATAACGTTGTTCCGGGACTGTCAAGGAGCTGCCAGCATCTACGCGAGGCGCATTCGAATTGCGCAAAGCTTGGATACGCCTTTACCCGTTGTTTCAATTAGTCCACCTAAGACATGACACTGGACGGGCAGGGCCAGAGTAGTCAACATACCTCCCATTCGATGGCTTCAAAGGGCGCGACCGGCTTGAGGAGCAATCCAGCCGGGATTTGGCGCATCGCGAGCAAGGCTGAAGTCCATCGCACTAAACGGCAGCCATGTCAGTTCGCTGGCCCGTCTGACCACATAAACACGGGGTCATCCCACCTTGACCTTGCGATAGCTGCATTGATCACAGGCTCTCTTGGGCCTACCTACAGGGGCCAAAGCCCCATCACCATCATACTCCATCGCCCCATGAAGTATCTGCGTGCGCGCCAATGCTCGATATGATTCCGGCAGACAATAGCGCCAGGAGGACTATTTACACCATTCCCAGGCTTGTAGGCCTTGGTGCGACGCCGATAAGAGTTTGCAAGCGAGTATGTTTGGCTGGCGCGTGACGTAGCGAAGACGTGGAGGAAAACATTGCCGCCAGGCCAAAGACGGCCCAGAGGATTGAGAATGGGCTAAACCACCCACGGGCTAGTTTTTGGAATGTATCCACTCAAATCGCTAAGAAAAACTATGGCACACTAAAGCTCTTGTTACGTATTGTATTGCAGGCCTAGTTTTCTTATTAAAATGATATTAAATACAATACTAACAAAATAACAAATTATTCTACGATATCTGTATTTATCATTGGGTTGGTTGTTCTGATATTTTGTCGAAACTCAACGCTGATTCTTTCTGTCAAACCTTGCCACTGCGCAAAGCACACTAGAGTCCTTGCTAAATCAGGATAGCGCTTACGGTTCTTCTGATTAGCCAATCAACGAGCTATGTTTCAACAGGCACCCACTGTATTTACTCGGCACCTACAGTGGTGCTCGCAACCTAAACTACAACCAGTGAGCACTTCAGCATTAACGATTGAATTAAATATCACATCCAGAATGGACTTTCGAGCGTCCTCATCAAATGAAATCTAATGGGCAATCGAATTTTAGGAAATGCACTCGGCACTATCTAATTCCCATAAGTTGAAAGAAACCAATTCGCTTCTTTCACCCTTTACATCTGTGCTCTCTACGAAAGGTCGCACCCCAAATGAGGTGTTTGATGTAGGGTAGACTCTAGTTGTGATGGCCGTCCTGCCATTGACAAATATTTCAAGGACACTGCAATCATAGTATACGTGGAAATCCAGCGTCTCTAGCTCCTCCGCCTTATTGTAAGAGTCTAGGAAAGTAAATAAGGTATGAGGTGCTCGTTCAGGCAGACGATTAATTCCGGGGTAGCTTGTGGATGCCGACCGGTCAACATAGAGCATCTCGTTGCCAGGTTCGAAGTAAACACGAGCGGTTTCCCGGTAGTCTAATATGAAATCTCCAGGTTAGCACAATCCATACAACTAGAACCCCCTAGTGCTTGATCAAATCAACTCACCTTGCGAAAAGTCTATCTCGAAGCCGCATCTAGTGGCGCTTCCGACCTTCAAAGACATCTTCATCTCCCAGCTATCGCATCCGTTGAGCAACTCAACCTGATCTGGTGCCCTGGATGTAAATACTCTAGGCTGCAGTGAATATTGGGAACTTCGAAGATTTTGGAGTCTGGGATCCGGTACTGCACAGAACGTGAGAATGGAGAAAGTGTCGTTTTCTGTGGGTGTAGCTTGGATCGATGTAATTTGCCCAACGTCCGTCTTGAGGGCTTTGGTTACGGAGTGAAGCTCAACTAGTCGTAGCACGCGCGGTATAGAGAGGCATCCGCTCCATTTTTGGCGAGCAGTAAGGTCTGGGGATAGATCTTCTTCCAACACCCAGCCAAATGCTACTTGTTCGCCTGTGATCGGATCAGGGAAACTAGCCATGGCGTAATAGCACCCGTGATCGACAATACCGCCAAACTTGAAGCCTAAATTAAGACCATTGGAAGATGATTCTAGTTGGCCACATAGCCACATTTGGGAGTGGTCATCAATAACCTCTGATCTTTCTTTCGGTCTTGGTTTTAGACACCCCTCTACACCCAGTGTCATGATGTTGTGTCTTTTCCCCTTCGAGTCCGCCAAAGGGATGAGATTTGCTGTTTCAAAATTCTGACCATAGTCACCAGTCCAGGCTGAGGGGGTAAAATTCATACCCAGGTCGCTGAGCGTGCCGATGTATGACCACTCTAAGAGACGAGTCGGATTGATCTCATAGAGAAATACTGTTGGTGTCTTGCCTCGGATGCTCCCCGCCACTAAGCCGTATAATGATGGTGACGTCTTTCCAAGTATGACATCGGCCTCTTTCCAGCGTGTGATGAATGGATCTCTCCAACCCAGAACGCTGTGTTCTTTTGGTGGGAGACTGACAATGGGGTTGTGCTCATACCTAGTCCAGCTCCTCCCACCATCCGTCGAGGTGGCCATATGGATAGACTCAGTTCCAAGAGTATAAGGCAAGGTGTAGTGGAGAGGGAGATATCGTGCAGATGTGAAGAATGCTGTCAAAGATCCATCTTTCTCTCCGTTTGGGTTTGTGGGCAGCATCGAGCCAGTGAAGACACCTTCCTCACCATGAGACCTATCAGGCTCCATTGAAGGTTTTTTTTGCACGTTCCAGTGTAAGAGATCATTCGACGAAGCACAACCCCAGGACATGTTCCCCCATTCATAACCCTTGGGGTTCCATTGGAAACCAGCATGATATGTTCCTGTGGCCTCATTGTAGCCGAGTGCGCAAGGGTCATTCATCCACCCATGAGGGGCCATGAGGTGGAATTTGGGCCGCCATCTGTCAAAAGCTGGTCGGGTCTGAGGTGAATTCTTTGACTTTGAACGAGCTTTGTTGTCATAGAAATCGAACGCTGAAGCATTCAAGGTATGGTTGAAAAAGTGAGGAGTAGGAGATTCCAGAACTCTTTCCGTGGCGATGTCGCCCCTGGAGTCTGCTGTTAACATGGTGTGATGTTGAGGGTGAGGTGATTGGATTTGGAGTAGACAGATGACCTCTGCATTCATTCAAGACTATGGAAGAAATGGATATCTTATTTACTTTGGAAGCAGCATGCCCCAGATTTCAAGACCACGTGAACGAACCTGGATCTGCGTTAGTTAATTCTGCTTGAGGTTGGGAGCGGCATTGGCGTAGCCCCAGTATCCTCGGTGACGATTTCGGGTTATAAATCGGGATACTTTTCGGTAGTGGACCCATTCTCAAGGTAGTCATTGGTTCGGCATGCCTCTCGGTGAATATTTCGCTCAGCTTTTCGGGAAAGACTCGGCATTTGGCTACATCGGCTCGTCTCGAACGATTTTGTTCCACGCTAGAGAAAGAACTTGAGGGGGGAATGTCACCGGCTCCACGGTTTGCAGAGTCTGGGGAAGACTTCTCATTTCTTCATTCTGCATGATGTGAGCTGTTCTCCAGACTCCGCAATTCACGTCTTCCATCCCCATGGCACAAACTATATAAGGTGGCCCGATTCTGGACTATATCACGGTTTTATCTCGACAGAGTCACTCATCTTCTTCATTCACAGCCATCATCCATCGAATATCTCCAACATGAGCTCCCAAGAACCCAAGGCCCAGTTGGAGCCGATCCAAAAGGTCGACGGCTCCGCCACTGCCATCGAGGTTGACCATACCCATGATCCTGTGGCATCTGGCGCAGATTTTGACAATCAGAGCCCCTGGAACTTTTTCCTTATCCTCTCTTGTTTCACTGTGGGCGCATCATCTGTCTTGTTTGGCTACGATGACAAGATCGTGTCCCCAGTCGCCGCTATGACGCCTTTTGTATGTTGCAAGACCCCGATCTCCTATCTCGTTAATGTATACATTTCTAATCAATCAATAGGTGGAGCGATTCCAAGGGCTTGATCCCAGCGTTGAAACGCCCATCCTAACCTCCAAAAACCAAACACTCGTTTTTGCAGTACCCCTGGTTGGTGCCATTGTTGGCGCAATCATTGCATCACCACTGACAACCAAGTTCGGTCGCAAATGGCCCATCGTGGGCTGTTATGCCCTGTCGTATGGTAGCACGTTTATGCAGACGTTCGCACCCAAACTTGCTGCTTTTGTCGTCGGAAGATTCATCAACTCCATCCTTATGGCCATTGCTATGACAATCACCCCTCTATACCTGTCTGAATTGGTACCTGCCAAGTATCGTGGACGGGCTGTGACCTCCGCCAACATCTTCAACCTGATTGCTGGCGTCATTGGAACTGTCATTGCCAACGCGACACACTCCATGGCTGGATACGCCTCGTACCAGATCCCCATTGGAGCGCAAGCAGTCATGCCCACTTTCCTTATCCCTCTTACGGCTCTCATACCTGAGAGCCCGCTCTGGCTTGTTACTAAAGGCCGGGATGAGGACGCCCTTGTTAACCTCAGCAAGCTGCGCCGATACGGATCACAGCTCATCGCCGATGAGCTTCGAATCATGAGATTAACCCACGAGCGTGGCCAGGAACTGTCGAAAGGCGCCACTTTCTGGGATCTGTTTGACAAGAACAATATCCAACGTACTCTTGTTGCCGGTTCCATGTTCTCAGTGAACCAGGTCACTGGTATTATCTTGTCCACTACATACGCCACTGTCTTTCTTACACAGCTGGGTGTTGGAAATGCTTTCCAGTTGACTATTGCTTCTTCATGCTGCACTCTTGCCGGAACCATCATCGCCCCTTGGACCGTGGATAAGATTGGTCGTCGACCTACCGCTCTGATCGGAATGAGCGTGCTCATGGTCATCGATTTCACATGCGGAGCTCTCGCCTTCTTCACCGACAAGAAAGCCAACGTCACTGCCATTGCTGCCCTATCCTTCATCTTGAACACCTTCTGGGCTGCGTCATTCTACCCTCTGTCTCTCGCCCTCCCAGCCGAGATTCCCACACCGCGCCTCCGTAACTTGACGTCTGCTTACACCATTGGCTGCTCCTACGTCACAGCGGTTCTTACGACGCTGGTTGTGCCCCAGCTCACGTCTGCCGATGCTGCCAATCTTGGAGCCAAGACGTACTTGGTATTTGGAGGTCTGGTGGCTATTATCCTTGTATTCTACTACATCTACCTCCCTGAGACTGCCGGCCGTACTCTGGTTGAGATCGACGAGCTCTACGAGTTGAGAGTTCCTCCCCGCAAGTGGGCCAAGCATGAGACTTCTGCCGCCTCAAAGCAGGGTGGACTCTCTCAGAAGATTTTGGAGGAGAAGGTTTAAATGGAATCAATGCGGAAGTATCCAGATAACACACCGTTGGGGATCTTTGGGATGATGAGTGTAGATCTCTTGTACCAACAGAAGTAATAACAACGCCTTGAACATTTGGCAATTGAATAACCTACGTAACCAAAGACCTATGTGATAGTGTATGAATACCTTCAGCCTGAGGATGCTTCTGCTAGTCTTCCAAGAGGTCTGCTTCCGTAAGTCCGAGTTCAGCTAAAATACTGGCATTATGATCACCAACTGACGGCACAGCCTCCATCTTGACTTCTTCCTCGCTCGCCACGCCGGGTGGCAGCAGGGCTGGAACAGGCCCAATTGGGGTATCTACCTCTGTCCACCTTCCCCTTGCCTTCAACTGCGGGTGGTCCCAGAGCTCTTCTGCCTTGTTCATCCTGCCGTTCGCAATTCGCGCTTTGTCAAGAAGAGCGAGCACTTCATCCACACGGTACTTGAGAAAGATAGAACAAATGATATCTCTTAGCGCGTCACGATTCTCTACTCGAAGCGAGTTGCTCGTGAATCGTCTGTCGTAGCTCAGTTCAGCGTCTCCGATAACGTGCTCGCAGAACAGCTTCCACTCGCGCTCGTTCTGAACACCAAGGATGATACAGTCTCCGCTCCCAGTTGGGAAGGGTCCGTAGGGATACACGGTCGCATGAGATGCTCCAGTCCGGCTGGGACCATCTGTGCCGCCGTACGAGTAATACATCGGGAACGACATCCACTCAGCCATGCTCTCCAGCATGGAGACATCGATCGAAGCACCCTCGCCCGTCTTGCCACGCCGGAGCAAAGCGGCAAGAATGTTCTGGTGCGCGTACATGGCAGAAGCAATGTCCGCAATCGATATCCCTACCTTTGCGGGCTCCGACTCGCTCCCTGTCACCGAGAGCAAGCCTGCTTCGCTCTGGACCAGCAGATCGTAGGCCTTCTTATCGCTATAAGGGCCGTCTGGGCCGTACCCGGAGATGTTGCACACGATGAGCCCCGGGTTCTTCTTGCGTAGCTTGTCGAAGGATAAGCCTAGCCTTTCTGAAGCGCCCGGTACAAGATTCTGCACGAGGACATCAGCCTTAGCGAGAAGTCTCTTAAGTACTTCGAGCGACTTTGGCTTCTTGAGATCGAGAGCTAGACTCTCCTTGGACCGGTTCGTCCAGATGAAATGGGAAGCCATCCCCGCGACGCTAGTATCATATTTGCGCGCGAAATCGCCATCGCCGGGCCGCTCTACCTTGATGACACGAGCGCCAAGATCGGCGAGCTGACGAGTACAGAAGGGGCCGGCGATGGCTTGCTCCAGGCTCACGACCGTGATGCCATCGAGAGGGAGGTTCTTTGGGTCCTTGGGTTGGTTGGTAGCGAATCCCCGTGCTTGGCCCAGACTAGCATCCCCGCGTCTTATGCTGTCTACTGTGGGGATCCCGCTCTTCGGCTGGGGTGAGCTGGGGACAGTAGCGTCTTTGAAGGATCTGGGGATGAGATAGTGTCGTTGTTGCTGCGTCGCCGCGGCTGGGACAGGAGGCAGCGCGATGGCCCTGAGGGCTTTTCGGACGCTTAGGACCATAGCTACTGGCTAGCTCATGTCTGGTTTCTTTGATCTGGAATGATCTGGAGCGAAGATAAAAAAAGCGGCATGTATTGAAACTGTTCAACATGGAAGCCCAACTTGCCTGATGACACCCTTCCATCCATCCACCCGGTGATTTCGGCTCGGACTTCGCCTGGAAGTCGGCTATTGGGTTAGTACCCGGCGAGGTTGCATTTTGTGTGCACCAAGAGCTCACCGGTTTATGATCTGCATACCCAATTGCCATTTGACCTTGAATTTGGAAATCGTTGTGACCTGTCATGGGTCAGCATTATTCATTCGGTGTGGTAATATCAACTGGATAGATAAAACAAGAGCCAAAAATAATATTACTCATGCATACAACTCTTCTAGGAAAGCCGTTGCCACCCCTCTGTGACATGCGACCGTTTTGAGACGAGCCGAGGCAGTGATCACAAGCAAGGAGACAAGGGAGGTTTAGCCTATTCAATCACCAATAAGGGCGAAGAATATCGAACACCCGCGTTAAGATTGGAAAGAGATATGTTCAAATCTAACTATGTATCTTGTGTCATATTGTACTTCTAGTAGTTGGGGTTGAGTAACTACGTGCCTATAGGCAACACTTCATCGATCTATAGCTTGGATCTAGTGCCTGGTTGCTGCAGCTCCAAATGGTAGTACTGCCGGAAACTTTCTAAGCAGCCACTGTTTACCACGGTCGAGCTGATTCTCTTCGGTATTTCTCCACTGCAAATGACTTGCTTGACCAGAGTTTCCGCCTTCTTCCCATTCACCGTAATCGGTATCTCGTTCACTGGCAGCACGAAGCGGGGGACATGTCGTGCGCTTAAGCCAGAGCGGATAGCGTCGCAGATGTTCTTTTCTAGAGTGGCATCGAAGTGGTGGCCCTCGCGCATTATGACAAAGAGAAATACCGATTCGTCAGTGTCTAGCCCTTTGCGTGTTCTGCCAACACATAGCGTAGTCTCAATAGCTTTGTTGAATGGAGAAGCTTCAGTGATGGCGTATATCTCAGATGATCCGAATCGTATGCCTTGAGGGTTGAGTATTCCGTCACTATTTGGTTAGCTCAAACTCCACCGCAATGAGGTTCAATGGCCAACTTACCTTCGGCCGTGAATGGTTGAGCCACCTGTCACAGGGTTGAAACTGATCCAATCGTGCTGAGCCCAGCATGGGAAATCGAACTTCTGGAAATAGCTCTCCTTGTACGTCTTGTTATCCTTGTCTCCCCACATGAAGACTGGCATTGAAGGGAAGGGTAGTCGACAAATCAGCTCACCAGCGCCACCAATGTCCCTTGTTGATTGCCCGGTGATGGGGTCGGCTACGTCCACATCATGGCCAAGTGCCGGCATTTGCGTTTCGCCAGGATACACAGGACCAGTTGGGTCAGAGGCAACCCACGAAGTTGCAATGTCAGTGCCGCCTGCGACGTTCGTGAGGTGGATCTTGGATGGGAACACTTTGTAGAACCAATAGTATTGGCTAGCCGATAAATGCGCTCCCGTGGTCTGAACCATTCGAAGGGATTCGAGGTTATATTTGTCTTTCAGCATCACTCCGTCAATCTCCAACTGTTGGAGATAGCGTGGAGATACACCCCAATAATTCACCTTATGTCTCTGTACGATTTCCAACATTTTCTCTGGAGATGGGAAGGTTGGGGAGCCATCATAGAGGACTAAAGTTGTTCCCACAGACAAGTGGCCGACCATTACATTCCACAATACCCATGATGGGCTGGAGTATTGAAAGACAATATCCCCGGCCTTGAGTGAGTTGTGCAACTTGCCTACCTTCTGGTGTTGTAGGATAAGTCCATGATGGTGAACCAGGCATTTCGGAGGACCTGATGTTCCGCTGGAATATAATATATATAGCGGGGAGGAGAACGGTAGGCGCTTGAACTCGAGCTTGTCCCTCTTATCGGACCTCGAAAGAAATTCCGATAGAGTTAAAAATGAACGTTTTGGTGTCCGTTGAAGCTCAATAAGGACAGCGAGTGGCTTATGGCTCAGCCGGGACAGAATGGAAGATGTTTTATCTAGATTTTCTCGCTGGCTGCCTTTGTATGTGACGTGGCTATCCGCGAAGATTATAGATGGTCCTACAAGTTCCAGCCGAGATGCGCATCCCTTGTGATGAGAGCAATTAGATCAGGCGATGATTCGTACGTTGATGACGAATGAATAACTCACTTCGACTCCAAAGTCAGAGGCGATGGATGTGAATATTGCCCCCAAACTTGCGGCAGCTAGAAAGATTGTGACGGACCATATAGATGTTGAAATGATTGCAGCAACGCGATCACCCTCTTGAACGCCACTTCTGATCAGAGCACTACGAGTTTCTCGAACCCGTTCTCGCAATTCGGACCAAGTCCATTGCTCTCCCTCCAAACTCTGGCCCTCGCGGATTCCAACCAGTGCTATTGAATTCGGCGAGACATGAGGCTGATTGAGCACATTCTCAGCGTAGTTGACATGAGCACCCTCAAAGAATGGAGGTATTTCATCTATAGGGATGGCAGGGTCATATGCTCTCGTTAATTCCTTGGGTAATTCCGGCACGATCTCAAGGTAGGACCAGAGGTCAATCCAAAACTCCTGAGGGGAAGAGGTAGACCACTTCTGAAGTTGCCGGGAATTTATCAAATCAAGATTGAATTTTTGGTTGACGTGGCGACGATACCTGTTCATTGGGATGGCAGCCTCTGGCGTCCAGGGGCGCCAGACTGGCTCCAAATCCCAAGAAGGTTCCTCGGAACTGCTTTTTACGCTCATCTTCAGCGTACTAGTGCAGCGGTTGAGATTGATGACGATACGGGCGAGGGCGGGCGATGGTTTTTAATAGGTGTTAGGTGTTGAATACACACTCGGCGATTCTTATCCGATGCGAGGGATCAACATCCGCCCCCGCCCCCGTGGATGAAGGGTAGCACTTTTACCCCTAAGGTTCAGTCAAGAAGCCGAATCGGATACCTCCGAAAAAGAAATACCCGAACTTTCACCATGCAACTATCAATTGTGCTCGAGACTTTTTACTGATATAGCCGTCGTTGGTAACTGGTGGTACAATATCGAGAGAGTACGCACGCTGTTTATTTCTTTGGACGTCTGATAAGTATAATATCCAAGCTGGAATCATTTATACAGATGAGTAGATAGCTTTAAGATTGACTATGTCGTGAGCTTTATGAAAGTTTCTTAACTTTTCGAAGGCAAACTGATTTTCCTTCGTAGTCTTTGACAGTCTTACTATGTCATTTGGTCCAGTGCTATGCTAATTCATTCTTTAGATATGGACTAATCCATACAATGTTGGGTTCGATGATAGTAATCGGATGAATCTGCGGCCGATCGATTGAGAGGGCTGCAAGAAACTGTGGTTGAATCTGTGTTCACTTGGAGGTCTAAAATAGATTCTCATATTTATTACTGAACAGTTCCACTAAAAGTTCTCTGAGGCTGGTGAGATTAGAAGAATTATTTGATTTAACATTGGGAAGCACTTGCATTGATTCGTATCTGATAAATTGACTGCACTACCTGTGCACTGTTGGGCGTGATACTTGGGTCGATGAGCAAATTTTTTAACTCTTCCGTACCTTCGGCTAACACCTGAGGAAGAGGTTCTAAAGACACCCATATAATGGTGGACCTCTGACTTGAAGGTGTTGAGATGAAAGACGGTGACGAGCCCCCTTTATCTTATTGCTCACGTGGGTTAAGAATCGTCTTGCTATAACATCCCATATAGAAACATACATATTGATGATCCTCCAAGCTCCCACTTGGCGAAGATAACACTATCATGTAATTTTCTTTTTTCTTTCTTGACTATGCTTAAATCATTATAGGGAAAGTTCGCTTATTTGTGAGATTTGGAAATATTTGGAGTACGACAATTAAGACATGTGCTGTAGTCATGGCAGCATACACATGCGTAGAAATTAATGTTCCTTTCCAAAAATAAGGTTGGCTGACTCTCCTACTAGGATTATATGTCACTGGCTCTTATCGGCTGGCCGGGAGACGGATCCATTTCTTGCTTTAAGCGAGCGATGTACATATTGTACCATTGCTTGGAAATATCAACTGTGGTGCGGCAAATCTGGGCAATGATAGGGTGACGCATCAACAATGTAACTGTTTCAGCCAAGATCGACAAAGGGTTACATCTCGTATGTCTAGACTTAGTGGCCATGATCCTTTGGGTCTTTTGACACTCAAATCGTCCCCTTGGATGTCCTTGGATCACGTAAATGGGGGGATTGAACTGCTCTTTGTTAAGTGGTGTTGCTTCACTTGGAGTTTCACTCTTGGCCCTGGTTTTAGTGGTAGAGCGATTTACTGCTGGCACAGCGAGTCAATCGAGGTAAGAATTGAGAAAAATAAAGTTGTGTCTGCCGGGTACATGGGAAGGCCTCGGCACTTTGTCAGTTGCCTTTAATGGTATGGATTGAACAATGCAGCCAGGTGAGGGGTGTGGGCCATGATGTCTCCGGAGAGGCTGCCCAGTCCCAACCACAATCACAGTAGTCAAATCTAATGCCATGACCTCCTGCCTTAAGTAAGACCAGGAAAAGAAACCGAGAGACTTTACAGGGAGGTGCTAATAAAGTACCTTGCGGGGAGAGATTTCTAGGCTGCTTATGCCGGGAGCGTGATACACCTAATCCTAACGGGGCAGGTAAGTACCGAGTTTGCTTGGCAATGAATGACCAACGGAGAAGAACTTGGGTCATGTACAACTGCTCTAGCGGCCATGGCTGTATCAAGAAGGTGGCGCGTTCCTCATCGTACCTTTCGTAGTGCTCATTCTGTCACCACTTGGGTATTTGGCAGGTCGTGTTGCGTTATCAGCTAAAAGGCGCACTTTCAAAAAGTTCCAGTGTAACTCGACGCATCAATACTGTGTCTGAAAGAAGCAAGTACTAAACAGATCGCACAATGAGAGTTTGCGAGCACGCCGTTAACCCCAAAGTCTAGACCACCATCCCCATTGTGCTGCTGTCTCAAAGTATAAAAAGCGGCCGGCCATCGAAGAGGTTTGAGGTGTTGATTTCGACTCAGTCCTTTGGAATAGCTTCCTTCTACTCATCAACATCCACAGACTGTATCAATTACACCGCCATGAAGGTGTTTGCCACTCTCGCAGCTCTGCTGCCTCTTGTGGCTGCCAAGGTCACGTATGAAGGATATAAGGTGTTTCGCGTGGAGAGCCATGACTCATACCCGGCTATTGAAACCGCTTTGGCAGACCTTGGCTCCATCACTCTCCATGTTGATGGGGCGTACAGCGCAGTCAATGTCGCTATTGCTCCCGAGAAGCTTGAGGACTTCCATGCTCTCGGGCTTGACGCTACATTGATCGAGGAAGATCTTGCTTCAACATTTGAGGAGGAGAAGTTCGAGGTTTACGAGTGTGAGTAATCTTCGACTCCAGCTCCTCCTTTTGTGGCCTGTCTGACAAATTCCGATCTCTAGCTACGCTCAAGACTAAGGACACTATTGCTGCCATCCCTCCCATTTCGTATTTCAATGCGTATCACACTTTTGCCGAGCACGGAACATTCCTGTCAGATCTTCAAGCAGCGTTCCCAAGCAACTCAGAAATCTTCACAGTTGGTAACTCGTTCGAAGGCCGCGCCATCCGCGGCATCCACCTCTGGGGAAGTGGAGGCAAGGGCTCCAAGCCCGCCATCGTGTGGCACGGCACAGTCCATGCCCGTGAATGGATTACTACCACGGTAAAAGAAGCCCCTTTATCGCATAATTTGATAGTCTGCTAACTTTATGTATAGACTGTTGAGTATCTTGCATACAAGATTGTCGAGGAGTATCTGGCCTCGGATGCCACCACTGTTACCGCATTGAACAACTATGACTTCTACATTCTTCCTGTTGTTAACCCTGATGGTGAGAATTTTGATGATTAGCTTCTTTTATTGAACAGGAAGCATACTAATAATGTTGTATAGGTTTTGTTTATACCCAAACCACTGAAAGACTTTGGCGCAAGAACAGACAAACTCGATCTGGAGTGTCCTGTGTCGGCACGGATATCAACCGAAACTGGCCTTACCAATGGACTGGCTCCGGTTCTTCAACCAACGCCTGCGCTGAAACCTACCGCGGTCTCGCACAAGGCGACACACCCGAGAACAAGGCTCTTGTCGCTCATTTGTCAGGCCTGTCATCCGGCAAGGGCATCAAGTTCTATAACGACTGGCACTCTTACAGCCAGCTGATCCTTCTGCCATTCGGATACAGCTGCTCCGCTCGCGCTACAAACCACGCAACACAAATGTCCGCTGCCGGCAGTGTCGCGACCGCCATCCGCGGCGTGAACGGCCTCAGCTTTACCTATGGCCCTACCTGTTCCACGATTTACCAGGCCAACGGTGGTAGCTTGGACTGGGCCTACGCAGTTGCCGGTGCCGAGTACTCGTGGTGCATCGAGCTGCGCCCTAGCTCGTCTGCCAGCAATGGTTTCGTTCTCGCTGCTTCTCACATTGTACCTTCTGGTGCAGAGCAATGGGCGGGCATGAAGAAGTTCTTCACCCTCATCTAAATGAAAACTAAGATAGAGCGCTAAATAAAAGTCTCATCAAAGTTTCAATGCGGTCTTGAATGCATACACGCCTGGTGATAGTAGAACCCCCCCTGACGTAAACGATCTCCTTGAAAATATTTAGTTCAATGTCTATAATATGCCCTCATCCAGCACTTGAAACTCAAACTCTTCGCTAGACTGAAATGTCTACATACGTACGTCCTTCTAAAGCTGCGATTCAATTGTCTATTCTCTTTAGTTATCAACTCTTTCATGAAGGTTTCATTTATCGAGTGGAGGACTCAACAGCGGATGTTTTTCGCTCAAATCCAAACAGGTTAACCTGGCTGATTTACTCCAGAAACTCAACTTTCCCTCTGAAATGGCCTCCTATACAAGAAGAGATGTTATTAATGACGAAGTTTGACATCTTCACCTGTATATACTTTGCCCTCCCGCTCAGCACGGATGCGTTCTCTTCTCACATTCTTGGTATCTTGCTCCACCGTCCAAGTCAAGTATGTGAGCCAGATATTGGATAGGATGGCTATAGCTACAGAGACTGTGCAAATGATGAATGATGTTTTGTAGCCATTGTATGCGTACTTGGACTGGAACAGCTGAGGTGCAATGACACCGCCAACCTGAGCAACTGATGTCTGCAAAGCCAATGTAAATGCTGTCCCCGTAGTCCCGACAAGCGTGGCGGATCTCCAAGCCCAGAAGGGCACAAAGAAGACGAAGTAAAATGCGTTTCCGAGGACAACTGCAGCATAGACGGCGCCGTTACTTACAGGAACGCAGAGGACGATGAAAAAGGCAAGGATACCAGCGCTGAGGGCGTGAATGAAAATAGGTCGGGCGACGTATGCCCGTCGCAAAAACCACGCAGCCAGTATGATTCCGATGACAGTTGCAGCAGCAGGCGGGATATTTAGAAGTTGGTTCCGGGGCAGACCAGCGAAGCCAAGGGAGGTGGTGATTGTTGGCAACTGCCAACTTAATCCGTAGCCAGCAATGTTTAGGAAGAATTGAGATAATGTAAATCCAATGAGCTTAGGATCTTTGAGAGACGCAATGATTTCGGATTTGTCAAAAACGGCATCGTCAGTCTTTGGGGCATTTTCCGTTAGACGATATTCGAGATATTGTTGCTCGTCCGGAGTGAGCCAGCGGCTTGGCCTGGGAGATTTAGGATAATCTGGCAGGACATAGTAGATGACTCCGGCGAACAGTATTGTCGTGAGTCCTTCTAAAAGGAAAACCCTATGAATGAAGCCATAAGTATCAAAAGCGATTCAAAGGTCAAGGGGTGTCGGAATTACTTACCATCTCCAAGCACTCAAACCTCCAACACCGTTCATGTAAGAGATACCGTACGTTAACAAGCTTCCGATGATGCCCGAAAAGTTTTGAAATCCAAACATCCACATGATAGGTCTTCCATATTCGTCGCTTCGGTACCAACTGCACATCTGTGCTGCCAAACAAGGGAAGAATCCAGCTTCCATCGCACCCAAAAGGAAACGGAGAGCATAGAAGCCGCCCGCGTTTTGGATAGCCGCGTGGCAGGCGACCACGATGCCCCAGGTGAGGAAGATTCGACTTTGCCACTTTCTAGGCGTGGCCTTTTTGAGCACCAATGTGCTTGGAATTTCGAAAAGGACGTAGGCGATCTGTACATTATAGAAGTTAATACTCGCATCGCTGCACAGAATATCGGGAGACGAACGTAGTAGACAGTTTGTACCCAGTTATACTGGTCTGCGGACATGTTTAACTCAGTCAACACATTTCTTGATTCGCCTGGCTGCAGGACCTTGATAGAAGCAGCGTTGGAGAAATCGATCTGTTTGACGAGATACATGAAACCTATCAGAGGCAAAAACCTCCAATCGACTTTTCTCATGATCCTGTGGTCATCCTCAGCAGTGAAGCGCGAGAGAAACTCCCTACGAGCCTCTTCATCATCTAAACCCGCCTTGTTGAGTTCTTGGACTTTCGCTGGAGACTTGTTAACTTCCTCGACTGAATCTGAGCCAGGGACGGGAGTATCGAGTCCGGATTTCGAAGCCATCTTTGCCAGCCAAAGAACGATGCAATGCTAAAAAGCTCTTCTGGGTAAATGGCCGGTTATGTCGATTAGCGGAGACACGCGTGCAATGATGGGTCGTTGATGGTATATGTATGAATCCTTGCGTTTGAGACGCTAAACAAATTGCTGATGACGACTTATTCTCTCAACCAAGGGTGACAGGCCCCCTACCAAGAGAAGGGAAACCAAATTAAACGTCCGCTTACCGTTTCAAGGATCGATTTGTAACTACATGAAGAGTAGGTCACGTTTTCTTCCGATGTCTGGACCCTTAACTAACTTACTTCTTGGTGTATGTTCATGGGTCGCTGAATACCTCATCTCGCTCTGAATGGCGTGCTCATCTAGGCAAAGACCATCTGATATAACTTGCCATTTACGCGATGGCCTGCCTGATTAATAAAAATATTCTTTAAATCCGCGATTATTTCCAGAACTTCTGTGGTCATCGTGGACTAGTTTCAATGCCAAGGTCTCAGTAAATGTGTTTTCTGTTGGAGTCCGTTCATTTTCTGCTGTAAGACCCCAGTGTACAGGAAGTTGCCTCATCCTTCTCCATCATGACGTGCCTATATCCACGTGGGGTTAATTAAAGATTTTCAGTCCTTATTGATGTTCGGAATTTTACCCACGTGTGCGTGCACAGATTGATTTATATATTGACGCATAACAAGACAGTAAAGGTGTCTGATAAAGGGATTTGGTTGGACTACAGGGCTTGACACATTTCCTATTTTCCCTGTCGTGTACATTCAAAATGACTTCTCAAACAAAGTCAAAGAAGAAAATCATCTTCAATGCATTCGACCAGTTTACCGTCGGGCACATGTCATTTGGCCAGTGGCGCAATCCTAAAGATCGATCCGCCGACAAGCGCCGTGACCTCACCTACTGGACCGACCTAGCCAAGATTCTCGAAAAGGGAGACTTCAATGCAATCTTCCTTGCCGATACATTTGGTTGGTCCGATGTCTACAAAGGCACTGCAGAACCGTGTGTGCGCACGGCGATTCAGTATCCAATGGGAGACCCTGTCATTCCCGTGTCTGCCATGGCTGCAGTTACCAAGAACTTGGGGTTTGCTATCACATCATCTACTTCCTTTGATAGTCCCTACGTCCTTGCTAAGAGGTTTTCCACTCTTGATCATCTTACGGGTGGTCGATTTGGATGGAACATTGTGACATCTTGGAAGGCATCCGGTTTCAAGGCTGTTCGTGTGTGCTCTAGTTAGCTTTCGTCACAGGCTGCTAACAACATCTATAGATCGGAATTGACCCTATCGAGCATGATAAGAGATATGAAATAGCGGACGAATTTATGGAGGTTGTCTACAAGTAAGCTTTCAACGCAATTCCGTGTTGTGGGCATACATGTTGTGTCATGGATGTTACGTAGAGAAAAGCTAACATATTGGGCCGCGGCTAGATTGTGGGAAGGATCTTGGGCTGATGATGCCCTGGTAGAAGATCGGGAAAAGGAAATATACGCCAGATTCGACAGAATCAAGACCATTCATCACGATGGAAAATACTTCAAAGTTGACGCGCCACATATCCTTGACCCCAGCCCTCAGCGGACCCCTTTTCTGTTTCAGGCCGGAACTTCGCCGTGAGTACGAACCCTCAATGATTCTCCAAATGAAGTTGGCTAAGTTTCGATTGAAGCACGGGAATCGAGTTTGGAGCTAGGCATGCCGAAGGCATCTTCGTTGTTGGCTTCACACCTGAAATGATTGCACCCAGAGTCAAAGCTATTCGGGATAAGTTGGTTGAAAATGGTCGCCAGTCTGATTCAGTTAAAATATTTGCATCAATGACCCCGATTGTAGGGAAGGATAAGGCCCAAGCGGAAGAGAAGTACAACGAGGCGCTCAAATACGCCAGCGAGGAGGGTGGACTGGTATACTGGTGTGGGACTACACACTTGGACTTGAGCAAGTTCGACTTGGATACCGAGATCACGGCTGCCGATGTTGGGTCCTCAAACAGCCGTATAGAGTCTCACTTGGGCATCTTATCATATAGCGGCGATGGGGTACCAAAATGGACGCCTCGAAACATCGGAAAGGCGGTCGCGTTAGGTGCTTCCGGGCCTGTGCCGGTGGGCACAGTTGAAGAGATTGCAGATGAGATGGAGAGATGGATAGAGGTGGCGGACATCGATGGGTTCAATGTCGGCCACATTACGACACCGGGGACGTGGGAGGATGTAGTAGAGTTGCTGGTTCCTGAGCTTCGACGACGCGGTCTTTACGCGCCTGCTGGTGAATCAGGCACGATGCGGGAAAGGTTCTATGGAAATGGGAGCTCTAAGCTCCCAGATGATCATTATGGAACAAGATTCAAGTTCGAGAACTCCAGGTGATGTTGCTAGATATATGGATATGATTACAAGGTATCTTCATATATCAAGGCATAATCTGTCGCAGTGTTGTGACGACGAACTCACGGATCTAATGGGAAATATTGATCATCGAATAGTTTATTGTGAACAAACACATCGAAACAATAACCCGCTATTGCAAATTATTGTCGGTAAATCAAGCTATTTGATACACTCCCCGGGAAACTTTTGCAAATTACGGCACTGAAGCAATCACTAAAGGTCTATCCCCCCAAAGACATGCTCATAAGCATCGCAAGCATCGAAGATCCAACCGATTTCCACTCGACGTATCGTTCATGTCCCCCATGGTCGGACTGGACAAGCATGTCAAATTCCTGTCGTGATCCAGGCTGTCCTGGTCGGAGTTTCGGGGCCCGGAGCCACTTGTCCACAATCGTGTGAGCTTCCTTCATTTCCATGCCGCAGAAGGATCCGACCTGGTCGAAGCGTTGTTCCTTGGCATACCTGTGGTCACCGACGACTGTTAGCATCACCGCATCAAAGACTTTGGAATACAGTCCTGCACATACCGGTCGAAATAGGTTTCCAGGTCCATGTAGAAGCCCAGGGCTCTGTTGAAAAGCATGAAATCGGGGCCGTACGGTTCTAAACCAGGTCGAGGCGGGCGCACGAAACCTGCCAACGACAACACAGGAACGAGCCTTAAAGTTTCTTGAATTTCATCCTGTGTCGTGAACTTTTCGCGAGTCGCATTCATGAATAGCATGAGGATGGTGGCATGCGGGTTCTCGGAAGGCCGCTGTAGCAGAGGACTGAGATCAACCAAAGATCTTGCGCAGCCCGGATACGAAACGTCACAGATGTTCGCCATCTAGAATCACATTAGTCTCAGTGACCGACGTGTCGCAGCTGGGATGCATACCTCGATTCGTGCAAACGAACCCTTCTTAAGATACCCTGGCAGTTCTGTGGCATTCAGATTCCAGAGTTGGAAAGAGCAAGAATGGGTCCTGAGTCGCGAGTGGAATTGTTGCAGTAGAGTCTGGACATGAGCCTGAAGGATCCCATAGCGATCTGAAGTCGCTGGCGAGGACGACTTTGCTGAGAGTTCATACATATCCCAGCCGTGCAAGGGGTTCGCGGTGTATGGCAACGGCCACTGGTTCGGGTTCTGGAACATGGTTCTGCAGCGCTGTTAGTTGGAATCCGACAGTGAAAGGTCTCGCTGTACTGTGAGCTGTTGCAACTCACGGGTTCGGGACCGTGTATGGCTTTCGACTACCACCAAACGGCACCATGATGCCATCCTCACGAAATCGTTCCTCGGCGAGACGGTGGGGGCGAGGCATTGTCGAATACTTGCGGTCCCTAAAGTCCCGGCACTCCTTTGCAAGAGTGACGGCGGTGCGAATCTCATTAGCCCGATCGACAGTCAGTCCAGCCGGCACTTTGAGGAAGTTGAGCAGCCGTTTCCAATTGTCATTTGACAAGGTCATTTGCAGGGAGCTGGTCTCGAACTCCCAGGTCGTCTGGAGAGCATCTTCGGAGTTGCCTTCAATCCTTGCGCATACCTGGGCAATCCTAGGACGGATCTTCTCCTGAAGGAGATTGATATGGCTTCCTGGATAAGGCTGGAGTACCATATGTGGGTGATGGCGCTGGCCGCTTCTTCCGGTTCAACGATGACTAGGCATAGAAGCAGCATAATCGCATTTCGGGCAAAAACATCGAATTCTTTGTCGTTCAGCACGACATACAACTCTTTGTCGAACGAGTCTGGAAGAGACGTGATGGTTTTGATGACGTTTCTCAAGTCACCGGAAGCTAATGGCAAGTACATGTTGATCAGCCTCGGCCTATCCAGCCAGAAGAGTGTCTCCTCAGACTTACCAGCAAAGAGGACATTCAAATCTTTGTCGTAGGATATGCCCTCGTTCTTGTCCAGTCTCAAGACGTCGATGGCGGGGGTATTTCCCCAAAAGTGCTTGCTACCACCGAATTCGAAAGACTTGGCCACCTCCTGCACGAAATCTGGCGTGCGGTTCTCAATTGTCCAGGCTGGCTTCCAAGTCTCGCTCATCACAGCGCATTTGCAGTCCTTCTTGTGGATGGCCCAGTGTTCCCTCTGACATTCAGAGCCACAGTACTATGAAGCGTGAATCAGCGTGGTCCCTTGATGTAGGTATGTTAGGCTTGATTGGAGACTCACAGAGACCAGGCGGCAGTTTTTGCAAGACAACGGCGCGGGCTTGAGGCAGCTCTCGCCCTCGCTGCTGTGGTTTGCACAGGTTGACGCCATGGGCAGTGTTTTCGCTGTTGTTGCACAGGTGTCAAGATGTGGTGGTTGGGAGGAGAAGAGAAATTGGAAGAGGGCAGACGAAAGAAAGAAACAGATGGTGAAAAAGAGAAATTGGAAAGCGGTGAATGAAGCAAACAAACCAAAGGGATAGAGGCAGAATCTTCAGCAGAGGTGAGCAGTTGGTGAAACCTGACAGTTGGCCGCCGGCTGTCTGCAGCTGCCTATTCACTTCACTAACGGCGGCTTTGGCTCCCCCAGTAGTGAACCAGTTTGGTGGTACAAGAACCTGCTTCCTACCTTATGTTCCTAGTGCCGACCCCCAATAGCCCGTACTGAAAACACGCGGCGATGATCGACGCGTTTGGGACGCGACGGGTTTGTGCCACACTCGAAAGTGAAGCCATCGCCGCACCAACCAGCTACCATGGAAGAATTTGAACATGGGCAGCAAGAAAGAAATACATGAATCTGATCCTGGGTCTAAAATGTATTGTACGTTTTAAATTTTCCACAATTCACTATGCACTCCCATCAGAAGCAACGACGACTGGTCCAACGGTATTGTGCTCTCATTCGAGGCAAGGTTTCATGTCCCGTGTCTCCCAATCCCCAACTCGTTCTAACTAACCCACGACAAGTTACGGGTGGCTCTCCGTAGATAGTTTCTTGTCAAACGCAGCGGCTCAATCCGAAGTCGATTCGCCGTAGCCTTGTCCCCAATCCGCATTCCACAAACCCCCGGGCCAGAATTCATACCTCTCGCTGAGCCCTTCGCCTGCTTCGGCCTGCGGCACGAATCCTTCCGATCTCTGCATGCCATCGACGTGCATAAAGTCGCCCGAGCTCGATTCGAAAGCAGTCCAAGGGTTGGCATTAGTTGGAGCTGGAGGAGTCACAGTGTGCAGTTGGCTCATTTGCCTGAGGGCGGCGATGAGCTCAGGAACTTCGACGATGTGTCCCATTTCGGCGAAGGCACGTTCTCGCTCGCCAAAAGCCTTTAGGATGAACTGTGACGGAGTGACTGCGGCATTTGGCCGATGAGTGTCCAGCAAGGACTGCCTGGCATAGAGTGACTCAAGCACGGCCCAGCCGCGATCGGCCAAGGCATTCGTGGGACTGTGGTATAAGAAGGTGGCGAGAGAGGCAAGGATATCAAAGTTGAAATGCAAGCGGACATACCACGCAAATCCCCATCGATCCATCGGCTCATATGAGTTGCTCGCGTTTTCGCAGCTGGAGAGAATGAGCTTGAAGAGGCTGTCACGAGGAGACAAGACGCCAGCACCCCAGTCTGGTGATTCTTGCATAGGATGCGCCATGTCATACAGCCGTTTGATAAGATGTGGGCGGATTCCAAGGGCCGCCGTGTGGATTTTACTTGGAGCGGATGAGATAAATCTTCTTTCGATTCCCACAAGGTCAGCTTCAAGCTGTTGAACGAGAAGCTGATTATGATCCAAGAAGGAAGCATGTACGCTTCCACCGTCTCCGCCATGCCCAAGAATGTTCGCCTCCATAGCCCGACGAGCCTTCTTGTCGAGTAGATACGCTGCTACCCGAGTCATGACCAGGACAAATGCCATCTCCGTCGGTCCTTCTTTATGCGCCAGCGGTTCTGCGGCATCGGGGAACAGGTCTGCATCATTGAGGTTGAGAGGGCGTTTAGTGTCAAAGTGCTCTGGCACGGAGCTGTTGGTTAAGCCAGAGTCGATGCCCAGCTTGATGTCGTAAAAGACAATCTGCCACCAGATGCGTCGGCGCATTTCTGTTTCAAAAGGCGATAGTGATACATGCGTGCCATCGCGATGATAGCCCATGCTCATGGCAATCCGCACCAGTGCACCCAGCAAGACCCATGCAGCGTGTTTGTTGCATTGGCCCATGAGGATGATCTTCACCGTCAGCCGCCTCCATTTCCCACGGAACAGCAATGGAAACTTACAGAGGCATGCATCAGAGCTTGCACGACAGCCATGTTGTATCGTCCAAAAGAGCCAAAGTGCGCCAGTGAAACGCTGACTGCGGTAAGAACTTCTTGGAGGAAGTCTTCTCGCTGTTTTCCCGCTCCTAGGATGTCCGTGATCTCGTCACTTCTAAGCGCTGATACAGCCAGCCCGAAAATACTGTACACCAGTGCTTGCTGGTCCAGCGGAGCCAATTTGATGTCGGCTGTTGCAGAGACAATCAAGGATTGAACAGTGGGAGCGTGTACTATCTTGAGAAGTGGGTTGACGCGCTCGAGATATATCTGCCACAGCTTGAATGCTGTGATCGGGTCGAGGGTCGGAAAGTCAGTGACCATCGTGGGTTGGTAGCGTGAGAAATCATCAGACGCATCTTCTTCGCTAAAGGCAACCTCTTGCTGATCTTGTCCCACAAGGCTCTTCATTTTACTGATCTGTGTTGTTGGTCAGCTTCATTCCACTGTGTTGCAGACAGCTTGTGTTGTAGATTGAAGGGCAAATACCTCATCGTTGAGAGTCACCCACAAACCGCCATCAACATGCTTCACTGCTGATTCGACAATTGCTTCGCTGTTGGCTGGTGGGATATCGTTATTGCAATTGGTGGTGCCTTCCTGTCCTGAACCACTTTTGGAACTGCCATCCACTGTAGCGTATTCTTGAAGCAAAGTTTCACATTTGGCAAGGCGTTCCCGTATATCCTGAGCAGTAGACCTATGCCTAGGCCTGGGGGGTGCCGGCTTAGAAGGTACGCAAGGGATGTTGTTCTGTTCGTCTCCTCTCAGCGTCGCTCGTCCAAATGTAAGTAAGATATATATTGTCGGAGCTCGATCACAAGAAGTAACAAATGGTGTCACCTGCACGAGACTCAATGTGGTGGAGAGAGAATGACTGACCTTGACACAGTTTCCACAAGGGATATCCTTGGTGCAGAAAATCTTTCTCTGGCGGCAATTTACACAAGACAGGACCCGGTTTCTCGGAGTGTCAACCCCTCCGTCTGTCCGACTTCTACTCTCGCCCGCTGCCGATCCTCTTTCCATGGTGGATTGCTGAATCTCAAACTGATGGAGTGATGAGTGAAGTGATATGAGTGCTGCGGTCAGTCGCAGGACGGCGGACTTTGACCTTCCCGTGAATGCGCTCGAAGTGTGCGCTATTTTCTACCTACTCCCATGTATATCAGTAAGATGCGGCACTCCGCGCTCTGAACATTCCGAGTGGTCATCCCGGAGCTGCGCTTTCAGCCCTAGGGACAACATGCTGGGGATTTTGCCGTAAGTAGTGCTTCTCTGCGAGATTCAGTCGCATTAGGCAAGGCCGGTGGGCTATGTATGATCTGATACGGGGCGGATCCGATCCCGTTAGTGGTGGCCGTTTTTCAGGGGTCTGCTCATCATGCATTTCTAGCGTCCTTCGTGGTCTTCGTGCTTATTGTCCTTCTATTGGTCTTCTTCGGCCATTCTCGCTTACCCCTGTGCTAAGTCTCCTGTAAAGCTAGAACGCAATGATAACGGTTACCGTTGACATGGAGTCTTATCGACATCAGTTAAGCGAACGCTCCATGTTCGAAACTTCTGGCCTCTCGAGATGTCACTCGAGCTCCAACCGTGAGTGAGACCATCACCACCCACACAAGTCCAAAACCCCCGGCCGTTGAAGACCCAGTATCAACCCCTAAATGGCCCAAGAGAAAGCCTGATGATCTCTAGAAGAGCCCGCTGATAGCCATCATTGAGCCGGACTTTTGTTGCTCTCCAATCTGAGTATAATAGCTCGATACCGAACACAACTCTGTCGAACCACGAGCTTAGCTTGATACATCGGCCTTCTCCTCCGCCGCGGCTTCTGAAGGTGGTGTCTTCATCGCCCAGTTCACCTTCTCCAGCGCGACCGCTGACCCCAACGGTAATTTATAGCCGCCGCTCTAGAGTTTCGACTTTCTCTAGGGCAGCTCCATGACGCGCTGTGCTTGGCCGCATCCCAGGACACGAAAAGACAGTCCGAGTGGACCATTTCGTGTTCGCCGAAAGAAATACTATTTCAGACCATCATTGGGTACCTTCTGTGAAGGAAACAATTGATGAATACCACTTTTGGAATGCCATTTGACATCAGTTGCATCAAACCATCGCCCCCATACAACCTCTCAGTTGATCGACAGCAACATGACACTTTGAACGAACGACATACGCTGGCTCTTTTGGATATAAAAGCTCCCCTTTGTCGACAAAAAGCTGAACAGTTCCCCATCGACTCAACTACTTCCTTCATTATCGCACAAACGCAAGTTATTCTCTCTGAGACAGTATGAACGTCTTTCTCCAAATCTCACTCGTTGTGGCGTCATTCGCCGTCGGCATCCACGCCGCGCCTCAGCCAATCGATTGTTCAAACCAAGGTGGTGTCTGCGATGGAGGTGGCTTCCCTGTCCGCTGCGATACAATACATGTAATACACCCTTCCCTTCTCTAGATTGAGCACCGCTAATTAGTGAAATTAATCGACATAGTGAGAGCCTGAGATGCCAACTGCCACTTCGAGACCAGATTGAGGTCATTCCTCCACGCAGGCTAGGGATCAAGGGAGTCTTTATCATGCGCAGAGACATTGGACTAAGACTTGATATAATCTCATAGTCCTGAATACGTAAGCCGTTTGGGAAGTTATTTCATGAAATGCGGATGAGAATTCGAGTATAAAGTTTTAACAACAATGAAAGATGCCAGACTTGACATCTCAACATAATGAATGATCTCATGAAATGCATTAAGGACCGTGACAAATAAATCGCTATGCCAAGTAGGTTGGGACCATGCAATGCACAAGCTGGATTCACTCTGTAGCAAAGCATTTAAGGGTCGCTCCAACAACTCATTCAACGTTTGTCTCTTCTAATTATCGTGAAATTATCCCATCTGTGCCCCAAAATAGAAAACAAAACATGCAATGAGGTTGGCAGGTTGCGTTGGCTTGGTGCACCTGGTTAATGCTGGCCACTATCGAAGACAACCGGTGGGTCAACAAGTTGATTAAAGCTCGACGCAACTGTCTACTACTTGAATTCCAACTATTCAGAGGGAAACATCAGTTTTTGGCCATGGACCGAGTATTATTTCTTCCACTTGCTATGTTTACATAAGATTGCGGAGTCCAGCCAAGATTTCCTCGTTTGGATGGTGACGTTGATGCCAGTCATTGAGACACCGAGTCGGAATCCAAATCCATTCATCAAACAAATGCACCCTCCTGCCTCCGTATCCTAAAACTTGAGCTGGTGTCGTTGGAACTATCCCGTATATCAAGCCGGTACGTTGTCCTCTAAGGATATTACGTATCATGGAGGTGATGTATCCCCATCTTGGTTCCATCACAAGATCACCATGCACCTTTGACACTCGGATGTAATCCATGTTATCCTGCTTCACGAAACGACACTCTACCAAATCAAGGATGAATGCGCTTGTGAGCTGCCCATAGAATAGGTTCAACGACGGTCTTGGTATGCCTGCGGTGTCTAGTGGCCACCTGTCGGGAGGTGGTTGCTCGCTCAACTGCAGCCTGCCTATGACACTATCCGGCGCCTGCAACAATACCAGAATATTGTAGATTGTTTTAAAAAACACTTCGCACCGCTTGCCGTTGGGAAGGCCCTCCCCATAAGTCTCGGGCTGTGGGCGACCACTGCAGAGGAGATTCCCCATTTGACTTGATGACCAGCCGACCCTATGCCATAGGCCGATTTTGAGCCACCATGTCCCAAGGCTTGCGATCTCGGACAGGATTCCAGTCGCCGATTTGGCGAGGCCCTCAATATCATACTCGGCAAATGGGCCCGCCCTTGCAAGTTGATCCAGCTCGCCATTCTCATCAACCAACAAGCGATCCATGCCACTCAGGATGCAAGCACCGAGAAGAGTTTTGCAACGCTCTGCATTGTGATCTGTTGGCTGCGCACTGAGCAAGACTGCGAGCCTGTAGTCATAGTTGGCGCTCCGTAGCAGTTCAACTTCAGACAACAATCTACCTGGGCCACCCATATCAATTTGTGGTAGACGCATCATATCAACAGGCCCCGGAGTCTCTGTGCTCCCATCGCTCAGAGTTTCTCGCTCATCCACGTTCAGAATCCGCTGGTATACAAGCTGGGCCATGACATGACGCCAAGTCTGTCGCTGAGTTATCAATGAGGTTATGGTGGCATGGACGTCGTGGCTGGCGATGTTTCTCTCTTTGCGCTCGGCTGCCAGCAGCACCAGGAAATCAGCCAGGCGGCTTCCCTCTATGGCTGACGAACCTACTCGCCGATACTGCCAACCTTCGTCATTTCGGTCGATGTAGTAGCCGGTACCTCTCTCCCTCCATGCTTTGGCGGCTTCCAATGCCCAGCCATATCGGTCGATGACAACAGCGTCGCCTGGGACAGCTGTGAGCCAGCTGAGTTGATCCCACCGTTCGATGATACCGCTCTGAAGTTCAACGGAATGTACATTGTGTATCGATTCCTGGTAATGGAAATTTATGGTCTCGTTGCCCAGAATGAGGATCAAATTCCATGATTGATCCCAAAATTGATCGCAGCCTGCAAACACCACTTCCTTGGATGGCACCATCCCGTCCTGAACCAGTGCCATGAAAACGTGTTTTCCTTCATCGCTCTCTCCCTGTAGTACCTCACCGCCCACATTGTTCTGCATCCAGGCTACGGTATGTAGCCATTCTGTAAAAAGAGCTGCCAAGGGTTGGTAGGGACTGAACGCCGCAGCTTGAGACGTTGGCCTTTGTGAGAAGAACCCTAAAGTTTTCATTTTGCCCACGGCATCTTTGGCTCTGGCCAAGTCTGGCCATGGCTCAAAGCACACTATGAGGTGCATCTTCTTATTAGAACTGGCGATTTGCGCGGCAGCCTCTAGCCAAATATCGTTGCTTTCGGGTTGGAGCTCCATCAGCCGCAGAGTGACCGGTCGCAGGTTACCGCCGTCATGAACAGTAGATTTGCGTACCGTGAAGTGTCTAGGTAGACCTTGCAGACCTCCCTCCTCGATAATGCATTCTTCTGGAAATTCGAGTCGAACCTCTCGTGGTACCCGTTGGTACAATGTATCGCCGATGGACAGGAGCTTTCGTAATCGATCATCGAACGAGTCGCGGGAGACCGTGAGCAGGCGTATTCCTCCTTGGCCGTCCGAGCTCTCGAGATTCAGGCCTCTCAGCTTCTGGGATATGGTGATGATGCAGTGAGCATACTCGATAGACATGTCTGCGTCCGCTTCTAGTATGATGGCCAAATTCGTAGTCGCGTGAAAGGGCGTCGTCTCAATGCTGCGCGTCAACGTAGCGTAATCCACGGCATGTGCGCTGGGGTCGGAACATCCAGGATTCTGCTCTACCACTGCTTTGATCGCGGAAATTACCTGCTTTCGCTCGTTGCTCTGAGCGCCATAATATAGTGTGACGCCCTCCCAGTTGTCCATTATCGAAACCGCGGCCGCGGCGGCCATGTTTCTCGCGGTGAACTCGGGCGCCTGCAAGTGATGAATTGAGATGAACTTTGTAGGCTCACATATGTCTGTGACAAGATCTTCATAACGGCTGCTCCATTCCGGGGGGATCATGTTGGGAATCGTGAGAAGGGCTGGCGTGGTATCGGAAAAGAATGTTTTTCGTTCGTTGGAGATGGAAAGTTGATGATTTCACTCCCACTCCAAGTTTGCAATTGCACACCTTTTGAGACCTCACCTACCCTGTACTTTTTTGCTTGAGAACAAGGTGTTTTTTCTCATGTCAATATGATCAACAGCTTTCTAGTCGACAATGGTGTTTATGTCCGTTGCCCTATGATTCAACTCCCCGCCTGCAGTTGGTCGGCTTAAATATACAGCCATTATGGCCTACAAATACAGACAGACCTGCTTTCAAAGTGGTCCATGATTCAAAAGAAAGCAGTATGTACGAAAACACGGTGTGAAATTCTTTCATCTATAAGACCTAGCTACTTCATTGAAACGGGACTGGACCACACAGTCCGTGTGCAAACAATCTTCCAGCTCCTGACCTCACTTGTGGAGGACCACCGGGTTCTTAGCGGTCTTGCGTGTAGCTAGATGAGCTTCGCAATATCGTTGGTCTCGCTCGCTCGCTAATACCGCCGAATTCTGCTCATCGGCTGTCAGAGAGCCAGGGCGTGCGGAAGTAGATGACTGGCTGGTCGGCTGGGAGGGTGCAAAACCAGGCAAGGCACCCCCAAGAATGCCCGTGTCAGGGGTGGCAGCTGCATGAGGAGCAATCTGCCCTTCAACTGTTGATTTGATAGTTGGCAGAGGTCCAAAAAGCCTGCCTCGTGTTTCCGGTGGTGGCTGCCATTGGCTGGCTGGTATACCATCCAAGAGGATACCGTCAGACAGAGGACCCCGAGTGAGGCGCGAGGAGTAGCGCCTAGCTCTGGATCCCTCTGGCACCTGGATATTGCTAGAGTGCTTAGGTCCTGCAGTGGTGGTTGGATCATTGCTGCCAGGAAGTTCAACTTTCGCTCCATCAGCATGCGTGGCTCCAGGAGAGGCCCGTTGAGACCTGACGAGATTGTCTCGAGGAGCCGTTGGTTCGGCAGAAATCTGGACGGCGGACATCTGCTGCTGCATCTGAGCCATTGAATCAGCCTTTGCCTTCAGTGTAAGGTCTTCTCCGCTTGATGTTTTGGGGGTAGCAGTTGTCGTGGCTCCTCGGCTTCCATTTCCCATAGCTGTATGTTCCTCCGGCGATTCTTGGGTTCCTCCGAGGTCTTCTTTCGCTTGCCCGTGACGTGTCTCTTTCTTTTTCTCTTGGTCGATTTGGGCAGTTGCGTAGCCCTCCGCATTGATTCCTGGGGCGGCGTTCGAAGGTGAGCCAGACATATCTCTGGTGTGGCCTCGAGATCGAGGAATGTTTCTCTCGTTCAAACAAAGCGGATAGATTGAAAAACAGAAGTTGAGGCTGGGGCGTAGTGCTGGATGAGGATGTGAAAGGTTGAGAGGGAGAAGAGAAAACACTACGCCACGAAAAGCTCACCAAAACGCGAAGTAAAAGTTACTTAGGTACTTAGGTACAACAGTGATCGCGTTTTTCAATGTGAACTACGCGTGTCGCTGCATGACGCGGAGGTGAGAAGGTAGTGAGGACCGACACGGTGACGAGTCTCACTTGCAACTCAGCTCTCTTGCGGCAACCAAACATCAACATCACAACACCAACACCAACACCACCACGTTATTTTCTCTCTCTCTGAGCTTCACTTCAAAAACCTCACTTCGCCCCCATCTCTTATTCTTCTTATTGAGTAAAAGGAGAGTTTGCTTTGCGATGGAAACCGCTAAGCCTCCCGCAATGGGACCAGCGAAAGGCCAACACAAGGCCCCGTTCCGCCTGGTTGGAAATTGCAAGGGTTTAGAGCCATTGGAGCTGACGCCTGAGCAAGAAGGGCAGATGCGGGATGGCACCACCCAAGTCCAGCCTCGCAGGCAGTTGATGAGGTGGTATTTTGAGCAGAAGTTGGGAGTCTCGCAGCGCAGAATGGATAATGCCTGGATGCGCGCAACCAAGGCATTCTGGCTCCAGCTGCTCAACAAAGGGCATACTCGCGTCTCAAGAGACTCGATGCTCGGTGGAATTGACGCGTTAGTTTGGTTTTCGATTGCGAGGGTTTTCGCGCCGGACAGTCCTCTCTACCCAGAATACCCGTTTGGCAAGCACCCCGTCCACGACGAAAACGCTCCAATGTCGCAAGAGTTTGACCGAATGCGAAGGAAACTGGCCGTTTCGCTTGCTCTCTTTGGTAGCCGTACCCGCGCTCCTCCGGCCGTTCCCAGAGACTTGACATTTGAAGACTTCAAGACTTGGATTGTAAAGGATGGTTTGTGGGGGATCGTTACCATCTACGCCACGAACGAGTACAGTAACCCGCTCCCTCCGCCATTTCAAAGGCCCCAGACATTTGCGTCGGCAACTGCTGCGAGCACTGGACATATCGCGACGGAAACCGTTACGACTGTTAATGCCAACACTGGTACGACTTTGTTTTCGTTTGGGAACCAGAACTTCACCACCGTGCCCAAATACAAGCCACGAAAGGGTTGCTCTGAGAAGGTCAAGGCGCTGTGGGAAGATTCTGCGTCTTTTGGATGGGCCAGATGCCCCAGCGCGTTGCTTCCAGGACCTTTTCAGGTCATTGTGCCTCATGTACCAGAGCTATTTCAGCTTCCTCAGAGTCATGAAGTCATCCGTTGTATCCCTCAGAGCCGTGCTATCGTACGGCGTCAGCATTATACACGATTTTCCCACGTCAATGGTCTAACGGTGGTGCACAAATACGCCATCGGCCCAGATCTTGATGATGGGGATATCCGCGACATTGACCAACAGACTGCAGACGACATGAAAGGTCTTTGGCGGATTACACTCAACTGGGCCTTGGCCGTATGGTCTGGAAACATGATTCGGCTCGAGGAATGGTTAGAAATGGCCAGACAAAATGTCTATCCACCGATGAAGGGTCATGACTCCGCATTAGTGATCTACATGGACCTCATCGAGGCGTCGCACAGGCACAATCTGGACACTCTAGATGAGCTGATCAAACGTACCAACTCCATCAAGACGCTATTCGGGCCTAGTGAAAGGTCAAGGGAGACTCTACGCGGAGAAGTAGCCAAGATTCAGCAAAACAAGCAGCGCTCTTACACCGATCGCGTGAATGACATGGCCGAACTGGTTTTCAAGGACCAAGGTCGCCTTCCGAGACTTGGCACGAACTCGCCCTTTGAGCAGCACCTTCTGACTGCAATGTGGGCGATCTCACAGAGCAACAGGGAGAGTGCGGCTGGTAGCAGCGTCAGCGACGAAAAAGATATGTGGCCTACTGTTCTTAGAGTCAGCAAAGTCGTGTTAAAGCGCATCGTCAATGAGAATATCCGGAAGCCAAAGACCGATCCAGATGTCGAGCCAGAGGCCAATCCTGAGACATCTGCCAGGCCTGGCGCGGCTGCGCCCCCGGTATTCTCTTTTTGGGCTAATACACATCTGCCTTCAAAGAAGTAACATCCGAGGGAGAAATGGAGATGCAAGGAGAAGCAGGGCAATAGAGATAATATGGATGAGCGATTAATTCACGAGTGTACCAACATCTAGCTCAGGCAGAATAGACAGATAATGAGAGACCATGTGAACTCGTAATGTGGGTGCAAATGTAGTGACTGCTCGTGTGCTCCTTTTTTCTCAATGTCCAAACTGACCTACCTACTTTTATCCGATCCTACGTGCAGCCAACGAGGCATTTCTATGCATGTCTCCATCGGGGACTCGCGCAACTACATGCGCTCTCTCCAGTGGGCTGATATCATAGCATGTACTTGGGGGGGGGCATCGAGATCCTCGCCCACTAGGGTTCCAATGATGCACCCTGGTCAATGGACAGTCTTGTCGTCTTTGGGTGGTGCTTGAACTAGTTAGCCAGAAGTAGAGCTTTGAGGTCACGTTCTGTTCGAATGCGTGAGAGCTAGACCTGTCATCCACTAACGCGGCTGCTGGGTGGGTGGTAGGAGCAGTAAAGGACCGGTTTGATTAATCGAATAAAGAGAACGAAAACAGATATGGTGTAGTGCATGGTATGATCGCTACAAAAGGAGTAGACTTCGTACCAGTTGTTATGTGTCAACCGTAAGAGTCAGAGGAGTTAAATATATAACATTGGATTGATTTAGGCGAGGCTTCCGATGTTTTGGATTAGCATCAAGGTAATGTACATTGGAACTCACAGCACTGGGCCGCATTTGTATTCGACAGGACCAGAGGCCATTTCCACTACTTTGACCCACTGGCGGCCAATCGCGAGGAACGATTTGATGCTGCGGTTATGATAGAGAGATCTTTTCTCAATCGCTATGAGCGCCCATACTCGTTTGCCGCGGCCTGCTTGCCAGTGACTGGAGCTCGGCAAGCGACTGATATACAACATGACACAATATCAAAACAATTAAACCAGCAATAAACACATTATTGAGCTAAATATTGTAGAATAATTATTTCCCCCATATTATATTTAGCCCCTGCCTTACGTGAAAGGACATTTAGTGAGCAATGTTTTATTTCAACCACTTGCTCGGGATGCGATAGTCTTTTCATGCTCTTACTTCCTCTCTGAGGTTACGGCCAACATCATATTCTGTACACTTTTAGCAGCTACCCTGAACTCTGGATGTTTGCCCGTGGATGGCACTTGAGATGTGAATTTGGGTGTCTGTGATGAACCGCTCAATTGTGTACGATGAAAGGCTACGCATAGAATCAGAACGCACCTGAAAATGTGGTGTACGAGATTTAATGACCGAGTCGATAGGGATAGCACATTTCATCGGAAAGAAACAACACAATACTCGAGAAGCCATATTTGAAACCTCGAGGCGCCTGATTACGTACTAAATTGTTGACAAGGATCCCTTGTCCGGCCATTTCACCACGAGCTAATGAAATGCTCTTTATCTGAATCCCGCCGATGAAATCCGCCGAGTCATCAGAGCACAACTCTTCCACCAGCCACCAAGAGCCGAATCTCCGATTCCAACAAACACCGGCCAAATTAAAAAAAGTCCAACTCAATGGAAACCCGCAGCCCTGCTTCCACTCGGCATAAGCCTGCTCCTTACGGTCATGCCTGTGCTGGCTGCTCCAAAGCAAAATGCAAGTGCATAAGCCGTGGGGTTGGTGTGCCTTGTGAGAGATGCCATCGCTTGCTCAAGCAATGCTTGCCCTCCACGGTGGTTCGGAAAGGCCTTTCCAAGCGGATGGCAAGTCATCTAGCAAGAGAGCGTGGGAGCGAAAAGCCAAGCAGTCGCAGGGAGGAGCAGGATTTCATTCACTCTGTTTCTGAACACACGGACTTGAGACTACCGGCGCCTGGGGAGAACCCGTCCGCCGTACCGCATCATGTGGCTACAGATACTGTTCACGCGCAATCATTCGGCGCCAGAATATCTTGCGCACCACCAGTACTGCTCAATAGCCAGCCAGAATTGTTGATGACTCCTTCTGCTCCTGCGCTGTCACCGCACCTGGAGCTGTGCCCAGTTGATGCGGAAGCAGTGTTCAAAACCTTCAAAGAACTCCACCTTAAGTCTTTCCCATTTATTCACTTCGAAGACAGTCTTAGGTAAGATTTTCTCCGTCGTAAATAGCCGCGTTCTGACTGATATTGGGCAGTGGCACACGGCTGCAACAGGAACGTCCATGTCTCTGGCTTAGCATACGCATTATTTGCTGCCGGTCATCAGAGAAAAGGCTCGCTCTAGACGCAGGCTTTCGCGAGAGTCTAGGCCGTCGAATCTTTGTTGATTCTGAACGAAGCATGGACCTTCTTCTAGGCATCATTGCTTATCTTGCATGGTGAGGCGAGTTTCGATGAGTGGAATGTCACAAGTGCTGATGGTTGTTGAAGGATAACCGATCGGATCCGAGACAGAAAGTTCCTCGGGGTTTGTTCAGGTGTAGCAGCTTCCTTAGTATTTGACTTGCGTCTCGACCGAGTTGTTGCGCAAGAGAACCCCTACAAAGAAACGGATATCGGACGGGCGTACACCTATCCCGTTCCACAACAGGTACCGTCGCTGGGAAGAACCAACGTAGAACGCCGTGCAGTGCTTGCCTGCTTCTGTATCTGTACCGCGTGCGTATAATTTAGCTTTTATGATCTGGCTCGAGTCTTCGCGGCTGACATTGAATCAGTATTTCGGAATTGCTCGAGTCCCCACCGATGAGGTGGACTTCGGACATGGAAGCAAGCCTTCAACATCTCTCTTCTTTTCCGGAAGTCCTTCACGACAGGATACTTGTTGCCATTGTCAAGGTATTTAGAATCATTGACGTTGTCAGCGCGGCTTCAACTTCCCGGAATATCGAAATCTATGCGGAGCGGGACTCACAATTACCACCCGCCGTCTATACGTCTTATCTTGTGAACAGATTGAATTCTCTCAAGTCTGATCTTTCGCAGGACATTCTTAATGAAAGTATGAAATATCACGTCTATTCCTCTATGCTGTCGTCTTTGATGCTTACATAGTGCATTCATATTAGAAACGATCAGATCTTACATCTCCTATGCGGAGGCCAGCATCAATGACCTCTCTCTACATCGGCAAGCTAACTCTGCAGATGGGAACTTATGGCTTGATTTCCGAAAGGCTGAGCACCTTCATGCATGTCTCAATGCATGTCGACAGCATCTAGATAATTGGTCTCATTTTACCATCGACGAGCTTTATTGTATGAGCATGCCAGTACATTGGTACTTCGCCCGTTGCACGCAAATTTTGTATCGCTTGTCTCTGATGAGCGATCCATCCTGGGACAAAAGGACGGTCCGCAACGCGATCGATCTTCTGGGTGTTATGGAGGCAACGGCACAACGTTTTCTCGCCACAGCAGAAATAAAACGATTGGATGTAGATAGCATTAGCTGGTTTACAAAAGCGGCAAATGCATTGAGACATGCTGCTTCGATCTGGGGAAAGGCTTTGGCTGACGACGGTTCTTTCGATGAATCGAATGTGGTGACCCAGCAAAGTGGGAGTGTTGATAGTACCCCGGGCGTGGGAGTGCCAGCTGATCTCACTTCTGACGATTGGATGATGGATCTATGGACTGAGTGGCAGGAATGATACCTAGCGGTAATTAATTGAGTAGTCTTATAGTCGCATTCTCTCGTGAATGGGCTTTAATCTCATGTCAGTTACCCTTGGCACAAGGCGAACCAGGGGTCGGCGGAATTCAGCTGTACCGGCGGGATTCGACACATCTCATTCCCATATTTAGGAGTCTGCCTCATGGAAGAGAAACCGCGAATACTTGGTTCAGTGTTCGTGGCGTTTCTCGTGTATTTACTTATCTTTTTGCCGCCCACCCAACAATAACAAAATACTACAACAATACCACACCACAATACAACAATACCATAACACCACAACACCGCAACACCACAATGCCTAAATACCAGTCATCGTGTTCCATCGCGCAGGCGTCGTCTCAGCTTGAGGCGGGGGAAATGGTTGGGGGGGGAATGGTTGGGGAGGAAAAGCACTTGCCTCCAGGTCAGACTGAGATGCCCGATCGTGATGTCCATATTCAGAAACTCGGAGATGCGGGAGCCCAGGACGAAACGAGACATCTCGCCGGCCTCAAATTATTCTTCGCCATGACAAGCATTACCCTCCTGATACTCCTTACAATGCTAGACATTTCCATCATTGGCACCGTATGTATGAGCCAAAGCTCCGATATCTCAGAAACCTGAGAAGCCAAAGGGCTGCATTATCTATTTAGGCTGTTCCGCAAATAACGAGTGATTTTCACAGCTTAGAAGACATCAGCTGGTACAGCGGTGCCTATCAGCTAGCGAGTGCAACAGTTCAGCCTCTCACAGGCAAGATTTACACATATTTCAGCATCAAGGTTCATATTTTCTGGAACTCGTATAAAGTGAATCTCTGGGCTAACACAGCTCAGTGGACACTACTTGCTTTTGTCCTGATATTCGAAATAGGTTCCGCAATCTGTGGAGCAGCTCAATCCTCTCCAATGCTCATTATTGGTCGTGCTGTAGCCGGGCTTGGATGTTCCGGTCTAATGAATGGATGCCTCACGCTCATATTTGGAGCCATAACCCCGGAGAAACGAACGTGTGAGTTTCAAGCCTCATCGAGTAGTCAGAATCTTTCTAATTCGATGGGACCAAGTCTACACTAGTATTGCTATGGGAGGTGCGTCAATAGTTTCTAAAATGCTCACGATTCTGAAAATTGACGATTAGCCATACCGCAGTTGGCCAGATAGGCATTGTCTTCGGTCCATTCCTTGGGGGCATTTTCACTGAACATGCTAGCTGGCGTTGGTGTAAGTAAGTCCATTGCGGTCGACCCAAAAGTGTATGGCTAATTAAAGACCAGGTTTCTACATTAACCTTCCGTTAGGCGGACTTGCTGCCTTGTTGATCCTGGTCATAGCGATTCCTGATCAGATCCAGAAAGAGACTGTGAGTTTGTCTCTGCTTGCTAAACTACTTCCCGACTTTGACCTATTCGGCTTCGCACTGCTCGCTCCTGCTTCATTGATGCTTCTCTTGGCGCTGCAGTTCGGTGCAAGTGACTACAGCTGGAACTCTGCAACAGTCATCGGCCTGTTTTGCGGATCCGCGTTATCAACTGGGCTCTTCATTGCTTGGGAGAGGCGGGTTGGTGAAAAGGCAATGATTCCTCTTCGTATCCTATCTCAGACAACGATATGGACCAGTTGTCTTCATTATGCCTTTCTGATTGCTGTTACGACCGGAGGGGGTTACTTCTTGCCAATTTACCTCCAGTCGGTTAAAGGGCTGTCGCCTACTATGAGTGCGGTCTACATGCTTCCAACAATCCTGCTCTCGGTGGTTTATGTCATCCTTTCCGGGGCCTTGAGTCAGTCCTCATATTCCCTTTCTCATTGTGAGTTTGACTAACCTTTTGTAGTGCCAAGATTTGGGTATTACGTTCCCTGGGCAGCGCTGGCATCTGGTGGAACAGCTATTGGCTGCGGTCTTATCTCTACCTGGACCCCGAATAGCACACTCGGACATCTGATCGGCTACCAAATTATCTTTGCTCTCCGTGGATTAGGAATGCAGATGGTAATGTCTCTCTCCGCAACTGTTACCCCAAATCTTTCGTCTGACTGGTTTAAATAGTCCACAGTAGCTATTCCGAACGCTCTCCCCCCTTCGGAAATTGCCATCGGTAACTCGATGCTTGTCTTCAGCCAAAGCCTTTTTGGGGCTATTTTGGTCACTGCCGCGAACACAGTCTTTCAAGAAATCCTCAAGACTAACATCAAGAATGAGACCCCATCTATTGACCCTATTGCTGCCATTGCTGCCGGTGGAAGCGCTGAGGCGGTCAGATCTCTTGCTCCATCTGGTGGCGATCTCCTCAGAGCTGTTCTCAATGTATACTCTAAAAGCGTGGGGTATGTCTATTATCTACTAATCGGTGCATGTGTCGTCTCGCTGGTCGCCTCTTTCGGTATGGGCTGGGTAGATGTTAGGAAGAAAAAGCTCACTGGCACAGTTCCCAAGTAGCAATCACACGTCGATTACGAAAGTAAAATTGATTCAAGTGTTTTTCCGCAGCTCTGCAACTTGGATCCCCCGACGCCGAGAAGCGGTATAACGTTAGGATTTGGTAGTTATTTGGAAGCCTAAGAATCTCAGTGTCCTCTACGCGTACTTATACAATAATAGCAATGCATCAGATAATTGAATTTATGAAAGCTTGATTATTACGACTTGAGCATAAAGTATTTCGGGACCGGCCCGAACTGTTGTCTAACAAGGCAAATTGCGCCAAACAAACTCTTCAAAACGCCCTCCAAATGAAACGCTGGCTTCTCTGAATCAAACAAGATAAAATAACGAACGCATAAAAGACTTCGGGGTTTACTTAAGCTTAAAACCTCCCGGGACCTGCTTAGTGAAAACCTGGCAAGGATCGACCTTCTTAGCGATGCTGCGCAGACGCTTAACGTTCTCCTCTCCGTAACTTTTCACGGGATCCTGTGATGGTCCGGCGTAGTTGTAGTAGACGAATGGGTCCCAGGATCCCAGTGCTCTTGCATCTTTCTCCATTGCCTCCATAACTGAGTCGACTGCACTCTTGACTTTGGCATCGTCAGTTGGCTGACTCCAACCTGCGGTAAACAGCCCCATAAAAAGAGCCGCGTGCCTGTTACCCAGTCCTAGAGGGTTTGCATCTGCATGGCGGGAGTAGGTTGCTGGTGGAAGCGGCTCGAGTGTGTATGACCAAGTCAAGCCCTCAATGCCCTCGACAGACTTGAGACTCTCATTGAAACGAGTGTACGTAGCCTTGACCGTTTCTTCGGTAGCCACGAGCGTATTCGTAGCCCAGAGCCTTCTTTGGACTTGTGCCTGAGATCCTTTCATCTCCAAAGCAAAATCTGACACATTTGAAGTTCGCATAGTGCTGTACAAAGAAGGAAGCTCAGACAGTGCCTTGAACTCCTCTGGACTCTGGACACCCTCTTTGGTGTACTCCAGAAAGTTCAAAATCAGAGGTCCACTCTCTTTAGAGTACGCCCAAGTGAGCATGATATGTGAATAGGGGTCGTAGTTATCCGCGTTGTTGATGTTGACGAATTCTCGGGCGTGAGTCTCGACATTGGAAGCAGGTAGGTAGATGATTCCTCCCCAAAAGGGACCCTGCTGGAATGCTGAAATGTCGATTCGTGTAACAATTCCAAAGCTGTTACCGCCACCTCGTAATGCCCACAGAAGGTCTGGATTTTCTCTCTCGTTTGCATTGACGATGGTTCCATTGGCCAGGACCAGTTCATAGTTGATGATGGTATCGACTGTCCATCCATAGCGGGTGCTGAAGTATGAGATGCCCCCTCCAACACTAAGTCCACCAACGCCGACTCCTGCGCTTCGTCCTCCAGCAACGCTGAGGCCCATTGAGTCGAGCTTGGCGTATACGAGATCCCACGAGTTTCCGACCCCAACGGATACAACAGTCTTTCCCTCGTTAACATCGATGGAGTTAAGGCCCCTGAGATCAATGGTGATGCCGTCCTGGATATTCGCGGCCTCAGGCTGGCTACTGTGACCTCCCGAGCGAACAGCAAACTTGCATTTCCGATTCAGACCTGTGGTCAACAGCTGGACCGCAGAGGCCACCTCAGCTGCTGTCTGGGGCGAAACAATACATTGCGGGTGGGTTGAAGCTTCTTGTGCCGCGAAATAGGAAGCCAGAGACGAGTCGTAGGTGTCAGTACCGGGGAAGGAAACCTTTCCCGTAAGTAGAGACGATAAAGCCAAGCACTGTTGTAAAACGGTCAGTTTCCTTTTCTTTCGATACTCAATTTGAGAGAATCTACTTACACACTGAGCGGTTGCTACAAATGAGTTAACCATGTTTGAACTTTCTGAGTTGAGAGTGTAGATAAGTGTAGAGAAGTGTCTAGAGTTAATGATGGGAGAATTTCTTTTGCTGCGGTCAAAGAAAGGTCTTTATATCTACAGTTCTACGCCATTTTCCACTTTCTCTCGCCCCCTCAAGCCTAGAATTTGCAGCACAGCCCATGGTCAACATCAGAAGGACAAATGTGACGGCGGAGACTGGAGAGGTGATTCGCTGAGCATCCAGGCTGCTCAGCTCATCTCGCAACGAACTATCCGGAAAATGCTTCATTTTGGGGAAGTCATGAGAACGATTGACCCGCTGGACCCAAAGTCCAGTCATAGCAGATTCAGCAGGGCCAGCCTGTGTTCTCGTCGTCGTCTGCCAATCCGGGCATATCATTCGCAGGCTGCAAGGCTGTCACGACACCCGCCCTAGCCCGGTGTGCAATTGCGAGAATTGGCGAAGAGCGCCTTTCAGCGCGTCATTGGGCGAATCAGATCTCTGATGATGCCTACTAGCTGGGCAAAAGAGCTGCGCCGCGATGAAATCAGCCTGTTCCTGCCCGGGTGACTCCACTTACATCCGTATATCCCTGCATTCTTCAGCAATCCATCTGAACTATTAGAAAATCTCACCCCAAAACTCCGGGATTATTGGCTTATCTTGCATGTGAACGCCGGAAGTGGAAGTGGTATGGTGACCATTCCGAGGGACCGGCCCCGGCTTCAGCTAAGGCAACAGGGTTTCCTTCAGCTAAACATCCCCTGTGACGCAATGGATAGAAAGCTCGCAACTTGTCAATGAAATGGATTCACAATTGTGCTTCACTTTGACTCAAGCCTGAAATATCCGGTGCGCGAATGTGGAACGGCAAAGTAGATAGGTCACACGCGGCCCCAATAACCTGCTAGCTGGGTCACCTGCAAATAGCGCTCTTCGACGGCCAATGGTAAACATACGAGAGACCCTGGGAAGGCTTTAGGGTCAGTATGGTGCTGCCAAAATGGAGTGCCCCTTTTCATTGAGAGCACTCGGAAAGTGGGATCCTGTGATGTGATTTTTTTTCTACATTGCTTTGAACACATGGATCACAGCAGAAAAGGGTGCACCTCTATCTTGAAGATCCCTTTTAAAAGATCATTTGGGCTTAAAACTTCATTCTACTTTCATCTAAACACAAGGCCTACGTTGAACACATAAGGGCGGTTCTACTTTTGAATTATTCTAAATCGGAGGATGCTTTCAATTCATGTACACGGGTTGCATCTCGAGATACCGAACTTCACGCTAGCTAGGGATATGAATCACACTCTAACAGCCTCGGTCAGTCTCTTTGCCACTGAAGATGCACCACCTCCTGGACCAAACATCTTCTTCATATCCCCGGCCAACAACTCGGGCTTCTCATGCGCAGCAAAGTGACCCCCTTCTGTGTGGTTGGCCTCGAAAACGACGGGCCCCAACGTTCGCCCCCATGCTCTAGGAGGTACAAAGATATCTTGGGGAAAATATGAAAGCCCTAGAACAACTTTGGGGTTGTAGTCATACACCTTGTTCGAATAGCTTTCGTGCTTATTGGGCTGCTGAACTTCGTAGTAAATTCTTGCACTAGCGGCAGGACCGGCAGTAGAGAACTGGTAGATTGAGACCCAGGTAAGAATCTCGTCATCCGTCCAAGGATAGTCGTCTGCCCAGTCGTGAAGTTTCTCCCAGATCCAAGCTAAGAGAGCCACAGGCGAGTCGGCGAGAGCGTGGCCAATGGTGGATGGCTTAGTGGTTTGGAGAACGTTATACCCAGCTCCTTCCTTTGCGAACCAATCGGTTCGTTTCAGGCCAGCCTTTTCTACCTCTGTCCGTGGTATGAATTTATCTTGCAAATATAATAAGGGGTGCTTAGCCAGGGTGGGAGGCTTTGCGAGAACCATGTTAAGATGAGAAGCGAGGCAGTGTTGAGGGAAGAGGATGCCTATAAATCGAGTGACTTTGTAGCCCCAGTCCCCTCCTTGACTGACTATGTGTTTGAATGTTAGAAATTAACTGCATTTTTAAGTCGCCAAAGAGGGATCGACTTACCATATTTGTCGTACCCAAGGTTTATCATCACCTTGTGCATTACTTCTGCATACTGTACCACTCCAAATCCTGACTTGGATGCACCTTGTGAAAAGCCAAAATTGGGAAGAGAAGGTGCGACCACGTGAAAAGACGGTCCGTCTTTTTGATTCAATAGCAGAGGAAGAATTTTTTCTACCTCGAGAAAACTTCCAGGCCCTTTGAATCATGCGCGTTAGCTAAACATCGAAGGATAATACAGAGAAGGGATTGTGCCTCACAGCCATGGCAAAAGAGAAGTGGAATGCTCTTCGGGTTATCGCTCTTCTGGTGGACGAAATGCATTTCAAGATCTCCAAACTTGTCAACGTGAACAGTAGTTGTGAACTGAGGCAATGTGCTGTTTATTTTCGCCTCCTGAGCTCGCCAGTCGAACCCGTCGGCCCAGTACCTTGCCAATCGTTTGACGTCACGCATCGGCGCTCCGTAGTCCCAGTCATCGGCAAAATCTACCTCTTCAAAGTATGTAGAGGACAGTAGTTTATTTTTCAGGGATTGCAGTGCCTTTTCGGGCACCGAGATCTTAAAAGGTTTTGGTTCTGGCGCCATTGTGACAGAATGCCTTATGTAAGGAAGGGAATTGGTATGCGTTTGTGCTGACAAAAAAACATGAAATAAAGTTGCATGAAAAGCTAAAAGACAAGCAGACCAAAACGCGGGGGATTTATAGGAAATTGAGGGGATCATTGATTTGTAACACATCTAATCATCTCAAGGGCGTGGTCGCATTTCAGGTATTGACCTTGTCGATCTGCCCTCTTGCCTTCCATTTGAGTCATCATTCATCATAATGATGAACAAATATACCGAAAATAAGCAGGGTTGCAATTACCGCCATTCAGCAATTACTTATGCGCAGTTGATGCCATAGCTCAGACACAATCGTGAAGTTGTAGCATACTTGGTTGGTAGGAATTGATTGACTACTCCGTTGACCACAGCGCTGTGTAAGCTGACTGAGAGAATGGGAAGCGAGCAGAAAAAAGCATCAAAGACTCCTGAAATTAAGAGTATAAAGCGATTGTGCGATGGCAAGCAGTAATCTGCATGCAGCCCTCCGTGTTCTCGCTCCTCATATACTTCTTTAGACAAATTACACATTCTAGCACTCTATCTTTGGTCTTGTTATTTCTCGTTAGGTAGCTATAGGGCCATAATGGCTTATTGTAATTGGTATCAAATATCGAGGCTTGGAAGAGAGTACAGGCCGGAATTTCGCGGTAGCTATCCAGCACCAGGAGAATGGAACAGAGCTTTACTTGTATGAAATCATAAGAACCGATGTATACTTGTCTATAAATGCTATCTGGTCAAATACTCTTATATCGTACATATCTTACCCGTTTATGACACCGTGTTCCAGACTACTAGAAATATGATGCGGAACCAAACGTTTTTCTAATAGCAATGCTTGTAGCAGCGTGCGACATGATCTCATCGTGAGCGCCATACCTCAGTGTGACGAATCGAATTTTGCCTTTGTTTGTTGGCCATTCAAGAACCGATCCTCCCTCACCCCGAGAATCCTGCCTGGTCTTCAATCTCTCTATTAAGCTCCCATTTGCATCAACACCTGAATAAATCTCAGGGTCTTCCGCGATATCAATCAGATGTCGAATCAGGCGATGTGAGTGATCTATCGGGATAAATGGGTCATCCTCAGCATGCAACAAAGTGATATCAAACTGTTCAGCCAATTCAATGATTTCGCCCAGTCGTTTCTGGTTGTCCCATGTACTGGTCAAGCGACTTGTAAAGTACTCGAACAGCGGACCAACCTTGGCGACAGGGGAGAGCATAGGAATAACACCTCCAATCCGATATGTAGCTGCTAGTTGGGCGACATCAGAGAAGGTTGCGGTGACTACAAGACCAGCGAAATGGGTCTTCTGTTCTCTTTTGACCAGTTCATTAACCAGAGAAATCGAGACCGCAGAGCCGAGGCTCTGGCCGTATACAACAATACGCTCTGGAGGGATCCCAGCCACCTCCATAGCCCAGGCCGCAATGGTAAGAGCATCCTGGATGATTCCACCTTCAGAGGGCTCGCCACTTGATTTGCCGTAGCCTCGATAGTCAAAGGCTAGTATATAGGTGTTGACAGGGTCAGCAGCGTAAATCGAACGACAGCTATCCGGCCGTCACCCACTGGCGATTGTGCCACTTGTGCCATGAAAATAAAGAACAAGGCGAACATTTGGGTTGTTTTTCAGAAGCTTGAAATTGAGCTTTTCTTCGAAACTATCCACCAATCCACTCCCTTGCGCTAGAAGCTCGGATTGATTGCCGATGTAGGCACCCAGGGGCAAAATATGCCATGAGTGCAGCCTCTCGCCATCAGGTGTCGGGATGTAGAATGGCGTAACCTGATTAGTAGCAAGGCCAAACTGTTCTGGGACATTGAGGTCTTTGAACCAAGTCAAGGTGGCTTTATGAAGATATATTGATTGCATGGACTTGTAAGGATGGTCTGACGGTGAGGGCACCCAAAACTCCAAAATAAAGCAGCATTGGCGTCCCAATCGAGAGACAGACCGCCATGATGGTTGACCGCAATGCCGTAGGTTTCATCTTGGTAGACGTCAATAGTAGTAATATGACGGGTGAGACGGGATGCAGGTCGACTGAGTAAAGGGACCCTTTAGGCTCTGTCTGATGGAAAGTCCTAATTCTAATTGAAGAGACTGTGGCGAGGGGTTTTCGTCTGATCACTGCATCGTTGGCGTGATTAGTTAGCCGGGGGTATCGTGTTTCACCCTTGTCAGCGTCTCACTGATTGATCTTACAGGCAGAGGCAGTGATGAAAATCAATCATTCGTCAGTATGCTTTGACGGTGAGTGAACTTCCTCGCCGTATTTCTCGATCTGAACTTCTTTCTGAGTTTCCTCTTGATTTCTCCGGCTAACATGGTCTCTATCCAGGGAGAATAACTCTTCTTCAAGTCATCTGGTTTCCACTCATCACCGCACAAACATTTGCGGCCCTGCAATTAATGGAATCTAGAACTTATGGGACAGATGAAATATGGTTTTATCAATCTCACTTTTCTTAATTATCTAAGACTTTATTTTCTTACTATTCTAAGGCTCTTGCTTTTGATATTTTATTCTATCCTTAATTCCTCTTCTGGAAGGCTTTATATTAACCAATTGTCTGCAGTGAACAATTTCTAACTATTACCCCTCGCGCGCATCTCGACGTTGTTTTTTAAACATATTGATACCCGGATTCGTTTTTACTACCGTGGTCTTGATTATTTTTGGCCTTGTTATGTCCGAAATTAGAACTTCGCAGTGAGTTTCCAGCCTGTCGCCATCAACTTGGCCGTCAGAAATGCGGCCGTGGCTGCAGCGTAAACTACACCGGCCAAAATAATGAGGCCGTTATACGACCCAGAGTTCGCTTCTGTAATAGCTCCTGCAATGGGAATGCCAATGAGGCACCCAACACTCGCAATGGAAAAAGTAGTCCCGTTCCTCTTTCCATAGTCTTTTGTGTGACACATCTTCCCGACGCAGACAGGTGTCAAGCTGATTGCTGCACCAGACCAAAAGCCGAATAGCACCGCAAAGATGTTGATGGCGGTTACGTTCAAGTAATCGATAGGCAGCCACATCCCGAGCATGAAAACTGCGCAAACTGTGGCTGTTATACACATGACGTTGAATGTTCCCAGCCGGTCAGCCACATATCCCGGAAGAGCGCGGCCAGGAACTGCACCGGCGTTGACAAAAGCGTTGAGAAGGTAGGCGTCTCTAGGTGTCATTCCCATGTGAATTGCGTACGACGAGATGTATGTGTAAGGAATGAAGACGGCAAACTCAACAAGGAAAACTGCAACCGTCGTTGTTGCGTACTTGGGCTCCGTCAAAGCCTTGAAATCGATAGCTGCTCCCGCTTGTTTATTGTGTGGCAATCTCTTGCGGCATAATATGCATGCCAGAACGCAGAAGACGGCACACATAAGACCAACCGCGCGGATTGCCCAGCCGAAACCGATGGATGGCGCCAGATACAGGATAGTAAGTGGGAAAATAATACCGCCAATTCCACCTGCCGTGCATGCTATGCCTGTTGCCAATCCACGCTTTTCTGAGAACCAGTGTCCGATTGCTGAGACGCTGGGTGTGAAGAGTAAGGATGCTGATAGGCCCCCAAGAACACCAAAGGATAGGAAGAATTGGTAAAACTCTAAAGCAGAATGAGATACCGCTATAATAGAATAATTTGGAATGCAGGTAAGAATTACCTCTCGAAAAGCTGAGACATATGGTTGAAATTACTAATCCAAGACTGCCAGGTATCAGCAGGAATTTGATGTCATGGGCATCGAAGATAGGTCCTAAAAGTCGTATTATTCTGTTAGAGAGTCCCCAAGAACATTCCTTCTAGCCGTAACTCACCTATCTGGGCACCTCCAATATAAAGGAAGAAAGCGTAGCTGCTAAATATCCATCCGATATTTGACTCAGACATGTGCTTTAATTGATGCTCTCCAACCCAGGCATGAAGCACAGCCAACGTATTAAGAAGACCCATGGATGAGATCATGGCACACCATGCACCAACTACAACCAGCCATGCCGATAAACCGCCTTCGGGGTAATAAATTTGATCATCGGTGACATGCATCTTGCAGAGAAGGTTGTGGAAAACGGCGAAAGCTGATGTTATCGTGCCCACAAAGAAAAGAAGAAGACAACATGGATGAATTAGAGAAAATAACCAAACCAGTTCGCAGTAAGGAGCTACCAATTTATTAATTCAGACATCACCGCTGGGGGTCTTGAGGAGCAAAATCTGATTCGGCGAACGTTGCCCCGTTGTGTGTGGGCCTTTAGCAAATTCGCCGATTGCACCTTTCAGGCTTGAGAAACACCATCATCGATCAAGCACCCGGAAAGAAAGTCCAACCAATAGAGTAGTGATTAATCTTAAAGTAACTTCTTGCTTATTCTCTCGGTATGTTGTTTCTACCCGTTATGCTAACATCTATCCAGCCGGCCAGCCGGATGACTTGATGCTATTCTTAATGCCAGCCATATCTGTAGGTTGTATCAGGCCAGTGATATGTGGCATTAGGATTGAGATCGCTGCTATTGTGCATGGATCCCAGCAATGCGAGTCCCCAGCCTCACAATTTAAGGCAATACCGCAGACCCAGCGCAGATGGAAAAGAGGGTGCATGTACTCTTCATCCTCAATGGCGTTGTGACCCCTTTCAGAGCCGCTAGCCGACCCTGGCTTTTTGCTGAGTAAAAGGAACATGGCGGTACGATATAGAATATTCGTAGAGATGCCTCCTCCGCCGCTGTAGATTATTTTGGGTAAAGTGTTTTCGGAACTGCCCACGATATGTACTTCTTTAAGCTCCACTGGACGGGCTTTTTCCCAGGCTAGAAGCTTGCGCAGTAATTTGTTCCATCGCGAAGCAAAGATGGTATTCATTGAAGAGTAGGCACTTTCGTCGCTCGAACCATCGGCCCTTGTATATGGTGTTGGGAGGCATAGTTCCATAGCTTCAGATAACAATTTAAGACAATTCATGGAAGCAGTAAAGCATATGCAAAATGGATCCGTAGAGCCGCACTGGTAGTGTTGAATATGATCAAGAATACTTGGGCTTGTCATTGAAGAGTTTCCATGTGCAAGGGAAGCTGCGATCTCTGTAAAGATGATTACTTAGTTAGTTTAATGAATAACCAGAACCGAGTAGAAGACTTTTCAAGCATGATAAAGTTGGTTCTTTAAGGAAGAATAATTGTTCGAAATCAAGACACCTACCAAGTCTTGCGATCAAGGCAAGAATGCTACACCATATCCGTTTTTGGACAGCATCCATATTGTGAGTGGCGGTGAGTATCGGCGGGATGTGGTCTCGATAAAAACCAGATTCCCATTCATCCAGACTATCCTCTGCGAAAAGGAGTGCCCTGTCCAGAGCAAAACTGCCCATGAGCCGGATGGCAGTTTGTGGTGTTACAGCGTCAGTTCTCAACCTGAAAGAAACGACACCCCGAATCCGAACAAGATCAGAAGGCCGGTCTGTTAGCGCTGCTGAAAGGCGCAGCAACTTTTCCAGTAAACAAGGGCAATTCATCGCCAACGTTGTGAGCTCATGGCGAAATGTGTCGTTCTTATCATAAACATCTAGCTGAAGTATCGCCGTATTAGTACTGTCATCGTGCTAAGATTCAATAAAGGAACTGAAGACCTACAGATGGTGCGACGATGTGGATAAAAGATTGAAGGAGGGGGATTTCTTCTGCCGCAAGAGGGCTACGTCCTACCATCGGCCACGTACTAAATTCTTTGAGCTCACTGATGCTTTGCGATTGTTCGAAAGACTCTTCTCCGCGAGTCGGCTCAATGATCATCTTTTCAGCCTTGTCTGGGTATCGCTGTTCTTGAGAATGAGTATTGGGATAAATGGCTTCTGGATGTTGCATTTTCGCCTCATGGCCTGATATCATCGCGGTGCCAGAAGTCGTTTCTTGGTCAGAAATGCCCATATTGACAAACTGTGTATTGATTAGCACACTTAATCGTTACCTCTTTTATTAAATTATCTTTTTTTACGTACATTTATAATGGGACGGGTGGTATTCATATCATGAATCGGTTCCTCGGGAGCTGCGTTGACCGGCATTGCTGTCATGTTTTGGTCGAGGAATGATATACGGGTAACATATTGACACGATACTCCAGCACCCACACAGCGGCTACACTGAGGCTTTGTTTCATCGCCTATGAGAAATTCACTAGTTAGATGATTGATCGGATAATATCTGAGTATTTGCGTCACAGTACTCACACTTTCGATGCTGAGCCCGACACCGTTCACAACCACTTCGAGTGCGTGAATGTCGCTTTGCTCGAGAGGTCACTGGAACCTCACTCTCATCGGACATGGTGTTTTCATGACCAAGACCTCGCTTCTTTTTATTTGCGCCATTCATGCCTCAATCTCCATACGGTGGAAAGAGAACGACCCTTTGAAGGTTGACGACTCGAGCCCGCAGGAATGGTGAGCGCGCGATGCTAAGATGATTTCACGTCAACCTAGACACCCACATTCAGAATGTATTCAAGGAGAACAACGTAATCGACATGGAAGCTAGGCGGAGCGGTTGTCTAAAGCATCCCTTCAGGCGGCGCTTTGTCAGCCCTTCGCGAGTCCAACTTCCCGTTTCGGATGCTGATGCGGATCCGTTTTCCAAACTGAATCGAGTGGGTCCGTTTGCCGCATTAGATTTGAAATCGGTAATCGCAAGACGGCTGGGTATGGCCAGTATGATGGGAATTTCTCATGTTACCAGGCAATTTATCTCCTCCGGGTGCGGATAGATGCCTCCAAAATGGGTCCCCATGTCACTCCATCCTATTATAAAAACCCGTCGAATCTATATCCGCATCCAGTGTTGTCTCTGCTCCTCAGACTTACTTCTACTTCAACTATTCACATCCACATCCATCCTCCCTCCCAATATCTTTTCAAATACTTCATCATGGCGGAATTGCCCAAGGCTATGAAGGCATGGATCATCACCCGTGCGGGCAAGCCTGCCGATGTCCTACAGCTAAAGAACAACTGGCCGATGCCCCCATCTCCGAAAGCTGGGGAAGCCCTGGTCCGGGTATCCTACGCGGCACTGAACCCCGGCGACATCAAGATGATGGCTACTATGATACCGTGGAAAGGAAAGGCCATCGCGGGATATGACTATGCCGGCGAGGTGATCCAACTGGGGTCATCCGCTCGCACCTCGAACCCCGATATTCGGGTCGGCACGATCGTAGCTGGAACCGTACCACTCTCCTATCTTTTGACCGGGTATGGAACCTTGGGTGAATATATGATCCTTCCAATTAATCAGATCGTGGAAGTTCCCAGCGAAATATCGGATTCTGTCGCCGCGGGAATCATGGGAATCGCTGGCCAAACAGCAGCATCCATAGTTGCCGCTGCCGACTTGCGACAAGGGGACAAGGTGCTTGTGAATGGGGCAAGTGGTGGTGTAGGTTCGATCCTTATCCAGGCACTCCACGGTATGGGCATTCAAATCATGAGTGTTTGCTCAGCCAGAAATTTAGATTTGGTACTCCGATTAGGTGGTGGGGAGGTGAGTTGAGGACTCTCTCGCAGCCCCGAATTCTTTGTGGCTAACATATGACTGCTAGGCTTTGGACTACAAATCTAAGGACTCTATTTACGACTATTTAACATCTCTCACGGCAGATCCAACAAGGGGCCAATTTGATGCAATCATAGACTGTGTGGGCGATGACACTCTCTTCCATCGTTCGCCTGGATATCTCAAGGCTACCAGTAGATTTTTCAGTATAGAAGGAGGCCCCTTGGGCGGCTTGACTCTGAAAAGATTGCCAGTCGTCCTCGGAGGAACTCCAAGGCCCTTTGTCAATGTGTTCAGCAAGCCAAGTACGACCTCCATAAATATGGTTGTTGGCTGGATTGAAAAGGGTTGGATAAAAGAGCTGCCCGTCGATTCGACATTCCAGATGGACGATGCTATACAGGTTTGTGACATTGAAGCTAGATTCCCAGTGTGTTGCTGACTTTGAAGATAGGCATTTGAGAAACTGGGAACAAAGAGAGCAGTAGGAAAGATCTTCGTGAAAGTTCACTAGGGAAGCAGACACCGGCAAGCCAGTTAAAGGTATAGGAAAACTTGCATGCCTCACCGCGGAAGAATTTATGACGCGCGTCTACCTATATAGCATCTCTAGTTACGAAACAAACACCACCCCATATCATTACATGTTTAGTAAAGTTGAATCAAGATCTGATAATTGAGAACAGCATCGATTAAACAACGTATCGATTCCCCTTCTATGTATCCATAAGGTAATTTTTGAATTTCAGCCCAGTCCCTCAGCTTCTAAAGTCATATGAAATATCCTTAAGCCTCAGGAAGGTGTGTGTTATGGATTGCCTCCACGCGAGTAATTCCGGCTTCAATAAACGCAATCAACCCTGCTGCAGGGCCTGGTGTACATGCGGTGGAAGATAAAAGGTTTCATCCAGCCCAACATAAAAATATGACCCCAATCGGGCTTTTGCCAACAGAAAAGGGGGGAAAGCGCGGTATTGATGGTCCAAAACTTGCTTCCATTTTATTAAAAGACGGTTGGCCTCCACAGCTTTCCCAAAGTCGGGCGCTTGCACCAAGAGCAACATGAGAAAGTTAGATATTAAGGCAAAACCTATGCGTGACCCTATATGATACAGGCTTATCAGTCATACTGTTTAAATATTAATAGGACTTAGGGCTATTTTCCTTACATGAGTGCCAAAATTCACCAAAGGAGGGCGCGGCAAGATTTGACACAAAATCGACCAACGTGTCTGCGCAACCCAATGATGCCTCATACAACTCACCCACCATTGTACCATTCTCTCTATGTCCGTGATCCAATCGGAAGTCCATTTCTGGAAGATGATGGAACTCCCATCGAAGATCATTAAGGAATGCAACAGTGGCATCTGCTGGGTCATCGACATGTATAATCTGTGCTGGTTCCGACGATTTGACCGTCGTCCGGAGAATTGCTCTCCATACGCATGCAACTAGAATAAGATAAGCGTTGTATATTGTTGCCGGATATGGAGATGGTGTTCCTGAGATTGTGTCGTGAAGAATATGACCAGTTGCTGATGCCAAGGGAAGGGACTCGCGCCAACTTGTCAGACTCCGAAAGATGGGCCTCGCTGTCTCGACAGACAAGGCCATTTCATGGGCCAACATTTGGCTGGCCCTCAGAGAGCTGGATTTCTCATTAGCTTCCATTATACGGGATAGTTTCAACGATTGATAGTACTCACTACAACTTCTCCTGCACTGCTTCGGCAATGACTGCCAAGCGAGCCATATCGCGAAATGGTAGCTTCAAGTTAGCTACCGGCACGAGAGGCTGTGGTGTTATTACGAAATCATCATCACTGAGCTCCACCACATCCCATTCTGAAGAGCGAAGATAGGGTGGCTTCCCCAGCATTAGGGACAGAAACTTATCCTCAATGTACAATGCCCACCAGAGTCGCCTTCGCAGCCTCTTCTCCCAAGCCGGCAGCCCAAACATCCCGCATTCAAGCTGAAGTCCAAGAGAATGGGCCAATCCAACGACAAGCCCCATAAATGACCAAGTGAAAGGAGTGTCTGCCACCGGATAACTTTGATCATCTTTCTTCGATTTATGGAGATATAATACGGCAGCCTGCATTACAGATAGCCTCGGGGTGTGGACTTCTTCCATAATTAATCGATAAACGATTCGCCAAATATCCGACACGGAAGGTTTCTCGAATAGGACAAACATTAAGAGGTGGTCTTCTTCAGAGGCGAAAGGAAGCGCAGATCCGTAGATGGCGGCCAGAAGATGTGTCGGGATTTTGTTCAGGATGCTCCTTTCCGGAATTGAATTCTCTGGGCCGAGGCCCAGGTCCGTCCTGGACAGAACAGGCAAAGTGGGAAAGACGTTTACCATGAATCTATATCGGTTACTATGTCAGTTGGTCTCTTGAATCTCCATGGAGAATACCGACTCACAGGCGAAAAAGACGTTGACCATATTCGATCGGGACATAGCGCATCAGTTCAGCTCGAGGGTCATCGTGCCCCGCCACTCGAGTTTCTACCCTTGCAGTACTGTATATAGACCTATCGCTAATGAGAAAATGAGATGGGACCTTGTCTATCGTCGGCACACCCCCAGCATTCCTGAAGTGCACCTTCATAAATTGCCTTGTCCCATGGTGGTCGTATTTGCAATGCCTGAGTAACCACGGGTCAGCTTCAGAAGATATTCCAAGCAACTGGTACGAGTTGCTCTCATCTTTATCCAGACTCTTGGATATCTGCGTTGCCAGGCTCTGCTCAGGAAACAGAGGCGGCATAGGAGCCGGCGTAGTCGCCCATTGATCGTCAATGATGGGTACAGACGGCTCTGCCGCAGCAGCATGAATGGGCTCTACCAGATCCGAAATTTCCATGTTTATGCTCGAGTCATCCGGGGCGGTCACGTGTGACGTGGCAGAGAGCCGTTGTCCGGGTCTATTGGCAGAGAAGATGCAAGGCGCCTCCAATCCTTCGCATCTTCGGCATGATGCCTTTCCCGTGTCAGTCTGGCATCGTAGCTTTTGCCGCCGGCATCGGTCGCATGGCCGTCGACGGATTCGGGATTGATACTGGCGAGCAGATGGCGACATTGGACAAGTATCTGATCTTCAAAGTTTGAAGCAGTCTGATGTGCAGAGGTAATTGGAGCTGGTTTCGCCGAATTTTTTTCACCGTTTCGCCGAGCAAGTGTGGGGCCAGTTCTAAAGGTGAGAGCAATATTAATCAATTTTGGGTGTGATATATAAGTCCGCCTAATTTGTATAGGTAATACCTAATAGGTACCCTGGCTACTAAAATAGGTAGGGAAGTATCTATATATTATTAATAGATCTATATAATCTAACTCTTATAAATCCCTATTCCTTTTATTAGCTTAATTTACTATTTTTAAATATTTATTTTAATAAGATTTTATAATAATAGTATTTTTAGTATTTTTAGTATTTAATATAGCTATCTCCTAATCTAATAATATACCTTAAGCCCTCTAGATAATTAGTATATCTTAGAATAGTAAAATCTTCTTCTAATTTTATATATTTTAAGTTTATTAGTTTAATAAGAAAATCTTTCTATTACTAGAGCTACTCCTTAAAGCCTGATATAATAGGAGATTTAATAGTAGTAAGTATTAATTTATAAAGATAGTTCTTACTTTCTTTATTAAAAAATTTAAAGAGTAATTTCCTTATAATAGTAAATAGTTAATAGGAACTATAGAATCTAAATATTATTATCTTTAAAACTATTAGTAAGTATTCTATAATATTAAATCTTAAAGTAATATAGAGTATAAGGAGGATATAGGAATATTAATATTATTAAATAAGAATAAGTAAAAGATAAAGTAAATATAGCTATAGATTAGAAATAAGATAATTTAGAGTAATCTCTTTATTTTAAATAATTTTAATTTTAATAAATAGTATAAGATATTTATAAATAATCTTCTAATCTATTATTATATTACTAAAGCTAATAATAATATAAATTTTAAAAAAATAATCTAAATAATATAAAAAGCTAATTCTCTAATAAATAAGCTAGCTAATAATAATATAACTAATATATAAAAAAAGGAAATAGCTAAGGAAATTATTATTAATTTTAAATAAATTAAAAAGAATAATATAGAAAAGATCTTATAAGAATTATAAACTACTTTATTATTATAGATACTTATACTAGTTTATATATATTCTTAAACTATTCTAACTTTATAGTAAGATTTACTAGGAATAAATAAAAATAATATTATTTCTCTTATAAGAAAAAGAAAAGTATTATAAACTAATCTAGATAATAGCTTTAAGTAGTTAGTAATTATATTTAAAATACTATAGCTTTAATTATATATAGTAATTATACTTTTAGTTTTACTTAATAAGCTATAGAAAGCTCTAGAGAATTATTTTATATTTCTTAATAAGAATAATCTATAGATAGTAATAAAAATAGTAGAATAAATAAATTTAGAGCTAAAAAATATAATTCTATAGTTAAATTTATTATTAGAAAATTTAAAGAATTTATATATTAAAATAAAGTTTAACTTCTTATAGAGCTATAGCTTATAAAACTATTTAGAAGTTAAAGTAAAACTAGATTTAAAATAATTTTATTTTTCTATTTACTAACTATTTTCTAGTTTACTTTTTTATCTACTATAATATATATATACTTATAAATTATTCTATTAAACTAGTTATTCTAAATTAGAAAAACTTCTATAATCTTTATCTCTATCTTCTTTTTTACTTTCTATCTTAATATATAAATTATATTACTCCTAGATCTAATCTATAATAAGTTTCTATAATTACTATATAGAGTAGCTAAAGATAATATAGTTAGTATACTAAGTTATATTTATAAATATCTATCTATTAGCTATAGTAAGTACTTCTATCTCTCTTCTTAAAGCTTATTATAATAAAATTCTATCTAATATAATAAAGTTATTTAGATCTATTATAGTATATATAATTTTTATCTAATTAGAAAAGAGATATTTAGATATATTATACTAGATAATTTTCTATTTCTATTTATAATAGCTAAATATTCCCTTAATTTAGCTTTATTTTTAAAAGATTAAAGCCTCCAGTATAGAGTAGACTAGCTATAGGGTAAGCTGGGTCTAGAGTAGATATAGCCTATAGGGTAAGCTAAGGAATACTAAAGGAATTATTTTAAAAGGTATAATAGAAAAAGCAGCCTACTAAGTAAGAAAGAGAGGCTTTATTAGCTATAGGGTAGCTAAGAGGATAGACTATAGAGTAGATAAAAGAGTAAATTAGTAGCTTAAAGAATCTTTATCTAGTAGGGAGAAAGCTCTATACTTATAAGTATTTTAAAACTCTAAGAGCTCTAAAGATAATATATTATCTTCTATAATATAAACTTATAATTATTATAAGGTTCTTATATAATAGATATAAAGTTTACTAATATAAGTACTATAGTAAATATAAAGTTTACTAATATAACTACTATAATAGTTATAAGATTTACTAACTAAATACTAAAGTTCTTATATAATAGATATAAGATCTATTAATATAAATACTATAGTAAATATAAAAACTACTAATATAGCTATTATAATAGATATAAGAACTACTAATATAGTTATTATAGTATAATATAAAATTATTAATATAGTTACTATAGTAATTATTATAGTAATTATAATTACTAATATAATTATTCTAATAAATAGTTATAGTAGATTAGATTAATAATTTTAATAGGTTTCTAGCTTTAAAAAGCTCTAAGTTAATTATTTTATTTCTCTTTATTCTATATTAATCTAAGATTATTTAATTAATTAATATAGAATAACCTAATCTATTTTATAGTCTATAGGGTAAATCTTAATATTCCTTCTAAAGGAAATAATTAAATTAGATCCTTATAGTACTTCTTTAGATCTAATAGATCTCTAAAGATCTACTAAAAAGATATAATTAATAGCTTAGTTAGCTTATTAGTAGGTATAATCTTAGTTTCTAAATAGCTAAAACTTATTAAACTCTTTATAATTTAAATCCTATTATAATAGAATTTTAATAGTATATATTTAGTTCTAGTATATAGAGTAGGATTATTACTTATAGCTATATAGCTCTGATTATTATAGTAGATAGTTATAAGGGTTTTTAGAGATTAGTTTAACTCTTTATAAAGCTCTTTTAGCTACTATAGCTCTCTAAGAGTCTCTATAAAACTATCTACTTTAGCCTCTATAGTAAATAGAGCTATAGTAATTACTTTCTTAGCTTTCTAATTAATAGAGCCTCTAGCTAGCTTAAAGAGATATCTATAAGTAGATTTACTAATAGTTTTATCCCCTATAAAATTACTATTATAATAGCTTTCTAGAGATTTATTTAGTAAGTAGATTATAATAAGGTTTTTAATATTCTTTAGATACTAAAATAGCTTTTTAATAGTTTTTAAATAGATTTTATAGGATCTATATATAGTCTAAGCTAACTACTAAACTAAAAAAACTATATCAGATCTAGTTTAAAGTATTAGATATATTAAAGTTCTTATAATTTATTAAAATAATCTATATTCTAAGGGATTATAGAGATCTATAGTCTCTATAGTTTTTATTATAAATCTTATAAGATTAAACTATAAGAGTACTAATAGAGGCTTTTCTTTAATAATCTTAAAGGCCTATAGTATCTATTTAATATACTAAAGCTAAGAGAGATATAGAGCTTTCTTAAACCTATCTTAGTAAATTTAAATCCCTAAGAAAAAAGCTACTAGTTTCTTATCTTCTATAGAGTAAATCCTATAAATTTCCTTCTTTAGCTTATTAATATAACTAATTTTAAAGCTTATTATAAGATAGTTATCTATATAGATTATTATAAAAGTAGTTTTTTTAGTATTATAGAAAACTACTAGATCTAAGATTAAGAAGCTAAAGTCTAGAGATTTTAATAAAACTTTTAAAGCCTCTTACTATTCTCTAGAGAATTACTTTAAGCTATATAGAGCTTTTAGTAGTAGGATAATCTGATCTTTAGAAGAGTTATAGCTCTAAGACTTAGCTATAGTAAGTAATTCAGAGCTTTTCTTTAGTAGTTTCTTTAGGTCTTTAAAGAGCTTTATATAGAGCCTTTTAGTAAGTTTACTATTTAAAAAGATATCTATAAAGTTAATTTACTTAATATTATAGTTATATATAGCTACTAGAGCTAATAATAATCTTTAGATTAGAGGAATAACTATAGAAGTAAAAGTCTTATTATAATCTAGATCTTCTATCTATAAGAACTCTCTAATAATAAGCCTAGCTTTATATTTTAATAGTTTATTATAGGGATTAAGCTTTAGCTTTAGTATATATCTATAGCTTAGAGCTCTATAGCTCTTAAGTAGATCTTTTAATACTATAAAGAAGAAGGTTTTAATATATATTAGCTATTTAAGTTTATTAAAGATAGCTTTT